GGGTTAGACGGACAGCTAGATGGATAGTCGAGTGTAGGGAGGTAGGTAGGTAGGTGTTCGTTGTGCATGTGTCAACGGTGCCAGGTACATACATATGTAACACGGCAGGGTGGTAGGTAGGTAAAAGGTTCAGGTCGTGTCTGTTCTGATCATCATCTACCCCCTTTTTTCTTGTTTTCCCCCCTCTTGTCATCGCCATCGTTCAAGTTGTTGCGGTCTTGCTTTTTCAACGTTACCTACCTACTTACCTATAGTAAGCAGCGGGCAAAGTACATAAAGGAGGTACATACATACATACATACATAGCATTCACGGTAGATGTATACCCTCGGTACTAGGCATAGGGCGTATTCTACTAAGGGGGGAATATGCGGGGAAAGCTCTTGGAGCTAGGTTGAGGGCCGCAAGGTCTTAGCTACTAATTTACATATGTACATGTGTAGGTATGTAGGCTTGTTTACTTTCAAGTTACCACCAACCCAGCTCTGGGTAAAATATGTGCACATGTGTATGTATGTATGTATGTAATGTCATGTCATGTAATGTCATGCAAGTCTTAGGCATGTCTTGTAATACTAAACCTGGTTTTTCTTTTTTTCTTTTTTTTTTTTGGCAAAATTCGACGTAACGAGGTGACATCCATATGGAGAGATATGTAGCGACTCTCTCTTCCCGTGACCACCATTTATTTATATACTATGTACACAGGCTGCCAGGTTATATTATACATACATGTACATATGGTAAGACTGTACCTGACTGACTAGGTAACCTACGTAATAGTAGCTCAGCCCCCCCTTGTCTACAAGTCAGCCGAGTTTCGACGATGACGAAAGAGAAGAGGGGCCATAAGTAATGGGTAACGGAAGCTTGCGCGACTTTGCATATCCTCGTGTGTTTTTTCTTATATAATCACCTAACCTAGGGTATGTTGTGTGTGGTGTGGTGTGGTTTATCATGTGCATGTGTGAATGACATAAAGACAAAGCTTTCCGGGCTGATCTAAATATAGGAGCACTTGAACTTTTTGGAGTAGGGACTCGATGGGGTTTATGTAAGTTTCGAGGTTGGTCTGTCGTTATTAATTAGATAATTGAATATAGTTACTCGGCTCGGTTCTGTAGATCCCAAGAACCACTCAAAAAAAAAACATAAGAAAAGAAAAGAAAAAAGATGGTGGGGTTTTTCTTCTTGAGCTTCGAAAGAACTACATATTATTAGTTATCTAATAGCTATAATAAGTTTTATATTCCGACGATCATCGATGCAGAACTATGTAACTTACTCCTCTTAACCTACCTCAGTACCTAGCCGGAAACCCTCCCGCGCGTAAGCATTAAGCAAGGTACCTGGTATGTAATCATCATACGTGCGTGCGTGCAATGCTTGAATGTCGATAACTATTAGGAGAAGGAAAAGAAAAGAAAAGAAAAATTAAGCTTTGTACAAGTCGTTTCGTTCCATGTGCACAGGTGCCTGGGAGCTGCGCTGTGACGCCAACATGGATGCAGATCTGGTGCCCGCTGTAACGCGGTGGGAAAGAAAAAAAAAGGCTAGGGGAGAGGAGGGGGGGGGGGGGGGGGGGACGACGTCATTTTTTGATCTGGGACCTGAGTTGGTAACTAGATAGATACAAAGAGGTGGGTTGGTGGGTGGGTAGGTATACTAGGTGCTTACTTAGGTACTATAGCAGGTAACTATTATTGAATCTTTTTTTTTGTTTTTTTGTTGCTTATGGGACGAAACAGGCGGAAGCTCTTGTGTATGCTACCTATAGGTATGCTAGCTATTTGCCTTCCTAGGGTATCACCAGACATGTCGGCATATTATATGCACTTATTGATAGCTATCCCTATATCATCAATGTTAATATGTGCGCTTTAAAAGGCAAACAGAAAGCCCCCAAAAATAGGCCCGTCAAAAAAAAAACCCCCCGTCCACTCTTTTCCTCTTTCTTCCTAGCCCTTTCCGTAACAAAAATACCTGTCAGAATAAGACACAACTGGGGCCGTTGATGTGGATTGGGGGCTAGTATGTACCTACCTACTTAGGTCCTAGGTAGGTAGGTATGGATGTCTCTCCTTTGGGGGAGGGGGGGAGGACCTTGGCTTCTCGTCCTATCAAAAACTTGGAAATGAAGGGTAGCGTATGACGCTGACAGGCATGAAGAAAAAAAACTACCCGGCGTGGGTAGGCTGGTCAATAGGCTGGTAATAGGTAAAACAGAAAATAAGGTGGCAACGGGCAACGCAAGTTCAATGTTTGCAAGTTTATAGTTGAGTTGTGTTGTGTTGTGTTTTGATGCTGATGCTCGGCTGGCTTTAGGGAGGGACCTGCTGACTGCAGGTACGTAAGATCTTTATTGGTTGAGGACTTGGTATGTAATATTTGTATTGTATATAACTACCTATAAGTTACATATTCAACTATTGCTATGTGGCTTAAGCTGCTGGTGTTGTCAAAGCTGTGACGCCGAAGCAACCTCTTACATATGGCTGAGAGTAGCTCATGTGATATCTAGCCCTACATATAGGTAGGTAGGGATCTAATTATAGCTGCCGAGAAAACTTGACTGTTATGTATTATTTGCTATCATCACTGATATGCATCACCATCATCATATGCATTGAAAGCAAGAGAATGAAAGTTCAAATGCAGCTTAAACCATGTTTCAGACAAAGAATGCCAACCCTGTTTAGAAGGATACGAGAAAGTCTAGAAGTACCAGGTGCCATCTAGACCCCCCAAATCCCCAAATCCCCCCTGATTACTACCATTAGTTTCCAAGGTCAGATCTTTGTTCCCGTGCCAGGCCAGGCTTCACGGGATGCTACTACATACATACATACATGTATGTACATAATATAGGTATGTAGGCCTAGAAGTAGGTACTAAGCAAGGCAGAACATTGAATAACATAACATCCATTCATGTCACGGGTATGTATGTATGTATGTAGAACATTAATGCAGAAGTTGCAGAAGTAAGAGGAGGAGGAGGCTTAGCACAGTTTCTAGCACGGCTCTTCGCAAAGTTCCGGCCTTCCCAACCGTTCAACCATGAATGGTCTATATAGAATGCGGTATGGGGGGTTTTAGAGTACGGTGGACTTTACCGGCGAAGCTCCTAAATGGCCACATACTTTTGGGCTTGGACTTGGCTAAACGTAGTTTATTGAGTCTATCCTCATGGCATCTCTACAGATACGAGATAAGAGAGTTTACGCCGTGTCAAATGAGGGAACGCCATGTGTTAAAGGGGGAACAAACCCAGAGTAATGGCCGGGCCTTTGGACGTTTAGTAAAACAGTCCGCTATGATACATACAACATTTTACCTACGTGTGTGTGTGTGTGTGTGTTTGTGTGTTTGTGTGTCCGAGGCAGGCATATCTTCGAGATGGTTTGGTTTATACTATGTCAACACTTTCTTCCTCTTCCTCTTCATTTTCCTTTCCCTTTTTTTCATATTGTGATAGTCCAGTTAAACCCCCAATGACTTTATAACGATGCCAAGCACACACAAAGTACAATACAGTGGGTGGTGGGTTCTAACGGCAGGACGGCTTTAGTTGATATATGGGCCTGCATACTACTAAGGTTAGTAGTATTGTGAACATTGAAAAGGGAAGGACAACTACAACGTATAGGTTATAAGCTGCCTCTTTAAGGCTAACAACTTGACGGGAGAAGAATGAAGAAATTGAAGAAACTTAAGTCTGTATTCATGGACACTTGAATTTATAAAACCTGTGAAATCTAAAATGTACCAAATTTTATTAAATTGACTGAATTAATATCAATGGCTGGGGCTCTTGAGTGAATACATGTATTGAAGGAAGAAGTGAGATGCTACGCTACAGTGACTTTATTTAGGAGGATCCAAGGTACCTAACATACCTAGGTTAGGGTAGTACTAAGTAGGTAGTACGCACTGTAGGCCCTAACCTAGGGGCTTATGCACGTCTTGAATGATCCAATAGCCAGCACTGTATTGTAGAGTAAGAGCGATCAAGCAAATACCTCCCACCCTCGACCTCTCAATTCAATTCTACAACAGTCATTTCCTTACATGGATGCAGGATAGAAGTACCTACCTAGGGTAGTACTGGGTAGTACTGGGTATTAAGTGGTATTAATAGGTACCACATGCAGATAATTACAATAATTACAACAATTATAATAATTACAGTACATACTTCCACCTGCCTATTGACCTAATTGACCTACCCGCATGTCCACGGGTACATCTTTTTTAAGAGACTCTTTTTTTTTAATATCTTAGCACTTGAGCCCACCTATCGTACTATTGAGGCCACCCGCATTCACTCGCTTCTAGTTCCTCCATCTTCAAAACCTTTAACCCTTTACCACTTTACCACTTACCACATTTTACCACCTTATGCTTCTCATGAATGCACGAATGCGTTAATAATTGTCTGTTGCAGTAAAGCCGTCAATTTCCCCAACTATCCAACATTACTGGCCTTACCCTGAAACATTCACTTTTCACAGTTTCTTTTTTCTTTTTCTCTCTTCAGCTAGTTATCAGCGACAATCAATCAACAATCCAAGTCCAGTCCAATCCAATCTACTGTACTGTAGTTACTGTCCTATACTGTATTGTACTGTCCTGTATCTACCCACCAGCAGCAACTCCAGAGTCCCTCCACCACCATACACCATCTCACACCCACTACGCCCGCCGCCACGTCCACACGCAACCTTTACAACCGACATCGTGTCGCTACTTTACTTAGTACACCACCCCCCTCCAAACACGACAAACACGGCGAACACTCCGAGTTTCCACTATCTCACCGCCGCTTCACAAGCTACAACTTACAAGATACAAGTCCATCTCTTGCTAGAGATAATACAGACTGGAAATACTGGAAATATTGGAAATAATACATTGCGCGCATCCGTTGTTCACAACGCATCATACTAAACCAGCCCTGCTGACGGTCGCGGTCACCGTCGCCCGCGCGTCATAGACACCATGACGTCCGCCATCACCCCTTCCAAACCACAGCAGCAAACTCAACAAATGAGTCCACCCCATCATTCTCATCATCATAGTCATAATAATCCCGCCTCACCCCCTAGCAAGCGAGACTTGAAGTCGTGGTGGAAGAGCTTCCAAACTCGAGCAAAGCATCAGGACTCTCAAGGTAAGGCCGATCGCACTTCCATTCCAAAGGCCTGCCAACTCGTCTGCATTCTCCTCCGGGCTATTACAAGATTCAGAAGCGCACGCGATGCAAGGGTATTCACTAACATGGCCACCCAAACAGAACCACAGCACAAGGGTATCTTCGGTGTCCCGCTACGACAGAGCATTACCTACGCGAATGTCGCCATTTCCCTGATTGACGAGAAGGGCGAAAGCTACATATACGGATACGTGCCAATTGTAGTAGCCAAATGTGGTGTGTTTCTGAAAGAGAAAGGTTGGTGATAATTATATTATTCTTATATAAGGCCCGATCTCAGGCCTCAAGACATTACGCTAACAGAAGCAACACCACAGCCACCAATATAGAGGGAATCTTCCGTCTTAGCGGCTCCGAGAAGCGCATCAAAGAGCTCAAGATACAATTCGACTCACCCGATCGATATGGCAAGGGGCTTGTGTGGGATGGATACACGGTTCATGATGCTGCTAATGTTCTTCGCCGGTACCTAAATGACCTACCCGAACCCGTCGTGCCGCTAGACCTTTACGAGCGCTTCCGAGACCCCTTGCGCGGGCATACGAAACAAGCTGTGGGCGATACCGAGGGCACACAGCTCGTCGATAATTTTAACGAAGTTGAAGCTATAGCAAAGTATCAACAACTTATTAAAGAGCTGCCTCCCCTCAATCGACAACTGCTTTTGTATATCCTAGACTTGCTCGCAGTCTTCGCTGCCAAGGCCGACGAGAATCGAATGACGGCTCAGAACCTGGCTGCCATTTTTCAGCCCGGAATGCTCTCGCACCCACAGCATGCCATGGCACCGGAGGAGTACAGATTGAATCAGTGTGTGATCATTTTCCTGATTGAGAATCAGGACCATTTCTTGATTGGTATGCAAGGCACCGGGACAGATGAGAAAACTAAGCAAGAGATCGAAAAAGGTCCGCCGACCTTGGTGACGCCTGCGACGCCAAGTCGTAGCACTGGCGTTGTCCGATCTGCGTCAAATGCAAGCGCCGGCGCCGAGAGCGTCAGCAGAGACGGCAAAATTAGGAGGAATCGTTCAACTTCCTCACGTCATTCGCTCCAGTCTAATGGCGCATCTACACCTGGTAGCCCTGCACTGACGCCTAACAGTGGCCTTGCTAGAAGCAACACCGTTCCGTCCAAGAAATCCCCTCATCTTCCCTCGGGAAGATTCCCCACCCGACAAAGCTCGCCAACCGTCGCGGTGGCTCCCGCTTCGCCCTCGCCTGCTGGATCTGCCTTAATTGCTCCGCCAACCGTGGCTGAAGAAGTACCATCAGCTACCACACCGTCCCCAGCAGCATCGCAACATCTCACCCCGATGGCAGCGGGGTCGCCACCGGGCGTTAGAAGCCAGGAAAGATTATTAAGTCCTGCTGCAGATGTAATCACTCCCCTCAAGGAGAGAAACCTCCAGAGCCTTTTTCTCCGATCGCCGGAAGGCGAAAAACGACAGCCCAATAAGTTACGCAAGAAGCGGCTGCCGAGTAGTACTAACCCGAGTGCCCAAAGCTCGACGGCCTCGTTACCTCATTCAGAGACGATGTCCCCGGTACATGAGCCTACGACGAACAACCTACTAGAACACAAAATACCTCACTTGGAACCCTCCATTTCGGAGAATGGCGCGTCTGTCGCAACTTCAACTCCATCAGAACCAACTCCTCGAGCATCCCAAGTACCATCTGGGACTACCGTTCAAGCTGAGCCGGAGGCTAATCATCATACGCTGAACATACTCAAGCCTAAAACCTCACCGCAAACCTCCTTACACTCATCATTCAACGACGGATCTGATGTCGATCAAACAGAAGAGGCCGCGCGTGCCCCTTCCGCGGAGAGTGGTGAAAAGAACCGCCGCTGGCGCATATCCCGACGAAAAGAAGACATGGCAGGTTACCCCCCTCAGAATATGAGTGGAAACAGCAACGCCGAAATGAGTACATCTTCTGTAGGAAGTGGGCAAAGGGCACGAAAGAGCTGGACCGGTGATTCTTCGGATGTGGCTGCGACACTCGCAGAGAGTGAAGCGGGAAGTAGAGAGAAGGAAGAAGTCAAGGGACCCTTAGGATGGATCAAGACTAAATACCGTGAAGCTAAGGAGAACGTGGAGATCAAGCGCACAAAGTCTCCTCCGAGGGACCAAACTCAGGGCTTTCTTACTGCCGGAGGAAAGAGTGTCGATACCATGGGTAGCATAGACGAAAAGGGAGCGCCACCGCCAGCTGCAGTCCCTGCCCGGGTCACCACACCGGGTCCCGAGCGGAACTCCGCACCCGCTCCCCACGATGTCCCGTTACCGAACTCACCGCCACCTTCTCAAGCGACGCACAACGAAAGGCCCTCGAATACTTAGGAGGAACAAGCTCCCCGCCGTGGTAGCGAACGTTTTGGTTGGGGTATGACGATTAGGCTAGTCAATCAACCAAATGCGATTATTCGCAAAACTCGATGGAAGTAGTTATGATGGGCAGGCTTTTGAACAAAACGCTAGAATAATCAGTGCCGTCTAACTTTTGATATCTTGGGCGTTTTTCTGCTTGTCTAGAAGAGAGAGAAAAAAGAAAAGGGGCAGACGAAAACGAAAGGAACGGGCGAGCAGATGGGTTTATTTGCTTGCTTGCTTGCTTGCTTGACGGATGGCTGGATAGGATGGATAGGCAGGCGGATGGGGTGATTGTTTTTATTTGCCCCCATATCAGAAGTTTTGATGACGAAGTTTATGAATGTGCGTTCAAGATAATTGTCTTAATTCGGGGGAAGTTGAGAGCCGACGATGAGGTCCACCCACATCCGCTTTTGTATTCGCGGGAAGTGGGATGGGAGATAGTGCAAAGGGAAAGCAGAGAGAGAAGAAGAAAAAGAAGAAGAAGAGAAGAAAGGAGGGATAGGATTTGAACTGCTTCATCATCATCATGGATACCCCCCACCCCCCCTTTTTTTTTCACCCCCTTATCATTCTTCGTTTTTTACTTCTTCCTATCACCCAAAACCCCCCTTAGGGGGCTAGCAGGTAGTTTTGTGTACGTCCTCCAAAGACTTTTTTTTTCTAAAAAGAGAAAAAAAAAATGGGAGTCTCGCCGGCTGTTTTTGTTTCTGTTATGAATCGTTGTTGTAATGTGGAATATATTTTTCCTCCGAGGACCGAAACTATGTTGCCTGCCTGCCCTATCTTGCCCTAGCCTAATCTTGCCCGGCCTGACATGGCCTTACCTGAGCTGACTTGGCGTAATGCATTCTTGTTCTTGTTGTAAGGCTGTTATGGTCGTATCCCACATTCGATCAACGTCTTTGGAGTTCCCATATCCATCCCCTTGCTAGTGGGTAAGTAATGGTTTTGTGCTTTGGGGTGGGGGAGGGGGGGTTTGATACGGAGTTAATTGTGTAGTTGTTTTTTTTTTTTTTTTAATCTGGAAAGGGATAGGGGGTATGTTAGGAGTTGGGAGTGCATGTGAGGAGTCGGGAGTTAGGGGTTTAGGGGTTTAGGGGTCAGGAGTTGGAAGAAGGGGGGTGTGGGTTAATTAATTATAGCATCTTAATTACTTGACTACTAACTAGGTACTAACCTAGTAGGTAGGTAGGTAGGTAGGTAGGTATGCCTGCCTACGCAGATAATCGATACATTTTTTTTATTTTTTATTTTTTTGATAATTTGATAATTTTTTCCAAGGTTGGTAGCTATAGAAGAGAGGCGAGGAGAGTGAGAAGAAAGGAGTGAGGAGAATAGGAGGGGAGGGTAAGGGGATAAGATAGGAGGGTATGGGAAGGTCGGGAATGATTCTTCCTATACTTTACTCCTACATAACATATCATATTTTACGATGATTAGTAGATGGTTTGGTGTTGTTGTTGTTGTTGTTGCTGTTGCTGTCGCTGCTTTGTCGGAGCTTCAATGCTCTCTCTCTATATAGGTAGGCACCTACCTACCTCCTGCGGTGACGACCAGACGGACGGGCGGATATATATATATATATCTCCCACTCCCGCTTTACTCGCCTTTCCCGGCGGGTGTAGTTATACGAAAATCCGGGTTGAGTGCTTGTGTGTTCTGGGTGTGAGCACGTCTACGGGTCTGGTCTACTGAGCAAGGGAGTCTGAGAGTTATGTTGGGTGTTTAATTCATCGTATCGTTTGTGTGTGTGTGTGTGTGTGTTTGGAGAAGGGGTGGGGATACTTATCATGGGTTGAAGATGGTATGTATGTCTTCTTATATCATATCTTTTGCTAATATCTTTATCGGTTATTGGGTAAATTTGCCGCCTGCCTCGCTGTTTATCCTGTCACTTGCTCGGTATATTATCTTGGATGATTCCATTAATCATATAGGTAGTAGCGGCCTCTTCTGTTGCTTAACTAAGTGAATAGGGGTTGTAGGAGCTAATGGTCAGGTGGTTTTAGGGGCTGGTCGTATAGTTGGGAGATTAGGTAATGTAATGGTCGATAGGGGGGGTATTGATAGGGGTGTAGTATGGGAAAATATTCTGAACGCTAGGAATCACATTGGCTTAATTTATATATTCATTCACGTCTAGTTTAGCTTTTCAATTGATTTGGTGATTGTGTAGGTAAGTGCCTAAGTATCGGCTTTTACAACTGCGATGGATGTGTTAAGCTGAGGGTGTCCACGTGACACGCTTTGAAGCTGCCGCTTTTCTAGGTATGTAACCACCTAGGTACGATTTACATCGTAAAGTACGGACTGCTAGGTATGTGTGGCATCTCGGGGTCTCATGGATATTGAGATCCACCATAAATCCCTATCAATCGACGGATTACGGTTTCACGCAGTGGTATGTATATATATGGGAGATGGTGGCATAAGTATTATAGGTTAGGACACTCTTCTACCCACTAGTTCTCGTCTACCCTAAGGAGATCGAAGACATCAATTTTGCCATGTGATTACCTAGGCTGAGATATAGAAACAACGAGATTGAGACGTGAAGAACTATGGAGCTATATACCAAGTATGAAGGAGAGGGTTTAGTCAGTGCGATTAGAGCAATACTTGGTATATAATACCTAAGATGTGAGTTGTATGATATCTGTATGAAAGTCCAGCGTCATATCCCCCGTCTGTCACCAGAGATTCAGTTGCAAAAGAGGAGAGGACTTAAAACCAGCAAGTTAACAAGTCAGTTCAAGCACAATACCCCCCTTTGGTAAGCCGTGGACGCCGAAACGTGATTCTAATTCTGGAAGTATTCATGTCAATGAACACCGCCTACATGAGTATTCACACTAGGCCGAAATAGTTTCAATAGATGATATAACATAGGATTTAGTTCCCATCTATGTATAGAATGGTAAACAGAGTAATTGCTACCTATCCTATAATATACGTTATCGACTTTGTTTATAATTAGATTATATCCCAAGCTATCACGTACCTAAGCATTATATCACCGAAAACAGATGTCTAAATAATTCGATAGTCTGGTGGCACATGTAGACCCCCGGTTTTGATACAACCTTCACAGGGGACAATCTGTAGATAGAACTGCACAGGAATGGCACAGAACAACTTCGAGATCAGAGTTCAATCCACATTGCTCTGGCTGAACCGATGTCTAAAGACGCTATAAATACAGACGTAAGAGAGAAAGATGTCCCTACTGGAAATTCCTTTCGATTCTTACCAAATACCCGTACACTCAAGATTATTCACAACATAGTAGTGATAGGTCGAACTCTTAAGACATAGCCCACACTCGTGTAATCAAACATGACTAAACCTACATTCGTCATTGTCCCTGGGGCACTTGCACTTCCCTCAAAATACACCAACCTCTTTGAAGCCCTGGGAGCAAAGGGCTATGAGCTCACAGGAGTACACTACCCCAGCGTCGGCTTCAGAGACTCACCTCATAAGGAGGTTCTGCCGACACTTCACGACGACGCCGTCACTGTTGCTGAAGCGGTTATCAGACTGGCAGATGAGGGCAAAGATGGTAAGGAAACATCCTAAGACCTAAACCAGAAACCACAGATATGAAGAAATGAGAAAACTTACTAACTTCCAAATTCTCGCAGTAATACTAATAGGACACTCCTACGGAGGCCTCCCCATAACCGAGGCTCTCAAGATCAAAGGTGTGATAAAGGCAGATCGACAAAAAGAGGGCAAGAAGGGCGGCCTGGTAAGACTCGCGTACATGACAGGCATCGTTGCGCCAGTAGGGTCGTCAGCCACAGATATCCTGGGGGACATGCCTGAAGAAAACCGCGTTGATTTCGTGACTCGTGTTAGTCTTTCCTTCCTTCTTTCTTCTTTCCCTCCCCCTATACCAACCTACTACCTATCACCCCCTTGCCGGCCCACTAGCTAACCCCATCATCCCCCAACAGCCCGACGGCTGGGTCGACTGGGGCGACAAACCCTCCATCGCCGCCCTCGTGCTCTCGGACCACGCCAACCAATCCGAAAACCTCGCCTACATCAACGCCACCGAAATCCAGTCCGCCGTCAGCTTCACCAGCCCCCTGACCTACGCCGGGTACAAGGACGTGCCCGTGTCATACCTGCTGTGCGAAGGGGACCGGATCATCATCCCCAGGGCGCAAAGGGAGGGCATTGAGTTGATTGAGAAGGAGAGCGGGAGGAAGGTCGACGTATACACGACGCAGGCGGGCCACTGCCCGAATTTCACGGCGATGGGGGAGGTGGTGGAGTGGGTTCTGCATATGGCGAGGCTGCATGAGGAGGAATAGGTAGGTGTAGACTTGGTAAAGAAGCAATGGGCTGCATTGAAAAGTGGAAAGGCATTGTTTAGTTTTATGTATTTTAAGTATGAAGATTCGTTCTCTATAAAAAAGTAAAGCATAGCTGCAGACTTCTCTTCCCCCCTTTTCAAATAACGGCCAACGCAACATCTAGAATAAAATGACACCCTCCGACATACAATTGTTGTTATACAAGCCATCCGTCCATCACCCCCCTCCCTATTCCTACACACAGAGACGAAAATCAATAGGTACATCAAAACTCTTTGCGGCATCGTCGCCGTCGCCGCTGTTCTTCTTATCCTGAGGGCTCAGCACATCCTTCAAGGCACACCCCGCCTTGGCAAAGAGACGCATGTCTTCGACCGTAAAAGCATGCGCGGGCCGTCTTCTGCGTGAGTTGGAGTTCGTTGCACAAGCGCATCCCAACACCGAGACTGGTGTAGGTAGGTCCCCGGACAGGGAGGATGGCGCGGAATCAACCGCTGAGAGAGTGCGCTAAACCGTGGCAACGATGGCAACCCGAGCAGCGGTGATGATGCTAACTTGAAGGCCGTGTGCGATGGCCTTCGAAAAGAGCTGATGGATATCGAGAAGCAACTGCAAGATGATGAGAAAATCCAACAGGCCCTTGAAATGGCCAAACGATGTGAGTACGGATACTCGTATGTCAGGCATGGCAATGGCTATCGGTGTGCTGGGGGTTTGCACTACATCGCTGATGTAGAGGTGCAAGCGCATCTTCACTAAGGAGGTCAAACGTGTCAGAAGGCTGAAAAGGATGTTGTAAAAGGTATGGAGAGCTGCTAAAGAGCCCACAACCAAAAAGCCTTAAATACATGTTCAGAGTGATATCGTGATAGTAGCGAAGGTGGTACAGAGGCCTTCCAGTCTTTCAGGGGAACTGGGAACATTCACAATACGGACAATGCATTGAAAGGGGTTAATGGCTTAGCTGGTGTTTCCCAGTAGTACACAGTAGGTAGGTATTTAGAACTTGAAGGAACGAGTCCTTCACACCCCAAGCGAACCTTGAAGTCTCTGGGTACCTGTGTGACTTGGTCTGGGAAGTACCTAATGGTACCTAGTACCTAGTATACTAGTTAGTAGTTAGGCAAGAGAGACGAAGCTACAAACATGGCAGCCACGACACTCAACTGAACGAAGCTGCCGTGCATATTCCAGGTTATTTTACGATAAATGCCCTGTATGCCAGTGTGTGGTAACCACTAAAGACCATCAGTACCTCCCTAGTACTTACTCTAGTAGGGTCTCTAGTAGGGTAGCAATAGACCACAAACCTTTGAAATCAGTGAAAAGTTTTATTGTGATTGCTTCATCCCCAAAACTCCAAACATCAATGAACCATACTCTCACAAGGCTTGCCCAAGCTTATAGTAGTTGTTGATTGAACAGGAAAAAAGAAAATAAGACTAGCTACTAACTTACTGGGTTGGTGGTAGAAGCAGAGCAAACACCACCTTGACACAAGCACAGACAAGTTCAAGAGCTTTTTATGATAAGATTTTCCATTCCATTCTCATCACACTTAAGTCATCATACAAGTTCACACCTCTACTGATATATATCGATAATTTCTAACAGCCCGTTGAATTATCAACTACCCACCTGCCTCGGCATCCTGAAAGCATCAAATGCTTTTCTGCAGTTCTTTGCTGCTGTTGCTAATACTGCCTCAATCTTAAAACGACGACTCTGCGTTAGATAATAAGATGTTGATATGTCACACTGCTCCACTCCATTTCGGGCCTAGGATCATCGAAGAGGAGGAGGAGGACCCTTATTATGACGTACGAGGGCCGGCACCGCGGTATACGATCTATGAGCCACCGCCAACGTATTCATTAGAAGCGGCAAGCACAGACGCAGAGAAGCGACAGTTCGTGGCAAGAGTCTGGAACGGACTGTCAGCATTATTTCGATCCTTTCGTCGACCTCCGACTTATATGATAGTTAACAAGACCCATGGCACCGCTCTTACTGAGATCTCTCGAGTTCTTCGATGCTCAAACCCCTTGGTTTCGTTCACACCTTATAGTATCGGAATCTCTACTTGCGTAGGAAGGCCGATAGTGGAGGTTGATTTTATGAACACTACGAGATCTAAATCGCGTCTTGACGGGCCCCTGAAAATCTACGGCTCCCTTTATGCCTCCAAGAGTCTACGTCTCAGGGGCGATTGTGAAGTCGTACAGTCAATAACTGTCCGTGGTCATATGCGTTCCAATGGCAACATGATCTGCCAGTAGGTTTGGTCGCTTTGATTTAGAGATAGGTACCTTACACTGAGCTTGCTAACTCGAGTGGTAAACAGTGGATCTATCTCTACCAAAGATGAAGGCAACTTTTATGCCAACGGTTTGACCATTTGCGGGTAAGTAAATGCCTGTTTCAACCTCGCTATCATATATTGACTATCGTGCAGACAATCTCTACATATCAGTGGTGATTTTAAAATCTATGGCTGTTGTGTCGTTTCCGGCGACGTTGTCGTCATGGGATCTGTGACAGTCAACGGAGTTTTGTGAGTAGTTTCCACCTACCTATCTGCCTGCCTGCCTGCCTGCCTGCCTGCCTGCCTGCCTGCCTGCCTGCCTACTGGATATATCCGAGGTTGAACTTGAAGATGAGGCTGACGATTGCCAAACAATAGTGAGTGTCAATCACTTAGAGTATATGGCTCGGTTAAAGCAATCGGGGCTCATTCTCGGTATAGGGTGGAAGGATATCAAGTGATTTCAGGAAAGATAAAGATGGGCGTGTAAACGATGAGTGGGCTAAGCTTAGATGCAAGATGGGATGGAAAGAAAAGGGGTTGCAACTCGGGTGTTTGCTTGTGCTTCATATCGATCCTACTTTCGGGTTCATAAGTATAAATGGTTTGGGATGGCGTTTAGTGAAAACGATAAGAATTTATCTTATAGACACCCAGACATCTAATGCCTACTATATAGTTACTCTTTAGACTTCAACGAAGGTGTTGCCATCAATGTTTACCTACATATGTATGTAGTACCTACTAGGTAGGTAAGGAATTATTTGAACCTTGGAAGATGTCGATGTGTACCTAGGTACCTAGTTGTGGTATTACATAACTAACTTGAAGTCAATTTGTTTGCCTTAAGGTGGGCATTGAGCGTTGATGTGTATCTATGTAACTAGTTAGTAAATAGCCGACTTTCAACCGACCTGGCTTGCAAGTTGCATCTGCTCAAGGCTACACTACACTACACTAGTGCATAGTAATACCCGGGTCCACATAAAGCTCGTGCCACAAGCTGGACGCGAACCTTCTTAAGTTCAAGTTCTGACCATTTACATAATTCCAGCTACATATTCCCAATCTGCAAATCATCGTCGGGCATTCGCGTTAGTTGCTCATCACTTTATAGTCAAAAGTCATCTTCATCATCCACCCCTTTTTTGTTATCTGCGCTCGGCGCATACACTACTGATGTAGTCAAAAGAGCCCCTAGTGGTATTTATTGCATACAAAGCCTTTTTTTTGTCTATGGCCTTATAGCACCGTGACTATGGCAACTACGGTAGATACAAATGGCGATAAAGGTGGGGAGCTTGATGATAATATGTCGCTGAGCAACAAGGACACCAACACTTTGACACACCATCACCCATCTTCCTCCATGGTTGCGAACAACAATGGCCTTGATTCGCTTCATATGCGCGCCGATCCGGACGCCCAAGCTACTGTCACCGACTTCCTCGATTTCACCGAATACCTCCCCTCTGATATGATGCGATCCCTTACCCTTATTGGGAAGCTTGACCAAGCCTATGTCGATGCTTCAACTAATGTGAATGATCTTACCTCTACATGGGGCAAGCTGCCATCTCTGCCACCAGACCAACGACCCATTCCTGCCCAACTACGCAAAGAGATATCTGAGAACATGACCCGCGCCGTCAGTTCACGATCCTTTTCTCATGCCGAAGCCGTTCGCGTCCACGAAAATGTGCTTAGGCACTTCCATAGGGCCCAGACCATCCACGCGAAGCTTCAAGCTATGCGCAATAATTTCCCTACTGTCGAAGAACAAAAGAGCCCCTCCCAGGTTAAGTCACCGCAGATGGTTCGCGCTCCCAAGATCACCCTTCGCCTTGACAACAATGGTCAGAAGATCCAGAGACCCCCCCGAATCACCGTCCCCGGTGAAGTTCTTGCACCCTATGATATGGATTTTAACACCTACACCTCATTAGGTGATGAGAGCTCCGACGACGAGATGGCCGAGGAAGAAGAAGGAGAGGGCGAGGTTGAAGGTGAAGAAGAGGAAGAAGAGGAAGCACCTACGTCTCCTCCGAGACGAGTTACAACCCCATCTGCCCGCATCAAGGTGGTCAAACATCTTAAACTCCCTAAGCAGAAGATTCCTAAACAACCGCGACCTCCTCGAGCACCTACCAACAGGCTAGATAACGCTGGACCAATAGTTTCCACAAGCACTGCGCTAGCTCAATTGAAACCACCACCCGAGGACGCGATCCCCGGCAGCGACGACGCTCCTTGGCTTCAACTGACGCCATACGAGCTCGCAAAACTGCGAAAGCGCATGAAGAAGAACGCCGTATGGAATCCAAGTGATACTATGATAGCTAGGGAGCTCAAGAATCTGGGTCGCGGTGTTGAGGCATATAGGGCTGCACAGAAGCAAGCTGAAGAGGAAGGGAAGCCTTTCGAGCCAGCCCTGCCCGCCCCGGTAGTCGATGCCGAGTCTGGAGCCCAGCATCCCCCTGAAGGTGCGATCAGCGCCGAAGCCCTGACGGCAGACGAGGTACAGTTAAGCAATCGTGGCATGAAGTTGAATGAGGCCAAGAAACTGAAACGTGAATCCATGGCAAGAATAGCTGCCGAGGAAGCAGAAGAATCAGCTAGGAAAATGATGGAAGCTGCTCGCATGTTTCTAAGCCACGAAGCTTCTCCTTCTGTCAACGGAAGTGCACAAGATAGGCCACCCGAGGCAAGCCAGAATCAGGGCAAGATCACTAGCAACACCGCCGGAAACGGCAGCAAACCTAAGACGAGAAAGCGCAAGCGCAACTCAATGTCAGAGACTCCTGTTGCAGAGAGGCCCGAGGGATCTCAGAGCCAGGCGGGGAATCAGCAGCCTAGTCAATCCGAGAGGCCTCAGCTAAAACGGACCAAGACTGAAACTCCGGTCCCATTGCCTCAACTCACTCCTCGACCGCCATCGGTCCCACCTCCGCCCCCAGCACCCACTGCCCCTACGGAGACCCCAGTTCCTGTCCCACAGCTGGGTAAAATTTCCCAGATTGCTGCGTCCACCAAGACGCCAGTACCCATTCCTGTTCCGGTTTCTTCTGATACTTCCATGGTGACTACAAGGTCCGCCGCATCCTCCTCCGCAACCAGCCCGGCTCCGCCATCCAGTGCTACCACAACGGTGCCTGTAAAGCCAGCGGCGGAGACACCTATTCTTCTCCCTATTAAAACCTCAACTACTCCTATTCCCCCACCAGTTCGAGAAGTCCCCAAACGGGAGACAAGACAGAACTTGCAGCCGGCTGCGGCCCCAGCTAACTCTAAGCAGTCAAGCTCTAGGAGCAATACCCCCACAGCTACCTCTACGTCCGAATACCCATTAGCGCCAGCTCGTCGTCCCAATTCACGTGGGAAAGCTGCAAGCCAAGAGCCTCCGACTATTGCGGCTGAACGACCTCGACGTACGAGCACTGCTCGGAACACTCCTGCTCCTGAATTGCGACAGCCTAGCAAACGGACTAAGCGACCAGTACCAGGCGTCGTCACTACAAATTCGGGCGGTACCAGTGCTATAGGAAAGCGCAAAGCAGCACCTCGTAAGAAATCGCGTGGCGGTAATCCCAAAAGGGACAGAGGCGCAAGCCAACAGGCCGAGCAGGATGTTGAGGTTGAGGTGGATGATGATGGCAATGCCATTGATCCCGAGGAGCCAAGATACTGTCTGTGCAACAGAGTTAGCTTCGGCACTATGATACAGTGCGATAATGTAGATGTGAGCGCATCAGTGACTACCGCAGCCCCAGCAAGCAAAAAAAGGAAGAGAATGCACAAGAAGAAACTAACCAACCCCCACAAACAGAACTGCAAGCAAGAATGGTTCCATCTGGAGTGTGTGGGACTGTCCGATATACCACCACGCACGACGAAATGGTATTGCCCCGAATGTCGCGTCTTGCTGAATATTGGAGGACGAGGAGAAGTTAACTCACGCGGTATCAAACTATGATGATAAAATCATATCCGCCCAATTCTCTGGATCCGCAACAACGCGGCGATATGACCGAGTTAATTCTCTCAGAATGCATTTACATCCCCCCTTACCTTTGTTTAGGCTCTATACCCCCCCTCCACCCATGTTCGATACTATATAACCCTACAGTTTCTCCTCCCATCGAATTTTTTACTACTACTACTACTACTAATGACATTTCTCGGGGGCCTCATGCCGTTTACGACCTTGGTGGACTAAAGCATGAAAGGATGCTGTTATTCTAGGACATGGAGAGGCTAAACGTTGTTGCCTTAATACTTCCAACCTGCCAGTTTCAACTTACTACCGGCAAGTTGCGATCTGGCTAGGATTGCGAAGGCTATACTCCCCTCTACTCTTGTGGGAGTTCGATTTGGTGGACTTCCCTGTCCCAACCTATTGATTCTATGGCATGTACAAGCCAATGTTGATGCTGGGAATACCAGATCTTTTGAGATTGATGAGGCGGAGGAAGTGATGGCCTCATTACGGTGATGTATACGTGCTTTCTGTGAAGTTGTTTCGGAACTTTGAACAGGAGACCAAATACAGAATGAAAACAAGATAACCCTACGGGTGCTTGACCCTACATTCTACATAGATAGATGCCTGGAGCAACTTTAGGAGGAGGAGTTGCTGTTTTCTAGGTAGACATTTGCACCAGACATTTGTACCACGATACCCCTATTGACCAACATTGTTGTTAAATGATGTTCTGGCAACTCAGATAATACACACTTTTTTTTTTCCCAAGGTTGGAACTTGATAATTGCCAACGCTGTGTTTTGTGTCAATTGTTGTTCCCAACGCTTGGTGATGATGCCACCTGGCCTGGGCCACGATGTAAATACCGCTGGTGGTATGTGAAATGTTTTTGATGGCAGGAATACGACAAATTTGACAACCCTTGTCTTTCTTTGTTGTATCTTTAATGGTCTTTGGGTTTGGGGGTGACTTGCCTTAATGAAGCTCGTTCCTCGGCCGGTAGATACTTCTTTAGAGTAGTACGTAATCAAGACCTACCTACCCAAAGTTAATGGCGTACAATATGCGAACATGGTACTACCTGCAACCTTTGAAGTTTGTATCATATTTTCTCTTCCACATGCAACTTCAACTACACGTCTTTTTCTTCACGGAACACCGGCGTCGACACTATTACCTTACACTTACCCCCCCCATCAACCCCCTCTTTCTTTCTTTCTACTTCTCTCCCAAAAACAAACAATTCCCCCCAAACCACACTCTCACAATGTCCACCCCAAACGTAAACAACGAATACATGCCCGTCTTCCCATCCAGCAATGCAGCAGCAGTCCTCGACGAGCGCGTAAGAAAGTTCATAGCAGACTTCTACGCGACGTCGGACGACAAGGCGCGCAACGAGGAGTGGGTGGCTTGCTTCGCGCCCGATGCCGTGGTGGTGATGGGGGAGAGAAGGGCGAGGGGGCGGGAGGGTGTGTGTTCTTTCTTACCTAGCTACCTACCTACATATCTACTTTATCTTGTAATGTGTAGTTTTTGTTTTTGAGTTTTTGAGTTTTTTTTTTGGGGTTGGAGTTTTTTTTTTTTTACTGACGAAAGGAAACAAATACAGAGATCCGCCGCCTGCGCGAGGGCATGTGGGAGCACATCACGAGGCGGAAGCACAGGCCGGCGAAGGTGTTTCCGGCTTCGTTTGGGGAAGGGGCCGGGGGTGGGGATGGCGTCGTCGCTGAGTACATGCTCTACGGGTCGTTGGATGCGGTCACAAAAAAGAAGGAGGGGGAGGGGGAGACGATGACGATGGAGTGGGCGGGACGCGCGGTGCTGAGGGAGGTGAAGGAGGAGGGGAGGTTGTGCTTTGGGTTTTATCAGGTTTATTTGCATAGGTGAGTTTTTTGTTGTTTTGGTTTCTGTTTTTATACTTCTATTCCTATTTCTATCCCTGCTTCTTCTGTTTCTTCTTCTACTTCTATTTCTATTTCTGCTTCTATCTCTGCTTCTATTTCCACTACCACTACCACCTCTGCTTCCACTTCTAGTTCTGCTTTCTACAGTACCTTTGTTCCTGGACCGTGCTATAACTATGCTGTACATACTGTACGGTATGTGACGGGCAGTAACGGGGATAGATAGATGGATGGGGGTGGGTAAGTTGAGTGAGTTAGTGGATTTGCTTCTCCTTTTCTGATCTTCTTTTAGATTCTCTATCTTACCTAATCTAGTTAATTTCCTTCTACGGCATCTTTCTTTCTTTCTTTCCTTCCCTCTTTCTTCTTCTCCAGCCTTTCAACCTCCCCTCCTCTCCCCTTCCCCCGTAAAGCAGGTGCCTACTTACTACGTACATGTACCCATACAGTATAGTATGGATACATCTTACGTAGTAACAGATTGATGATCTTGGACTTGTTTAGCTAATGGGCTTTTTCGAATTAGGAAAACCACTTGATTTGATCCAGCCTCTCTTTTCAGATGCTCGTAAGGCACTGCGATGATGCAATGAATTTGCTCTTTGTCTACCTGGGTCCCTACATGTATGTATGTACAATACAACTTGGTACTCGGGTAGGTACATACAAAGCAATAAAGCAATAGCTTGAGGTATTAGAGGCATGACCTTCAATATTTTATCATTATCAATAGGACAATTTTGAGTTTTGCCTCCTTAAAAGCTATTGGCGTCAGCATACCTATATTCTGTCTAGTACACAGAGAGACAGTTGACCCGGTGATTTTCTAATTGGCATACACGTACATCAGCTGATTTGATGTCCTCTATTTACCTTGAGTCAAGGGCGTCACAATCACGATGGATATGATGTACAAATATACTATCCAAGTAGAGTACAAATGATGACGACGAGTCCCGTGATGAAATCATCTGGAGTAATGTAATTCATCTGTTCTGATTAGTCATTGTTCAGCATATGTACGATACTAACTACATGTATTATGTATTATGTATTTATATGTATTATGCGTTCAATGTTGAGTTTCAATGACTGATCATTGATCATTGATGTTTTGTTGTCTTAAAAGCGCCGAATGACGTAAGATGTTGACTTGTTATCGATAACAACGGGAGGTTCATCACATGGAATGGTTTGTGCCCATCTGTTCCATCTGTTCCATCTGTTCCATCTCTAGTGTATTCCATCTGTTCCCAAATAGAAACAATGGAAGATTTCACCGCGCGGCAAAATATGTACAACTACAGTACTAGGCACAAGCCGCAGCAGCGCAACAGCTATGACTTGTCTTACAAAAGCTCCACCTCCACCCTCCAGCGGAGCATTCGAACATTCTCATGTGGCATCGATTGCTTCTTAATGGGGGGGACTGGAGGACTGGATCGGTCGGTTGCGTTCCCGGCTTATCGTTTGCCTCAGTGCTGCTTTGTGGACCTGAGTTTGTGGTTTCAACGATGTTTGTATTGAATGCAACGTGAAGGGTATGTATGTAGGTATGTATGTAGGTATGTACGGTACCTGCTGGAATTGTTCCCAAGAATCCCAACTTTATTGCATGCACCTGCTAGTGTTGAATCGTACCCAAAGGAATGTGACTTGACTGACTTGGCTGTTACTGTACTATATTTGTATAAAAATGACTTGTTCTTTTTAGACAACGTTGAACTTGAACGTGCTGTATAATACCTACATAACCTTGTGACCATTATTCATTATATTATGTAGATATATTATGTAGATACATAGTTACAATTTGTATTCGTGTCATAGCAAGTACCTCCTTCATCTTCAACGTTAACATTAAAAGGACCTTTGAGGCACTTTAATTTAATCAAAGTACATACATGTACATAATATGTACACCTACCTTGTAGGTAAGTTATTAGTACGTGGACAATTCTATGTTATTAATGGTTGCAATCATTTAGTTCATAGTTATTGTCTGTTCCTTGCTTCTGAGACCCCAAGCTTTCCAAGCTCGTCTTAATGCTTTCATGCCCCTCCCAACATGTGCGTATCGCGCCTATCTCCAAGCTCCAATACAACTTATCAATGCTGGATTAGCCAAATTAGTACTAGAAGTTACCATAACACTATCAATGTATGTTAGCATTGTTAGGTACATACTATGTAGTATGTATTCATGTACGTATTGTACAGTACATATGTACACGTAGGTAAACTTCCAAAGATCATTGATCCTATCACCCCTAAACTTACCCCTGTCGGTCATTAGTTCTCCAGCGACTAATCCTCCCCCCCTAACCGCACCCTTCACCCCAGCGCCTCAGCATATCCCCCCCCCCCCCGGTTGTACAATCTATACCGTTACGTACCGTGGCTAGCTGCCCCGCCTTCTCATCTGGACCTGGGACTCTCTCAATGCTTCAGGCAGTCTCTCACTCACTCCCCGATAGGGAACGTGCCTTGTCCAGCTCTCTCTCCCCACGAGTCATACACCGTATCCTGGTTCCTGACTTCCTTTCCCATCCCTCGGCTCTCACTCTCAACTCAACTCACACTCTTTAATCACAATACATACCTACATACTTACATACTTGCATCAATACATACAGAACAGACTTACACTTACATCATTTCATCTCTATTCAACACTTCAACTATTACACAACACCAGCAACAGCAACAGCAACAGCAACAGCAACGACAAGCGGAAACAAGACCACCTTTTAATCTAGACTCGATACCCCTTCTCTTAAATACTACTGCCGCCTACCTATTTATTTATTATACAAAACAGCAGTGCTGATAATCAATCATTCGCTTCCCAATCTACTATCTGTAACAGGATAGTGTTGCCTTGCTTTGCCTTGCCTTACCTTTTTCTTAATAATACCTACTTTGCTTGTCCTTCTTTTCGGCTGCCTGCATCTTCCTTTCTTTGTACTTCCCCTCTTCAAACGTAGCTTCAGATCGATCGCGTACAACGCGCTTGTGATTCTTTGTCTGTCCTTCCGGTTCTTCATCGACTCGACCACTCAACTTCAACTACCAGGCCCGACAGCCCTCCTATTTGCGACACGATAAAACTGTTTAATCATCATATCTTCCTCCCTCCTTCGTCGTCCCCTTTTTTGCGATACCCTGTACAACCCCTCGCGTACGTGAGTAGAGCTCCACCCCGAGCTCCTCCGCTGGCGAGCAGGAAACTGCCCCAGCTACACTGCTAGCACCACTCTATGCCCGGTTCGTCTACCCGCGATACCTCCCCGACCTCGTCCTCTTCCCAAGGGAGGAAAGGTCGTAATAAACGGAAACAGAAGCTTACCGGAAGTGATGCGCCAGTCTCAAAGAAAGAAAAAAAGAATGCTAAAGATAGTGGTGGGGTTGTGGCAGCGGTGACGAGACATGGAGCCAAGTTCGCGTACGTTGTTCTCTTACGAGTGCTTTCTTACTATTACTCATTCACCGTGGAACCACAAATGCTGTTGTTGTCGTTGTTGTCGTTGTGGATTTGCCCAGTTTGCTACCAAGTTTGAATCTATGAATGCTAGTCTGACTCCCCAGGCGAACCGACGTTAACTATAACTTAACTTTAGTAATGGCTATAATGCCAGAGAAGATGCCTATCCACCCTCGGATTCTCCCCTCTCTCCCGAGCTGAAACCCGCGAGTCCCGCCTCGATTCCCACAAATGGTAATGTGACGACCTCTCCAATGTTAGATGCCGTTTCGACAACATCGGCTTCTGCTAGCACAGCACCGAGTGCTAATGACTGGGCGCGGGCGATGGGAACTCTAGGTGCTTCACCTTCTAACTTGATAAGCATCATGGGTGACTCTCCACCCACTCAGCCATCGTCATACGAAGACCCGAGGGCCATGCCATATGCTTGGAGTACTCAGCAGAGACAGCACTATGTTAACAGCAACGCGTATTCAGCTTCTCCTCCAGGCAGTATTAGGCGACCTTTGAGCTTCCAGTTGGACTCTCACTACGGCCCGAACGACGCCCGATCTCAGGCATCGTCACCTCCTGGTGGCATACGAAGGAGCTCCATGCATTCCCCATATCTTCCGCCGCGAGTTGGATCCCATCCACCGTTGCCCCATCAGCCTCAGGCCCATTTCTATGGCGCTCCGGAGATTGACTTTGATATGAACCCTAAGGCTGGTTTGAAACCGGGTGAGAAGGGATTCCACTTTGGTTTCGATACTCTTCCGAATCCAAATGGATTTCACACCCCAGGAAGTGACAACGTGGTTCTTGCAGGCTACGAAGGCGGCCTAGACATCTATAGTGTTGGAAAACATGCCGTAGAGCCACTTGCTAGCCTCAGGGGGTTGCGAGGCGGCGTCTATAACGCAAAGATCCTACCATGGAACGGGACACCGGATCCATATGGTATCTTTCCTTTAGTTGCCCTTGTCATCCATGGACCAGTCATGCCTCCGAATACTCCCGAGGTCACTATTGAGACGCATTTCGATGGTTCGCCTAGCCCTCGGCTCGATGGAATTCACACGCCGCAATCGGACACCAACCGGGGGCAGCCGGGCATTGGAAAAGCGGTCCCAACGATTGATGCATACCAGACGACCGTTGAGGTGTACTCTTTAGCGACGAACAAACTGATTGATGTACTACTGCAGGCACCAAAAACCCCCATCAAAACATTGGTATCAAACCCGATTCTCAGAAGTCCTCCACCGTCCGGGGCTTTCCAGATCCGTGCTGATGCGGGGAGTCTTGTGGTTGCTTCTGGAGCCACGGGAGAATGCTGGGTCTACCGGCAGGAAATCTCCGAACAAGAACCTGGATATCAGTTCTATTGCATAGGGAAAGTATGGACGAGCTTGAATGGGATTTCAGCTCCTGAAAAGGAGCGGGGCAAGAGTCCACTACCCACTGGCCAGCGTCCACAGATACCCATCATGGCCCTGAATGGTAGGTGGCTAGCATATTGCCCACCAGCTCCATCACCCCAGAAATCTCTCAATCCATCCATCCCCGTTCCGCTCCTAGGCAAAACACCTGGCTTGGCGAGCCTTGCAGCGCCAATTTTGCCAAATGAGAGCTCTGAAGTGGATCAACCAATGCCAGATGGTGTCATGAACCGCATCATGAGAGAAACCACCCAGGAGGTCTTGCAAGGGGCTCGATGGTTTGGCAAACAAGGCGCCCAGCTAGGGGCCCAGCTCTGGAAGACTTACTGGTCTAAATCTGGCCAGCAAACACCGACTCGACAACCCCAGATAGGGTCTCCACCGTGGAGTGGAGGCTACTCGGGAAGATCAGATGCCTCACAATTCCCTCCAACCTATGGCATACCGGGTCAAGCGGTAACAAAAGAACCGGGTCTCGTGTCGATTTTAGACTTGCATAGCTTATCGAACTCCACGACCATCCACCACGTCACCACCTTCAAGGTGCCACTTGGCTGCAGCTTCTTATCGTTCGCCCCGACCGGTGTATCTCTGTTTACTGCGAGCAGTAAGGGGGACGTGCAGACACTGTGGGATTTGATGCGTATTCAACACACTAAATCCTCTGCCTTGCAGAACTCAGCTTCGAGCAATGGTCATTCCACCCGGGTACGGCAAACCGCCCAGTTTTCACGGATGACGGTTGCTCGCATAGTGGATGTGGCATGGGCGAAGCCAAACGGAGAGCGAGCCGCCATGGTGACTGAAAGAGGTACCGTGCACCTGCTCGATATGCCGTCAAGTGTATACACGTGGCCGCCCCCGCGTCGTCGGGTCAAGGTCCAGGACGCGACGGCCAATGGTTCAGAAAGCGCGCCTTCTGCCGTTTCAATGGCATCAAACGCGCTCAGCTCTGCTTATGACGCCACTCGGACTTTGACCAACCGACATCGGCGTAGTAGCTCGAACTCGCAAACGCCATCTACCATAATGGACCATGCTAGCTATGGAGGTAAAGTGCTTGCTGCAGGAATTAGTCATTCGCTGGGCAATGCCGGGACTGCCATCAACCACTTGCGCCACACAGGTGAGAATCGCGTCAGCCTTCCGCTCGGGAATTTGTCTCCTAGTCCGTTTTGCGCGACTTGGGTCACTGGAAAGAAGTATCATGCCCTATTCGTGCTAGGAGATGGTATGGTGAGGACCTTTCCCGGTAAAAGTAGAAGACCAACTGCCGGCAAGGACAGATCACGTTTCCATCGTAGTAATAGGTATAGGGATTTCAAGCTGAGGAACTTGCCCGACGATTTGATTGCACCGTCCATCAAACAGATCATCGACCCCATCGAGGATTTGGATCTGAACAACCATGACCATGACGGTGGCAACACTTTGGTTTTCAACCCTCGACCTCAACTGGTCGACTCCGATTACAGTCCGGAGGCTTCTATCCCGCAAGCCGAGATAGAGTCTAGCGCACCTTATCAACCTTTCCACACGGACAGACGGGTAGGCGTGTATATATATGGTGATGGATCTTCCAACGATCTTCCAACTTCGCTTTCCCATCTTCTTAGCACCGCAACATTGGACGACGGACCGAAGCGCAGCAAGCGTCGACAAGCCAAGACCCAGACGCCACCTTTGGCTTCATCCAAGCAACCTTGGGCTTTTGGACTCGCCGTTAGCGCGATCAGAATGAACGCGGTGTCAGCCGTCATGATTGATGAAGAGATGGGGAATAGTGTCGATGATCACCGAGCGCTCCCTGCGTCGGCGATGGAACGAGTCCTGGAAGTTGGTGAGAACGATGAGCAGATTGTGGTCACAACCCGACGGCGCAGAGGTGGAAACAGGTCGCCCGACACGGACGAAGACGGTTTCTTTGAAGACGATTGCGAAGTGCTCGATTTTGCGGACCAGAGAGTATGAGACAGATTGCCAAATCGCAAGAAGTTGACTCTAGGTTACTGGCATGGGGCGTTCTTGTTCAACACGGAGACGGATGCCGAGACTGCACAACAACAAAGACGTACAAGAATGTCACCGAGCAAGGTTCGCCCTGCTGTCGACATGGTGTCGAACCCTCGCTTGATCTGGTTGGGATTGGGATGGGAACGGCTGGATTGGAGTTATTGCATAAATCAATCACGTTGCATTACCGAGACACACGAGATGTATAGAGATCCTTCTCGTCCATACGAGTTAAATACACACAGCTCAATTAGATACCATCAAGTCACCTTGGCTATGCTTTTTTTTCTGTGTTTCTGTGTTTCTTGTGTGAAAGCATTCGTAAATTGTATGACCATTTTTTGGTATTAGGATTTGAGGTAGATCTAGTGGTACAAGTTCTTCAACTCGGGGCGTTTGACGCAGTGGCGAATAGTCGCCATGTCACTTTCAACAAGTAGTTCCTCGCAACCATCAGGGATCAGCTCGAGAAGTCTTTCTTTCTATACAGGCCCCCCATCTATAATGTCCATAACATTGGTATACACGTGAATGAGCACGCTAAGTTCGTAGATACATGTAGTAGGTAGGTCGGTAAGGTAGCATCGTACATGCCACCTTCCCCCCCTTTTTTTATTTTCTTTTTGTTTAAACTCGGAGTTCCCTTCCCCTTCCCCTTCCCCTCCCCATCTTCCTTTCCTCATGCCCTCCAAGAAGAAAATCACCACTGAACCCGATAGATAAGAGGTGCGCTGTTAACAAACAGACAGACAGACAGACAGACAGACAGACGAAAAAAAACGGATTTATTCATCTACGCCTTCTTCTTGGAAGCGGCAGCCTTGGCCTTGGCGGCCTTCTTCCGGTTGCTGCGGATCATGACGACGCTGAGGAAGGAGCCGACGACGGCGCAGCCGAGGAGGACGAGGATCACGGGCAGGCGGATGGCCCAGACGCGCGGGGGGAAGAAGGCGTGCAGGGGGTGGTCTGAGTCGACGAAGGGCTGTTGTTTTTTTTTTCTGGGTTAGTAGATGGGCTGACAGGGTGGATGAATGGTAGGGGGGTGGAGAATGGGAGAATACGAACCATTGCCAACGTCCAGAGCGAGTAGTACAGAAACACGACGGAGGCGGCCACGAGCATGGCGAGGCCTACGAGGGTGCCGAGCTAGATGGAAGGAAGATTCAAGATTAGCGGGCCGTGGATGTGTGAGGTGGGTGGGCGCATAAGTAGCAGTTAGGTGGTAGATATGTTTCTAGACCTCGTGAGGCTTCGAGTTGGATGGGATTGGATCGCGCGTACCATGATCGATTATAGAGTGGTGTAAGAACACGTTAAATATTAGGTATTAGACTAGGTAGGTAGATACCTAGAGTAGGGAGCTGGGGAGGTAAGTAAGTAACCTAGTGTGAGAGACGATTGATATGGTGGCTTCTTTGTGAGAGTTTACTTTTATTTTTTTTGGTGGATATTTTGGTTGAGGTGAAGATAGTCTACCTGTCCAGAAATTTAAATCTTGCTGCTTCAATTGCTACATGTTGCTACATACCTGGTACTACTAGTAGTACACCTATGAACGGACGCGACACGGGCTTCGGGGTCGGCACTAACGTTAATTGGGATTTAAAGTTGGATCGTGGCTGTGGCTAGTGCTACCCATGTAGCTTGTAGGGAACTGATAGTTACTCAGAAAATGAGCCAATAATAACGTGTCGAATGCCCCACTCTCAAAAATGATTAGCCACTGCAGCCAGCCTCGTTGAAAGTCTGGTCACGGTCGCCTTCCTTTGCCTTGCTAGATTCGACTTTTTTGCTTTGTCCACCTAACTAACCTAATACTTTGTTGTACTTTACATCCTTACAAAACAACCAAGAAATTTAAACCTACATCTGCGATAAACATAACTTTGTAATCTTTAATAGGTTGATTGATGCACTACATCATCTAAACTTCTATCGGTCCATAGGTCAAACGGCAGCGAGTGCTAGACCATGGCGGAAGTCGAGACGCGCCACATCGGCGAGCGTTCGCCAAATGAAGCTCCAGCAGCTCCCATCCCTCGCTCGCCGCGCCGTGACCACGATCGAGCCCGACCTCGCGATGGCGGCGATAGCTATAGACCTTCGCGCGGCCGCGACCGTCGCTCATCACCTCCCCACCAACGCTCGCCACCACCCCGTCAGCGCACGCCCCCGAAAATGCCCACCGAGGAAGAGAAGCAGGCCGCCGCGAAGGCCGAGTACCAGAAACTCCTCAGCATGCGGTCCGGAGGTACCTACATCCCTCCCGCCCGCCTCCGCGCTCTACAGGCCCAGATCACGGACAAGACCAGCAAGGAGTACCAGCGTATGGCCTGGGAGGCGCTGAAGAAGAGCATCAACGGTCTCATCAACAAGGTCAACGTTTCCAACATCAAGCACATTGTCCCGGAACTGTTCCAGGAGAATCTGGTCAGAGGGCGTGGTCTATTCTGCAGGAGCATCATGAAGGCTCAGGCTGCTAGTTTGCCCTTCACCCCCGTGCTGGCCGCCATGGCCGCGATTGTCAACACGAAGCTCCCCCAGGTTGGCGAACTGCTGATCAAGAGATTGGTCATGCAGTTCAGGAAGGCTTTCAAGCGAAACGACAAGTCCGTCTGCCTGTCTTCGACCATGTTCATTGCACACCTGGTCAATCAGCAGGTGGTTCACGAAATGCTGGCTGCCCAGATATTATTACTTTTGCTACAAAAGCCAACGGATGACAGCGTGGAAATCGCGGTGGGGTTGACGAAGGAGGTGGGTCAGCATCTAGAGGAGATGAACCCGGCTATCGGCAACGCCGTCTTTGACCAGTTCAGAAATATCTTGCACGAGGCGGATATAGACAAGCGAGTGCAGTACATGATCGAGGTACTATTCCAGGTGCGCAAGGACAAATTCAAGGACAACCCTGCAATCAAGGAGGAGCTGGACTTGATCGAGGAGGAAGATCAGATCACACATCGAATCGAACTCGACGGTGCCATCGACGTGCAAGATGGGCTTAATATTTTTAAATTCGACCCGGAATGGGAGGAGACGGAAGAAGCTTACAAGAGATTGAGAGCCGAGATTTTAGGAGAAGGAAGTGATGACGAAGATGATGACGATGACGACGAGAGCTCTGAGGAAGAAAATGAAGAGGAGAAGGCGATAGAGATCAAGGATCAGTCCAATACCGACCTGGTGAATCTACGCAAGACCATCTACCTCACTATAATGAGCAGCATGGACCCCGAAGAGTGCGTCCACAAGCTGATGAAGGTCAACCTACCCACCGGTCAAGAGCCAGAGCTACCCTCCATGGTTGTGGAGTGCTGTAGTCAGGAGAAGACATATTCCAAGTTCTTTGGCCTGATTGGGGAACGGTTCGCGAAGATCAATCGCCTATGGTGCGATCTTTTCACCCAGAGCTTTGAGAAGTACTACGAGACTATTCACCGATATGAGACGAATCGACTACGGAATATCGCCAGATTCTTTGGTCACATGTTTGGTTCTGAGGCCATCGGCTGGCACGCCATGTCAGTTATACACTTGAACGAAGAGGAGACGACCTCTGCGAGCAGAATCTTCATCAAGATTCTGTTTCAAGAGATTTCCGAGGAGCTCGGCATGCAGAAGCTGCAGGCACGAGTACGGGATGAAAGTCTTCAGGACAGCTTCACAGGTCTCTTTCCCCGCGACAATCCGCGCAATGTTCGATTCTCGATCAACTACTTTACCAGCATTGGCATGGGTGCTCTGACGGAGGAGATGAGAGAATGGTTGGCGAATATACCGAAACCGACCCTTCCTGCGCCCCCGGCAGCTGAGGACTCTGATTCGGACTCGGTGTCAAGTTACTCGTCGTACACTGGTTCCTCTTATTCGTCTCGGTCTCGGTCTCGGTCTCGATCACGCACGCCGGCACGAAGAGCCCTGGATAGAGGCCGCTCGTTATCGCGAACACCTCCGAGACGAGCAAGGTCACCATCCTATAGTAGGAGCAGGAGCAGGAGCAGGAGCCCATCTCGGTCTCGGTCTCGCTCTTATAGTTCATCTCGTAGTCGCTCCCCAAGACGGGCTGGCAAGAGATATTCTAAATCCCCGAGTCCACCAACTCGTCGTCGTCGGGACTCTAGCCCCGCAAGGTACAGATCGGTCACACCGCCACCCGCCCGTGCAGCGGTTCGGGTCCGCTCCCGCGGCCGTAGTCGAAGTTCGACCCGGTCTCGCTCCTATTCATCCTCACGAAGCCGCAGCCCCCCTTCTCGCAGAGCAGCCGCAAAAGCTTCAGTAAGCCGAAGTCCACCACCGCGCAGGGCACCAGCAAGGCGAGATTCATACTCAGCTAGCCCCCCTCGTCGAGCACGACGTGACGCAAGTTCGTCCCGTTCTAAATCCCCACCCACGCAACGAGGACGCCCTGCCAGAAAGTCACCATCCCCACCAGCGAGGCGACGTAGGAACACGAGCTCTGTGAGCAGCGGCCCGCGAAAGAGACCCAGATACGACAGTCGATCGCCGAGCCCCGTCAATGCGAAGAAAAGGCGGTACAGCTCCGGCTCTAGCAGAACGAGATCACGATCGCCGCCGCCCCGGAAGACTCGGGATGTCAAGCCGAGAGGCTAGAAGCCTTATTCTCGGACAAAATAGATGTATCGTGGGAGTTGTGGAATGAAGTCATACCCGGTCAAAAAACGATATCCTATACCTCGACGGACGAGAAAATACTAGGTCGTTTGAGCCTCGAGCCGGTTGGTGCGGAGGTTCTTTGTGGAAGGCTAGGGGAGTGGAGAGTGGATTTATATTTAATGGTGCGGAGTCTACTATTACTACTCGTGCCTATCTTTGGTAATGGATTAGTTACTACTCCCTCTACCCCTTTTTTACTCAAACAAAGAAAAAGAAGAAGAAAGTATCTGCCTTCCGCCGACGTCGCATTATCTGCATGCTTTGCATTTGTATTTTGTTGGAGAATGGGTTGGTTGGTCGCATTGTACTGTAGATAATACCACAAGACTGAATTTGGCGAGGCGGCGCATTAACTTGAGGTAGATGATAAATTTATACTACCTATGTCTTACCGTTTCGAGCACTTGATTTGACTACACTTTGACTACGGTGCATGCAGCTACGATATTATGTATCAATTGGATTATAGTATAAGTGATATGTAGCAGCAAACCAGGTTCAGTTATTTGTTGTCCACGTCTTTTTCGTACATATGCACTTTGTGGTTAAGTAGAAATGTCCAATTGCGTAACACTGAAGGATTCCAAGACCGAGTATGTAGGTACATATGTTGGTAGCCTACATATAGGTAAACGGAGTGAATGGTGTCCCCGAACACGAAAACGAGCGGCATGTCGGCGTACATAATTTCCTACGCCACGGTGGTACGGGGTAGTATGTATGTTGGTAGATACATATATATAGAGGGGTGGTGTTTTATGTAGCTATACATACATAGGTAGATAGACCCCTAATTCCCCAACCCCCTTTTCCCCTCCCGCATTTATATTTATATAGGTATCAAAATAACGAACTACATCCAATACCTTGCTGACGGATCGGCCGGTAATCGTGAAACCTACCTAGGCAGCCAAGTAAACTAGCTACCTGGGCGCATAGGCAGGGCCGGCAGGCAGGGTGATATATTTTAGTTGCATGTAGCTCGGCATTGGGATTGGTGATTGATTACATAGCTGCCTGCCTTTCTGCCTACCTCTCTACCTACCTACCTACCTACCCTACTCGTAGCTGCTACCTACAAAACCTCCCCCCAAAAAGTAAAAGAGAAGAGACGGAGGCGGCTAACCTACATAAAATATCCAAAGAAAGAGACTTGGTCCTTCTTATCCTCAAATAAAAGAAATTTAAGAGAAGAAGAGAAAAGCAAGCGCTGAAGAAAGAACAAAATGGCCACCCCCTCCCCAACCATCAAACCCTACCGCATCCACGTGCCCGACGCGGCCCTCGAGCGCGTGGCCGCGAAGCTCGCCCTCGCCACGCTGCCGGGCGAGACCACGTTCTCGGACGACCCCGCATACGGCGCCCCGCTGAGCGACATACGGCGGCTCGTGGGGGTGTGGCGCGGCGATGGTGAGGGTGGGGAGAAGTTCGACTGGAGGAAGGCCGAGGAGGAGCTTAACGAGAGCTTGCCGCAGTTCGAGACGAAGATTAGTGTGGAGGGTCATGAGGAGCTGAAGGTGCATTTTGTGCATAAGAGGAGTGAGGTTGTGGGGGATGGGGATGGGGAAGGGGGGAATAAGAAAAAGGGGAAGAAGCTGGTGATTCCGTTGTTGTTTGTTCATGGGTGTTAGTATTTTCTTTTCTTTTTCTTGCCTTTCTCTTCTTCCCCCCCCCTTTCCATTCCTCTTCTACACCTACCCCCCCTTTTCTGGTTCATCTTTGGAATTGGTAAGAAAATACCTAGACTTCAAGAACAAGAGGAGCAAAACCAACTCAACCAAAAATTCAAGAGTACCTCCCTACTCACAAGCTAACTGACTAACAACCCCCCCCAAAAAAAGGGCCCGGCAGCTTCCTCGAAGTCTCCAAGATCCTCCCCCTCCTGACCTCCGCCACCACCGACGACGACGCGCCGAGCTTCCACGTGGTAGCTCCATCGCTGCCGAACTTCGGCTTCTCGCAGCGCACGTCCAAGCCCGGGTTCGGCCTCGCGCAGCACGCGGAGGTGTGCCATAAGCTGATGCTGCAGCTGGGGTATGACAAGTATGGTATGTTTTACCCACCCACCCACTCACCCACCTACCTAGATGACATACCTTTCTCCTACGCTCCCTGCACGCCTGCGTAGATATCTAGGCTAGGCAGCCAGTCTAACGAACCATCTCGCCACAGTAACCCAAGGCGGCGACTGGGGCTCGATGATCACCCGCATCATCGGGATCCTGTACCCCTCGCACGTCCTCGGCTCGCACTTCAACTTCCTCATGGTCGCGCCCCCGACCCTCCTCACCGCGCCCATCCTCTACCTGCGCCACGTCCTCGGCCTGCACTCCCCCGCCGACAAGGCCGGGCTCGCGCGGTCCCAGCACTTCCGCGTCACCGGCTCCGGGTACTCGGCGCTGCAGGGCACGAAGCCGCACACGCCGGGCTTCGCGGTGGCGGACTCCCCCGTCGGGATCCTCGCGTGGGTGTACGAGAAGCTGCGGGGCTGGACGGACGGGTACCCGTGGACGGACCGCGAGGTGCTCGTGTGGATCGCCGTCTACGTGTTCAGCGACGCCGGGCCCGACGCCTCCTTCAGGCTGTACTACGAGACGCTGCAGAGCGCGCCGCGCGACGACCTGCTGCGCAGGTCCAGGACCTGGAGTGGAAGCGTCCCCATCGGGTACTCGGCGTTCGCGGGCGAGGCGCTGCTGCCGCCCGTGGAGTGGGCGGGCTTGTGTGAGTTTTTTTTTTTTTTGGCTGGCCTAACCTACATACCTACATATATCTGCCTTACTTGAACCTATTCCCCCCCCCCCCCCCCCCCTTTTTTTTTTTTTTGTCTAGGGAACTACTTAGCTGACTTCATATACAGTGGGGCCGGTCGTATTCCAATCCAGACACGACAAGGGAGGACACTTCGCTGCGTGGGAGAAGCCCGAGTTGCTGGTCGGGGACCTGAGGAAGATGTTTGGGAAGAATGGGATTGGACCGAAGCTGCCTTTTTAGGATGTTGGTTGGATAACTAGGTACTTATTTGTTTGTTTGTTTGTTAGCACTGCTTAGCTGAGGTGCGTACATACCTATATATATATAGGTACCCAGGCAACTAACTGCTCTGATGAACACCTTCAACCAAGTAATTTGCCGTGTGTGTGTGAGATACCTAGGTCATTTTCCATATCGTAGCAGGTTCCAAATACCTACCCGATACAAAAGTCCAACGGAGATGATTCCCTACGAGGAAGTGCTAGGAAGCTCAGCCAAAGTAAGTATTAATAATACGTGTTACATATCGTCCTTGGGCCAGCGACGCTGTATCTAGAAGTAGGTAGTGACTGTTCCGGTGCCTAACTAGCCCAGGGGATGAGAGCTTTCGAGCCCGCGAGGCTACTCCTGGGTCCAGGGTTCGCGGAAGGCGTTCATCATGTCTCCTCTACGATGTATGTACGAACGTGCCTCCTTGCCTGGGGTAGCGTTGCTAAGTATTTTCATTGCGGTGCTCTTGTTAGCCCCGTGGAGGTATGTAAGTGATAACAATAGGCATGTATACGCTTATGTAGGTAGGTAAATATAGCATTGCTTTCTTTCCCATATCTCTAACCGTCAGTCCTGAAAGATCAAGCCTGTTGATCCCCCCCAAAAAGGGGGGGGGGGAGGTAAATTCGATCCCCGACAACAACGATTTCTAGATACTCAAAGCTGGCCCATAAAGTCCTAGGCCCCAGACGCTTTCTTCCTCTAGCCCTCCCTTGAAACCTCGCAATATGAGAGAAGAAGAAGAAGAAGAAGAAGAAGAAGAAGAAGAAGAAGAAGAATACAGCGGAGGATCGAGTAATTCTCGCGGATGGGGGCTCCCGCCACAGTGTTTATAGGAGGTAGGTATTGTACCTACCTAGGGGCGCGGAGGGGTTGTAGCTTTTTACATGAACACGATGGCACTCTTTTTTAAAGTATGTACCTAGACAGGTATGTATATCTGCGTTAAACTTTTAGTACGGCCATGCTCGTTGAGCCTACGATCCTAATCCTCGGCTTGGTTTGGTAAATTTACCTATGTATCGACGTATTTATATATATAAAGAGTCAAGACAAGTTACAAAATACAAGTCTAAACGGACTGAGGAGTAGTAGTAGTAGAAGGCTGCATTTGTTCATGAAGGCAACAAGTAGTTACCTAGGTACCCATCAGACAACCACCTACTTGGAGGCTTCTATTAATAATCATAGCACGCCATCGAAGAACTACGAAGCTACTTCCAGCCCAAAAAAAGAAAAGAATAACGACTATTGATCACGGATAAGAAGGGGTAAGATGGTAGATAACAATAAGACATACATACGCAAGAAAGGCAAAAGTTACAAAGGCTAGTCGGTTAGGACGTTACGTTTTAATAGACAGGAAAGACAAAACGCCGTCAACAGGGATTGACATGGTACATATCTTGGATCATCATCATTATTCAATAAAATATCTCTACTTCCGTACGCACTCCAACACGATCAGATCAGATCAGACCAAACTAGCCTCCTTTTCAAAAGTCTCCTTTTTAAAAGTCCCCTTTCCCCATAACTAGGTACCTGAACACAATCAAGAAGAAACATACCTACCCAGTCCAACATACCCAGTCCCTCCCCCCTCTGAATCATCCATCTCCTCCAACCCTCCTCCTCCCCCTCCTGCTCTAACCTCCCATTTTAAACCTCGATCAAAAACTTCCACACCACATCCACAACCCTCCACCTACCCCCTACTTCGTCTTGTCCTCCCCACCAACCTCACTCTCCCCCACCCTCACAACCTCATCCCGGTCCCACAACAACGCCACCGCGCCCCCCGTCGGGCCCCCCAGCAGCGTCCACTGCACCGCGACCCTCAGACTCCTGACCAGCGACTTCTGCGCCGTAGCCACATGCAGATAAAACGCCCACAGCAACAACGCCGCATTACCGATATACATGTCATACTGAAAGAACTGAATGAGCAGCGGCGCGAGGTCGCCGGGCCCGTAGGCGAGTGGGTCAGCCAAAGACGGTGACGCGGAGATGGGGTACGGGACGAAGGTGCGCCAGAAGGTGACGTGGGAGAGGAAGGGGGCGAGCTGGGGGAAGAGGGAGGAGAGGGAGGCGCGGAGGGGGGAGGGGAGGGCGGCGACGAGGAGGACGGGGAGCTGGGTGGCGACGGAGATGGTCAGGCAGTACTGGTAGACGCCGGAGATGGCGACGAGGAAGCCGTTGCCGGGGGTGGTGGGCTTCCCGTTGGTGTCCTGTGGGGTGAGGCTGCCGAGGAGGAAGTAGCAGGCGTTGTGGAGGACGTCGAGGATGATTAGGGTCCACTATAGGAATATGGTTAGCCATGAACATGTTGCTAGCAATTAACCCCAATGATACAGCCCGGTGAAAAAAACAAGCTTAGGGACGACTCACAACCGGAAAAGGCTGCCAAAACGCAACCCAATTGTAGTGCGTCGCCGCACTATGCCCCAGCACCTTCGGCAGACTCATGAACACCGTCGGCAGCACAAACCCAATCGTCATCGCCATCGGCAGCAGCGCCAGGTCCCACAGATACACGAACAAGCTCCTCCTCGCCGCATCCCCCACCCCAATCTCCCCTCCCCCTCCATTAACCTTCCCCTGCCGCTCCCCAATCCTCGCAACCGGCGACGTAAGCAGATGCAGCGCCAAATACAGCGGCGCCACGAACGTCCACCCCAGATTCTGGAACAGCACCCCCACCACCCCAACCCACGCGATCGCTCTCCCCTTACTGCCCGTCCTCCTCCCCTCGAGCACGAGCGCCGTCCACCCGGCGGCGAACTGGCCCAGGCCCCAGACGTAGAAGGCGGTGGCGTCCCAGCCGGCGCCGGCGTCGTTGATGTAGGCGGCGAAGAAGCCGACGAGGAGCGAGAGGTGGCGGTCGAGGGCCGCGACGCCGGTGTACGTGCGCTTGAAGGGGCGGGGGGCGGTGAGGAGGTCGACGAGCTCGTTGTTGTCGCCGGTGGGAGTGGTGGCGGCGATGGTCCGGAGGACGAGGCCGAGCCCGTTGGTCCGCAGGGGGATCACGGTGGCGCGGAAGCCGATGGCGGCGAGGAGGGCGAGGAGGGCGGCGAGGGCGTAGCGGCCAAGGGGGGCCTATGTGGTGGGGGTTGGGGTTAGCTTAGGGGGTATATGGGGGTATGATGTGATATCATTGATGTGAATGGAGGAGCATGGTAGTATACACCGGTAAAATAAGAAAGCCTTACCATAATGGGCTAAATACAGCAACCAATAATGAGGTCTTAAGGTAGGCACTTAGGTAGATAGTGCTAGAGCTATAAGATTCAATGTTACTAAAATGTAATAATAAAGGTTGTAGTTTCAATCCTATACGTAGAGAATATTTGTACTTGTATATGTATAAGACACCCAGCAGAAGGAAGACTACGAATTGATAAGAAGAAGAAAGTAAGAAGCCTCGAAAATAACGGAAAGAGAAATCCCAGTTTATGATGCAGTGCTGGTGTAACGGACTTAATCAGCCCCGCTTGGAAGCCGTATGCGCCTACCGAGGTGCCTAGGCAAGTAGGTACTGTAAGGATCTTTCACCTACCAGAAATGGTTAGTTGGGGGTGGAATTGGCTTCTACTTTGAGCGTGTATTTCTATGCGTTGTGTGTATGTCACTGTATGATACTATATCATGTATCATAATAATAACTTAGATTGTCCTTCGTTGAGATTTTTCTCTAACCTTGTCTACCCTGATTCCGTCCCGTCCCGTCCCGTCCTTATACTTTTCTACCCACAAATAAGCTCATCGGCCGTAAGCGCCGGTTTCTTCGGGTCCATGCCCGGCTCTTTAGTACTCTCCACGCCGTCCGGTTTCGGTAACTCCTCTTCCGGTCTCCGGCCATTGGTCTTCTGCCCATCGGCGACATCCTTGTCAACCTCAACTTTGGCTTTCAGTGCCTCTGGTGCTTCCTGCTTATCCAACTCCTTCTTCTTTAATGTAATGCTCCCATTCGCAAGGGCTTCCTTGGGTAACGGCCTAACTATCGGCTGCGCGATCCAGAATGGCCTCTTGCACTTCTTGACTGTCGCTACTGAGCTTTCTGGGTCTTCTGTGTTTTCAGATTCTACCGCCAATTTGCCTTCTATCTGGGACTCGGGTATGGGTTTGGGCTTGGGCTCCGGTTCTTCGATGCTTTTGTCCCCAGTCTTCTCGTACTCGATAAGCCCCTCCGCTACGTGCCGCTCCACCACCTCGAGAATCTTCTCGATCGTGGAGACGTCACCAGCATGACACTTCGCGAGGAGGTCACGTACATCTGTGTGCTTTGATATGAAATGCCTAAGGAGATGGAAGAGATGTGGCCGCATTGCGAGTAAATTTGGTGAGGTGCACTTCTCGTTTTTGCCACCACCGTCCTTCCTCCGCTTCTTGCGTGCAGGTTCTTCTTGTTCTGCATCTCTCGCTCGTCCTTCAGCAATAAAGCTTTCGTCATCGCCGACAACGAACAATGGCCTCCGAACTGGTGGGTCGTGCCGTAGGACGTGTTTGTGTATGATATCCATATAACGTCTGAACACGGCGTCTATTCGATAGCCACCTTTGCCATCCTTGCCGCGCCAGTACTCTCTCCCTTCTTGTCCCGGTGGTGGTAATTTCGCAAAGATAGCTGGGTCACTCAGGTTGCCCTCCGCACTCATAACAGCATCAGCGCCAGTTGCCTCGAGACATTGCTCTATATCGTCGTGCTGGAGCACGTTGCCATTGGCAAAAATGACCGTATCTTTTGGTAGGTTTTCTCTCAAGTAGCGCAAGTACTCCCAGTCCGCGACGCCCGTAATATGCCCTTTCTGTTCTCGCCTCCTTCCATGCACAGTAATGATACTGGCACCGGCGGCCAACACATTCTTCGCATACGCCAGAGTTTCTTCTTTAGTATCCAATATGCGGATCTTAGCTGTGACAGGTACAGAAAGATTCTTGTGTAGATTGTTGATTAAATTGTATACAAGCTCTTGGTCGTCCTGTAGGAATGCGCCATAGTGGCCTCGACGCGCAATTCCTTGGGGGCATCCCAAATTCAAGTCGACGGCGTCACAATATGGCGCTACTAGCTTCGCTGCACCTAACAAACGTTCAGGATCATTGGCGCAGAATTGTACGAAGAGAGGTCGGTCGAAGGCCGGATTGCCGTCAAGGAATGGTACGGGTTGGGACTGCTCTAAATCTGACGGTGAGGGCGCGGGGCTCGGTGACTTGGAATCGGTAGGAGGCTGGATCGGCTCGAAATGCGAGTTTCTATATTTTATCGTCTCTTCATATAGTCTAGCATGCAGCATGGGAGTATAAGCTAGGAGTTTCGCGTTCTCGGCTGGGGTGAGGAACGATCGAGTGAGCATGCGCCAGGCCTAATAATAAGTCACGATGATCAGCACTCGATGTCTTCGAGAGCAATGCGAATGATTTCGGATAAGAAACGTACGAACTCAGACTGGTCAACCATAGGCGCAAGAACAAACTTGGGACTACCTATGCTGTCGTAGAATGCCCTTCCATGCAGCTTGGGTTTCCCCAGCTTTGTATCGGTTGCACTCGGACTAGAAGCCATTGCGACAGGTTTTGTAGCAAGTAATTTCTGGATGAAGCCGACAGTATTCCACCGACGCGGAAGTGCTCTCCTTATGACCTCCACGATGGCAACCTTGATCAAAAGCGTTTATATTTCAGAAATGAAAATAATCACAAATTAGAGTAAGTGCCTTCTATTGAGTTTGAACTTGCGGCGGCTTGCACGTGGTGGGGTTGTACAACTTGCATGCTTTTCTTATTTTTTATTTTTTTTTTCGTACATAGTTAACTACCAGTAAATAACTTCGTACTATCGTTGATGTAGCTAGTGGCAACTACCCGGTACAGCCTACCGTACAGGTACAATCCATATAATTAGCATAATTAGCTTCCTCGAGAGACACATGCATGTCAAACTCTAGACTGAACTTAATATTGAAACCCTTACAAAGGCTATTTATGTAGTGCAGAAGGTACATGTACCAATAGTTATTGAAGTAGGTGCTTCAAGTTAGTTATGCAATATCTGCATTGATGTGGTAGTTACATAATTGTTCCTATCCATCGATAAAATGAACAATAATCAAATCCCCTAGCTCAGCCTCTGAGCCTCATAAAAGAACTCTCTAATGTTTCCTCCCTCACCTCTCTCTCCACAAAGGCCCCATCAATCAATTCGCAGACGGCGAACGCGAACGCGGATTAGAAAAAGATCCCGTCACCGGGAAATGAAATCTAACATTGAAGAACATTATCCGTACTAGCGCTGCGCCTCGTTTCTTCAGGTACTGTACCTCTACTTCTCGTATAATTATATACCTAGTATGTAATCATCAGTTCAATGTTGAGATCGCTCTGGGCCGTTACAACCTCTTGGCGGACTAGCTAATACCTAACGTCTTGTGTAGAACCCCTTGAATGGAAACGACAAGGATTATAAGTACCTACACGACACATGTAGTAGCTGCTAGTAAGGGGTTTATGGGGAGGATACTTCCGGCAATTTTATTTATTTTATTTGGTTGTTGGTATTAGGTACAGTATGTCTTCGTAATACTGACTACCTAGGTAGATAGTATCTACACAACAGTTAAATAGAATCATAAGAAATGCAATTAACACAATGAACGAATCCATGAACCGCTTGCTCTTATGTAGATAAATTGATATTCACTATTTGCCCCATCCGAAAATACGTAGTGCTCAAATCTTCTTCGCTAATAGTACATTACTTCCATCCTTAGGAGCTAACAACGTCATCATAGTCTCGAGGTCGTGAACGATGATAAGGCAAAATGCAATTGTTCCTTCTCTCGTCCAAACTTCAAATGGTACTCCTTCATGTGTCCATGCGTCCATGTGTCCTTTTGTCTTTGAGATTACCTTGATGCAACACCTCCGTAGATACATACATCTACACTTTCCCCCAAAATTTGACACCGCTCATTTACGTCGTCAGCAGCGACGAAGAGCTTCATAGGTTTTAGACAGCTAAGAGACAAGACCCTTTATGTGTAAAATCACCATGCCTTGATTAAATAACTCCTCCAACCGAGACGATCCTTTTATACCCATGTGCTAGGCTTGGGTGTTGCAATATTTACCTCTCCATTTTAAATGACATGAGGAGAGTAGGGCATTTTTTGCTGTTCTTTTTCCCCAGACATACAGACAGACACAGACAGACAGACAGTTTTCCAGATGGCAAGCATGCTCCTTCAATTATGCCGGATGGTGGACTACCTTTGTTGCCCCATCTACAGACGTTCCTATGGGTTTGTGGCTACAAAACGTAGCCTGCTCCGGGGTCGATTTAAGTTGAGACTTGGGGTAGGATGCTCGGTGCAAATATGTTCTGACGAAAGTGATGTTCTCGGTAGACCCATCAAGTTCCCCGCTGCTACCGGTATGTTTGATATTATAGCAACGAACAGTTTTTTTTGTGTTCGGTAAATAGCAGGATAATACGAATTCGAAAACGCCCTGACACCTTACTATGCTGACCGTGTACAACGCCATGGACTCTAAAACTGTCAAATACAGGATCGCAGGTCTATGTGCCTTTAATCGAGAAGGGAACGGGTTTTACTGGCTTCGTAGTGTTGCGCTTGCCGTCATTAAAAAAATTGCGTATAAATCTTGGACGTCTCGTGAACTTCCATTTCCTGCAAACAAAGCGTCAGTATTGACCCACAAACACAATAGGATATAATGCTATAGAGGCACGCATCCTAACATACCATTTTGAAGGTGTTCAGCTCCTCCTTGATCTGCTGAGCGAGCATTGGCGTCAGGCGATTGCACGTCGCAATCTCACCGCGCCGGTCATACTCTCCACTTGGCCACGTGTCGTGAAAGACAATCCGTGGGCTGAAAGTAGCATTTCGCTTGCTGGAGCCACCCTGGGGCGTGGTTGGAGCACTCTTCGTGTCCTGACGTAGGCGGAGCGCCGAGACAAAGTAATCTTCATTGCCAATAGTAACCGAGTCGTTTCGTTTATGGATCTGGACGTCATCATTCGGCGTGCTTGGGGCGGTCGAGTTAGGTGAGTCGGAGATGGTAGGTATCGCGGGGAGGTCGAAGGCGGGACCTCTAATCTCAGGCGCACGAGGGGATGGACTTGGGGAGTTGCTGCGAGCTAAAATCATGTTAGATGTGAGTGACAAATTTGCTTCGCGATGTGACATACTCTTTAAAATGCCTTTTCGTATGGTAGCAAGTACCTCAGCTCTCTCCCTTTCACCACCAACAATACTCTTTCTCGCACCCGAGTTGTCTGTGCCCGAGCTCCCGAGACGATCAGCCGAAAAGCTATCTGCTAAATTAGTAGAATCCATCGGCTTGAACTCTAAATGCGGCAGCCCGGTGGCACTGCCTTGCTGAAAACGCATATCTCGCTCAGCTTCCACCGTAACCATGGATACTTCAGCTGCCGAGGCCTCGGGTGCCTTGAGATCTTCGCTTACTGATCCGATAATTGATTTAGGTCGGAACAATCCAACCAACGATCTCCCGCCCTTCTTCATCCCGCGACCCATCTTGCGGAGCATAATCGACGCTGAGGATGCCGTCGAAGAAATCGATAGGTTGTCGGTTGACCCCGTAAATAGTTTAGTGCCAGAGTAGATGCTGCTACCAATTCCGGCCTCCTCCTGCTTCTGCGCAATCCGCGCCTGTTCCTCCTCAAAAATATCCTCAGCCCTAGGATCCTTGTGCAGCTTCGTAGGGTCATTTTGCGCCGTCTTAGCGAAGTCGGACCCGACATCTTGTCCAGCAGCCTTCCGAAGTTCGGCAGCGCTCCCAAAAGAAAAGGCTCGTCGCAGTCGCGACGTCTTAGTCTTTGACTTTCCCCCTTTCTCGTTAATCGCGGCCAGCTGCTTGGCCGCAGGACTATCTGCTACTGCACTCGCAGAGGGCGTCGATGTTTTAGGTGCAGTTGATTCCGGAACGTTGGCGGGCGACGCCGAGTCATCGGATGCAGACCCGGGACCCATGGCTACCGGTTTGGATAATGGTGATGGGTTGATGGTTCGCTTCCCGACATCAGTAGATGATGAGGCGCGAGGCGGTATATTCACCGGCTTCGATTGATCCTGCCCAGACTTCTTGTCCCCAGAAGTGGAGGAGGTTGAGGCGGGGCTTACCGTGGGGGCAGATGCATTGGAGTTTCGATTGGTAGACTGCCATAACACGTTTAGTTAGTACTTAGCATCCCTGAATATAGACAATGTTACTGTCCATCCACCACCTGATTGGACAATCTACTGGGAACTTTCATTTCCCCCTTCATGCTTAGAAACTTACCGAAGGCGGCCTGGAATTACTGCTTCCACTTGAATTAACACTCTCAGAACTGCCATTCTTAGCATGCATTGCATTTTTCTCCACAGGCTCGGGAGCAGGAAGGTTAGTTGCATTTCGAATAACATTTTTCTGATCCTTATCTGAACTTGAACCACCCTGCTTCTTTGAGATGGATAGTCCATCTGGGCGGAATGATTCCTCCGCTTGCTTGAAGTCCTGCGGGGTCAGGGGGCTGGGATAATCGGAAGAATTGATTGAGTGGATGCTGCGCCGTCGAAACCTCTTCGCTTCTTCCTCGGTGGGATGTCGGTACAGTTGCATGTCATCCATAGTAGCATAAGTATTATGCGGCCTGTTGGCGAATCCTACAGAATTTCTAGATGCTTTGGCTTTTTGTTCTGGCATGGTCCGCGGATTGTAAAGATGAACAACGGTAGCCATCCCAGAACCTGATGGCGTCGCCGAACCTTGTGGTGGTTTCGGTGTCTGTAAAATACTTGGTGATGAATCTGTGTGCTTTGGAGATGGTCGTCTATACCGCTCAGGCGATGCTTTTGCAGCGGCAACCTGTGCGAATGTCGGTTGATTAGACGATAGATTCAAAGGTGCTAACTGTGGCCGAGGCCCCGATGCGGCGGCCCGGAGGTCGTCCTGAGCTCTTGTCGGATGGGCATTATTAGCGTTGCCTGGAGGATTGGACTGGTTTGCTGGATAGCGAGGACGTGCCGCAGCATTCGGGTCCACCATTTGCATATTGGGTACATTTGATGAAGAACGATAGGCCCCATATTGTTGCCATTGTCCACCATTAACCAAACCGGGCGTAGCTGTGAAAGCATATGGTTGAACTGGGGCCGATGTGTTGCCACGATAGACGTTTGGTCCCCCCGATATGCTGCCAGACATGCTGTGATAACCTGTCCGCTGCGGGTTGCTTATGTAGGCCTGATTGGGCTGGGCTCCTGATGGTGTTGGCATGATTCCAGAAGCTGGGCTGGGTTTGGTTTGAAGCAATGTCACTGTTCCACTTTGCTGAGGATATGTTTGGACCAGCGCAGCCATATTCGAAGATATATGGCTCGAATAGCTCACGATCGAAGGGTTTCGATTCGCTGGCTTGGCCTACTAGCCTATAGGCTATGCGAGGATCGTTCGCGAAGGAAGATGTTCTTGGAGAGAGGTACAAAGGGAAGCCCTTGAGATATTTGTTAGTCGTGTACCTATGGAATGATTGATAATTGAATAATCATGAATCGAGCAATGAGGAAATCGTGCTGGTCGGTGTTCGGTTCGGGAGACTTTAGGGTGCGAGGAAGCAAGACAAATGCACACCTTTATAATATCGAATGTCCAGCCAATTAATACGCTCGGCCACGTAGGGATATGGGTCAATCGATGGTGGGAAGCGATTAAGTGAGGTAAAGGACGATAAATTCAGAAGGAATAGAAGGGCGCCTGCGACCAGGAAAAAAAAAAGCGAGTGGTGATCTTCAGAAAAAGAAGCCTGCTATTACCGTAGACAGCTTTTCGATGTAGATGTCGGCTATTTCACGACAACTAATCTGAAGTGATGGCCGATTCGGTGCCACAACTGACACGAAGAATAGTAAAATTCTAGTAGGATGACATGAAGTAAGTTATCACGATGATCCTACACGTGTGTTATCGACCCAAAGGAATATTCTTTTTGTTGTTTTTTTCGTGTTTTATAAGTTTTGGTTTTGGTTTTGGTTTTAAATAAGAAATGGTAAGAGGGCAAGTGAATCGAATGGTGCTAAACGATCCTAGACAAACACCAAATAAGAAGGGCTTGAAGGATACGGGCAAGGGCTGGGATTGGGATGGGGATGGGGGAAGGTGAAAAGAAACCTCGACAAAAAAGGAAGAGGCGTTGTAGGTAGGAATCAAATCACAACACACAACACAAGAAAAGAGAAGGGTAATTTCTGAACAACGCTATGTACGACGTAGTTAAGTAGAAATAGAGGGGGGAATATGACTAGGGGGGGCAGAAAGAAGGAAGAGAGGAAGGTGTAAAAAAGGGGGGGAAAGAGAGTTGATGATATTCAGAGATGCATTGGGATGGAAAGGGAAAGAAGATTGGAAGTTGAGGTTTGAATTCTCAAGCTGTCTTTCTTTCTGGCAGCGCCAGCATCCGTATCCTGGCAGGCGTAGTAGCGTGTATGTATTGTGTGTATGTACGCAGTATGTATGTATACCTATGTATCCATAGTAGTTATATGTATGTATGTACATATGTATGTGTGTATGTAGCGTTGCGCTGCGTTGGATCCCCCAGTTGAATTGACTCTTGCTAATTCTACACTAGTCTGCTAGGTATGTGCAATAGTTAAGTACTTGTACATCAATTTATACATTAGGTGCGATATAAGAGTGGATCGCAGCCAAAGCCAGACTCGTGCAATGACCGTCGGCTGCTGCAGGTCTTAGAGCTGTACTAACCAAAAGTGGTGTAGTGTGTGTAGATTGTACGAGGGACAAACCCACAGAAAGAAGGTACCCTGTATCCCTTCCCTGGCATGTTATTGTGTGTATGTATGTAACTATGGATGGATACAGGCATGTCTTGTACCTCTACATACTAACCTAGGTATAAATGGTACTTGTACTAAATGCTCAGTTGAGTGGTCAGTGGATACAAATCTCTAACCACATGCATGAAATGGGGTAAGTAAGGGTTCTGCACAGGTCCCTACCTGCCTACTACTACACTAATTTAGTTGTATTGTAGTTTTTGTATTGTATTGTATTGTACATCGTACTGAAATAACTGAATATTTAGACCTGTGTAGGGTACGCACCGATAACTAACCCTTTTATTTAATCATTTCATTATAATCATTTCAGTATAATCAATGATATTTCATTATCATTGGGAACTTCAATGATCTCAATCTTTGGATCATTAATTGTTAGAACCCCTGTGACTTCACCTTGTCTGTTCAATGTCATACTACTGCATAGTAGGGAGTTGGTAAGAGGCTTACTACCAACTGAAGAGACTTCCAAGATTCATGCTGGGAAGGAATCGTCAATACGACTTTCGGATTTTCCAATGTCAACATGCTATGGCACTTGCATGAATCTCCCACCCACTTCCCCATGTATCACGATCCAGCACACAATACAGAGGTACGTAAGATACCTACACATTTATATCCATGGATATGAATGTGGTAGTGAGTATGTGCCGAATACATAGTAATGGACTGTACAGTCTGTACTAGTACTAAATATAGGGCGCATTACTCTGGATAATAGGGGCACACTAGCAAGATTTAACCCGCGATTGTTTGTTTGTGTCTTGTGCAATACGTCCGATCTAACTACTGCTATTAGCAGATACGTGTTTTAACTAACGTGTTTCCATTACATTACACGCCATGTACCTAGTACCAGCAGAGGGCTTCAAGGCACGTACCGCCTGTGACTGTGCTCTAGGGCTATCTCAGATTGCGAGGCTCTCCCATTAACACCAGACTCTTACGCCAATTGGCCACCGTCTTGCTGGGATTGTTGATGAGACAAGGAGCACTACCAGATGGCGATTGGCTATGGCTATGTCACGCTAGGCGAAGCACGACGGGGTGTCGGGGGATTAGAGCGATGCTTTACAGCATGACGCGGCTGTGTATGGCACAGTATACAGATATTAATGTATGTACAATTGTTACTTACCTACATTAACTATGTAGTATCTGCATTCATCGTTCGATTGCTCTTCTACTAATATGCAAGTGCCGCTGAGATAGGCATGATATCACAAGATACTATGTACATAGGATCTGGATACAAATCTAGGGATCAAATTCTATGGGAAAGCTTCGAGAATATGAATATTCAGGATACATGTGCTGCATAATGCTTGGTATCTGTATGGGGTAGTTTGCTACTGTATATACATGCGTAACAGCTTAACTAGTGACCCTACCGCCCTAGATTAATTCTAGGAATGACGTGACTGTCGTACGTGAAGACTCGATGCTCACTACATCTAGATACATAGTTACATGCAAGTTGTGAATGTAACCTCCAAAGTCGCCTGAAGCCCTGAAGGTCTTTGGCGACTTGTTCTCAGGGGCAACAGTCAACTCGGCAACTGTGAATACTACATATGCGCACTAATGCATACCTACCTACTAGGTACATAAGCCACTCGAAGGCTTGAAGCATATGTAAGTTGTCAAACCCACCTTGTCGCCCTCTTTGAATAACTCATACTTAATACTTGTTGCCAATGCGAATGGCTATTACAACGCACATTTGAGATGGATATCTTGATAGATCGACATCATAATCAACATTATGATAGATAGGCAGTTGATTGGAAGCCCTTGTCTTGAACGTGTCTTGTCTCTGCAGGTACCATTGTTCTACTTTTGCCTACCAGCCAGCCAGTCTGTTTACCACTTACGGAAATTTGTTCATCTCAGAAGGAATTCGCACTGGAGATCAACACAATCTTCTACTCATAAAAGCTGGAGATCCTTGAACAATGCACACACCACCCATCCACTCACATACAACCTGTCAACCTCGTCTTCAAAGAGAATTACGTACCCTAGGTTAGGTAGGTTACAACATTGAGAATGATGTGAGCCATCAAAAAAGACATCATCCAACAGCACAGCTGCACAGTACCCGGGACCTTTAAGTGCCCAGTAGGTATGAGTCCGTACGGCGTATGACTACTTTGGTATGTATGTAATAAACCGGCACACTACCTAATACTCTTCAGGGGTATCCATGGAACTACACTGTCTACACATAGCCCTAAGTATTGTACAATACTACTAGTAGTACATACCACAATAGGTGCTGTACATAAGTAGCCAACACTTCTCCGTATATGTATCGAGATGCCCTTCGTTAATATTCAAGTGTTGTTTTCAAAAGACACCCCTTTCAATGGCCACAACCATCAAACCCAGGTCCACCATAGGATCAATAGGATCATCGATCCATCGATCTACAACTACGTACTCAGGCAAAGCAGAGGCCAGCAAAGACCAACAAGTCCCAGGCGGAATATCAAATCGGTTATATGTGAAAAGAATTACGCCAGCACAAATGGGTCAAATTATGTCAACGGTCAAGATCCATTTTGTGGAGAGAACCCCCTTTCCCCATGTCATCTCGGTCCATCTTACTTCAATGTTCTATTATTACTAACATGCACAATACCTAGGTAGGCCAAGTAGGGGTACCTAAGCCTTAGGTAACCCCCCCGTATCGAAGCCCCTATTTTTCTTTGCTTATCCAGTACAAGATCTACACAATCCGCGCTTCGCTCTTCGTATAAAAAAGTCTGTTTCTTTGTTAGTTTTGCATCATAACTTGTTTTATGCACCGTCAATGCAGGCCCGATGAAAGTTCAAGACAATTTGCAGGCCTTACTCACCACTATCAATAGTAATAATATGTGGTAACCTTACTGACAACAAAGAGGTTTACCTATGTTGACACCTAACATTGAATATTAGATATGCGATAAATGTAGTGTTTCCCTGTCTCGAATTAGAGGGATGGACATGTATATGTAAGCTTTTATGAAGAGCTCCTTGGATTACCTGCATATCATTGATGTATGTGATGTATTATGTGAACTGTAACATACATAGACTGAAGGTATTGTACACTACCTACCGAGGTACGGTACCCAGGTAAACTTCTCTCTTTGGAAATACAATCAGCAGCCAGTGAATCGCCACCCCGCATACAACAGGGAATGTCCACTGTCTACCAAGGACTTCAGGCTTGGCGATATGCGACAGCAACATTCGTTTGATCGTTTGATGGTAGCGACATAGCGATAGTTCCAAACTTATGAATGGTATTCTGAAAAGTACCCAGGAATTGTTCGCTATCTTTCCTTACTCTAACATAACTACCAGCATGCCAGCATACTTAGTAGTAGGCTAGGTTAATACCTTACTATAATGTACCTGGTACTATAATTCTCTCTACTATGTACGAACCCCGTGCTATTCGGGCACTACGATCTTTACTCCGTAGTCACACCGGGAAAACATTGAAAGCTTCCAACCTAGCCTAGCAGTCTAGTTACTCTAGTAGCATTTGCGGCTCGGCTAAGAGATAACCAGACCAGGGTACCGATGTTCAAGGTTAGAACCTCCCGGCGACAACCTACATAATAGTGCTACTATGTTACTTATGTTACATATACTAAAATGCCAACTCCGAGGTCAGAGGTCTACCTGCTTCATACAGTTGTCCAGAGAAAACCAAATTGAAGCTTCGCAAACTTCCAACTGGTTGAGAACAGAGTTAAAGGACCCAGTCTGATCTCATCTATCCAATACACTCAAGAATCGAGGGTGAGCATACATAAACCTGTTTGCCATGATCTACACTCTATACCCACCGCCAACCAGACCAGGTGCATACGAACAACTGAGGCAAATGTCACGATACTTGACAGGTATACTCCTATACATATCACTCGATTAGGTATCAATCGATTGGTACACGATAAGTAAGTGCCCAAGTTGGTACTTATGCCCTGCCCTTTACAGTCGCATCACAAAAGCTTGACCTACGTCTGCAATCCCGAAATATCGCATGCCCAAGGCCCTATACACCAAACACTCGAAGGCACAGCATTGAGCATGCCTGTTTATACAGACGTACGGCTTGCCATGGCCAACCAATCCTGTTACCCTCGACAGTTCACTCACATAGTACCTGGCATAAGTCCAGCAAAATGCTACCCAGTTACGTATATGGGCAGTATAGCTAGCTGCAAGAGGAATGTGAGTTTTTCCTAGACCCGTGATACATACAGACCAACGGCCACATATATCTTGCCCACCTATAGAGGCCGATTTCTCTCTACATAGTATACTCGGGCCTTCTAACAGCTCTACTAGCCACGCTTTACCGCATCTTCCAACCCCAAGTAACCCAACCACCGGGCTACAATGCCTACATAGGTAAGACAATTCCTCTTCGTCTTCCAGCACATGTGAAGTATTGCGAAGCTATTAGATCTCTTCCTTCAAGCCTTAACGTTGAAACAAGAAGTCGACGACATGACAGAGGCCAAGCAGTAACACCTCCCAATAAACCAGGTACGCAAACGCCAGTAATAAACCCCTGAAAAAAAAAAGACCGAATCTATCTATCTATCTGCGGCGCCTTCCCCCCCCCCCCCCCCCACACACGTCGATCTGGGACTTTCCAACCTACCTCAGAGGCTCGAAGATCCCCATCCCAAGATTCGGGATCATGGATTCGTCTCGAAAACTAACCTGCTTAAACTCACCGCTTCGTGCGACGCACGCTAAGAGAGTTTGCCTCTCTATTTAAAAAAAAAACCCCCCTTCACCTAGCACCTAAGAGGGAGAAGAAAAAAAAAAAAGAGAGAAGGACCCCCTCTACTTCAAACAAACCGGCGTATCCCAGCCACTCGGACGTCAGAGTATATGTTCCACGAGCGTGTCACGGCTTCGATGTCAGGTAGGTAGATAGGTGGTTCGGTGGTCTTGAACTAGGAAGGAAAAAAATAAAAATAAATAAATAAAAGTAATAAAGAGGCAGACGCGCACACAGAGAAAAGCGTGTGAGTGCGAGAGTAAGAAAGAGGAGAAAGCAAAGCACAAGCAAAGACAGACCTTGTCCGCGCTATACGGGTGTCCGCGTATTTTTCCTCTGTGTTGTCGAAACACCGCAGATGTAGACACACAGCACACAGCATTGAGTTATCCGAGAATATTGGAAGAGTTGCTTCCTTCCTTCGAAGGAGGGGAGGAGGGGCCGCAGAGAGAAATCCAGGGGCTCCTGGTTAGAGAGGAGAGGAGGGTTCTTGATCTTTGTGAGTGAGTGAGTGAGTGGTTGTGCAGCGTAGCTGTTGGTTGCTCTAGGCCCTGTTTTTTTTTTTTTTTTTTTTCACCTTCTTTCTCGTGAGGTCGGTATATCTTCTACCTAGGTGCCTGTTCTATTGGCATATTTACCAAGTACGCATGGCAAAGTGGGAGTTGAATAGTATGTATCGATCAAGGCCCTTTTCTTTCTTTCTTATGTTTTTTTTTTTTTTTTTTTTTTTTTTTTTTTTTCGTTTCTTGCTCTTCATGCAAAATCAAGTAAAGCCCCTGAAACTAAACAACCCCCCTCCCCCCCCCTCCACCCCCGCAAACTAGAAAACGGGAGTGTAGCGCGGCGGCTTTTTCTAAAATACCCGAATGCTCGTCATTCTTTCTCCGACAGAAACGCGCCGCCGGGCCCCCTCGTTCGTATCCGGCCTCTCCCGGCCTAGCGCAGCCGTAGATCTTTTACAAGCAAGCCTATCTGTCCGTAGATGTGCCTTACGCATATGTGTGTATGTATGTATGTAAGTACTTGGAGTTTGTGGCTGGTGGCTTTGGAGTCTGGACTCTGGACATGAAGATGGAGGTTGGTGGGTAAGTAGGAGACAAGTACATAAGTATCTAGGTTAGGTAGATGGTGCCACTTGCCGAGGATACCTACTATGTATGCATAAAGGTATGTATGTAGCACCCCTTACATACACGTATCGTTACCGAAAAACAAACACGCAGGACATCGAGTAAATCGGAGATAAATAGGCACCTTCACAATGTTTATGTGTGTAGTAGTGGTAATGTATACCTACCTAGGTATGCAGTGACCATGTAGTACCAATACACAATTCATAGGGGGCTTTACCTACCTATGTATGTAGAAGTACCCTGTGCATCTAGGTAGGCTTTGAGGTACGTAGTAGCAGCCCGCTGGTACACGGGGTACGGGAACCGATTCACGGCACACACTGAGTACAATAAATTCACCGATCCATCTCGTACCCAGTCGCCTCGTAGTCCATGTTCCACGCTCGATTGGCGGTCATAGGTATCCAGGTAGGTATCCAACCAACCCTAGCATACGTAAGAGCAGATATATATGTACCTCCTATATATGTATGTAGGTATACGCTCGTGTCAGCTGAGAGCTGGAACATGAATTCGAGGACGAGGAAGCATCACTAATCATGTACGTATGGGCAGACGGGGCCGGCCTAAGAACATCAGGACAAGGGTAGAATTGCAAATGTGCATATGTAGGTGATATATACAATACATACCTACATACCGCTCCCCGCGGGCTTCTGTACGATCTCACTAGATTGATAAAGTGAATGCCGATCCAGTGCATGAATGCTGAGGGTCAGGAAAGAGGAGAGGGCTGGGCATGCATCAATGCTCGAATGTTAGGAGAATAGAGAGCTTACGTAGGTAGGTAGGTACTTTACCTTGTCAATTGATGTATGTCTGGGTAGGTAGGTAGCTAACCGCCGGGGACTTGCTGTTGTCGGGCTACCGAGCGTGTGTTACGCAGGGCTGTGGGTATCCGTGGGATGAGATCGAAGTGGCATCTACGTACCTACATCTTTCTCTCTTTCTCTCTTTGTTGGTGCTAATGTACCTACATCCATCTACAGGCAGAACGCTGGACATCTGCAGTCGAAGACTTCGAAGGAAGTGGCTGCTCTGCCTATAGTCTGCATCCTAAGACTTTGGGCTTGATGTTGAAGATGGATGGCTCATCGGGTTGTCTCATCCATGGTGACACCGGGCGTCGGCTTTGTGTTCCCATCGTCTGGGTTTTGCCTGCCATGAATCATCCTCTCCGAAGAAGAAAAGAAAAGAAAAAGAATCAAGTGTTCGGCCAATGAGTTTATTGGGATATATAATGGTTTGTGAAACGTACCTCTTCCCTGAAGAGTATATGTAGGAATAATGATGTATACTTTGCTGATGTAAGTATTATACTTGGTGGTATATAAGAGACAGCCGAACCTTACAGCATATTCCACGACGGTTGCATACGGGGTGCTGTAGGTATCACTCATACCTTTGAAAAGTATTGGAGACAGTAAGGACACGATATCGTATCTCCTCCTCCTCACACTACCCAAGTAAACCGCGAGGGGGCTAGTTCCTGTTGAGGGCATTCGATGATCGAAACCATCGGAATTTCTGTGGGCAAAACACCACGTGGACGGCTAGACGGCTTGACTGGGGCTTGTGATGGTCGTGATAGATCTTGCTCGAAAACGCACGACTCAATTGGTCTATGCTTCAAGTAAGGACGAGGTACTGTGAGATAGGGAAGGACCTGGTATTCTGTTAAGTCGAAAAAAGGGGGTGATCATGTACTGTAGGTAGTTGGGAGATGAACCAATTGCTGTAGGACTTACTGTCGGGTCACAAGTCCTAGATAAAGATTATTCGACGCAAGGGCGGGATCACGTAGATCATCTCTCCTGTTGCAGAATTTATGACTGGGTAGATGTTAGATGTAGGTACATAAGCAGGTACACACCGGCCAGTCAGACGGGACCTATTCTAATCCTACCTGCAAGGTCCGATCTAACAAACACTACCAATCTAGATAATAACCAACACCACCTGCTAACTTACACACACATATCTACATACTTCCAGGGACACACACATACATAGAAGTCGTATTATACCTCCATACACGGCCGTTCCGCTCCGTCAGAGCCGCGGTGGCGGATAGCCGGATAAGGCCGTGACACTAACCTCGATCCCTTCACCGACGTTGCGCATAACACGGCCCAGACTCTGCGGAAGAAACTTCCTTTAGATACGTCATAAACACGAGCTTTCATACATAATTCGAGGCTAGCGTGGACATGAATATTGATCCCATGACCCCCTTTGCTTTGCTGTTGCGAACCACAGATTGAAGTGATTCAGGCCGAAAACATACGTGGGTGGGTAGGTACCATAGGGAGGTAATTGCCAGATCTCACATGGACACATCATTGGCGAAGGGAAGAAGCGTAGGTAATGTATTTGCTTTGATATTGATGTTTATTGTTGTCAGTGACTCATATCTCATAAATTAAAACCATCATTACATAACGTGAATAGGTATAATTTTAATCAAAAATCCTCCCGAATACAGCGCTATCCTGGTGTACAGTATTACTTCCAATCTCGTAGTCTCAGCATAAAGGCCGCCTTGAAGTCGTCAAGCAGCAGGCCATTCATTGCATACCTAATCTGTACCCAGGCAAGAGTAGGTAGGTAGATAATCTTGAAGATCAACTCCAAGTCGTAAAGGTGTCTATCGTTTATTCCTTCTTGAAGGTAGACTTGACGATGTTGGACCAGCCGCCAAACAAGTACTGGTCTGAGTGCCGACCACAGTGTGTGTACACATTCACGGTCGGCGAGTGTGGCTTTGAAACCGAGCAGGACTTCTTGCGGCTCGTCGAGGTGTGACCGCCCAATTCCTTGCGGTAATCTTCGAACGTGCTGCTCTTAGGAGACTCCTGCCCCTCATTAGCCTTGAGCTCGGCAATAAAGCATCGTAGTTTGCCAACTTTGGACATCTGTTGGTCTGAGATGGAGGAGCTAATGCTACCTGGGCGACGACGTGAGGATTCGTCGGAGCTCCTAAGCTTCAGCGGCGCGGGGGATGGACCTCGAGGCATATTGGCTTGAGGATGGCCGAGGTTGATGTAAAAGATTTATAGGACTTGTGATGTGTATGTTCCTCTGCTAAGCGGGGGTTTAGGACAGCAACAAGCTATTTGGCGATTCAGAGAGTATGTATGTGCATGTGTGTGTGTTTGTGGATTGGTATAAATGCTTCGAGCTTAGACAAAGCTGTTCTTGAGTTGACAGTAGCAGTATTGCAGTATAAAAGAAGAATGAATGCCCTCCAGGGTTACTAAGTTTAGCACGCACACCTGGTGCAGTTATGTGTAGGAATGTGTTGATCGCACAATGAATCTAAATAGAAACACTTTGACCTTGGGGATCAGGGTCTAGAAATCTTGGTGCCTGGACATGTCTTATATATACCTACCTACATACATATTAAGATATACGAATCCTCTTTAATGGGAATAGAAAGGGAAGCTTGGCGGCTCAAGTAATGGGCCACTTGGCCCAACATCTGCATATACCTAGTATAAATGGTAGCTTAACATGGGTAGAGGGGCACAGAAGCAGGGTAAGTGGTTGGATGGCCTTGTGTAAGGCAACTGATGCATATGATACCTGCCCTATTGACCAATAAGCCCATGGCTAGCTGGAAGATAGGAAGAAGATAGGAAGAATATCATTGCAGGGAAGATGGGGAGATGGGGACAAGAAACGGCGTGTGACTTCTGTCCAGGCAAAACTGCCAATACTGATGTTAGTCACCCCGCAAGTGATCTTCTGCTGGAATGCTAGAGTCGTTGAAAGTGGGACAAGTCCAGTCAGCCCTATCATAATCGTCGGTGCCGTGACGCGCAGCCAAGATAATGATTTTCACTTTACATAGTAATGCTCTTCGCTATGTATGTAGGTTAGAAGAGTACCTACCTACACAGCATCAGCATGTACGGTTAGAAATGAGGAGAATGACGAAAATACAGGAACAAGCAAGGATCGGGAACTTGAATGATTGATGTTCAGGGTCTAGGAGGTATTAGTTCAACATTACGTCTCTACTCTGTCAGGTGGTACTACTAGTACAGAGTATCGGCAAAACGGCAAAGGATAGAATGGGCGAGGATATAAAAAGTTAGGGAGAGTGTTTGCCTACTACATAGGTAGCAATAGCTTGGAGGGTCGCGAACCAACTTAGGTAAGACGGTAGAGAAACGGCTCTGGTGATTGGTGCATGGAGAAGTGGAGATGGGAGCCGAATTCCCGGATCATTACCGCTGTTGAAACTTGAAAGTCTACTAGTAGGTAAGACAAAGAAGGTACTTAGGTACTTGTACATTCTTTGTAATAGTAAAATCCTCACAATCTCTAACAATATTGAACTTGGATATTTTCAGCTTGTGATGCGATGGGATAATGATAGTTGATAATCTTCCATGACTTTATGATTAAAATATCTTGATGTACAAGTTAATCGTGGGCTTGCCATTTAGAGTTGACGATATCGTTGATTTGAGTTGTGACTCGGAAGTTTGTAGGTTGCACCGTTGACAGTACTAATTAGTACTGAAATCACTGGGCTGTCAGGTGCCTCAGACATCCAGCCAGAGACAGTTCAAGCCACAGTTCAAGCCAAGCCGAACCCGGCATTCGAGGCGCAGGTTGGCTCGGGTAGTCAGTCGGTCGGGCTGGGGGGTCAGGAAGGAGAAATACTGGGTCCTACCAGACACTTTAACTTCAACGTACCCACGCAACCGCGTCCCCCAACCCGACCCCTTTGAGCGGCTCATAGGGCTGACCTTGAGTTTTGAGCCGCAATGGTAGCGTCGTTGATATGATGCAAATCTGGGGATGGGACCTTTAAGATATTCTTAATCGAAGTTGACCAACTTTACATATCACATTTGATTCTAAGTGAAACACTTCCCGGGCAGTGAAACGTCAAAAATTAGTCAATTAGATAGTATTTGTGAAGGCGATCTACCTCAATTTCATAAAATCTACGTTTTGGCACTGTAACTCGGGAAAATGCAAAATGTCGAGGATGTTGGGATTCGATGTTGAAAATTGGGATTGAAGATTGATGGTTTGTCGGGGTCGTCAGGGTTGGAGTTGTTTTGACAATTTTTGGTATGACACGCCAGATGGATTCTTGGCATATAAAGTTGATTGGTCAAATTCAAAATACAGTGGATCTATCATGTTTTGCAGTGGCCCGTGCATCCCTACCCGCTTGGTGCAGGGGCGCAAGAAACGCGCGACAAGTGACTACCTAAACCTTAGTAGACCCCCCAAAAAAAGCTCCTTTGCCCTTTGCTTTGCTTTGCTTTGCTTTTGCTTCCTAATCATTAACAAATGCTTTGGCGCCTTTCACGATTTACCCCTACCTCGTCTCTTCCTTCACTTTTGCAACTGGCGCTTTGTTTGGCCCCGGTTACCTATCAAACCAATTCAAAGTTCACCAACATCTATCCGATAGTCAATCTTTTGGCGTCCGCCGTACACCAAACTGACACGCTCCTTACTCGAATTCTTCTTGATAGTCTTTGATATAATCCAAGTCTTCTACCATCTATTATCTATCTTTATCTTTATTCTAATTTTATTCTCAATCTACCACTTCGAATCGATCCTTCAATTATCTGCCGACATCAATATCTCATGCCTTACTCTATCATTTCGACATAATCCTACCGTCATATCAATCTATCGAGCCTATATTCGAACTCAGCCTCAGCCCCGGTTCCTGCCTGAAAAACCGCCTCTTATACACCGTCTGCGGATCCCTAAATCTAGTGAAGGAAGAACATAGAGCTGGGTGACAATACTATCCAAGTGTAAGGGCGATCCTGATCTAGACGAACTGCGTAACTTGAGCACCATATGCATTACTCCATAGGTGTGGAACGCGCTGCCGTTGTCTCGAGTTCTCAGCGCATTGTTGGGTGATTGCCTTCACCTTACCTACCCCTTCCGAGTTTCTCCTAGGTGCGTTGGCGCAGACTCGTACGTCTTTCCACAACACTACTTTCTTTACCTCCCCTGAATTACCCAAGGTATGAGACTGACAAAGCCTAGCGACTTGACTCTCCGTCTTATGTGAAGCAGTACACGAGTACGTTCACTCAGCGTAAACTTGTTTGTTCTCGAACTCAAACTTTTGCCGAGCTTTGGTTTTCCATTGCCTCTGTTTCGATCGTACCGTTCTAAAGCGTGTTCACTAAGTATGTGGCTTATCTTACTCCCTTTGTACTTCTCGAAATCATCGTGACCTAGCCTCATCATAACTGTACCTTTTCGAGTTTATGCCGAGCCCAGAGGTCCATCCCATACCTTAGCATACCTTCGCACTCTTATTTCTTTAAATTCCTCCTACTTAATTACTCTATGCACCTTCTCCTGTTCATTCTATACCACGTAACCACGCTTGACTTGCCCTGCTAACTAACTTAGCTCTTCCGCTACTGGAAGATCAATCTTCAAAATGGCTGGGAAACGAAAGCGCGATATCCTTGATTTTGACCCCAATAAATCTGATTCGGACGATGAAAATTTCGAACCAAATGTCGACCGTCCACGCTCTCAGAGAAAATCGCGACTACACAAAGCTAACAAGCCTGCTGTTCGTAAGAGGGGTAAATATCGAGGATCCGATATTGAAGACGACGACGACCTCGCAGATAGTGACCAAGAAGACTCATTTGCTGAGAACGATGAGGAGGAGGACGAGCCTGAGCCCCTCATTAATGAGAATACCGGTCGTCGCATCAGGAAGGCTGCTACAAAGCAACTCAATTACAGAGAGACCTCTGATGAAGAAGAGCTCGTCCAAGATTCGCATGACGAAACCGATGATCTTATCAAGGACCCGCCTATCAAATCGCCTATTAAGTCGCCTATTAAATCGCCCCGGCACACGAAATTGATTACACTCAAAGTGCCTCCGTCGGCACGCAAGACCCGGGCAACTGCCAATATGAATGCGCCTGTGGTCGGGACTAGGAGAATGACTCGAGCTCGTACGCAGGAAAAAGATGACGCCGAACTTGTCGAATTGTCAACATCGGGCAGGCATTCAAAACTAGCTCGAGGCTCCAAGAGTAAGAGTCCGGAAACCCTAGGACGAGTTGGTCGACCGACTCGTAGCGCGAAAGGTGTAAAGAAGACATTTCCTACTGTGATGGAAGTTGACACTCAGGAAGAGGAGCAACCGACCCAGGCTGAGGCTGAGGCCATTCCGGATCCTATCATTCAAGACAATGATATAGTGGAAGAGACTATACTTGAACAAGTGGATAACGTGGGCGAAAATGCCGAGAAAGGTCCAGAAGACCCCATGGAAACGGTAGAAACAGTCGAGATAGTCGAACAGACTAACAACGCCGACGAGGAAGAAGAAGATGATGATGATGATGACGTCCCTGTAGCTCGTAAAACCCGTGGCGCAAGAGCCAATCAAAAGCAAGCCTCTACGGAAGATGCGCCTGCTGAAGACGGCGACACCGTCAGTAAACTTCGCGGCCGACTCACCCGAAAGTCTCGACTCAGGAAATCCCTCCAAGAGCCCAGCAGCGACTTTGAGCCTGGCAATGATTCTGCAGAGAATAACGAGCCTGATTCCGAAGCTAACAACAATGCCGGGGTCGATGATGATGTCTCGAGCCCTAGTGCTCGTGGAAGGAGATCATCTCGAGGAAAGGGAAGAAGGGGAACGAGGAGATCTCAACGACTGAATGAGTCGGGCGACGAGGATGAAGTTGATGAGAACGAAGTGGCGGAAGAATTAGAAGATCTTCGCCAGGACTCTCGTTCGCGAAGGAATCGTCGCTCGCCCCAAATTCTTTTTGAAGAAAAGAAACAAGAGAAGAGACGACGGAGAGGCCAGCCGGTAAATTATGCCATACCCCCTCTCAATGCATTTGCCGTCGAGCAAGAGGATGAAGACCCGGCTCCAACACCAGCCCGTCGCCGTGGCGGACGCGCAAATGGAGGTGGTGGCTGGGATCATAATCTGCATACCACCGCCGGTGCTCTTGGAGGTGTTGGCATGACTGGCGCGCTGCTCGGTGGCCCATGGGGCACTGGCGCCGCAGGTGGAGCCGATTCTGATAGCAGCGACGACGAGATGAATACCCGCTCGGGTATGGCTGGACTCTTTGGCATGACACCAACTTCTGCGGTGGCTCCTCCGCTTGGTCCCTCGGCCCAAGCTAATGTTGATGGTCCTGGTGGTCTTCTTGGGCCTGCCCCCAATGTGGGCAAGATCAAGAGTCACAAGGCTCTCGCCGATGCGGATCCGTTGGGTGTAGACCTTAACGTTGACTTCACCCAGGTCGGTGGTCTGCAGGATCATATCAACCAACTCAAGGAAATGGTCCAGCTACCTCTGCTATATCCAGAGCTCTTCACAAAGTTCCACGTCACTCCCCCGAGAGGTGTATTATTCCACGGCCCTCCTGGAACGGGAAAGACACTTGTCGCCAGAGCTCTTGCAAATGCGGCTGGCGTTGGTGGTAGAAAGATCACCTTCTACATGCGTAAAGGCGCCGATGCCCTCAGTAAATGGGTCGGTGAAGCTGAGAAACAACTCCGCCTTCTCTTCGAAGAAGCGCGAAGAACACAGCCAAGTATCATCTTCTTTGATGAAATCGATGGTCTAGCACCGGTTCGTTCGAGTAAGCAAGAACAGATCCATGCTTCCATTGTTTCTACATTACTGGCCCTCATGGACGGCATGGACGGCAGAGGCCAGGTTATCGTCATTGGTGCAACCAATCGTCCAGATAATATAGACCCTGCCCTTCGTCGACCGGGCCGTTTTGACCGAGAATTCTACTTCCCCTTGCCTGACGTCAATGCGCGCAAGTCTATTATCGAGATTCACACCAAGGACTGGGGTCTTTCCGACGAGTTCAAGATGTCGCTGGCTAAGGATACAAAGGGCTATGGTGGCGCCGACCTGCGCTCCATGTGTACTGAGGCCGCACTAAACGCCATTCAAAGAACGTATCCCCAAGTCTACCTGTCCAAGGAGAAGCTTATTGTCGACCCAGACAAAATCACTGTGCAGGTGACCGACTTCATGCTTTCCAAGGAGAAGATGATTCCTTCCTCGGAAAGGTCCGCGACGTCTGGAGCCAACCCATTTCCAAAACCTATCGAGCCACTCCTTCGAGATCAGTTCAAGACTATAACCAATCTCGTAGATCGTGCCTTACCGCTGAAGAAGAAAGTGACGGCCCTGGATGAAGCAATGTATGAACCTTACGACGACGAAGACTTTGGGTTTGGCCGAGAAGCTTTGCTACAAGAGTTTCACAGATTCCGCGTGTATCGCCCGCGTCTTCTAATATGTGGCTCCCCAGGCATGGGCCAAGTCTATATCAGCGCTGCCCTTCTTCACTACCTCGAAGATGTTCATGTGCGGAACTTTGATCTCGCAAACATCCTCGGTGACCCCTTGGTAAGTGTTAACTATTATTTATATATATACCTACTCAGTGGATACTTTAGCGACTAGGAAGAAACTAATTTGTTGCTAGCCCGCCGAGCAAGTTCTATATGCATTTTTCGCCGAGGTCAAACGACAGAAACCTAGCGTGATCTTCATCCCGAACGTCGATGTCTGGTACGAAACATTAGCTGGGCCGGCTCTAACGGCATTCATATGCATGCTGAGGACAATCCAGCCTACCGATTCAATCATGCTTGTAGGAACTGCGGAGACCGAGTTGGAAAACCTCAGTCCCGATCTCAAGCGTGATTTGTTTGGATTGTCTAATTCCAACTTCGTGGAAGTATCTCGTCCAGCGAAGGTAAGTTTACTCTTTTTGCTGGGAAGATGGAGAAATACTGACGAATTTTGTTTAGGAGAATCGCCAGGAGTACTTCAATAGGATACTGTTGCACATAAGAAGATATCCCAAGGACTTCCCCGACCCTGCTCATCGTAAGAAGCGAGTATTAGAGGAACTTCCTGTAGCTCCGCCTCCTCCGCCCAAGGCGCTCACAAGAGAAGAGATTACGGCTGAGAATCGCATGTACCGACGACAATTAAATCTTTTGAAGAATCACCTACAACCTATTTTAGATCAGATAAAACGCAGGTACAAGTCGTTTCGATCTCCTGCTATACCCGCATCTGAGTACCAATACCTCTTCGACGAGGCGAACCCCAACTACGTCCGACCCGACGTAGCAAACGCCCCCCCGCGCCCATATGCGCTGGCGAAGGATGAGAACGGAACTCCAGGACTTCTGAAGACTGATACGAACGTGTTCTTTTACAATCTGGACACGGTGACTATTGAGGAGAGACTGGCCAACGGTTACTACATTAACCCGGACGCGTTTTTGAAAGACATCAAGTCTCTCGAACACGATGCCAAGCACGCTGGTGATAGAGCGACATGGCTCAAGGCTAATGAGCTCGGCACTAATGTTGACGTCGACATTGCAGAAATCACCGAGAAGTTTTCTAGGGCAGTGGACTGGGACTATGAGTGGAAACGGGAGCAATTTCGCAGGAGAGAACTCAAGCGAATAGAGAAGAAGGAGAAAGAGGCGAGACAGACTCTTGGCGGTAAGACACTGCGTGAACCGGTTAACGGCCAAGTCCCTGCCCCTAAGCTTCCTAATCCCGTAACGCCACGGAAGCTGCACACTACTACGGCCCAGTTCCAACTCATCGCCGACGAATCAAGCACCAATGGACAGGGTTCCCCATCCCGTTCACTTGCAAACGGAACTTCGGTTCCGTCTCGAGCTACGGGCCAAGACCTTCCCATGGTCGATGTTGACTCCCCGCCGGCCGTTGGCCCACACTTGTCGATGCAGCCACCATCGCAGTGGCCTCCTATAGAGGCTCGATCTACCCATACATCCGTGCGAGCGACGACAGGAGGCACCAACCAGTTTTCCCAAGTCTCAGCTGTGCAGTCTCTTCCCCCGGGTGTATCACCATCGGCATTAGTGAATGATGCGTCGACTACCAAGACGACTGATCCTTCTCACCGATCCTCTAATTTCAGCACGCAGGCAACGAACGGTACCCACAACGAGCAATCCAGCATTCTCGAAAGCAATCCGGATAACAACATCCCAGATACTCAACCATATGCCTTACCCAGCCAAGCGACGTCTGGTGATGAGCCATGGGTTCATTCACAGTTTCGCGAACTTTACCAAGGATCCATTCCGCATTCTGGCTCATCTCCAGGATCGCATGCCCATACATCACCGGTCCGTGGCAAGTCGTCGCATGTTGCCAGTATGGCAAACCTATTGAATGATCCCTCTCCCGACGAGCAGTCCCAGTCCCAGTCGCAATCGCAATCACAGCGACAGCTCGGCTCTTCCGCCTCCCAGCAGGTCGAGTTGGACGAGACTCAAGCGCAGTTCTTCCTTGATCAAGTGACAGAACGCACCTCGGGCTGTACGATTGAGCAACTCCAACAGATATATCGTGAGATGATGGTGGAACTTTGGCGAACGAGAGGCGAACATAATCGCATGAAAGTACTCAACACTGTCACGCGCGTCTTCAACGAGGCCATCAATGACATCGAGTCGGTTCAGGGCCTACTACAGCCTAGCCAATGAATGACTGATTGGAATATGATAAATCAGACGAAAAATGGTTACTTTTGTGGATATATGAGGGGAAACCCAGTCTCCTTCCCGGTGTAATTATAGTAAACTAGAGAAGGCAGTCGAAGGGGATTGTGCAGCAAGATTGCACTGTTTGCAGAAACGCCGATTATCCTCCTGTCACTGTCACGAAATGGCCTTTGTCAGAGCAGGGTATTTACGGCTCACTTGTTAATGCATCGTTGAGCCTTTTGGCTCGCGCCTCCCTACTTCCCCCCATGTGTACACTCCAATACGACTACCTGTTAGGTAGAAATGAATCGAGACTTTCAAGTTGTTAATGATGTCAGATACAATGGTCTTTTAATTTGTGATGGGCTTGTGTCAATGTGCTGTGATTGCTATTGTCTACTGGCTAACCTAGGTAAGTTAAGGTAGTCTATGGATTGCCACTCTATTTTCGTATCCCAGATGTGATTGATGCCGCGCAAACACGGTAAATAGGTATGTATGTCTAGGTATGGCTTACTTGCTAAGGTGAGGTGTCTACGTAGGGCTTTCCTAGGTAGGTACGCTATATCATACCCACGATGACAAGATCGTCGGTAGCACAACGCCTACCTGCTCGGCTTTAGATTCTCAATCGGGTAGCCGGACAAGATGGATTCCGCCGTGCTTCGATGCGCAAGGAGGCGTCCTAGAACTTCAGATGTTCATAAAGATGACAGGAGAAGATCGACAACGGCTGGGGTTTTTATTGGCTCTAATGGCAACAGGATCAAGGCTGGAAATCAGGCCTTATAGGGGCGGTTTGTGTTGCTGTAAGCTGAGAGGCGATCATGAGATGGGAGGGGGTTTGAGAGGCAATATCACGACCGTTGTTATATGTGGCTTGTTAGCGGTTCGCAGCATATAGCATTAATACATCTTCGCAAACCGCCCGGACATTCTCAGCACCTAGGTACGTAGCCTCCAAGATCCTCCCATCTGTCTTTAGCCTTCTCGTTGGACCAATTGGAATGAATGAGCAAGGCCCGTCATTAATTAGGTGCGGCTGAGGTTTAAAACAAGCATTTCGCGTGTAACGGTGAGAAAGAGCCACAAGTTTTATTTATAAAGAAGCCTTGGAAAAACGGACGAGTAAGACAGTGTGTGACGTGGGATGTGGAATGGAGGATTGGGGTGAGCTCCTGTTGGGCTTTAGTGACGTCGATACTCACGATCGATCGAGGAGTGTGGTGTCGATATGATGGGTAGGTACTTGGGATAGAGGCATACGAAAATGGTGGTAAGTTTCTAATAAGACTTCTGATGCGTTTATTATAGCTAGGCTATGAATAGTAACGCCGTGAGTATGTACACTCGTACGCATGTACGCAGGTATGCGCAACACAATGCTGACTAGGTAACGCGCTTCACCGCTCGATCCCAAGTCCTCGCTCTCAAGCGACGAAGTCTCTAGTTCTTCGAAGTCTTCGAAGAAAGGAGAGGTTGGGTTTAGGTATAAATATGAGCTCGACCCCCAGCCAAGACAAAAAACAAACAAACAAACAAGCAACAGCTCCAAACCTAGCAAGCACACAAGAAGCCAACCTCAACACAATATCACTTTAGCTTCATCTTCTACCCACAGTAGTCCTTAACAAACACTCACACTCACACTCACCCACATCCAAACACCCAAAATGAAGTCCACCCTCGCCTCCCTCCTGGCCCTCGCCTCCGCAACCAACGCCTTCCTGATCACCGACTGCAACACCGGCAAAATCACCAACTACGGCGACAACAAGTGCCAGATCTGGACGGCCGCCGACTTCTCCTTCCAGAGCAACGCCGGCTGCACGCTGTACGCGTACTCCGAGGGCAACTGCCAGGGGTCCATCTTCGAGACGGCGACGCAGAACCAGTGCCAGACTGCGCCGAATGGAGTCGTTTCTGTGAATTGCCGGACTTAGAGGTGCTTACTCTGGGGATGCCTTGGGGGGGGGGAGATAGGGGTATAGGTGGAATATATGAAAAAAAAAAAGGAACGGTTGACGATATGGTTGATGTGGTTTCTAAAAGATGGTATGAAAGGGGGGGGGGGGGTTGACTTGAACGCTCTTTTGAGGAGATTTGTTTTCTGAGGTGTTACTTATACCATGTATAGTACACCATACTCGCTCGTTATAACTTTGTGGGCTTGAAATTAGTTCATTTGAAGAAATATATTACTTTTGGACTTCTTGACAAGCCTAATACTTGGCTGCCTCTTGACTAGGTACAGTAGTATGTACCTAGGTAGGTGTGTAAGTGTGTAGGTAGTTTCGTAAAAGGGGGGTTGATATGTGCAACAGTACCTACGTAACAAGTTGGACTTTATTCGTTTAAAATATTTCGGAACACTGAAAATGAATTCGCGGACTTGAATTTTATACGGCCCAGACGATACTTTCGTTGACTAGAACTGCCTCTTACTACTAGGTACTAGAGAGCAGCAGGTACAATGGTACCTGCCTAGATAGGTAATATGTGCATGTTATGATTGGTTGACAGTGGTTGAGATCAGTTCTTAGCCAATCAGAGCAGCTCTTTACTGGTTTAATACAACACCACCAAGATAATCAAAGTCAGATCCCCCACTGCTTAAGCCACTCATCAATTAGACCTTCATCTATTTTCCTCGTTGCCTGCATTGCTCTACTGTTCTTTACTGCTTTTGAGCTGTCAAATCTGGGCTGCAAGGCAAACCCGCGCCGCCCCGTCTCAGCCAGATGCTGGAAGAATGGGAATATTTTCGTAGATGATTTGGCATCAGCCTCCGGCATAGTGTTTGGGTCAGCTCGTACTAAAGCATCAACCCATTCCGCCAGCGATGTCTGCCGACAACCACCCTCAGCTTGACTCTTGTCGAGGGTAAGTCGTCTCTGCAAGGCTTCAGCGAAGATAGACCAGTCTGATAAATTCGGGTTGACGACGTTGAAGACCCTGAGCTGGTCCGCACTCGCATTGTCCTCATCACTACGGAGAAGGGCCAGCTCGACGATGGCCCGACTAGTTGCTTCTACTGGTATCCAGTCGATGTCCGGGAGATCAGAAGGAACTAATCGTAGCACCTTAGAGATGGCAGCTAGTGAAGGAACCCACTCATCTGTCGACCACTTGCCTCCTCCACTACTTGGGTCTATTGGGCCCGCCACCTGCCCAACGCGGAGGATTGTGGCAGGCGTGCCGGATGTACGGCTGGCCATATCCAACAAACGCTCCGCTACGTGCTTTGATTGGCCGTAACCGAGAGGAGATGCGACTTCATAGGACTCGAGGGGCGCCTCATAAACAGCCCGGGACGGAAAGACAGCAGCCCACTGCTGGACGGACGCAGTGGATGATACGAAGGCGATTCGCGGCTTCAGAGGGCTCAGAGAGGAGAGCTCGACCAACTCGCGAACGCTGCGTAGGTAGGTTTCCCTATACGATTCAAGCGTCCAGGAGAAATCGACGCGCCATGCATTGTGAATGAATACGTTTACTTCGTTAACTAGCTCGTCGAAATGGGCGGGGGAGAGGCCGAGACGAGGCTTGCCGAAGTCGATGGACATGAATGATAGACGTCCGTCGTCGACGTTGCCAGACAGATTACGGTCTCTGAAAATCGCACGCAAGCGCTCCTTTCCATCCTCCCCACGGTTTAAGCAATATATTTTTCCCACTCGGGGGTCACACAGGAGGTCTCGCACGATGTGAGGTCCTACTGAACCTCGCGGTCCTATCAGGGCAACGTTGATGCTACCAGTGGAGATAGCGGGAATAGCTCCAGAAACTGCGGCCGGTTTGGGGGGCAACGCTTCTGTAAGATCCTTGAGGACGCTCTTCATGCCTTCGATATCGTTGCTAATAGAGACATCTGGAACCTCCTTTTTGGTAATTATGTTGAGGATGACACTTGCGAGCTTCTCGATAGTCGGATTCATATATACGAGGCGCAGAGGTATCATGTCAGCGGTGCCCCTGCCTATAGCCTGCGCTTGGCTGGCGAGCCCCCTTTGGAGGCTTCTGTTAAGTGCGGCAGCACCAAGAGAGTCCAGACCACTGACAAATATATTGTCTGTGTCGGAGATGGGGATGCCTTTGAGATGATCCGTAACATGCTTCCGTACAAATTCTTTTAGGCCGGGAAGGAAAAAGCTTGTGAGGGCGCCGCCCACAGCCGCCTGGTCTAGCTCAGGATTCTTAGAGCTATCATCAGCATACGCAGATTCAATATCTTTAGCGTAGGCTTTCGTCGTTAGCTTTCGGACAATGCTCCCCTTGGGTGCGCGAATAAATGGTCGCTCAGGGTCTGCTAACAAAACCCTAGAACGGTCAATCTTGGCATACCGCGGCGCAATCTTGTTTGCGTCATCAATGGTGGGCCATATTTTTTCGATAAAGGCACTTTGGCTACTCCCAGCCTCGTACGCGCCAGGCTTAGGCTCTACAATCAAGAGCGGTTCCGATTTCCCTTGTCCGACAATGAGAGCCCCAGCGAGTAAGGGGTTTCCCTGTATCAAGGTCTCCATTTCAACTGGGCGCAGCTTATAGCTACTCGAAAACACGATGAGATCATCCACCCGACCATGAAAACGCCATAGCCCGGGCTTTGAGGGGTGAGGGACAAACAAGTCACCGGTCCGCCACTCCTTGTGACCGGGGAAGTTGTGCCACACTGACCGTCGCGTGGCAAACCTCGCGTCTTGATGTAGGACCATCTCGAAGCTGCCGTCTTCGCAGGGCTGCATGTCGGCCTCCTCGTAGGGGTTGAGTTCCATGTAGGACCATTCCCCTGACTGTGGAACAAGGAGTTGCACCTGACCTGTCTCAAGCGAGCCGTACATCTGACAGACGTTCGTGTGTTGGCTCAGCGCTTGTCCAACGTTGGGGGAAAGGGGACCGCCGCCGTAGAGAATGAAATCGAGCTGCTCGGCTTGCTCTTTGGCTGCTGGTTCTGCGGCCCATTGCTCGATAATGAATGGTGGTACGTAGAATGCCTGCACATATTGATGTTTGAGGATCTCCGACAGGAGATAGCCACTCGGTGGTATGTTCGTGGGGCCAAAGACAACGGTTGCGTTGCCGTAGAATATCGGTAGATCGATGTAGGCGTGAACCCCAGCCAGCTATTTCACAAATACATTCGTTCAGATGTTGCAAAATATCAAGAAAGTCTAACCATAGGGTATCCAACTTACATGATAAGGTGGAAAGCATGAGTAGAACTTGCTTGGTACCCCTTTGAAATCGAACTGAACCGCATTTTGGGGACTACGGCCTTCTGGCACGGGCATGTATCTATCAATATCTGTACAAGCAAATGTCCCGTGAGTCATAGTCACGAGTTTAGGATCCCCTACGAAGTTAGTAAGTTGTTTAAGCACGATGACCAAGTCTCAATGCGCTCTTCAATATATCAGAGGCTTAGCTTACCGGTCGAGCCTGAGGAATGGAGTATGAGACACGGCTCGTCCCGCACCTCGTCAAAGCTCCTTTCATACGGATAAATCTCCGTGTCATCGGGCGTCTGCAGCAATTCCTTGAGCGAGGGGACAGCCTCGAGAACAACCGACGACAGCTGCGGGACGCGAAGAGCTTCAGACACCATCGCCATCTCCTCGGCGTAGAGCAAGGCGCGGCACCCGGACTTCAGCAGCATCCGCTCGTTCTGCGCCGCCTGGTTCCGCGGCGAGACGAACAGCACCTTGTACCGGCACTTGACGGCCGCCAGGAAGACGGCGGCGTACCGGATGTCGGCGGGTCCGATGTAGGCGATTGTCTCCAGGTTGCCGGCGCCCAGGAGGCCGGAGAGCCAGGTCGAGAGCCGGCTTGCGATGGCGGACAGCTTGCGCATGGTGATGTCGAGGTAGCCATCGGAGAGGTCGGAGGTGGATTTGGGGATGGAGGCGTAGACTTTGTGGGGGCTGGTGCGGGCGTAGTGGTCTACTACTTGGGGGAGTAGTCGTTTGCCGATTTCCATTGTTTGCTCGACCGCGGGGTGGCGCGGTGGTGGATTGTTGGGCTGTGAGGTCGTGTTGAAGCTGGAACGGACGGAAACTCTTTCTATATATGTGGAGTCCTCGCCTACAAGTAGGTTAGGTAGGTATACATAGAGAAGGGGAGGGGATTGATATACGAGGAGGATATGGAAGTGCTGGAGCTTTTGGGGAATAGTGGAGTACAAGAGTAAGGGAGGGTCACGATACCCTTACCATTTCGTATCACAATGAAGAATATACTAAAGAGTAATGCTATATATAGATTAGGTACTTCTATCCCTTCAGTGTAGATTATCTTCCTTCCATACAGATTGGTTCTGCAACAACTGGCAATGACCCCCTTATTTTATGGAATGGCTTATTACATCTTATACTGAGGGTAATATCGATAGAACACGAAGTGTAGTTAATCTAAAAGTCTATGGTATAAAAGTTAGAGTATAAGATCTATCAATATCATCTAGGTACCTATGTGCCCAGCTCCTTTGTTCTATTACATGTCGCATGATCACTCGATAGGCCCGAAGCCCTTTCGTGTCCACATTTTCTAATTTACTTCATTGCCCTTTTCCCCCGAATATTATGGCTGAATTATAGGTACCTTACGAGGCCGCTATCTAAACTTCCCTGATGCTTTTAAGGGGTTATTTTTGGGAGCTAAGAGGCTCGAGGCCGTGTTTACTTGGTATATGAAGGAGTCGAGTCACTACATTGAACCCTAGGATACGACTACCTACGTAAGCTATAATCTAATAACAGCTAAAGAGTGGTACATAGTTTATATGATTTTTACTTGATACCTAGTATATTCGCCAGCGAGATACGATATAGCTTCATTTCTGTTTATGTTAACATTCATCACTTATACTAAAACTTGACAGTTGTCTCTAAAATGTGCCGTTTCATCTTGAAAACGCCATCTTCGTACAGTAAAGCTATGAATTTACTCATGTACACCTAGCACAGATTTATGCATACCTACCGTACTAGTGCAGGTAAACTTAGAGCCCTTAACATCACCCACCCACAAACAGCACCAACTGCATCAACGGCACTAGCCCCAACACCAATAATATTAATGCCACCACCAACGTCGTTTATAGGTATGCTCAATTCATTGGTCATCGTGTCACCGCCCGAACGCTAAAGTAAGACAGATCCTTCGAAGGTGTCTCGGGACGAGCCTACTCTACCCGGGCCGTCTCCATCTGCGCAGATGAACTATCTAACTAGTACCACTTTTATAGTGATGCAAGTTGTTAGGTATAATTTCATCTTGCCTCATATCCGACACCAAGAAGACACAAAGAATCGATGGGCTGCATAAATAATGGGATGTTTTGTGGAATAGGGGCGGCGGACTAGGCAGGTATGAAATCGGAATAATAGGGACACGGTATTGGAATCTCGGAAGATGCCGAACAATATCGTTGTTGCGTGCGGATCTCTTACAACTCCGTGTACATGTAGCCCTCTTTGTTCTAGCCGACATCCGGATATGTTCTTGACATCATGAACCTCCTATTTCGTTTGTTGATACTTCGGTTTCTATGAATGAGTACGGCCGTACGAATATCAATTGCCGCGCATCGGATAGGCACTTCCTGTTTGATCGAGTCGTATTTGTAAAGTTCTTCATCACCAGGCCGCCCACTTTTTGCAATACGCTTGAGAAATCACATCCTTCCCCGTCTTATACTATTGTTTCCATGATGATAGTATTGAAAATAGATACTATATTTTTCCTACTTATACCAAGCCGCTTATCCCATATGTAATCGATTATAACAAAGCAATGTCTAGCCCTAGCCAAGGCGCGATTCCTCAAAGAGGTATCAATGAAATAATCGTGACTACGACTTTCCTGGTGCTCGCCATCCTTGCCGTCATCGCCCGGTTCTATTCTCGTTATCTGCAACAGAGGCCATATTCAGTCGATGATTATATTATCATCGCGAGTCTGGTTAGCTTCCTTTCAGTATCTTCTCTTCTTGCCAGAGGAGGTCTAGCTAACACAGTGGCTAGATATCTACAGCCGCTGCAGTTGGTGTGGGTTACGCACGTGTGTTAATCACTATTATTCCTCAGAGGCTTTGCTCCATTAGCTAACACTTGCCTGGCTCAGTTGTACTCAAGGGCGGTGCTGGGCTTCATAGGGAGGATGTCACGAGTGAGCAGTTTTCAATCACCCTCAAGGTATGGTTAAGGGTTATCTCGTCGCTGAATATATCTACCCCTAGCTACAAAGTAGGCAGGCCATTCAACTAATGGTAGTAATAGCTCTTCGTGGCTGCTCCACTTCTCTGGGTAATCTCAACCTCTCTGGTGAAACTCTCTGTCCTTTGCTTCTACATGAGCATTTTCACCTTCCCAAGAATACGCAAGGCAGTCTATGTAGTCATCAGTCTTACCATTGCCCTGATTTTCGCCGTAATCCTTGAGTCATTCCTCCTTTGCCGACCTTTCAAGTTCACGTGGGACAAGGAGATCCAGGGAGGTGTCTGTGGTAACGCCGTATATGCCTACCTGGCTATATCTATCATAAACCTCGTCATAGATTTTGCCGTGGTCCTCTTGCCAATGCCGATTCTCTGGAAACTACAGATGCCGGTGGGGAAGAAGGTGGCCATCAGCGCTATGTTGGGGCTTGGTATTGTGTAGGTTATCTCCCATCTCATCGGTTATACTCTGTTTCCCCTAAGAGAGTTAGAATAAATCATTCTCATCTGTCTCCATTAGTATCTGCGCCCTATCCGCAGCGCGCGTCAAGAGTGTCCTCGCACTAGACACGGCGGACTTTACCTACAACCTCGTATACGATCTAATCCTTGGCGCGCTGGAACTCGAATTGGGCATTGTCAATGCCTGCTTACCCATCCTACGCCCCTTGATCCTCAAGATCTTCGCGACTGATTCGGTAATTTTCAGGGGATGGAGTAATAAGGCGGAGCCTGCTGGCGGCCCGAAGACATACAAGAACATCAGGATCAGCAAGAATAGAAACTTTGAATGCTTGTCGAGCAGCATGTACCCATTAGATGAGATAGCACCTGGGGTATCGTCAAACGAGACAACGGCTCAGGTTCAGGACCACACTTGCTGCATCCATTACACCCAAGAGGGCAAAGAACCAGGTCCGGGTGAAATCAGGGTACAGAAAGATGTTTATTTGTATCGGTTCTCTGCGTTCTGCTAGATGGGTATAATCAGGTAAATAGGGGTTGCATAATGGCAAATGAAGATTGGTGGACAAGCACACGTTTAAATGGGGGAGCTACATCGGTATTGGCAATTTATATGAGCTAAAGGGGGCTAACTTATCTAGGTAAATATACACTACACCTATGGCATGGTGGAGAGAGCAGTGGGAGCGAGTATAGCATAATCACCCATATGTTCCAAAGTTGTCTATCAGCCTCGACGTTGCTGTTCGCTACGGTGCGGTAGGCTACACACGTTCCAAACCCCCCGAAAACGAAAACCGGCCCAAAATTTAGGGGAAAACCTGACCATACACCTTAATTCCGTAAACATTGATTGTAGGTTACCTATTAGAAAGCGAGATTTCGAGCGCCCATGAGGCGAAGGGCGGAGCAATAGAGGCCAAAGAACCACCAGTGGCAACCACATACACGCTTGCGGTTGTGGGAATATAATTCAATTGTTGGCGTCAAGTATAGGGGCAATGCTAAGGAGCTCGCTGCGTGTAAAAACCTAGACTACAATCGCCTTGGAAAGACAAGATATTCAACGGACAGGGGCAGGCGTTCTAACGAGGGTCCTCGAAATAATGATTAGCGTGTCCATTATAATACCTTGATATCTTGAGATCCCAAGTTCACAACTGCGCAGCCCGCTTGAAAGCAACCCATTTTGTAACGTTTTAAACGGTATTATGTTCAATGGATACGAAGCACTTAACTAATGTTACTATGTCATACATACATAGCAGAAAGGGCTGAGACATGTCTTGGTGAGCTGCAAGAGCCATTTGCAGCTTAACGGGATATGTGACACCCGCCCACCTACTTAACGTAGGTATAGGCAAGGAGGTAGGCAGAGTTATGAATAGGGTACCTCATGGATGTCATATAAGCAGTTCTTGATCTCCCTTACATTTCTTTGTGTTTATACCTACTCTTTTCTTTCATCATCCCGAAGTAGGCACTCCTTCCGTTCTCCCCTATTCTGCTCTTTCTTTGTATTGCTTCCCAACCTTTATTGCCCTTACTTCTTTGTTATTCTCCACCACCCCCCATGGCTTCCTCCTTTTCTCCCGACTACATTATTGTGGGCGGTGGTACAGCAGGCCTGGTTGTAGCTAACCGGCTATCCGAGGACCCCAACATTCGGGTCTTGGTGCTTGAGGCCGGAAAAGACCTCTCTGCGGATCCTAGGGTCAACATCCCAGCTTTCTGGGCGACCCTTATAGGCTCCGAGGCTGACTGGGATTTCAGAACCGTACCTCAACCACGCCTAGAAGGCCGATCCATTTTAGCCACCCAGGGTAAAGCTTTGGGCGGCTCTTCGGCCATCAACTGCCAAGCTTTCATTGCCCCAGCCCAGGCCGAGATCGATGCTTGGGAAAAGCTGGGTAACCCCGGATGGGACTGGGCTAGCCTAGTACCCTCCTTCAAGAAGTCGTACACGCTTATACCACCATCGGATCAAGCTACGCTTGACCACCTCGGTATCGACTGGATCGAAGACGAGTATCGTGGTACCTCAGGCCCTATCAAAGTATCCTTCCCAGGCATCGTTCAGAATCCTCTATGCAAGGCCTGGGTTGATGCCTTCCGTGGCTTGAACATGGCTACCAATGCCGGTAAGTTGGCTCGATAAACCAATGTACTACAGAAGTTAAGGGGCGGTAATCATATGCGTGTGTAACAATGAGTAACACCTGACCCCTTTTATATACATCAGATCCGTTCTCGGGTAATTCCATCGGAGGCTACAGTAATGCGGCAACTGTTGATCCAGAAACCAAGACCCGGAGCTATGCTGATTCCGCGTATGGTGCACCTATTCGCCAGAGATCCAACGTGCGGATTCTCGCGGAGGCTAAGGTTCAGAAGATTCTACTAACCAAGACGCCCGCCGGTATTGTCAAGGCCACAGGGGTACAAACCCTTGTGGAAGGCAAGGCCGAGATATTCACGCCTGCCAAAGACGTTATACTCGCGAGCGGTGTATTCAACACGCCTAAGCTCCTTGAACTCTCAGGTATAGGCAACCCGAAGGTACTAGAACGCCACGGCATCCAGGTCCACGTGAATCTTCCTGGGGTCGGCGAGAACCTCCAAGACCACTTGATGACGGGACTGAGCTACGAGGTAGTCGACGATGTCATGACGGGCGACCCGCTTTTGCGACAGGAACCCGAGGCGCTCGCCCAGGCCCAGAAGCTCTACACCGAGCATAAATCTGGCCCTTTCACCATTGGCGGCATGCAATCCCACGCCTTCATGACCACCCCCAACATCGCTGAGCTGCTCGACCAGTTTCCTCGCGCCCAGGACACTACCACCACCACCACCACCACCAACGACACCGAGTACTACAACACCATCCGCTCCATCCTCGAGGCCCCTGACAGTAGTTCCATCGCGTGGCTCATGTTTCTCGCGCAGGCCAACCTCCACGAAGACGAGAAGAGCTTCGTCGGCGGCCAGCTGCTGCCCGAGAACTTCGCCAGCCTGGGGTGCAGCCAATCGCACCCGTTCTCGCGGGGGTCCACGCACATCTCCTCCGCCTCCCCCTCCGCCTCCCCGCACATCGACCCGCGGTACCTCTCGCACCCGGCCGACCTGGAGATCCTGGCGCGCAACCTGCAGGCGCTGGACACGACGCTGCGGCCCGCGGCGCCGCTCGCGCCCTTCTTCAAATCGGGCGGGAGGCGCAACCACGCGGACGCGTTCCGCGTCAGCGAGGACTTGGAGGCCGCGAGGCAGTACGTGAGGGACACGGCGACGACGACGTTCCACAGCTGCGGGTCGGCGGCGATGCTGCCGCGGGAGAAGGGGGGCGTGGTGGATCCCGGGTTGAGGGTGTATGGGACGCAGAATGTGAGGGTTGTGGACGCGAGTGTGTTTCCGCTGATCCCGAGGGGGAATTTGATGGCGACGGTGTATGCGGTTGCGGAGAGGGCGGCGGAGGTTATTAAGGGGGAGTGAGGGGAGGTACATATGTGTAGGTATCAACCGCATCAACTAGTAACGAGTGAGGGTTGACAGGTAAACACAGAGTCGGAAATTGAGTCAGAACTTGACAAATCTAGGCAAATAAGGCTCAGTAGGATGTTGGAAAAGAAATTATAATTCATTATTAAACTTGAAGAAGTGATTTCTCAACCACTGAACTAAAGCAAGGGGCAAACTTTAGGTTAGGTGTTCATTGGATATCTTCGTTTCGCGACACCCCCCTCGCCATCAATTCATTGCCATGGCCTAACAAACTCCTGAAGTGGCTTGCTTCTCGCAACGCCCCCTTCAATGCAAATTCGGAACAATCCCCCCCCCCCTCAGCTCATAGCGTTGTCATGATAAGTTCTTTCATGTACAAGATTCGTTCCAGGTAGAAAATTGAGAGATCAACTCTTGAAGCAGTTGAACTTGCCGAAGCTGAACCGCCATGGTCCTCGATGCACGCCGTTGCGGCCAGCGGTGACACTAGTGCCGAAGTGGCGGCCGCCGAAGTGCTTGGTGTAGAAGAATGGCATTTTTCTTTTCTCCTTTTAGTATTGATGTATACAGGTGAGATGTTTGATTGGGTAAATGCTTACGACTTTGATATTGGTAGTTAAGGATGATGGTATGCTCTCTCTCTCTCTCTGAATTGTAGGTGTAGATGAGAATAATTAGGTAAGTTTGAGAGAAGATCAATTGTTGTTGCTTTTATTTATTTATTTATTCCCAGCAGCGAACACGAGATGGGAGCATGAACAAGGAACAGTTGGCTTAGCATGATTGAAATTGTAACGATTATTACGTCACAGGAGAGCTGGGCACGCTTGGCGGGCGACTATAAATGAATGAGCCACAATCTAAACGTAGCCACGCCACCCCGTTAAGAGCCTATTCGTGTATCCAGTCTGAGATAAGATTATGATTTTGTATCTACCTAGGAATCTAGGATCCACACATTTCTACATAACTACGAAGTATGTACGTAGCTCTTCACTTCTCACAGTTCAACTATGTACAAATAATAACCATCAATCTATTTCACAATAGTCAAAGCTTTCCTTTTCCTGGTCGTTTCCGAACGGAAGGAGCTGTGCACCATGTACTCACGATGACCATCGAACCAGGGTCGCCGAAAAGGCGACATATACTCTCCTCTATCAACCAACGATATCGTTCCGCTTCACCTCAACAAAGAGATGAACAGACGTCACCCGAAGCGGCACCACCACCACAGGAACCACAGCTTGAACCTGATGTAGGGCTTATGGGAGAAGGAGTAGCCACAGAAGCGACGGAAAAGAGGAAGAGGACATCCAAATTCCGCTTCAAGTCGAAGAAGAGTTCGGACTCCCGTCGTCATTCCTCCCGGCACCGAGATGATGATGAAGACCGAGACCGAGACCATGATCGCACTGATCGCAACAACAACGACGACGACGATCGCGAGTCTCGTCGACACCACAGACATAGACCCCACCGTCACCACCACCGCCACAAACGGCGACGCACCCGCACCCGCTCGCCAACCCCAGATAACCCATACGGCCCACCCCCCCTCGACACCGACGCCGCCTTCCGCGAGTCCCTCTTCGACGCCATGGCCGACGACGAAGGCGCCGCCTACTGGCAGAACGTCTACGGGCAGCCCGTGCACGTGTACCCGCGCTCGCGGCCCACCACCGGCGACGGGCTAGAGCAAATGAACGACGACGAGTACGCGGCCTTCGTGCGGCAGAAGATGTGGGAGAAGACGCACCAGGGGCTCCTCGAGGAGCGCGCGCGCCGCGAGGAGCGGCGGAAGCAGAAAGAGCTAGAACAGGAGGAAGCGAAGAAGCTGACGCGCGAGATGGAGCGCAGCCTCAGGCGCGGCGAGGCGAGAAGGAGGAGGAAGGGGTGGAAGGAGCGCTGGGAGGAGTATGTGCGGGCGTGGGAGGAAGGGGGGGCGGTGGCGGCGGAGACGATGGCGTGGCCGGTGAGGAGCGGGAGGAGGGAGGATGTTGATGCGGAGGCGGTTAGGGATTTTTTCGTCGCGGGGATCGGTGATGCCGCGGAGGAGGGGGAGGAGGAGGAGGATGGTGGGGGCGAGAAAGAGAAGAAAACGGAGTTTCTGGCGAAGCTGAAGGAGGAGCGGGTGAGGTGGCACCCCGATAAGATACAGCAGAAGCTGGGCGGCAAGGTGGACGAGGCGGTCATGCGCGATGTCACGGCCGTTTTCCAGATCGTGGATAAGCTGTGGTCGGATACCCGGGCTAAGAGATAGTGAGTAAGTGAGTGTTTTGCCTTGTTGCGAGTAAGGGGTCGCCTTAAGATGATCTGTTCGGGAACGAGGCATGTTTCTATTTACGCACCCAATGTAATGCTATATGACATCACACCATTAACCCCGGAACACTCAAGAGTGCCTACCTAGTATACAGTACTCTAGTTCCTTGAGTACCTACCTACATATAGTTGAATTACTACAATGTAGCATCCCTCCGTAATAGGGGCAATGACCCCCCACAGTTTCCCCTCCAAGATCAAAGTATGAAAGCTTCAAGAGCAGAGCCCAAAAAAAGTTCCCTTCTAACCCTATTCCTAACCCTAACCCTACCTACCCAACAACCTCAACCTCCGCCACAACCCCCAAATGATCCGTAACCCACGGCTTCTCAAACCCAAGCCTCACGATCTGATCCGCCTTCTCCCCCTCCCCATCACCATCACCATCACCATCACCATCACCACCACCACCATCACCACCTAGCACAACATCCCCCCCAAACCTCCCAAACCTCCTCAGCCTTAGCCCTTTTCCAGGGGTGAAAAACACCTTGTCCATCCGCGAGCACCCGAACCTCTCCCTCAGGCTCGTCGCCGCCTGCTGGCCCCACGTGTGCCCTTCCTCGCTGTCCTCTTCCCCGCCCAGCGCTAGATACGCGGATATTGAGTTGAGACAAGTGGAAGAAACGAGAAACCCTTAGGTAATGGCCAAATGCCAATGCCGTCTTTCGCTCCCTATCAAGATATATACCTACTAGATGACTCTCTGTCTATCAGCTACATGACGACGCCCTTTTTTTCTGGCCATGCTCGGTTGGCGGATGAGCCAAGTGTTCAGCCAGGCTATCGATACGGGATGTTGGAACGCCCTGTTTATTAAAGATCAAAAAAGTTGGATGAATCGGTTGCATTGGCAACTGTTGTAATAACGTCCCGACAAGACGGCTGTAGTTAACTACAGAGGATGGTTTCGGAATATATCTCCATGGGGAATCCTTGTCGGTAATCTCATCAGCTGTGACTCCTGTGAGGATTCTGAATATTCATCTGCCACCCGCCCCGCTCCTCATCTCATTATCTTGATGTATCGATCTTCTTAAAATAACCTATGTTCTAGGTATTCACCGTCGCCTCTTCTGGTGCTTTGATTGTTAAGGGACCCTCGCAGTCGACAGGGGTACTGGCAGGGATGCCCTATGGACAAATATTCTACACGTGTAGCAAATAAAAAGAGTTTTGCTATCCGCACCCTTAAAAATTGCTATCGGAGGCTTATCCGCACCCTAGTACATAAGAAATTAGCGTTCAAGCGCCGTTGGTCCGAGCTCTCCAGCTAGCTTCAATCAAAAGATCCAACACAATTTCCAATAATTTCCAACTGAAGAATCGGATTGAAGTGCATCTAACACCATTAGAACCGTCTCGATTAGAGCTTCCAAACGATATATGTTTCAAATTGACGCGACGAGTAATTGTAAAGTTATTCAGAAAAGAGTGAAATAGACGCTTTGCCGCTAGTGTAGCGCTAGCTGGCACTACGTGATGCACGGACCACTTCAACCTGCACCATTTTCAAGGTGCTTCTTGATCTTTGAATTCAAATAACTTTGTAACCACCGATCGCATCAATCTGAAACATATATCATTTGGACCGTCTAATTGAGCTGATTCGAACGATACAAGATGCACTTCAATTAAAGTCTTGAATTGGAAGTTATGTTGGATCTTTTGACGGAAGCTAGCTGAGGCGCTCGGACCAACGGCATTCGAACGCTAGTTCCAGATGTACTAGGGTGCGAATAAGCCTCCGATAGCAATTTTTAAGGGTGCGAATAGCAAAACTCAATAAAAATAAGAATAAAAAATAAGAGGCGAGCCAACCAGGGCCTTAAACATTCAACTTTCTCTCTCCAACACCTTCACCTTTCGCAACTCAGTAACAACATTGAAGCTAATCGGTCATAAGAATGCACACACCATCCCATAAGCTCGACCCCGATGGCGACGTATTACTTACACTCCACAATCCTGCCGCTCCCTTTGCCGTCTGGGTCAATCGTACTCTCCTACCTCCACCACCGCCCCATTCTGATTCCCAACATGTCTCCGCCAAAACCGATGATGATGGATCACTCTCGGCCAAGAAACCGGATGTTCGCTTCCTACTCTCTTCGAAACACTTAAGTTTAGCCTCCGACTACTTCAAGCGCATGTTTCGAAGTCCCTGGAAAGAAAGCAGCGCAGATCTTTCGACCGGCTACCACCATGTTGACGCTAAAGATTGGGACCCCGATGCTCTGCTCATCCTGATGCAAATCCTCCATTGCCAGAACGCCGCAGTTCCGACAAGCGTTGACCTCGAGATGCTTGCCAAGCTTGCCGTCCTCGTCGACTATTACCGGTGTCACGATGCAACCACAATATGGGTGAAAACATGGATTCCGAATGTTAAGGACTCCGTTCCGAGTGTTAAGTCCTGCTTTCCGAACAAATGCGGGCGAAATCTCATTCTGTGGATCCTCATTGCCCGAGTGTTTGATCTGCAGGACATATCCCGCACGGTGTTCGAAGTAGCCTGCAAATATTGTCCGTGTCCTTTGCCAACACTGGATCTACCCATTGTGTCGGTAGCTGGTGAGTATTGGCCAATGCCTTCGCGGGCTTCAAGGTATCTGATGAAACTAATCCGGTTAACAGAGAAAGTCAATTCAATCAGACTTCATACACTGGAGGGTATATTTGATATCCTGGATTGGTTTCTTGCCAGCTATTTGAATGGTACGGCTGGATGTTCAATGGAATGTTCAGCTATGTTGCTAGGGTGGCTCACTAAACGTATGGATGGCCCAAAAATTTTACCCGATGAACGAGAGTGTCCATACCTTGGACACAGTACTGCTAGTGTTATAGAAGCAATTAAGGGCTTCGGGTCTCCGAGATGGTACCATAATGATGATGAGTTAGAACATCCTTGTAAATTGTTTTACGGGCAGACAGAGTTAGGTACTTGGATAGCACTTCGCGGCCTGGATTTGGAATCTTTGATAAACGATCCAAACAGGAGAACCCGATAATATTCAGAGATCATTTAATGGCAGCCTTGAAACTGCCGAGGTAAATACCTAGTGATCCTATAACAGTAGCAACGACATAGATGAACTGCCAGACTACCATTTAACTAGGTACCTTATTTCGGAACAAAAAACGTGGATACACTGCACCTTTACAAGAAGCAACGAACCAAAAGCCCCTTCCGTCTATTTTGTCTCAACCGCTTGGGATACTAGGCAGGTAACTACATAGCTAACAATTATATGCAATCTCCGACCCCCCAAACCAGCCCCTTTTCATTCGTTATCCATTCCAGGTTTCCTCCCCCCCTCCCCCCTTCCCCCACCCTCCTCTTTACACATACGCCGTAGTCCTGCTCCCACCGCCGCTCCTGTGGAGGAAGAAGCTCAGCGCGACGACGGCGACGGCGAAGACGAAGCCGAGGTACTCGAAGACGAAGTCGGCCTGGGTGCGCTGGCACAGGCTGCGCAGGGCGTCGTCGTCCTGGCCGCCGGGGCAGATGTTGATGTCGGCGACCTGCTGGCACCCGCCGTTGAGGATCTTGTTCGTGTACCGCTGGTACCGCGAGTAGTCGTCCGTGTCTGTGCAGCTGGGCACCGGTTTCAGGGCGATGGTTAGGGCCTGGGGGGTGAGGGTTAGTGGGTGTTGTTTTAAGGATATATGAGGTTGGCGGTAGTTACACATGTGTGTGTGTGTGTGTTGGGGGGGGGGGAGGGAAGCAGGGCGTGCGTGACTTACGATACCACCGGCAAGGTAGAAGGCCGCGGCCAGCCCATCGGCTGCCATCATCACCATGACCGGTATCTTGTCGACGAACAGCGCGCCGAAGCCGACGAGCGAGACCAAGATGCCGAAGGCGCCGCAGAAACTACCGAACGATGTCTCCGAGGGCGGCGAGCCGACGGACTGGTGCTTGGCGAGAGTCACGGAGACGCCTAGGACCACGGCGCCGAAGAGGAGCTGAGGAGTAGGTTAGAAAAAGATGGATGCGAGAAAATGAGAGGCTGTTGGTGGGAGGGCGGGCGGGAGCTTACCAGGAAGCCTCTTACGGCTAGTGTTGCGATCTTAAGCATCTTGGTTACAGGTGGGTATGAGGTGGTGTAATAGATGTCTTCAGAATGGCTAATAGCTGTGATGAGTTTACAGTACCTACACACAAAGCATACACACTATATGTGGTTGAGTATATGTATATTGGGGGTTTTTTTTTGGAGATGAACTTCAGAAATTTCGAAGAAGGAAAGAGAGAGTAAAAGGAACGAAAGTTATTTATTGGTACCAGCGGCTCTAGGTATCTACTATATGTATAAATAAGTGATAGGCGGTGTCTTGCAGGATCAGATACCCAGCAGGCAGAAGGATTGAAGAATTCAAGGCTTGTTGGCTGTGTGTGCCGGCCGGGTAGCTGCTTACCTATCTGGGCAAGTTGGCACTTATTGAACTACGTCGGGTGGAATCAGATACATATGATATATAAGGATGTAACACGGCATCAAAGTCTGTAGCCAGTGATATACCTGGTGGGGTTACAGTATGACTGCATGGGAAACCAGGGGCATTTGGGGGCTACGACGTGATCTAGTACCATCCAGCCCTATCAAATTTATCGACGTGAGAGCTTATGCATAGGCTAGGTATGTATGAAATTGCCGTTCGACATACTACAAAGTACACAGCCCTAAGGACTGGATACATAGGTATATACCTATATATATATAAGTATCCACCAATCATCCCAGAGGATCTAGATCCCTATGGTAATTGAAACAAGTCTCAATGGAGTATGAGTATGAGACCCGATACATTCCTTCATTGTTTGGTGTTAAAATTCTTCAGCAATATTTCGTACATCACACCCACATACAAACAAAGATACGATAATTAGGTACACAACGCAAAGCAGTGTGCTTCGCACCAAGGCTCTTAGTTCGCGGTCGAAGAAACAGTTCTGCCTGGAGATCTCTCCTCTTGCCTAGCCTGCTATGCCGAGCTAGGAAGCACATACGTGCAGTAGTGCGCCCCCCTTCAGCCCTGGAGGGTATGATTCCATGACTCTATAAATGGAACTGCGGGGGAGATTCAGCAAATCATCATGGGCTGGTGGAAGCGATCCTGAGGCAAAACGAAAATGGAGATGGTAACCTGATTGGCCACTCCCACCCGTGCCGTACTCGTGCCGCCCGAAGAGATACATGTACATACATGTAGGTATGTATTAATCATAAAACCCCCAATAGGTACATTGCGATATACGGATGAGTTGAAGAAATGGGGTTTCTTAAGATAGCACCACGTTAACTACAATCAGGGTATTATTAAAAGGCTTACAAGGTGAAGCTATCGTACGGCACCAGCTAGGGGTATGTATGTATGTGTGTGTGCACCTACATATGTAGGTAAGGGGGGCCGGTGAATTAATAGCGATCCTCGCCCTCTCGCGCGTCATCTCTTTTCCCATCTACCACATCCGCCTGAATGCCGGAGAAGAGTTTACCAGCCAGCCCAGGAGACTCTGCTCGATCGCCGCCACGCCCTGCGCATGCGTTTTCTGCTGTTCCTTGGTGAGGGTTGTGCCGCTGCTGCCTTTGCTGCCGGCCTTGGTGCGATACCAGATAGTCGCGTCGATCTCCGACAGCACCATCGCGTTGAGCAGCGACGCGTGCACCTGGCGCCGGTCCGTGTCCGCCGCGGTCATCTCCGCCGACCATTCCGTCTCGCGCGTAACCACCTCGGGCCACACCAGCCTCAGAGTATCGTCCAGCGCCTGTCTGAGTCCGAATTTCATGTGGAGATCCCGATGCGCGCGATGTCCGGTTCCGTCCGCCGCGTTCCGCAGGTCGGGCCTGTGCCGGCAGGCGACGCACTCGTCGGCTAGCGAGTAGCGGATATTCGACCGGATCAGCTTCCACCTGCACTCGGCGCAGTTCTGGGGCTCGCTCCCGCCCTCCTCCGCCATCGTCAGCGGGAACTTGTCCCGCACGGGTTCGTGGCCGTCGACTGGGATCAGCGCTGGTGGGATGGCGTGGCCGCAACCGCGGTATGCCATCTTGTACCCGCACGACGGGCAGATGAGATCTTGGGCTTGGGCTAGTAGCCCGCCGATGCAGCGCTCGCCAAATACATGGCCGCACGCGAGCGCTACCGTCCGCTCCAGACCGTGTCTGCCGTAGTGGGGAAGGTGGCCGAATCTTTCGAGATGCTTAATCGGCGGTGCTTCCGAGGAGGCGAATTCCCTCGCGCTCTTCGAGATATCGAGCTTGGACTCCTGGCAGATCGCGCACACCACGTCTAAGATGACTTCTTCTGGGTCACTTTGGTCGTCGAGGTAATGTTGGAGGTAAGGGAGGTAGTTGCTCCGTTGGACTTTCATCGTGGCTCGATCTTTATTTTCTTCCTTCTTACGCTATATCACAAGATAATATGTACCTGCGCCAAGGTAAGAAGACGATGCCCGTCTCCTCGTTTGCATTTGTATTATCGTCGAAAGTGAGAGGATAAGAGAAGGGGAAAAAAGAAATGAAATGATAAAAGAATCACGATACCACAAAGCTTTTCTTTGGACCGTTGGTAAGGCACAAAGGCTCTGAACAACACTTCAAGCCTAACAATAGAGCACTGCTTTGTGTGAATAATGTGGGCGAGGTAAGTGAAGTGCGGTTGACCACAGTCAAATAGAAGATGATACGGGCATCGTCGACCAATCGATTTAGTTGCCGAGCCACCCATCCACGCATAGCCACGTCAATGGTGCCCGAAGCCCTACGCTGTTTGCTAAAAGCGAAGATGGGCATTGCAAACGGGACTATGCAGGGAGGCTTGTAAGCCTTTTACGATCTTTCTTATCGTATGTATGGATATATTAGTTCTGGAGGATTCATCTTGGCCAATATCTACCAAGGTAATCATCTTCTGCTAAAGAAAGATGGGATACCGAAGTTCGATCGATGGCATTCAAGCTATATGGTCCCCATTACTCTTACTTAAGGTAGGCATTTCAATTCGACACCCTCGGCCATCAGCCAGATCATCCCCCTTGCTTCTCCAGTTTCCAAACTTATCGAGTTGTCCGTGTCTCCTGATTACCACTTGTCTACCTACCATCATTGTGTTCTCCCCCTTCTTGGTGCTGCGATGACTATCATTCCATACCTACCTAATTGCCGATCTCTAGGGCATCACGGCACTGGCGATCCCAGCCCTATCCTCTATAAATTCCCTGAGTCATCCGACCCTGGCGTGAGTTTAGAGCCATACTAGAGTTGGCCCGCATTGGCGCGCGCGTAAATATTTACCTGTCCCATTTTCCTCAAAGAACGTCAAATGCCTAGTGGCGCACGCTTAGGTATTTACCTAATCTGGGCTCTTGACATTTATTGAGTACCTCCGGCGCAATGCTATCCTCGCTTCTGTATGCACAGGATCGTTTCTCACGCAAACGGCTTGTTGTTAAGCAGTCGGCGACCTAGGTACCTAGGCAGCCTTGATAACTGCAACGAACTGGGCGAATGGGACTGAGCATGATTGACCGCGAATTTCGCAGAGGGCGCCGCGTGCCACAATATGTCGTCTACGATATAATGAATGCGCCTACGGTCCATGGAGTCGGCAAGCAACCAGCATTATCATTGAACGTGCCATCTGGACCGTCTTCGGGAGCTTTTGGGGGGGGGGGGGGGGGGGGGGGGGTGATGATGTCGCTTCCGAAAACTAGACGCGATTTGCGAGTGCCGACGGGTAGTCCGCTACGCATAATAGGTGCTTGGAAGTGAGTGCGCTGCTATCTTGTCGTACCCAATAAGGTGGGTTTGCTTTCTCGGTAAGCACACACGGGCTCCTATGTAGGTACCTAATATTCTCGTCGATCAGCACGAAGTTTCCAGGACCCCTATTGCTGACATCCAGAATCATGCCACCGGAACCGACAAACTTGGGCATGTATATTAAGAGGATGCATTATGGGACTGGTCGACCCCTCCCCTCATGTCGCGGCGAGATGCTGTTCGTACTTGGGGCAGACAGGCGGAGACGGTCGAGCGATTATACGTGAACTTCTGCATAGACGCGGGAGGCACTATGGAGAGACTGGGAGCCCGTACGTTTACGGCGCGCATCACTGAACGCTCATGTCCCTAGGTGTCTAAGGAATCGTTGAGTTAACCGCTCAAGTTGGTGGTGTCTACCTCTCTGGCTTCAGCATCGAACTGGGAGTAGCCAACTGTTCCTCCATTACGAATATCGCATGAGAGATGGCCTGCATAACTCGACATCATGGTGTTCCTCAGAGGTCTCATTTCTTTGCCATACGTAATGAGGTTACTAGGTTAGGTCAATTCTTTGCCCCTTCCCTAACAGATCGTTCGCTATCTACCTACCTGCTTACCAGCATCAACCAACTTGATATATTCTCTGCTGAACTACAGCTGAAGCTTGCGTACTACATATGTAGGTACGTAATACCCACGCATTCGAAACCCAGTCTTGGCTGAGCCACTCCGTGGGACAACACAGCTCATTACGAGGCAGAGCTTTTCCTTCCATCTGCCAGGTCCGCAGTTCAGACGTTCCGTTCCATACAACAAGGCCATTCATTCTCAGTTTAGCATAAGATATCCTCTCCCATTGACAATGTCGTCCAAAAAGCTATTAGTTAAGACAGTCATGAAACGCGACGCCCGAGCCCAGCCCATCTGCCGGCCATACCGCATGGCAGACGTACGTGGGCGCGTCGCAGATCCTAGTGATTTCGGAAGGGAGTCGTCCATTGGCTCAGACAATCTGGGGAATGCTGATCGCACACCAAGCATCTTATTATTTTCCGGCTTCTGTGTCAGTCAGTTAAAAATACTTTTTTCTTTCTTTTTGCATTACCGGGGGAGGCTTTGTTTTTCCCGTCGGCGCTGGCGCAGCGGCCCACAGCGCCCCCGTAAACGACGTGAGGCGCGCGTTTGATCTCCGTGAGGGTATCCATCCCGGGCATCAAACGGTTAGCTCAGTTGGTTCAATTTATCGCCTGTTCGTCAGTCGAGGCCAGGCTTCACGAAAAACTACAAATAGGGACGGGATGCCTTGGATGAATATATTTATTTTTCAGTATCATCATCAACAGTCACACTCTACATCCACAACACAGCCATTCATCCACCCCCCTTTTTCACTTCTGTACAAAGTTTCAAAACGACCAGGTGTCGCTCATTATTTTTTTTCCCACTTAAAATCATCAAACACCATAAAAACCACTTCCAACCGCCAAAATGGTCCGTATTAACGCCGCTGCTCTTCTGGCTTGTGAGTTGATAACTCCCCTACCTATCCAACCTAGCTTCGTTGGCGATACTAACCATCTCCTGTAGTCGCCATTACCGCCCTCGCGCAAGTCACCCCCAACGATGCTGGTGCCAAGAACGTCGGCCAGGGCAACGGAGAGCAGTTCATCACCGGAGGCTGCGTTTCTGACGCTGTAAGTGACGGCCTTTCCCTACCAGCCCTTGTCCATACGAAACCCCTAAAAAAAAAAACTAAAAAAAAACTAATATCGCAACAGGACTGCTCCTCAGCATGCTGCGCCGAAGTACAGACAACAGGTCTCGGCGTGTGCTCCGCGGAGGCCGCCTCGAACCAGAACGGCAAGCTCGGCTGTGGCTTCGTGGACCCCAACGCCCAGAAGACCATCGCCGATGCTCAGGCACAGGTCAAGGAACAGGGCTTCTAAGCCTGGCCGCCATGGGGTGTAGTTACATGAGGTGGCATATTCTGGGTAGGTGTGCTTCGTTGCAGAGTGTAGGTGACGGTGCGAGGGTTGCATAAATATATAAAAGGACATTAGGTATACATAACTAGCTTCAATGAGAGCGCGTTCGAGTTAAGCTGAGCGAAGTAAATGTTTTATTGATGAGAAGTTTTGTGACCTGACAGACAACCTTGGAAGCCAGCATTCTATATTGCCTGCCTACCTGCCTACCTACCTTATATACCCACCCAGGTAATGGAAAATTGACAATATCCTGCACACTAACACCACCGATACGGCCTTTTCCATATTACCCTCCATTGAGCTCCCATACATACGTACCTAGGCAACCAGGAGGCCCCAACGAAAAGGGTTCGCGCCCCCGCTGAAAGAAGCAAGTATCGTATCATCCAAGAAACGCAGAGCCAAATCATCATCATCATCATCATCATCCCAAGTCGCATCTCAGTCATCTTCCGGAACCTACTCCCTCGTGTAATGAGTAAGGCCGCACTTATCCCCGACACTTAGTTCATAGACAAGCAATGTCTACCAAGCTACCTACCTACCCAACCTAGGTACTTAGGTACCTACACTACATAGCGTCAAGCCACATATCTCACAGCCCTGTAGTTACATACATAGTATCTCAAGGCTATGTGACACCGAGGTCCTAGGTAGTACCTAGGATACATATCAACCACAGGCACCTACCTCCCTCTACACATAAAAAAAATACAACTTGACTAGGTAGGTACCTACCTAGCATTAGAAGGCTCCAGCTACCTAGCTGTCACCGCACTCCACCGCACGACCACAGAGCTACACGCCTAGGTAGGTATGTAGTTTGCAACGCCGGGTTAGCGGCTACCAAATCGCATGGCCTCGTATGACTCTGTCTACCTACCTAACTTAGGTCCCCATCTAGATTTAACCTACTGTACACCTACCTAGGTGGCCTAGCTTAGCCAAGTGCTCCCCGTGCACAAGACCTACCGTAGTACCTACCCATAGGGGGAGGCGTCGCACACTGTAGCTTCACGTTGGATCAAGATTAGGGGGATTTGTGATCCATTTCTAGGGGTAAAGCAAATGGGTAACACGGTGTCGCCCATGTAGTTAGGTAGCTAACCTTTGTATGTATTGTACAACGTTTCCACCCACTAACCACGCTGTGAAGCGAAGCCCAAAAAAAAAGAAGAAAAAGGCTCATGTTCATGTTCATGTTCATGTTCGACACTCCTACCTACCCTCCCCAAAGATCCACATATAGGGAGGTACAAACCGAGGTAGGCCAGGTACACCAAAGACAAAACCTCCCACTTGCCCCAGCAACGCCAAAAAAAAAAAGAAAAAGCCGCTACTGCTGTCGTGTCCCGGCTCCGTGGTAAGAAGCAAAGACCTCTCCACCTGTCTACCCATCCACCCTCGGTATCTAAATACCCACGCAGAACCCCTGAGCTACCCCTAGATACCTACCCGACCCACCCAGCCGAGACCCTACCTCCCTAGGCCGGGACGCATATCGTCGCACCGACCCGCAGGCTGTCGCAGTCAAGGCCTCGGTTCTCCTGCACCAGCGCCTCGACCGAGACACCGTGGTTCTCGGCAATAGCCCAGCATATATCGCCCGCCCTGACGCTGTACGTCCTGCTGCTGCCGTGCTCCTCGTCGCAGGTGATGGCAGTACCCGGGACATCTGCCCCCCCCTGTTTGCCGCCCTTCGTCGCACTGCCGCTGATGGACCAGAAGATCAGCAGCAGGAACACGCCGACGAGCAGGAACCAGTTGAGCAGCGGCATCATATCGTGGCGCCAGGAGCTGCCCGCGTCCGCACCATTTTTTCCATGCAGCAGCTTCGCCGAGTCTGCATCCTCCTCCTCCTCCTCCTCGTAGGGCGGCGGCGCGGCTTCCTGGACACGCCGCAGCTGCCCGTACCGGTTGCCGGGGGCGCTCTCCCAGATGCTGCCGTCCCTGGTGTCGCGGAAGGTGTAGACCTGGTCGTCGGCGTCGTAGCCGATGCGCTTCATGCCCTCGGGCAGACGCTCCTCGTCGGTGTCGTACTGGGACCAGCGACCCATTTTGTATTGTATTGTATTGTATTGTATTGTATTGTGATAGTGGATTGAGCTGGAGGTACTAGGTACGATGGTAGGAGTAGCGCTGTCAGACCGGTTCTTCGTCTGGGTCTAGCCTAGGGTAATTACAGAGGATGATAGCTACCTAGGTAGTTAACGTGCTGGGAATTCAATGTTGTTTTAGTTTTCTGGATGATGAATAGATGAATAGATGAAAGTCGTAAGTTTGGTCGTGGAATTGGATGGTTGGGTCCTTCATTATTCTTATGTAAGTGACTCGCCCCAACCACTTACGTCAGCGGTACATAGAATACATCCCATCCATGATACCTACATCATGATACATGCGGGCCCCTGAATGCTGCAGCCATTGCCAGCCAAAGCATGACGGCCAATGTGGCTCAGCCAACCCCTTTCAACTTATGACCACTTATAAACATTGAATGTTTTAACAGGTCCAGTTCATCATGTGAGAAAACATTATTTGCTTTGAACATCATCATTAAAGCAGCTACAGCTGCTACGCAGGCTGCAGTGTACCTAGGTATTTACATGTATTGAATCATGTGTGGCAGTTATTCTACATGTACTAACCTAGGTACATATCCTAGAGGCTGACTACCTATGTAGGTACCTATACAATTGAACTTCACAATCAACGTAAACGCCATAGCACATAATGCCACCAAATATGCTGCAAACGAGCTAACTTTATATTACAATCCCCAATTACTTCTATGCAGGTCTGATGGTGATATAATAGACCAAAAGCCTGCTGAGAGAACGTGACCAATCAAGCCCACGAGCCAAACAAGCCTCTTTCTGCGTACTAACAGACAGCTTTTAAACTTGGCTGCCGCCTTCTGGTGCTGCGTCTTATGCCACTGCTCTCATCGTCTTGACTGCTTCCACGTTCTTCCCCAAGATTGGGGACCGATTGTACTTTTCGAGGTCGACCTCTTGCTCTCTTCTCCGGTAATTCGTTGCTAGGTGTGGTTGCCGTGCTCGTGGAGGCGAATTTTCGGCCCCGGATCTTGGCCTCATCTTCTGCGGTCAAGAATCTATGAATAAGACGATGGTCTAAGACTCGTTCCTCCTTGTCATGCTTGCCCTCCTTCTCTGTCTTGGGCCATTGATAGCCATAAAGCTTGGAATGACGTTCGCATCGCGGACAGGAACTTCGTGTAAAGTATGCATTATACTGTACAAATGGCTCACTACAGATAGTGCAGTGTATCCAGGCAGTATTGGGCTCGGACAGCAGTACCGGAGTAAGTATGTAATCCCCAGGAGTTCGTGTACGAGATGGAGGGGTAAATTCATCATCATCATCATCATCATCATCATCATCCGTATCTTCAGTCTCAACCATCTCAGCCTTTGATGGTCTGCCTCTAGGACGGCCTCGCTTAGCACTTGTTCCGTGTGACGAACTTGCTGATTCAGGCGAATCAAGTATCGGAGCAATTACTTGTGTTGACTCGGAAACAAGAGTGGCAGGTTTGGCTAGTGGTGGGAGCACAACGATACTTTCTGAGGCCTCGTCCATTTCATCAGTTGTTGGTGAAGTCGCCACGGGTTTGGCCTGGGCTATCACTTCAATCATAGGTAATGGCGCCACCGAAATTGAGTCCTGCGCGTCTGGCGTGGAAGGACTAACTGCGATTTCTAACAGCGATGCATCTGACTCTTCTCGTTTTAAAGCACCCGTTGGTAATTTTGCAGGTGTTAAACTTGGTGATTGTAGAATGGAATCTTTAGGATCTTCTTCGGGTGTTGTGGCATCAGTAAGAACCACATCCAGACTTTCATGCTCTGAAGAGCGTGAGCTTGCTGAATCTTCGTCGGTACTGTGTCTGGATAGGTTGGGAGGAGCAGACAGTTGTGGTATCTCGTACTGGAGTGTCTTTAACTTCTTATTTGGAGTAACAGGCGGCGACTGAAGTGAATCGAAGTCACGTTTTCGTTTTTGGCGTAACAGCCCCTGGGGTGCTGGAGAACCCAATGTAGTAGATCCACGCTCCGAGCCCATCCTCAGCGTTTTTGATCGCGTTTTCAGAATCCTGGGCCGGATATCAGGAGTAACAGAGGGTGTTCGTGATGCAGAGGCGCAACTGTCGTCTCGTCGTCTATGACGCAGTGAGTACCCTTCAGCAGACGTTGCTTCAATGCTCTTTTTAACAGCAATTGTGCCCTCGGCCGGGGCCCATCCATTCACCATACTGTCTTCGCAAGTCTTACAGAGGCATTCGCAGTTGTCCTCGCCAAAATAGTTCTCGGAATATGTGACGGTAATTTCGTCCCCTACCTCAATGTCCCGTGCCGCAATGATCTCAATACCAGCATGACCTGTAGTCATCAAGCGCGCATTTGCACCACAGTCATGATTTGCAAATCGAGCAGGGCCCATAAACAAGCTGGCACACTTATTTCTAGCACTGACGACAATGCTAAAGTCTTTTTTCCGCTTAGAAAGCTCTTTCTCCTCCTTCTCGGTGATCAAAACCTGGATGCCTGAAAGGTACTTGATTGGCTGTCCCTTTCTGATATACTTGCGTGCAGTCACCGCCGCCTCGTGAGATACAATCGTATAGCGATTGGTTGAGCTGACTTCGAAGGGGCAATCGGGAAGGTAGATGTGCATGTAGCGACGAAGATGAGCGCGGAAGTCATCCTTTTCTTTAGGGGTCTTCAGTGCATCGTGAAACTTGCGTAATCCATCTGTCGCAAGTAGTCTAGACTCGGCCGTTTCCAGATCCGGGTCGACAATCAGATGGGATTGGATAATCTTCGTGATTTCCTCCTCCTTCACGCCTCGGGAAGGATGATACGACGGGCGATTTTTTGGAATTACAGTCCAGTAATATGCCTGGAGAATTGAGTCAGTTATCTCTTTTGGCGCAAGATTCACCGTTTAATAAACCGGCCGTTTCCACTCACATGGTCGACTAGCGCATCAGTTAATATGTCATCGTAAGACGATAACTGTGCTAGAGTGATTTGCTGCTTCTTCAAAGGGGTGGACGAAGTTGGCGCCATTATGATGCGGAGCTTGGCCGAGATAGACTAAGGGGAGGTTGGAGCACAAGATTAAGTATATGAGTTAATCGACCTTGGGGGAGGCTAGGTGCAAAGGATTGTGGTGGAATTGGTTTCCACTTGTTGGTTTCCAAGGTAAAAAGGACTCGACTGGATTTGATATGGACTTAGGTAGGTAGTTATTGGATCTTTTGTTGGTCCCAGGGATCGTCTGACGCCGGTATGCGAGTAAGATATCTGGCCGAAATGCAGGTCAGAACCAGAAGGCGGAGTTGTAGGTTAACGGTTTCCTCTGAGCGCCAGGCCAGCGCATGCGCTTAACAATTCTTTTTTTAAAGTTTGTTCGTCATAAGCCGAACCGACATAGACAGGTGAATCTATGTGACTTATATATTTTCGTCCGGAGGTTGGGTTGGGTATGAAGTTGGAATCAACGAATGCAACGAATGAGAGACCGATAGGATATGTGAAAAGGGAAATGGGCAAAAAGGAGATAGATGGCCCTTAATCATGACAATTCCCATTAACACAAAGGAGAGGCCCATATAACGATGTAATGCATTGTTGTTAAGAGAGACCGATTATAGCATGGGACTGTGTTCTAAGTTCTAACCCATAAAATTAGAGGTAGAGAAGGTAGAAAATAAAAAGAGAACAGAGGACAGAGGACAGAGGACGGAAAACAGAAAGAAGCAATCTCAAACTACGCAACCTTCTTTTACCTTTACAGTGTAGGTTAGGTTGAATGTTAATTACCTAGGCAGTTAACTACATATGTACATTAAATTCCCTTGGTAGGTACGTAACCCAATTGAGCAGGGCCGTTGGTGAAATGGTCGGCCGGCCCTTGTGAATCAATGCGCGCAAAAGAGAGAAAGCGCGAAAAGTGGAAAAAAAAAGACGGTGGCCGGTCAACCATATTATGGGGCCTCTGATGCAATTAGTTAATTGATTTAAATCGGGAGGGAAGGAAGGAACTTGAGGAACAACATTGATGAAGAGAGCAAGTTCCAGGGGGGTAGGGGGGTAGGGGGGACCAGCTGAGCAGCCTGAGCCACCTTTATTTCAGGTGCAAGCCCATGCAGATGGGATGTCCATGACTCCATGCAGCAACCGTCTGGGGGGGCCAAGCCTCAACGTGCACTAACTAAATTTAGACCAGTAACAAACCAGTGAGCAGGGCTTTTTTGTGAAGAATATCTCCCAAGCTACCTACATACTGTACTGACCAATTAACCCTCGAATTCTTTTTCGGCGGAGCCTCGAAATTTACAACTCCCAACCGAAAAAAGATCCAACATCTTCAACCAAAGCTCATACCGTCGCAACTCATTAGTAGGATCTGTGGCCCAGATTTCGGGGGTGATATTCGGCGAAGATGATTCAACTCAAGGTATAAATGGCACTTATCTTGATGTCCTCGCCTGTGAATGATCGATCCGCTAATCGTAGGCCCAAATCATAGACGATGCTGAACTGCATCGACAACTCTGGAGCTGCCATAGTGGAATGCGCACTGGTCATTGGCCAGAGGAGACATGCTACAATCGGTATGTTTTAACAGCTCTTTCCCATAGCTGCTATAAGCTGGTGCCAGTGGCCAATTCTGATCAGATCCCCTCCGTCCTTCTGCCGTACAAATAAGACAGCTATCTAACCTTTGGCTTCCCCTCCCACAGGTGACAGAATCGTAGCCATCGTCCAAAAACAGCGGGGCGCCAGCGACGCCGGCATGGGCGTCGCCTCCGCCGCCAACAAAGTCAAGCGCGGGGACATCCGGCACGCCATCATCGTGCGCACGCGGAAACAAGTGCAGCGGCCCGACGGCAGCGTGGTCCGCTTCGACGACAACGCGTGCGTGCTCATCAACAAGGCCGGCGACCCGATCGGAACGCGCGTGAACGGCGTCGTGGGTGCTGAGCTGAGGAGGCGGGGGTGGAGCAAGATTCTGAGTATGGCTCCGGCCTATGCTTAGACAAATCGAGCGTATGCAGAAGAAATAAAATAATGAAGAATGCCAACGAATGTTGACATTGGAAGTGAACGTGAAAAATGAGAATGAGCACGGCATCGGGTTTACTCTACTGTGTTTACCTACGTACCTACCGGAGAGGGAGATCCGCAGTATAAGGCGATGGTTGTGGGAACCGTAGGCAAGCTTCTGGCTTCGTACGATTAGTGAGCTGTACCCCCTCTGCGTAAAAGAAACGGGGGTTGGAGAGGGCAAATCAGTACTTTGGGAATCAACTTACACACCATGATGAGAATTACCGATTATCTGTTTCCTCCACCAAGCACTGCAAGACAACATCACTCTACAAGCTTGCTGAAACCACATGCAGACCCTTGAGTAAAGTGCAACGTTTCTCTACTTTTGCCAGTTGTTACAAAACTTAACACGACATGCAAAATATATCGGACAAGTACCACGTAAGGGTATGACTAGGTACCTAGCTGGTGCCTGCGTACCTAGATACCTAGTATTGTGTGTCTATGGTAATGAAATGTATCAACTTGCAGCTATCACCGCCAAAAATCATTATGCCCGTAGGAAACACAAGCTAATTCCCAAACGCCGAGTCCATGCAATATCTTACTGACCTCGGTGGTCGCATCAAAACCCCTCCTGGATTTCCCTCCCAAAGCTTATAGGTATCCCATTTTTTGCTATTACTGGAAAATGTGACCGCAGTCGCAGCAAACGTAAAACAGTTTCTGTCGAGAAGTAGTTAGTTATAGTACCCTCGTAGCTGAACATTTAAGACCAGGTCACTTACCATGCCCGTTTCGGCGCTTCGCTGTTGAGATTGGAAGAACACGGCTTCCTCATACTTGCATACAGGGCAAGTCTTGTTGGATCGTGGAAGCTAAATGCCGGGAAACAAAACGTCAGCGCCAGGTTCAGCAAAAGAGAATACATACAATGCATGCCCCTTAAAGCTGGGTTGCCTGTGCTGGAACGCCCGTGTCGTGTCGATTATGTCGATTACCAGCTGGCTGTCTGTCTGTCTGTGTGTCTGTCTACCGACCAAACATTGCGTGTGATATGATGATTGTTCGATGATTATTCGATGATCAGGTGTGCTCAGTAGCTAGGGTTTTGTTGCTTGGCTGTGGCGTGACATCGTTAAGCTCGCCAAAATACATCGAAACATCATCGTACTCTGGAGGCTCCTCCAGTGCCTCAGGGGGGTCGGCATCCAACGGCATTAGAGAATTGTTCGAAGGAAGGAAAGAAGCGAGACTCTCTTGTGCGAGATTTGATATGTTCAACTCCCCGCATGCAGCGAATTTGTCGGTCCATGCAGATCTTCCTTGTTCGTCTTGGGCGTTCCAAAAAGTGGCTGAATGAATGTAACCCATAGTTCTCGTCATTGCAAAATCCGGGTGATGTGCAACGAAATGGTTGTACTCGTCGACTGACGCAGGGTCCTCGCACAAATTGCAATGAAGTAGAGTCACGCCACATCTCAGACAGACAGCCAGATTGGCATCGGTAGAGGGACGGGCAGATGCTTGAGTAGACAAGGAAACATTACGAACCGTAGGGTCGGATCCAACGTCCTGGGTCACACCAGCTGTCTCTCCAGCCGCGTTGTTCATAACATTGCGGAAGACGCAAGAGGAGGTAGCTTCGGCGGTAAATTGGCAGGTGCGGCAGGTGAACTGAAGTTTCTGCGCATCCTCGTCTTCCTTGGGGTATAGCATGTTGGAGCAATCGGTGCAGAATCGGAAAGTGATCTGCTCTGGGTTGTCGTTGGAGGCATCGCCGTCGTTGGTAGCGGTTGGCGACGACATCGTGTTCAGTTTAGAAGGCGATCGACCACAAGCTACTACTAAATGTAGGCGGGAGGATGGTGAAGTGAAATATATGAAGAGGGTATGATGGATGTTGGTAGATAATGAACAATGGATGGAGAAAGGTTTAAAGAGTGAATTAATTAAATTAAGTAGGTGATAAGGATCAAGATTATTGGTAGTAGGGTAGGTAAATAAATGCAAAAGGTTAGAAAGCCTGAGGCAATCTTTTTTTTCTCTTTATTTTTCTTTCGTAATCCGACCCTAGACTGGGGCCTTTTTATTACTAGGAATGCGTGGGATGGGTCTAAATGGAAATCTGTTTTAAAAAACAGTGTGTTGTCGTTGTAATATATATGAGTACGTAACCTTTTAGTAGGGTAGGTCGATTGGCAAGTACAGTATCAGTAGTTATGTATTGAAAGTCGTGTCAGATGGGTTGTATGTGTTCTGTGTTGGAACATTAAAGGTTGGATGTTTTTAATATCAATTGTTTGTTTGAAAGAAACATTTGAAGAAACATTGAACATCAATGATTGATCCATTTAAACATTTGAAGCAAATACCACGCGCAAAGGTTATCTAGCACTAGGTTAGGGCCGTTAGGCAGTTCATTAATAGTGTATTCTGCATTTATGTAGGTATATAAGCTTTGGGCCCCTGTTGACCAGAGACCATTCGATCTTCGCGTTATGAACTGAGCTAGGGCCAGGGTACTTACTCAGTGCTGTAGTTATGTACTGTAACTTTCTGGTCCAATTAGTTATTCTTATCGATTTCGGAAAATCGGAGGAACTGATTCGCCTATAAGCTCATCCATGTCGAATATTAATACTGTGTTATACTGTACAAACCCCCATAAATAAACTGTACTCTCACCCCGCGTTCCACATTTTCCACCTGACAGCAGCAGGGCTCACCCCCGCTCAACTGACAACATCCTCGTGATCTCTTTTTTAGAAACGGGCAACTGCCCTACGTACATACATACAATAACTATCCATACTATGTAGCAACTTAGCAAGCAGGTAGGAGCTACTGTACTTACCTTACCAGCATTGCATTTGTACATGCTTGATTCTTTTCTTTTCATTTTTATTTTCATCTTCAATCTCAACTTTTCACTTTCCTAACCTTAGCTACCTAGGGTATTTATAACTACAGCATCAATCAACTTCATTTACCATTTACCATTTACCATTTACCATCTGGATTCTGCATTCAAGTTCTGCACCACTCGTTATCTACCACCCAGGTACCCACCCAGTATTTCTAATAGATACATATATTCCAGAAACCAGAGCACTAACGTCGGAATCTAGAATTTTCAATTCGGTTGCCCTGGTGATCGTTCAATTTAAATCCTTGCTACTTAGGACTCGGATTTATTTCATTGCCAATTTTCAACCTCATCCAGCTTTATTACAATTCGTAAACCTCGTCAATCACTTTTCCTCAACATACTAAATATACCCATAAATAAATATAACGCCAATCAATCAATCAGTCGAAGCAGTCATTCCAAATCTATCTATCAAATCAATTAATAGTATAGTAGTATCAGTACATACCAAATAATACAGCATGGTAAGCTACCCTCAGCTATTTACCATCGTATTTCCATATGAATGATTACTAATACTCGCTATCGTTAGGATGACAGCGGTCTGCCACCCAACTGGGAGGTGCGTCACAGCAACTCCAAAAACCTCCCATATTACTTCAATGCGAGCGAAAAGGTCTCGCGCTGGGAGCCACCACCAGGAACCGATACCGAGAGACTGAAGAAGTACATGGCTACTCACCATTCTACTTCCACACAAAGTTCTTCTGCCGGCCGCCCTGAGGGAAAGATTCGTGCCGCTCATCTATTGGTGAAGCACCGGGATAGCCGACGACCCGCCAGTTGGCGCGAGAGCGAAATCACCCGATCCAAAGATGACGCCATGGTTATCATCAAGGGCCACGAACAAAAGATCAAGAGTGGTGTCGTATCTCTCGGAGAACTCGCCATGAGTGAAAGCGACTGCAGCTCAGCGAGGAAGAGAGGGGATTTGGGATATTTCGGCAAGGGAGATATGCAAAGGGAGTTTGAAGAGGCTGCTTTTGCACTACAACCCGGCCAAATGAGCGGAATAGTAGAGACAGCAAGTGGATTGCACCTCATTGAGAGACTAGAGTGAGCCTCAGTATACGATGGAAAGAGGCTGGGTTCAGTTTCTCGGTAACCGGGACTCGGTCTAGAACTCGAATTTAATAGGTCATATACGTCATGGAGCTGCAGAGCGCTCTTCGTTCTTCGTCTTGAAAATACAACAATCATGAGAGTGATTGGTACCTAGGCAGTCGTATGGGATTTATTCCGGACCTTGATTTGTACTCGTTCGCTATATACCAGTTACCATCTGGAGCATCATAGGCCCAATGTGATCATACTAATTTAAGAAGCCTTCAAGGAAGAGTATTTACGATGGGTCTCGACTAAGATGAAAAAAGGAGGCTACGTAAAAGAATTGCTAAAACAAAGACGGCTGCAAGTATATGTGCAACTTATATAGCCTTGGTAATCTCGGGGAGAGGCGCAACAATGATATTGCTCTTCGTCTTCTAAGTTTCGCCTTGTAACAGTACGTTGCCAATAAAGCTACGCAACCAAGGGCTTTATGTTCAAGACAATCAGCAGGCTTGATTAGGTAAGGTAGCTGGCATGAGGTACTTGCCAATATCAACGACGTTAAGAAATAGATAAAGGTTAAGATTAAAAGGAAAAAGATTCATGCCTCCGAGAAGGGCTCTGGTCAGGTAATCAGCAACCCCCGCTAACTATTTGCTTCAATATCCTGACTGAATTTCTCTATTTGTACCCCAGACGAAAGTCTTAGATAGGTACCTAGATAGGTATTGTTCCAACGCTCTAACCCCATCTCACTCACCCCCACGATGCTAAGCATATATCACGATCCGGCGTAGCGTACCGGCTAATGTTGTAACGGGCAAAGCATGGAACATTCGATTACCGACGATAAAAACCTCCTCGGGCATCGATTTTAAGAAGTAGGGAGAAGGTTACATCCACAGCAAGCGAGTAAAGCAAGCAAGCAACAAACTCGATTACAAGAGTTGAGTTACGCCGTGCGACGTTGCGGGAGGCTAGAATGCTGCGTGTGTGCACTGCGGCATCACCTTACGACGGGATGGGCAAAGGTCTCGCTTCGTACTAGATTACTATTCGGCACATCAGAGTTTTATCGGGGATCGAAGATCGCCATGACGAGGATCGCGTAGCTTGGCATAATCACCGATAACCCCCCCCCCCCCCCCCCCCTTCTGCGCAGTAAGGCATAAGGAGGCAGACAGAGATCTAGATCCAGTATCACCGTGCCACAGCATGCTGTAAGGAGATTCCCTTCCTTCCATTGATTTATGCACCTAGGTACCTATCTTACGACAATGGGATGGGGGGAAGCTTGGTTCGACAATCATGATCTGCTGGGAGCACACGAATGGTGATGATGATATCATGGAGAGAGAAAGGGCTGAGAACCCTGAATATTGATATTGAGGTTAGGTATCTATTGGATTCATTCATCGAAGCTACCTATGCTAAGCCGATAAATACTGGAATATAACAAAAGCAAGACAAACACATTTCCAAACACCGCCAAACCTGCAAGTATGTCTATCGCGCATATGTAGTGGTATCATTCGCTATGCCTGAAAAAAAAGTTTTCTTCCATGCAACGTCACCCTTTCGGTCTCGTATTCTCGTCAAGCATCGTGATCTTCCGGATGTCATGACTCATTGTCCCGCCCTATACTCGGGGGGGGGGGGAACCTCGACAACTCAAACTCATCGCGATGCCAGTGTGATGATGGCCTCTGAGACACCGGGAATTGCCGTAAGTGCCACCGTCATGGCCCCGAACACGGTCATCGAAAGCGCTGAGTAAGCGGTCGCTCTCGAGTTCCGCTCGATCAGGTGCGCCGTCCCCATCGCCGCCGCGTTGATGCCCACCGTCACACCAGCCGAGACGAGCACGCTGTTGTCCGAGCCGCCGTTCCGTCGAGCTTCTTTTTCCTCATCCGCAAGGAGTGGTGCGGCAGACTTCTCCTTCTCCTTCTCCTTGTCTATGCTGCTGCTGCTGCTGCTGTCTTGGCTCTTGGTGCTGCCCCTGGCTCGGCAATCATCGCGGTCGTTGATGCGTAGAACGTAGAAAAGCCAATCCCCCGCCATTTGGAAGATGATGCCGCTGAATATGACCATCGCGCTCATCAGCGTCGTGCTCCCGCCCAGGTTCTGCACCGCGGGGGCGCCGAGCGCGATGGTGACGGAGCGGGCCGCGAAGGCGATGGCGTCTTCTGCCTTCAGGCCCAGCGCGTGGGCGACGATGACATTGAGGAATACGTTGGCCACGGCGAGCAGCGCGCACGTGGTCACGACCGTCACGAAGCTCTCCCACAGCTCGGACCGGTACTCGAACATCTTGAAGCCCAAGCAGACGATGCCCGCGTCGAGCACGGGGCCGGCTAGATCGCCAGCTCCGATGTGGCTCGCTAGGCCGCCGCCCCCCGCGACGGCGATGATGCCCTCGGGCAGGTTGTTGTGTCTCCGGAACGCGACGACGACGCTCGCGATGGTGTGCCCGGTGCACGCCATCTTGATCCAGAGGTACGCGGTGCCGAGCCCCCAGGTGATCAGCACCGGGTTCGCGAGGATCACGAGAGTTGATGCTAGGCGGGGGTGCTGCAGCAGACGGCACGAGCGCTTCAGCGAGCGCTGGAACTGGACTGCTAGCACCCAGAACAGGATGAAGCAGAGGGCTTCGAAGGGCGTCTCGTACTTGGTCGCGAAGTAGACGGGGATCCCGACAGTTATGGTGAGGACGATGCAGATCCACGTGGGGCCCGTGCGGACGATGTAGTCAAAGAATTGCCCCGTCGGGGCCTGGGTTACCGATTCCATGGATAGGAGAGATTGGTTCTGCGCGAGAGACTCGCTGACCCGAGACAGTTCCGCGATCACCATGGGGGACTTTTCCGCGGATGGAGCTGGCCATGCGGTGGAGGGGCTGGGCCAGGACTTGTTGAAGCTTTCGAGATCTTCGGCAACTTTCACTCGGCGTTGTCCTCGGAGCCGGGACTCGAGCTTGGAGCAGCCGGATGCGATGACCGCGGATCCAATGCAGCCCACAAGAGACGTAATGACTGTTTTTCGGGTTAGCTGTATGCCATTAAGGGGCAATGCTCATCTTGTGTGTGTGTGTGTGTGGGGGGGGGGGGGGGGGGGGGGCTTACTGAAAGCTCCGGCTATCCTGGGGATATCTATAGCATTGGATACATGGTCCTTGTTGAGCATGATGAAAGATGCTACAAAACCGAAGGACATGTGACGGCCGAGGAAGTCAGAGGGTCCACGTAGATGCTTTGCGTAGAATTGTGTAGTACCTCCATAAATACGGTTGGAGATAATCATGATGGCCGACAGGAGAATCATGATAAGGATGGAGGCAGGAATGTTGATGGAACAGTAGTCAAGCCCGATTTGGATAGGGATGAGTATGATCTGGTTCAGTAATATGAAGGCCAGCCCTAACCCAGCGTCTCGGTACCTCTTGGCCACCCCTGGTGCTTGGACACTCCTACACAGATTCTGGGTGAACGAGCTCATGATTCCGTTTGCTTATAGATTGCAGGAGCCCAGAGACATTACGGGACTGAAAGACAACTAGTGGGGAGGCTTAAAGTATGTATGGGTTGTTCTTATGTCTTCGATAAATAAAGAGACTGAACCAAAGTTGTAAGAGAACGAGCGAGAGCGTCAATGGATATATATCGTTTGGCCAAAGGGTTTGTGACTGGCGAACGGTTACCTATCTCATAAGACCTAGATCATGTTCACTTACAGGCTGAGCGTCCACGGACGAACACAGGGCAGACCCATCCATAGCACAGGCTTTCAAAGTATCCGAATAGTATCGAGCGAATCGAGGTCGGCCGACAATGCAGAAAGCTTGTAGCTCCATGACGTCTCACACATCTACGGTACCTAGTAGCTAGTCAAGTCGGCAACCGGGCGGGTCCTGGCAAGGTGTAACGGCTACGAGAATGGGGGACAGCCAGAGGCGCACAAACAGAGAGAGTGTGAGAGAGAGAAAGAAGGTCCAGAGCACAGCAGCAACGCCCAACCTCAATCCACGCTTGCTACCATCAACGTACTATGAGGGAAGATCGGTACATTCGGCCGCTGTCACTTTTGACATGGTGACGGAGATGTATGGCGGGAGCGGGACGGCACAGGCGCATGCAAACGCATGGCCGATTTTCCAACGGTGCCCTAAGAGGCTCACTATACTAGCATAATAGCTGTTTTTCCTACATCATTATATATGTAGGGTTATAAGCTCTCTCTCTATGTTCGATACTACATATGTAGGTAGAATGTCCATTTAAGCAGTCGGAAGACGATCAACTTTAGTTAAGTAGGCAGGTACTACGTATCTGAGTATCTGACAGAAGGCCATCTGGTTGAAGATGGGAGATATGGGATTACAGGATCGGATAAGAAGTAAGTGAGGTATGTAGAACTTTATGCGCCGATATAATAAAAAAACTGGTTGACCGCTAGATCTCTGGTCGCACAGTTTAGGAATGGACCATTTAAGCCTAGATTAAAATCTCTTTTATTCTTATTATTTCTTATTCTGAATCTGGACTTGTTTATTTCTCAACCCCTCCTCTCCAAATGAAGCGACATCATCCCGGGCGGCGCTACCGTCACAGCATCCAGACCTTCGCTTTCTGTGTGTCCTTCAATGATATCTGTTTATCTACATGTAGGCATATCTGTACGTGAATACCCCTAGATGTACATCTATGTAGGCTGATAGACACTAGATACCCTACCTACATACATATGCATATGCACATAATCAGCAACATGCATCGTGCAACGTATATGTATCTGTTCGTCTGCTTTGCTACCAAACTAAACACATGACGCATGATACATATATGAATCTGCATGCCCAACTTGGTACATAGGCAGGTATGATGTAGCAGGGTCTAGATAGTAGGTTGTCAGTCGTTCGTTCCAGCCTCACCTTTGCCTCGCGCAAGGGTCTTTCGTCTGTTGGGTTCACAAAAGATCCCGAATGTGTGGTGCAGTAACCCCCCAAACATGGTGGCTGATGTTGCCACATGGGTTGAACCGCATCTCTGTGTCTTAAGTAAAAAGGGAATCTCCGTTCACCAAAAGAGGGAGAAAAAACCTGAATTGGGCAGTTGAAGTATGTATACCTACATATGTATAAGTGTTGGCGCATGCAAGTATGAATTTTGTTGCTGCACGTTCAAGTTGTCTAACGGCTGGTTGCGGTTCGGACCCAGAGTAAAAAAAGAACCCTTGTCAGATGAATATGTCAGGGTCCGAGGTTGGGTTTAGATAAGATGCTTTTTTTTTTTTTTTTTTTTTTTTTTTTTTTTTTTTTTGGCCATCGGATCTGGAATTTTGTTGTTTTGGAGATCGTTGATCTGATTATAAGAGTTAACTAAGGGTTAGAAGGGATGAAGTGTTAGGTACCTAGGTACATAGTTAAGGGGTAGCCATGTGGTGTGGAATATTCCAAATTCAATTAAGAAATTCTGGCTAAACTTTGGCTAAAGTTCGGCTCATACCTGACGTAGGGGTACCTGATCTAGTACTATTCAGTCTATATGTACATGTAGGTACCTACTAGTAAGTACATATGTAGTAAACAAATTAAATCGACAGGGTCCTTCGTCACAATACATCCACTCTCCTTACAAAACAACGTATCATCAACATTAAAATTGAACACCGTGAAACGAACCCTCAGACTGAATAAGGTGCATAAAGAGGTAACAGGAGATCCTATTTACACCAGGGCTGTCATGACATCACGGCGGTCATTAATATTCGCGTTGCAATAGTCACTTCTAAACCCAACTGTTTTCGACCTTGGAAGTCTTTCCAGTCTATCGAGTCTCTCGGTCTCGGCCTAGGGCGTTCTACCTAATCTAGATCATCTTCAAGGAAGCGGTCAAAACCAGCCCGTCATACATCGGGGCCCCGAAACCTCATACGCCCCCCCCTAAGTTCTTCGGCTGCACTTGTCAGGTTTATCATCAGCCCTTCTTGGCAAAGAAGAGAGTTATCGCGGGTTGCCTAGGCCAATCTATTCTATAGAAGAGTACGCTGCCGCTAAGGTAAGAAGTAGGAGTACCTTACACCGGCTGGACTTTCCAATCTTGGCCCATTGAGTTTACAGTGTTCTAAGAAGAACTTTCCACCGTAAAGTACCAACTTGCCTACACACTAAATCTACCGGGGCCTGCCAAACTAGACCGTCCCTATCACTCTTCATTCTGTGAGTAGTTGCATCCGAACCTGCATACAACACCATCGCCATCTTTGCCTCACGGTCATCAGGGCCCTTTACCATGCTCGACTGCGTCTTGCCCGTCTTGTATTTGTCTTCTAGATGTAAAGCTTCCACGCGGTTCTTCGCTTATCCCAAGCTCATATCACTCCTCCCATTCCACAGCTGCTCATCTGCTGGCAATCGTTGTGCTCTCACTAACACGAATGCGAGTAGCCGATATCTTATGAGGGGGTGAGACTTATGTGGCTAAGTTTATCTTAGCGTCATCATCATTATCCTATTTACCCCTTTTGCTTTCAAGATGGCGAGCACACCGCTATCTTCAGAGACGGAGATACGCCTCTTCAACCAGGTTTGTGAGGCTATTCGTGCTACGGGAAAAGATCAGAGAAATGTTCTCAAGTCATTCATCCGTGAGGAATTGAGTACGGAATGGGCTCGTTTGGTGGCATTGATGGATTCGGATGGCCCGTTGAGTATACTGTCGGAGGATGAGATGAAATTGTAAGTCGATCCGTCCTGATTTGGCACAGACATATTCTGATGAATGTTACAGTTTCACAACTCTATACCTGAGTGGGAATCATGATCTACAAGATCCGAGTCACAGGGAGGCAGATATGTTCTCCCAGGTTCTCCCGGGGCTGACCGGTCAAAAGGCCACCGACAATGACCTGATTAAGGCGGCTATTCATGACCTACTACAATACAACAGTGTTCTCGAGAAGCTCCTCATGAAGTACAATGACTACGTTCGCCGCAGCATCGCTAATATGAAACGATCTTCCGAACCAAGTGACAAGACCTCCATGGTTGGGCAAAAGGTCGCCGAATTATCCCTGCGGAAAGCTCATCTCCAAAAGGAGGTATGAAATCCTCAGCATTCATTGGGTCTGACTTTATTTACTGACGTGGCAAGATTCATTTGCTGGAAGGTAAAATTGGTGACCAAGTCAATGAGTTTAGGGAGCTGGCCCCAGTCGAGCCCGGTGCGACGAAAGCAGGTAGCGATTTACACGGGACAAATTTGAAGTCCGCCGGAATAAAGGAGATCTTCGAGACGACATTGCCGTCCCATGATCGTATCCTTAGTAAATTAAATGCCCTGCACCACGAACTTGGCCATGATGCAATTGAGGACGATGAGCTCCTTCATGTAGCTAGACGTCATGCGAACCAGTTGAGTAACCCCTGTTCTTTCAATATCCTCCCTCTGCTTATCGAAAATTAGGATCGTCCTCTCGCTGGCTACGAAGTGCCGGGCATCATTAGACACCGTTTTCTTAGAAGCATCTCGCACTTACAATAAACGTGCCTCGCGGGCGTCTAACCACGCCCAAACCATCAATGATGAGCGTGTTGCCGTATATGCCGAGATACAGTCTCTCTGGGACGAAATGGTGCCTCTTGCTCACATGGTAGTGGAAAAAGAATTTCTCAATCCTATCTTGAAGACTGTTGAGACGTGTTCTGAAAAACAGAGTCTGCGAGACGCAACTATCTGCACCTATGTAGGTCTTTCCCAAAGGCCTCCGAGTATCGTTTTGTAGCTAACTCAGTGTAGACAACTGCCATGCTTCGCTTCATGAACGAGCGCCTCAGTCTCATTGTACATCGCATTGAGATGCTGGTATATCACCACCAAACCCTGTGTAATGCGTTTACACATGCGAATAATAAGATAACATTCAACTCGAGTCGAAATATGGGACCAGCACGCGCACATTCGAGGCAAAATAAAGGCAGCGCGAATTCCCTACTTGAGAATATCAAGCGCCAGATGGAAATGTATGGTGCTGTACCAATAGACATCGAGAGCCAGTCTCAGAGCTTATCTACGATCACACCTCAGACACAAGTTACCAAGCTTGATCGCTACTTTATGTCACGACAGAAGAAGGGCAATGAGCTCGCAAGGAGTGTGCAGAATTTCTTCGAGATGGTTACCAAGATTAAGCTTACGGATGCGGAGCTCGGTAACCAGCTTCTTTTGGACTCTATCGTGGCCGACAGCGCCGCTGCTGGCTGCCAGGCGGGCGGACACGTGTACGAGGACCAACAAGTTGAGGACTCGGTGGCCACCATGAAGTCCCAGGCAGACGAAATCCAGGCAATCTTTGCCGAACTTAGAGGGCCTAACGCTCCGTATCCAGGGCTCGACTTCGTTGCGTATGCTTATAATAAGACGGCCAAACGACACTCGCACAAGGACAGCGAGACCAAGCCTGACGACCAGGAGCGCTGTCTTAAGTTGGAGGATCTACTTCACAAATGGGGCGATGGAGTGGATTACGTAAAGTAGGGGGTACCTATTTGTTAGACGACATTTAGACAACATTTAGACTCCTGAGCATCGCGATAATATGACCGAAAGGGGTAATTCGGGATGCAAATGGGGTGTTTTAATTGGCTGGGCGACTTAGAGGCGCAAACCTTATTATTTTCCGATCCCCTCCCTCCCTCCCCCCTTTTAAGCTTGCTCGTTGTGGGAGAGGTAATTGCCCAGGTGTGCATAACGTTGAATAAGATACATGCTGAATATGTCGCTCTGGTATTATTATGAACTGGAAGCCGTTGCGTCCTGTCAAACTGTCAAACTAAATAAGTCTATGCAACTTGGTGTAATATTTGTTCATACCTAGTTGCACTCATGTAGTACCTACCTATGGTTCTGGTTAGCCCAAAATCATGCTTTCCATAACTCGGATTGATTGAATGCCCTTAATCCGTATAAGAATGGGCTTTGTTGGTTCGAAAACGGATCTGAATCGGTACGAGCCTACCCCCGTCTTTGTCTCATAGACATTCCACATTCCAGCCGCGAGCTACGAGGATATTAGGTACCCAGCAAAGGTATTATCTCTCAATTGTATTCAAAACTCACTATACTTATTTTTGAGTTCTTTTTTTTCTCCATTCTATTTCATTTTAGTCATGCATTTTACTCTACTCATGTCACTTCACTAGAAGAAAAGAAAAATAATAAGGTCGCGATAACGAAGAGCACAAGGTGCGAATATGAGCGAATACTTCGAGAGCGACTACCTCTTCTCCGGGGAGCGGGGCCCGGAGGAGACGAAACTGCACTCTATCATGAAACTAGCCGCCCAATTCCAACAGTCGGTGAGTCTCTCCCAGGACTGTGAGATAAGCGTGCCTAGGCATCACAAGTGGTTGGTTCTGACACGCACCACAGCTCAACGACATCAGAGACAACACCAAGCAGCTCTTCTGGTGGTCGTCCATGCTCGTCTTCATCTCGCTCGGCCTCTTCCTCCTCGCGCAGCTCGTCCGCCTGCGCCGCGAGCTCAACACCTTGGTCCAGTACCAGGCGCTGTTCCGCGCGATGTGGGAGCAGGACAAGCGCGACGCGCGCATCCGGATCATGCATAAGCGCCGCGAGAGGGCGGAGGAGCAGAGGATACTGAGGGCACGGGCGGCAGGTGCGGTGGGAGCTAGAGGGTTGGGGGGATCAGGGGGGTTGGGGGGGTTAGCGGCACGTGCGAGTAGAGCGGCTGAGCCGAAGGCGTCGACGTCCACGGAGGGGAGCAGAAGGGGGAGGGAAAGATCGCCGTTCGGGGCGGGAGTCGACGCGGCGCTTGATGCGGCGCCGCCGCCGGGACCGGATCGCGATGCGTGGGTGAGGACGCTGGCGAGTATGACGCAGGGGATTCGACGGGTGAGGCAGGAGGAGCAGCAGAGGAGGGGGGGAGAGGGGGCGGTAGTAGAAGAGGGGTCAGAGGAAGAAGGGGAGGTAGAGGGAAATTAAGTTCTATCCGCCCAGATCGGATATAATGCTAGTTGTCTAGACCTATTTCCGTGGGAATCTTTGGAGGTTAGTACGGTAGGAGGAAGGTGACACAACAGCGGCAAGGCCTGGAATACACACATTTACCACGAGGATTTACGGATATTCAACCCTTGATGCATTAATAATGAGGCTGATCGAAGAGGTCTTACTATATAGATAGTAACTGAGACCATATAATTGAGTATTTATCCTACCTTTCTCATCAGCCTGTTTTCTAACGTTCAATGGCAATTAAAGGGGTAGGTGGCCATTTAAATTTGCTCGTAATAGTTGACTTGCCGTCTGAACCATGCTGCTAGGAATGAAGAGCAACAATAGACAGGCAGGTAGGCAAACCTTTGCGTACGTCTTTTTGCTACTAGGTAGGTATTTATCTAGCATACTCTGGATAGATGAAGGTCCCTCTCTAGGAGCTGAGCTTGCGGTGGGAGGGCATGTATAGGCCTATCTCTTACATGCGTGACGAATATCAAAAATGACAACTTACTTTCTGTCCCCTAACCTATCACTATATACCTAGGTAGGTACCGACTTCGATATCCCTACCATCACCTTCCTACCCCAGAAAGTCATATACATATCTCACCATCATCTGGGAATATCAACCCTGTCACGTCAGATTTCGCTTCCTTTCCGAATCCTCACCACCCAGACCCCGCTTCAACAAAAGACCACAAATTCCGAATTTGGATTTAGCTACGACATATTATGGGAACAGGCAACATCCCCTTCTAGCAAACCGCATACATACTCTGTAGGCGCACTATGGCTAGTAAATCACAAGCGCAAGTTCTTACTTTAAAGGTTTGGGATTTGCTCATGATAATGTCAGCTAGGCTTCTTACGAATAGCCCCCACCTTGCACAAAGACGCACGAGGCAGCGATGTTATAATATCTTTATGACTAACACTAAGCAACGGTGGAATTTTTCTTGTGCTGTCAAAGATCCTATATTGTAAAGCATATAAGAGGAAGGCTACCCTCTCCGCAGCTGAAGCTTCCTAGATTCCAATGGAAACTATCTAGCGCCACCTCTGTCTCAAGGCAATAGAATATCTGGAACCGACCTCAATAAAACATGGCAGCCTTGCTCACAATTGCAGGCCCCTTAGCCAGCTGGTAAACCCTTTTTCGGGAGTAAGTTGTGTTTGCTCGGCACCAATGCTACGCATCGCCATTTACCCCCAATCCGGCGCTTCTTCATTGGCGCTCTATCAGTCAATCTATCGTTAACCAAACGAATAAGCGCGCGAAGGATATAAGAGTCCGATCTACGATGGCCTGCATAGCATTGATTGTTGGGGATAACCCTACCTCCCTCTTCGGCGGGGGTCGGGGTGTGCCAGGTAGCATACTAAGGATTAGGTATTGTACCTAACGTAGCTGCAGCAGCGCTTACTCCCGAGGAGATCGACAACGTAGCAGCCTTTGATGGCACCCTTACCCAAGCTTATAAATGCTATGTATGTATGTATGCCCGAGTCACATAAGCATCGATCTATTTACCTACCTACCTCGAGAAGGATCTTTCATCATTCATATTTCTTTTCGTGGATTTCCCCTAACGTCCTGGTATCACCACTAATGTTACCATCCAATCATCCCATCATCCCATCATCCCTATCCATCATCCAAACACATACCTAGGTAACCTACCTACTGCTTCATACACCTCCCCCACCACCATGACATCCAAGCTCAGCTCAGACTACCCCTGGGTCTCCACCCCCATCATCATCAACGCGCCCATGGACGGCATGGCGACCGAGGACCTCGCCGTCGCCGTGACCCAAGCCGGCGGGATCGGCATGCTCGGCTCCGCCCTCGACCTCGACCAGCTCGAAGCTCGCCTCTCCCGCACCAGGACCCTCCTCGCCTCCCCCCCACCACCAACCCTCCTCCCCATCGGCGTGAGCATGTTCCCCTTCGCCTGCAACCCCTCCCTCGCCCTCCCCATCCTCGCCAGACACCCCCCCGCCATCCTCTGGCTCTTCTGCGCCGCCGACCCCTCCCACTACCTCCCCTGGGTCACCGGGATCCGGCAGCGCAGCCCCGGCACGCGCGTGTGGATCCAGCTCGGCAGCGTCGGCGCCGCGCTCGCCGCCGCGCGCCTCTGCCGCCCCGACGTCCTCGTGCTGCAGGGCGCCGACGCGGGCGGGCACGGGTTTGCGCGCGGCGCGAGCGTCGTGTCGCTGGTCCCGGAGGCGAGCGACGCGCTGCGCGCGTCGGGGTTCGGGGACGTGCCGCTCGTCGCGGCGGGCGGGGTCGCGGACGGCCGGGGCGCGGCGGCGGCGCTGGCGCTGGGCGCCGCGGGCGTGGTGATGGGCACGCGGTTCCTCGCCGCGCGCGAGACCGCCGTGCACCCGCGCTACCGCGGCGCGATACTGGCTGCGGCCGACGGCGGCGTGAGCACGGTGCGCGCGAAGGTGTTCGATGAGCTGAGGGGCCCGACGATGTGGCCGCCGGCGTATGATGGGCGCGCGCTGGCGACGGACAGCTATAAGGATTATGTGAGCGGGGTGGGGATCGAGAGGATTAGGGAGCTGCATAAGGAGGCGAAGGAGGGGGAGGGCGCGGGCTTTGGGGAGGAGAACCCGAGGGCGGCGGTTTGGGCGGGCGCGGGGGTGGGGTTGGTTAGGGAGGTTAAGGCGGCGGCGGAGATTGTGGAGGAGGTTAGGAGTGCGGCGACGGGGATACTGAGGGGGTTATCTGCGCTGTGAATCGGATACCTAATTGGTCATCGGATGTGGGCATACATATCCAACCATTGAAGATGGTATTTGTTTAGGAGGGTGGCTCATACATTTTCTCTTGAGAGGGGATAAGGGCGAGGGGCGAGGGGCGAGGGGCTCAAGGCGCACCCCCCTAGTAACCACCGACCTCAAGGATCTACAATACAATGTCTCAACAACTACGGCAATGTAACAAAGTTATCCTACAAGCTAATAAAAATATAAAATTAATAGAAGAGAAGATAACTCAAGCGAACCTCATCGCAAACGGGTTAGAAAAGCTACCTGGGTGAGTAGGTAGGTAGGTACTTTCTTGAGTGCGTAGTAGTAACGAGTACTAAGTAACGTAACTTGTAGTCTATATAAAGGGTAAAAGTTAGGTATACGGGCTGTTAAGGGGCGCCCACTCCGTTTGGGGTATCAAATGTTTGCAGAAAACCAAGTGACTAGCTACAAATCACATGATGTTGATCTGATGATGGTGGAGAAGGGAAGGCTGTCTCGCTTCCCTTTCTTCCTCTCCCGGCTACTTTCCACTTCGCTGCACGAACGAGGTCTAACACACAATAAACCTCGCGAACCTAATGCTCTTAGTTCTCCACCTCCTCGTGGCTCCCGTCCGCCTCGCTCTTCTCGCTGAGCGCCTTCTCGTGCGGGACGCCCGCCGGCCCAGTGGCATGGGTGGCGCCTCGTGCGGCCGTCTCGATGAGTCCGTACTTGAGAGCCTCCTGCTCGACCTGCTCGGGGGTGAGCAGGGGCAACTCCTCGGCGGCGCGCACGTAGGACTTCTTCTCGACGAAGCCCTTGGCGAAGATGATGTCGATCTCCTCGAGGGATCGGCGCGCGGTCTCGGGATAGAACCAGTAGATGATGGGCAGGAAGCAGGCGTTGACGGCGGCGAAGAACAGGTAGGTGCCCCAACCGATGTTGGTGATCATGATGGGCGTTACCATGACGATGAGGACTGGGCATGGGGTTAGCTATTGAAGTTGTTCAGGGGGAAATGATTCTGTGTGGGGTGTACATACAGTTGAAGAGCCAGTTCGTGCAGGTAGAGACAGCATTGGCCTTGGCACGAGTCTTGATGGGGTTGATCTCAGCAGGGTACAACCACGGGAGCGGGAGCCAGGTTGCACCGAACGAAGCGATATAGGTCTGAAATAGTCAGTCAATATTTGTTCTCAAGCTATTTTCTTAATCAAATTGCGAAAAAAAAAAGCACTTACGAAAAGACCAACAGCAGCGCCCTTGGAAGCGGCCTGGGTATTGGGGATCAAGCAAGCGAACGTGAGGACCATAGACAGGCACTGTCCGAGAGTTCCCCAGAGGAACAGCTTGCGACGACCAACGCGCTCAATGATGAACCACGAAGTTGTAGCGAAGATGGAGTAAACAATCATGTTTACACCACCCATAAGAAGAGCCAAATGATGGTTACCGGGCGTGATGTTCTTCTCAAACAGAATGGCTGGCGAAAATCATGTTAGTATGGATATTGGGAGGGAAATAAGAAAATAATTTTGGAAAGTGAAAACTAACGGAAATAGTAACTATAGTAACAAAAGTCAGCAATCATCTCTTTTTAAGTGCAAGTTGAAAGAAGTTGAGGTATTTCGGGGCAGGAATTCCCAACGACTTTGGGTATCACTTACATGACGGCATTGCAACCACCAACCTGCTGGAACAGCTGACTGCTGGCACCGAGCAGCATGCGCCTGAAATGCTGGGTCTTGCCACCGGTAAGCAGGGCCTTGACGGGGGTGCTCTTCTGGCCGGTAAAGCCACTGGCGCGGATGGAGTCCAAGATGATGTCGCGCTCGATGTGAGTGTCCTCGCTGCCGAGCTCGAATCCTCGGAGAGCGGAGATGACGACCTCGGCATCCTCGTATCTTTCGTGGGTCAGGAGCCAACGGGGAGACTCGGGCAGGAAAACCATGGCCACGCAGACGAAGAGACCGAAGATGATCTGGAACGCGATGGGGAATCGCCACGAGAGGTCGTCGCTGCCGTAGCTGCAGCCGTAGTCGATCCAGTACGCGATCACGGTACCGAATGCGATGATGCCGCCTTCGATGCAGATGAGCAATCCTCTGTTGGAGGTTTTACTGCATTCAGCTGTGGAGAGTTGGTGGTTAGTTTGCCGCCTGATATACAATTGCGTACCTACAATACAATGGATAGGGGCATTTAGAACGAACCTTGATAGGTAGGAATGGTCGATGTATTGATACCGTTGCCCACACCGGTGACCACACGACCGATGATGAATTGAGCCAAGGGGGAGTGGTTAGGGAATGACGTGACTTGAATGACGGCACCCAAGATCATGATAAAACCTCCTAGAATCATCGCTTTCCGTCGTCCCAGCAAGTCACCAACGGCGAGAATGAACATGGCACCCATAAGGCAGCCAATCTCATAGATTGCAGTGACAAGACCTTGCATTGTGGCATTGTCTCGCACTTCCTCGAACATGTCGGCGAATGGCGTCGAACCGATAATTCCGCTCATTCTTCATTTTCGCGGTCAGCGATTTTGCCATGGTTTGCGAATATGCCAAATCCTCAAAGGTTGCGTAAAAGGTAACAATGCGAAAAACTTACACTCCTTGATCGTAACCGAATAGCAAGAATCCGGTGGTCGCAACCGTACTGACCATCATGGACAGCGGCCGGCCCCGAAGGCCCATAAAAGTCGGGCCCGTCGAAGGTGTCGCCGTCATCTTGGAGATAAGAGTTCGGACTTAAATCCCTTTAAACGGGTTTTCGGTTCACAGTGTGTGCTAGGACTATTTCCTCTTGTTCTTTTCTTAGAAAATCGTGTGGCCGAGAATAAAAATTGGCCCGAGCTGAACAAAGGATGGGCGCCAACTCCGGATTTTCAAAAGGCAATCTAAGGAGGACCGGACTGAGGGGACGGTTGGGAATTGTGGGAGAGGAGAATCTGGAGTCTGGAGAAGGCGGGACTCGACCCTCATATAAGGATGGAGAATGGAGAAGAGACCCCGTAACTTTTGTTGCTGACAAAGAGACAAAAAAAGACATTACAACTCTGCACATGCGTGTCTACATACATACATAGTATAGTGCGACGGTTTGTTTTTTTTCCTCTCTTTTTTTTACCATGTGCTGCTGATGCATACCATTGGATGCTAGGAAAAAAACCCACGTTTGCCACGGTAGGTAAGGATAGGCAAGAGACAGCATCCTGGATCTTGAACCAAGCTTTGTTCCGTGTGACAGTTGCAACCACGACGCTGCAAGGCCCTGCAGAGAGGACCAGGGGGGCCGAGGGCCGGAACCGCTTTGCTGATCGCGACGATCTCACAAACTTTCCAATTTTTCTCTTTGTTGGTTCCCCGGCCAGCGGGGTATCGCTTATACACCAACCTTGCTCTGACCATACTTACATAGTACAAGCCCTTTTGATAGTACAGTATGACGAGGGAAGTGAGATGTGAGATGAGGTCATCGGCCCGGTATTTCTCGGTTCGGCCAAGAGGACAGGACCCAGATTGGACTGACCTAAACCAGCTTAGTAGATGCTTAGATGGGTTGAGCCAAGGTTAGGGCAAGGTTAAGCCAGGGGTTTTGGATGCCATGGCCCATTCCCCGTGTGAAGAAGGCGGGCTGGCGGGATAGCTTGCTTATATCGTAATACTACAGAGCTAGCGTTGTCGCGAATCAGTAAAATCACCGATACAGCTCCATTTTCGGTAAGAGATGTACCAAGCCTAGATAACCGCAAAAGTAATAAAACCTACCCACGATGGTTGTATAATGTATTCGGTATTAGTGAGCGGCTGAAAGGCGTTAGGCAACGTTGGACAATTAGATAGGCATGTAGGTTTGTTACCAAGCTGAGGAATACTGCAGCCGTTTTGTGCTACTTAATATACTATGTTGCCTACCTAGGGCATGGAATGCCAAACCTTTTGAGATATTAATGAAAAAGTTCCGCAACGACTCTGACGAATTCGGCTTTCCTAGATTGGATCTATCCCGAATATGTAGGTAGGCATGCGCAATGTAGGCAATTCATTGGCTATCTCGCTTTACCACTCACAGCCCTTGAAGCTCTTTTCCCTTCCCCGACTTTTGTTGCCATACTTTATAAACCACGCGGGGGTCCCATGAATTTCTCCCAGGGGGCCCCCAAGCTCCCTTCACTCGCCTCGAGCCGCTCTACACTCCACTGACCCGCTGTAAGGACTCCCGTGGGGCTCTATTGTGGGTTCTTTAGTGGAGGTTTATTTCCACTCCTCCCAAGCAAAAGTCCACTCTTTTTTTTCCTTCATTGCAACGCGCCTTACATAGTCTGCATGCATACCTACCTGCCTGCCTACATAACAGTCAAGGAAGAAGAAGAAGAAGAAGAAGACGATGACGACGAAGAAGAAACAGCAGTAGTAATAGAACATAGTGCATCCCCCCCGGCCAGTGTTCGGTGAGATATTCCAAGGTCCTGCCTCGTTCGAAAGCAGCACAGCCTAGGGGATTTGCAAGCCTACTTGCTGTTACAAAACTAATCAAATCAACCGTGTTATCTATCACATGGAGAGAGGAAACACGATGAGATTCCTGCGGCGTCCTGCATTAGGGCGGCGATTCGCAATCAATCACATTCCCAAACCCCTATGAACGACCCTTCTTCTCCCCGGACCAATCAGCATCCAGGTTATTAACACGAGAAGTTTGTTTGCAAAGGATGACGAGGTCGAAGCATCCCATCCCATGAATACATAAAAGCCCGATGATCTGCTTCTTTTTTTTTTCGATCGCGATAACTAACAAAGGACCAAAGACGAATAAAGGAAAAAAGAAGAGGCAAACTGCTCAGTACACAGGTATGTAATACTTACCTACCCAAGCACGTGAATAAAGAATAAGTGTATAGCCGAAACATCTGATTATCTACACTACCTACTTCATAGTAGGCATCTACATATACCTAGGTTAGGTATTAGTTATCCATTGAAGTGGACCTGCCTAGTAGGCATTATACTTGACACAAAGCCCGCTAACATCAGCCCAACTTCGTAGCTAGTCACCTTGCTCGAAATGTATTCGTTTTCTTACCATAGTAGTATGATAGTACACCCCGAACATATTAATCGATTAAAATTTGCGAAGGAGGATCTGCATTACAAATGGGTCCACTCACTTCACCGTATGTAGAAGATGGAGGGAACCTCTGACCTTGATGCGCGGTAAACTACTAGTTATTGAGTATAACCTGCTTTATCCGCCTTACCTGCTGCTTACTTGGTGCCTACCGAATTAAACCCCCCCTTACTTACCTCCACGCTTACGTTAAGAGAGAGAAAAAGTTGGCCCAACGCTGAAACCAGATTCGTTTTAATCTATTACTTCCTAATATGTATTTTTACATTGAATAACCATTGAAGTTGATTGAACCCTACGTAGGTGGGTAGTTATGGATAAAAGTCGTGTCGGTAAGGGTATGCATGAACAGATCGTGACACTACAATTACACGTAAACCGGGGACTTTCATGGCGTATACCGACCCACCAGGCTCCCCCACGATCCTGTAAAATTTGGCTGCGTGTTAATGTCAGCTCCATCTCCGAGGTGAAGAGCTGTCCGAGTACTTTTGGAGCACACTCCATACGCATGGAAATTTGTGGGTGTTTGAGCAATCCAGTGCATGTAGGCTATTCTCACAGTAAGCAACACTGCAACAAACAGATCCTTAACGAATTGATCTCTCTCCTTTTAGTTACTCACATTGGCAATCTCCCAAGCATCCCTGATGACCTGGACCACTGAAGAACGCCCAGGACGCAGACGCGTAGGTGTAGATATTTGTTCCTCCTTGCACGAGGTTCGCAAGTCCCATTTTGCATCTCGTGTCGCCCCCACTGCACCAAGAGAAATCGGGATCTCCCCAGTTTCTCACATCTGCTACCCACGGGGTTGGTGGTATCTGTTGCGCGTTGCTACCTTGGTCGTAGTTGGTTTCGGATTGGAGCAAACTAACTAGCACATTGCTTGCGCTCCGCAAATTGAGCTGGTATAACCACCAATGCTCACTACCGAGCCCGTGGAGCCAGGTGCCCTTAGTAGATTCCACAAGCGCGCCGCCTTTTGCCGCTATGCTACAACCCCCACTACCCTCTGTGAAATGGTCGGCAACCCAATTCCATACATTCTCAATATAAGCGGATGAACTAGACGTGAAATGTAAGCCGAGGAAGGCTGCTTGGCATTCGTTCCTAGCAGAACCACAGGCATCATTCAACGCGGGTGCCCCACGTGTGCCGCCGACGGTAATCAGGGAATTCCATAACGCCACATCACCTGGGGACGAGCCTGCGATATTGAATTGCACGATGATGGCACCAGGAAGGACATCAGAAACCGTGAACCGCATATCCTGAATTTGCGCGACCCCAATATCGCCAGGACTACCAACCGCGACGACTGGTCTTGGATTGGTACAGTCCTTGAACCTGTCGCCATTTCCCGTGATAGTTGCCCAGGCTTCACCTACGATGCGCGAGCCCTTCGGGATGACTAGGGTGTCATCAACTCTGTATTTTCCAAATGGGAAATATGCGATTTTGTTGTTGTCGGCCGCGAATTGCAATACCTGGTTCAGCACGCCAGACTCATCCACCGTCTGGTCGCCTCGAACAAAGAACCCACCATTCTGAAAAGGATCTTTGACATTGATGAAGTTGGAGACCGGCTGATCGGCGTAGTTTGGAGCAGGCACCAAGGGGTATTTCCCATTCGGAGCCAATGCCAAGGGACGATTAAATGTCGATGATACGGGACCGTAAGTAGGGTTGCGGCCTATAGTATTTCCATAGGAGAAGTTGTCCACATGTTTCTGGGGACCAAGCGCGGTCCTTCCGGATACATGAACAATGTCCGAGTCGGTATCCTTGCTCAGATTCTCAATCAAAAACGACGGGGACCCTTCCAATTTATATCGTCAGCAACCTCCCCATCGCATACTAAAGGGGTCATCAATTGGGGTAGGGGCAGGCATAGGGATAAGCCCAGGTCGCATATCCCATATGGTAAGGTTACATTGCAGACCCAGAAATGGCCCAATCCCAAGCATTGCAATTAATTGTTAGGTAGAGTAACTACCTGGGTAGACTGACCTGTTGTTACGAAAGTTACACCGGAGTTGATTGAGGTTGCGTCGATGAGGGCAATCCAGGGCACACCATAATCATGACGGACTGCGGTATTGACATTATCGAATATGGCGCCGGTAATGCTGATGGTATTCCCACGATTAATCAGTATTCCGATAAGATTTTGATAAAAATATACGTTCTTGTAGAGTGTTTGTTGATGGCCGTCATGCCAGATACCGTTCTTCACGCAAATTCTTTAGCAACCTGGAACCCCATCATGATATCAAACAGGATAGGAAAGAAAATCGAGATGGTTTACCTGTCCACGTTCAACACGAACGTCCGCTACCACCAAGGTAGAGCCTCTTCCAAGGCGAATTCCGGTATGTCCATTCCCGTTATTCGGCAAGGCCATTACGATTTTAATATTCTGTAGCTGGGCAGCCTGCGCAACACCCCACCCAAGCGCAGTGAACATTCTGCCTGCAATTAGTCAAAATACCGATCGACAATCATATCAGGATGGAAAACCTATCTGACCTCCCGGTATGCTTGTCGTATCAAGAATCAAATTCTTCAATCCCACTGCGAAGGATAGTTCTCCCATATCTCCCGTTGTAGGATCCTGGCCTACACCTTCTCGTTAGACCTGTGACTTACAAGTCCTTAGATGGGGGAGCCTACCCTCAACAAGAGTCTGGGTACCTGTGAATTTGGCAGAAGCTTTTATCGTCGGAGGCTAAGATGGAGATGTACCGAGTAAGCAGATGCAGCAGATATTCCAACGGATAGAGATCCACTTACATTCGTTGCGTCACCCATCAAGATGGTGTCTGTATTCATATAAATAGTCTGGCTGACCTCGTATATCCCAGAGGGTATATACACAACCTACTCTAAGCTCAGTTACTAGGTACCATACAAGTATCATGAAGTTGAGTGATGCGATCCGTACCCTTGGCTGGGATGCCAACCATTGGCCATGACGGATGGATCCGTCACCAGCGTCGTTGATAGCCCGTTGAATTCCTGCGCCGTCGCCAGGTGCAACTGCCACGTACACTGGGTACGTGATCTTGCTATCCAGATCTGGGGCCAGGCCGCTTGATGGGCCAGTATGGTCCATGTTGGCATACCAAAAGCTGGTATCCTGACCTTGGACTTCTAAGCAAGATACTCCCCATACCAGTGCTGCAAGAAGGAGCCCAAGCATAGACATGTTGATAAGTACCTAGGTAGTTAATATGTCAGCGTATGCTCTGCTATCCGATACGTCGCTATCGATGATGCCCGCAATGCCAAAAATGCAGATATATTCATAGGAGGTAGGTGGATATTGATGCAACTGAATCGTTCTTGATAAGCCAGGCAGGTATTGTATATTTGAAGGCACTTGAGCAATGAATGTTCAAACTTTGGTTGTCATGGTTGACGTCAAAAGTATAATCGAGGTATTTTCGAGGTGGATACCAACCAACCAACCAGGCACCTTTCAACTCGTGGCAGGTGCACTCGATATTGAGCCACATAGTAACTTCCTACTATGATGTATCGAACTGCATCGCTCTTGCTTCACATAGATAGTAGCAAACCTGGGTACCTACCTAGGGTACATAGTACATACCTATTACCTAGTACCTACTAGGTACCCTCTTAGCGCCAACTTAGGTTGCTATAATATGTCTGCCTATCAATAACTATCCTAACCCTAACCCTCTATAAAATTCCATTGGACCCATGGTTGCTTGTAAATTCATTCTATCTATCTATGGATCTCCAGAAGTGAGTAACATTTGTAAGCATACCTACCTACCTATGTAACTTCAATGTGAATAACGTCCAAGCATTCACCACTCGTAGTAAAAGTACCTAGGTAGATATAAGACAATACCTAAATCACATAGAGATACCGAGACACCCACATTCTTAATATCCAAAACCATGGCCTCCAAAACCCACAAAGCCCTTGTCACAGTTGCTCCCCGAGCCCCCTTTGAGATCCACGAGTATCCCACGATCCAGCCCACTGGCGACGAGATCAGGATTCACGTCCAATGGAGAGCCTCCACCCCTCTTGAACTCCACGAGGCCGACGGTGGACTGCTGCTTGAACCACCTCAAAGAACGGGGCGGACTTCCGCAGGCATCGTCGTCGAGGTAGGACCCGACGCGAAGCGTCTCAAAGTCGGCGGCAAAGTCTTGGGCTACGCGCACCAGAAGCCCAGCTGGCAGGCTCACCAGGGAGTACGCCACAGCCCCTGAATGGGCGTTCGGTAAGGTACGTAGCATCCCTTTAAGAAGAAGATATGAGTTTTTTTTTTTTTTTTTTTTTTTCATATAGCATCCCACCCCTAATCATCTCATCCACCAGGCTGAACATCTTACTAACCCCCCCCCCCCCCCCCCCCCCTCTGTCCAACATACCAAGCAGGCAAGCTAACAACCCCCCAACCAGAACGACTTTCCCTCCTCTCAAGGCCGCAGCTAGAAGTGATGCCGCAGATGCTAGCTAGCATCCGGCGACGTAGGTACCTAACGCCGAACCGCTTCCGGGTAGTAGGTAGGTAGAGGGGAAAGAAAGGACTTGCTTGCTGGAGCGGGGCGACCAAGGCTCTAGGTACCTAGATCTACTGCGGAAGGGGGTTGGTTAGCGGGGAGAAGCTCGCTCGCTCGTGTGGAGGGTCTCTGAGGAGTGAGATGTGCCTCCTTTGGAGCCTACCTATGTAGTAACCTAGGTTAGTGGATTTACGTAAAAGTTTGGTTGGTTGGTAGGTAGGTAGGTAGGTAGGTAGGTGCGCAGCTGTCTTTGTCTATGATTTCGCATAGGTAACTATAGGTACCTAGGAAGGAAGTTGCATAAAGCACAATCTCATTGAATTTTACAAGCGCAACTACGTGCATGTACCTCCTAGTCTGTAGTCGTCAAAAATACCTAGGTATATATACTTCCAAGGTTCCAAAGCACCTATGATTCATACAACCAACCAACCAACCAACCAACCACCGTAGACCATTACTTATAGGTATAGCCCTACACTATCGACACCAAAATCTTAAACTCATCATCCCTCACGAGCCCCGCACACTCATCCCCCAAAGTACTACTCCGCTGCTCTCTCTCCCTCTCCTCCGCGCCCTTCTTCCCACTACTCGCCCTCACAAACACGGCAACGCCCACCCGTCCCACATCATCGAGCGCCTGGAACGACAGAGACTCCATCTCCGGGTTCTCTGCGACGAGGTCCTTGGCCATGGTGGACGTGAGGATGGCGCGGGGCACCATCGCGGTCGGGTCGTCGGTGCCGTCCTCGTTGCGCCTGGGCTCGAGTTCCCTAGCCCTGACGATGAGCGCTTTTGACGGGTCGATGAAGAAGGCGTAGCACGGGTACGAGATGGGCTCGTCGGCGAAGTCGAGGTGCAGCGCGCCGACGGATATCCCGCGCTCGTCTGCGAAGTCGATTTCGACCGGTATGCCGTGCCGATCCCACCTGGTCTTCGGCCTGTGCGGCTTTACTTCGTATATGGGCCCCTGCGGAAATATTAGCTGCACGGTCTGGCTATGTGTGCGCCTAGGTAGGCACCTAGGACAAGGCGTTAGAACTCTTACCCTGATATCCAACTTCCCGCCCGAACATCTTCCATACAGGTCTTTCCCAGCCGGAATCGTCGTGCACATAAGGATCTCCGCCACCAGCCTGTTGTACGACAACGGGATATACTTGATCGGCCCATCCAGGGAAGCCCACGACCAGCTAGGCGCTCGATACTCGGCCGGTCTACGGACGGCACCTAGCATCTTTCCCATCTTGAGCGTGCTTTTCGTCCCCCGTCGAGATTCCATCTCCTCCTGAGGGTACGTCCTCCAGAACAAATCTTCCATGAAATGCCTTCCCCACAGACCGGCGTAATACCGGTCCTGCGTTTCCTCTCCCAAAGCTCTAGCCACGCCAGCTATTGCGGTGAGTTTATCCTTCGAGACGGTCATGTTACGCCTCGTGTAGTTTTCGATGAGAGACAGCCACCCTCCTTGCCACCTAACCCCAGGATTTGTGGCCCCAGAATGTTGCCCAATTATAGGGGAGCCCCCGAATGAAGGGGGGAGGCCGTGCTGACTATACGGTATGCGCTGCGTCTCCAGGAGGCGGCTCATTCCGAAGTAGATGTCGTCGAACTTGAAACCGTCCTCGGATTTCAAGCACGTCTCACATTCGAAATACATTTGATCGCGGGCATAGTGGACAATGCGGGGAGACAGCAATCGTTCCTGTAACGTCCAGGCGCGACTGCTCAGGGGCTCGTCGGCGATAGGGTCTAGCCTCTTGCCGAAAGTGCCCACGCCCATCCTCTGTGGCGAATCGAAGCTGGAACCTGGCAGCCATTCCTCGAACAAGTGGAGCTTATTCTTCTTGCCGGGCCGCGACATGCTATCACAATCCAGTGTAAAGCTCCTCGGCCCCCTTGGTTCCCTCGGTATGTTATAGCCAAGCGATTTGGAAGCTGGTGACACATACGAATCCGTCTCACGCTTCGGGAAACATCCCGTGTAACTGTCGTCGGACGCAGCTGCTGATATTGTGAGGTACGAGTTCCGGTAAATCTGGTTCATCGCGGACGTTTCTCGCTCCCAATCATCCGGGTCATCTTGGATAATACATAGACAATCTATCCAAAGATATTCTATACCGAGACGTCTCGTGACTCTGATCGCATCTTGAAAGGTTTTTGGAAGAAATGATATGGCAATGCCGTCTTTTAAGTCTGCAATGGACTCTTTAGTGGCTGTCAGCCTAGAGGATGTTCCCCAACAGTGACTGAGAGTTACATATTTGCCCCTGTGGCCGCTAGTCTCGAAAACCGAGACTTTACGGTCAGAGGAGAATACGTCTATGACACGCGTTGGCAACTTAGTTTTGAGTTGTGGTCTTTCACAACAGTGGTGATTTGTTGTACAGTCTTTTAGCCATTTCTGAAGCCGATGGAAGGCCATGGCTGAGTCTGAGTTTAGCTCACGCAGGCGACCTGGAATGTGAGTAGATGATGAGCTGTCTTTTGCGGGTTAGTCGGACTGTTCAGTATCGATTTAGTACGTGCTCAGCAGGAGTCTGCTCACCATCGCTTGCACATATTCCCAGCTGACTTCCCCGCACGTGAATCCAATCCGGCTTGCAGTTGAAGGCATCAAAATGGCTTTGAGTCTTGCCGAAGCGAGCACCGACTCCCATGAGTCTCATCTGAGATGTGCTATTAGACTCCTTCGGCTCACTCTCTGACCACCAATTTCCATAGAGCCAGACTGGCAAATCCGCCGTCTCATCCTCGTCGATAGTCGGCTCATCCAGGCTTGGCTCATCATCGTCTATATGCGTGCCGTCGGCGGTAATGTTTCCAGTGTGTGCCAGGATTGGTTTTGCGCCACCTTTACTGTGACCTGTTGTATTAACGGGCATGTTGGCTCCTAAATCCTTGACAAAAGTCACATCACGCACGCCTGAGCCGCTGTGGTGCTTGGCGGCAACGAACTCTCTCCAGTAGCCCTTCCCATTTCTTCTCCCTCTCGAGTCCCGATAGTTTGCTACTGCGGCGCGCAGAATCATGTGACAGAGCCGACATGATTTGGCAGATGCTTCCAGGGCTTCCCGACTGGAATGGTGCGGCGTTCCCAACAAATCTTCCGGTTGGAGTTCGAACCACAGCACCTTTCTGCAAATCGAACAGATCTTCTGAGGAGCTACAGCTCCGGCTCCTACCGGGGCCATGATGTTTCAACGACCAGGACTTATATAGCGAAGAAAATTTATGCTGTTCAATGTGTCTGTACTCATTATCTAGCGTGCCGTGTTAGTATAGTGAACCTGAATATCTTGCTCATCGACAGTTCATGCCGTCATTAGTATCAAGGTAGAAGCTCGCGTCGAATCCAACATCAGTTAGAAGGGCCGAAAAATGTCCAAAAAATAATCGAGTCTTTTGAGGTCCAACGCCGTACGGGATAGCTCAAAATTGCAGCTGAGGCTCCTTTTACGACTCCATTTACCAATTTCAGGTGTAGGGGTTCTTGGCGACTAGGGCGGAGGGCTCAAACCTCCTCTGTGCGCCAGTGCGACATTAGCTTGGTAGAAGCCGGTGAAAGACATTCCTAGTCGTATAGAATAGTGGGGGTTAAATTATCTGTTAGAAAAGTTGAACGATCGTCAATGGACCCTGATGAATGATGAGGATGGCCACGTTTGGCTCGAGTGTAGCTAACTTCTTTCGCACCAATAGTGTAGAGGCCTTCCCCACAAGCCGATGTGCTCGTGTGCAATTTTAGGATTAATTCCTTATCTGGGTCGACGGCTCCTCTTTTCAAGCTGTAGTTGAACAGGTTAAAGCCTGCAATAAACGTGGTTTTCTATTATAGTGCATTGTAAATATACCCAAATTTCATGCAAAGCTGAGCTTTGGGATAGACTACTCTGCAGTAGGATAGTTCCAATGTTTCTGAAATGTAATGCCTTTACAGAGATAAAAAAAAATGTAGTAAAATACTCATTTGTAAATGAAACCCATAGACGCATAGATCAAATAGATCAAAGACACCTATTCAATAGTTATCATGAATACCCAATGGCTAAGAAATAGACTATACCCTAGCCCAATAGTTCTGAGCTGTATAGAGTTAATGGGAAATAACGCAAGTGAACTAAACATTTTAATTAACAGTGACGTTTTGACCTACTCATCTAAAAATTAAAAAAATTCCAAATTTACTATCAAATTTGAGAGAAATGTATAGGGCCTAATCTATTAGTTAGGTAATAGCCTGGTGCCGACGATGTGTTAACAGTATAAGCCCGTAGTCGACCCGGCAGTTAATGGCTAAGCTAGGAGTTGGCCCTCGGTACGAAGTAAGGTCTTGGCACTATATAGACTTAGTTCTTCAGTAGTCTCTAGTTATATTCCACTTCCCACCGAGAGTATCAACAAAACTTGGGAAAAAAAACTGACGGAAATGCCTTCGATATGGACACCTATCAATGGATAGGAAATGCACGGCATGACTCGACCGGAACGCATGTCTCAACGAAGACACCCTCATACCTAGTGTCCCCGCATCCCCGCATAAGTCGGATGCTTGACTGATCGCGTGGTCTAGATTTTCAACTGCATTTGACTGTATGAGTGTGCCGGTATACATGCCTGGGACCGGGTGCGCTAGGTTGTATACCCTAGGTGTGATGCATACACACGCCTAAGGTATGTGTCACAGCCCGGACCCGAACCGAGACCTCAAACAATGGCAAGCGATTCGTCTCACGCCGGCCATGCGCCATGGCTCCCCACTTACGAAGGTGTCTAGACACTACACACCTAGGTACCTAGGTAGGCATAGATTTGTGTGGCAAAATCAAGCCACGAGACCCTCCTATCCCATTCAACACCCTGGCGTGGGTTGGGTGTGGTGCTGAGTGTTGCGTAGTAAAAAACGATAAGCATGCAGTTTCATCGTGTGGGTGGGAAGAGCATCGTGGTATCCACAACCCATATAGCATCATTCTTCTCGAATATTCAACCCTGTCAGCCCTGCCAGACCCAAGCAGTAAAGTGAGTGCGCCATGTCGGCAACCAGCTAGAATCCCGCGGGTGACAGCGGAGAAGACTCAACAACGATCAGAGATCAACAACAGCGACTTTTCGCCTGAAACATTGAACACGCGTGTGCAATACGTACCAAAATACTTAGGTACCTAGTAGGCGTGTAGGTACCAATGATAGTTGGGCGAAGGATCTCCCAAGTTGTCATCCATCTAGCTGGACGATCATTCCATCGCCGTTATTATTGTCCTGGAGCAGCTGTTCGTGGTCACAGGAACGAATGCGACGATGATGTAGGTCCTATGTTTTCAAGGTCGGCAACGCCATGGAAAGGCATCGACGAGCAAGATCGGCCAGTGGGATGCGATGCGCGCGCAAATCCCTACAATTCCATCATATGTTCTGTCTGCCTTCCCAGGCTGCCCATCTACCCACAAATGCTGCTGGTGGTGGCCACTTGACTTTCAGTAGCTACACTAGAGATAGTTCGCGACCAGTAGGGAGGCAGCCGGAGAGGGTAAAAAGTTGGTAAGCTGGTAACAACTCGGTTAAGGCGTATGTAGGAGAGATCTTAGGACTCCGCGCTCTGCATGAGTAGTAGAAAATCCTATGCAATAACTAGCCGGGAATAGGAATCCCGCTTCTAAAGTCCTCTACACTAGAGTCCTAGATCTGCCTAATGTAGTGGTATGTTAGTACGTGTTGGATGAGCCAATGGTGTAGAGGGACGCGTTATTGTCTTGCTAAGACAAAATTTTCAAAAGAGGCAGAAGGTAAAAGAAAAGGCACATGTATGTACAATACATTGGGCGAAGGTGAGAGATCTACGGAACGTACTGTAGTTCGCTGCAGTTTGATGTATGATGATGTCTAAAAAGGTGATGAATTATAGATCGGTAATGTAGCGCAGACAAAAGATACATTTGTAATAATTGACAGTGGATACATGTTAGTATGATGTTACTCTCAGTTACTCTACCTAGGTAAGGTACATAAGGTACCTACCATTGTAGGCCTAGTAAACGGATAACTTTCAAGAGAAATGGAAGGAAAAGGACATGGCGCATTCAAGGAGGGGCCAATCAGGCAGCAACCGGGCCGTGAGTTAATATCCATGTATGTATTAATAGGGTTGGGTTGAAAGAAGGAAGCCAGGGTGACCGGGGTGACCCGGATAGGGGGACAATTTGACTGGTACAGTCTGGTAGTGCCCAGGGGAAGTGCCCCGCTGGATCGCGGGGCAGTCTTTTTCTCTGGTCTTCTCTTCTTTCTCTTTGGATGACAGGAGGGGCATGTTTCCAAAGTTGAAAGTTGGCTGTCAGGTACGAGACAGTCATTGACAAATGCCATCAGCCATCCACTTCAATATTTGTTTGTCGCACAAAAAAAAAAAAAAGAAAAGAAAAAAAAGAGAGCAGGTGGGCAGGCGCATACTATGTACTACTAGAGTAAGTTACCTAACTGTTACCTACATATGTAGGTGAAACTTGGAAATATCCATTCAAGTTTAAACGATCAATGCTGAACTTGAGAACACATGATATTGCATCCAAATAAAATGCTTATTGGATGTACACTAGTTATATGTCTGTCTGTCTATAAGGCTAATCTAATTTCCTGCATCATGCAATCGTTGCTATGGTATCGAATAGCGACACAGAGACCGGACCGTAAATAATATGCTTCATATTTTTCTTCGTCTTCTCTTCCATCAATGTAGTACATAATAGTATCCCCTTACATGCCCTGTATATGCGCCCGTTTCTAATGTAAATGAAATGATGCGCAACAACAACAATGATATACCTAACATCAATGTAATGAATAATGAATACAGACAATGATAACAATGTAAGGAAAATAGCCCTAAAACCATACTATCTAATCTATCTACTGTACTTGAGTAAGAAGCCAAAATAATCAAACCCGCGAGGTATCATCCAATTAGCCAGCGCCGTCATGCCCTCCTTTGTTTTTCTACATGTAAGATTTTGATCTCATCCCTTGGTTTACACTAATTTTTTTGGTAGGTTGTTGATTTTTGTCGCGTTTAATCCCAGTAGTATGCGCCGTCGTCCTGTAGGGTTTTCTGCCCAACTCGACGAGTCGGCGCCATTCGCTGTAGCAATCGCTGCTTTTGCGCTTCTTCTTCTTCGCGCTCACGTTTCTCTTGCGCGGCCCGCTTCTCCCGCCGCTTCTTCTCCCGGTCTAGGCTTAGCTGATCCATTAACGGCACTAACGCCGTCTGGGATCGGTCAACAACGACTGAACCTCTGCGATATTTGGTATTGGCGGGCTTGGGATTGACGGGTTTGGTGTTCGATGGTGGAGGAGCGGTAATAGCTGCTGGGACAGCAGGTCGGCTCGCAATGGCCTCATTGGCTCGAGTGATCTCCGAGAGGATGTCCTTCTTCTTCTTCTCGTCATCCTCGAATCGAACATGGCTTTCTCGTCGTCGGCGACGACCTTCAGTATCATCGCTGTCTTGTGATTGCGTGCTTGACTTGCTTGAGCCATTTCGGCGGTGGCTGTTCTGTCGTGGTTCGTTGAACACCTTGACCTCAATGGTAGTGGGATGGTACTGGGATGGGCTTGAACGCTCGCGCTCCTCCGAAGTCCTGTCACGCTGTCGGACCTCGCGGATATGAGCCGGCTCTTCCTTAGGGCTAGGAGGAACGTTGCGCGACACACTGTATCTGCGCGGTGGCGAGCGCGACAGTTCGGGGTCCTCGATGTAGGCAGTGCGATCGCTCTTATCGGCGCGCGACAAGCGCCTGTTGCTGGTGACGGATTTGTCGCTGTTGCTGTAAAGTGATCGCCCTTTGGAAGAGTGTTCCGAGTCGGAGGCAGACGCGGAATGCGACGATAGTGGTGGCGTAGGGGGGAATTGACTGAGGTTGAGTGTTGGGTTCAATTGACCAGCGCGCTTATATTCAACCGGGTGTTGAAATGTTTTGGTGAACATGCACGGTTGGCCATGGCGAGAATCCTGGCACAGGTCATACTTAACCTGCTCTACCCTTTTGTTGTCAGGGTAGACGCAGGCGAAGACATTCTTATGGCACATCGTGTCTGATTGCAACGTATTGGTGCGACTAATGCGCGGTGGGTTCGGTTGGATAACTCGAGGTGCTGGACGGTTCCTTCGGGTGTTGCTGACAGAATGCGATCCGGTAGGGTGGGTGGCCTCAGCCAGAACAATTTCAGTCGACGATAAGTCGCGTAAACGTTTATGGGTATATATGGAGTTGTTGATAGTGATCCTTTCGTAAGATGCCAGCGCGAAGTTGTCAGTCGGCGGTATCAAAGACAGAATAGTGGTTTTGGTGTTCAATTTCTGGCCCTAGAGACATGAGGACATCTGAGTAATAGTTCTGAGGGTGAAAGAGGATATGAATATATTTATAACCTTTGTGGGTAACTGAATGTCTGAAACAATCTTTTTGAATAGAATAGCTAATTCAAGAGGGTTAATTTACTGATATAGTTGTGAAGGAGTAGGTATGTGAAGGTAGGGGAGGAAAATAAAGAGATGGTGTGTAGGGTCGGTGCTTTAAGTACGGAGTAACGAAAGGTGATCTGTCAGGACTTTTCGTCGTGGTTTTTTTTTTCCCTTCTGGCTGTGGTGTAATAATAATTTGGACAGGGGTTTAACACACACTCCCTCTCTTTACCCATGCTCACCTGGGTGCCTGCGTACCAGGGCTGCGTACCAGGGCCGATGAATCATTCTTCCGTATCGGGAGTCCACCAGAAAGGAATGGTATGTTTCCAGATAAGGCCAATAGCGTTGACTGCCAGGAGGCGGAGTTGACTGAGAAGACTGGTGACTGTACTAGGGTTGAAGGTGTGTAGAGAACCGGCTGAGTTTCTATGTAGATAGCTTCACACCCTTTCTTCCACCCATCCCAAGGCCGCTGCATGGGCCACTTCGCAACGAGAGGGAACCAAATCAAGCTGACAAACTTCTTCCACTCACTCGAAAGAGCCGCCGGCGCTTGAATGTTGGAAACCTTTTTATGAAGCTCTATGGCTAGATAAAATGGATAGACCTGAATACAGTCCAGGACAGTTGTTTCTGGTACCAACAGACAAGTTAAGCAGAGAGGTTAGAAATCTAGAGACCTGGCGCCAAACGAGACAAATCCAAGGGGTATCTCTAAGAAACAACGTATGCAGTGCATGATCATCTTCTGGACTAGAGTGGCATAAAGCGCGAATTCGACAGATCGATCAATAAACCGGCATTTACCTACATAGTACTAGGCACTGTTCCATTTTGCATATTCCATTCTACACAACGTAGTTTTGCAGTGATGGGCAACTCTAGGCAGGCTGGCAGTACTAGATTGCTAGTAATGCGAACGGCTGTGACTCGCAGAAGTTTGCACCCGCTACGGTGCATCTCTCTATCCAAGTGGGTTGCGGCAACTCGTCGTCCTCGATGTGATTTGGTGTGGTAATGCGGAGGACACACAGCCTTCCCGTACTTTGATGCAAGGACCCTAAAGCTACCTACATAAGTCATAGACAGATAGCTAGGGTAGCTTTCGAGATCGTGAAAAAAAAGATGCAACGGGAGCGATATCGTGGGTCTGTCTGCACACTTACCTACATGCCTACCCACTTAGCAGCGCGGGAAGACGAAGAATCTCACCTTTGGAATTACACTACCTGGGTAGTCTCAGCCACCATCTGCAGTGTATGTATTGTACCTTAGGTATCTACTAGTTATGTAGGTGACAGGTTGAAAATAATGGTAAATTCGGCCATGTTGCATCTAGAACATGACTGTTCCCCAAGGGCACATGCGTGGTTGTGAAGAATGTAATGCGAGCGCTGCCACAGAAACGCATGATAAATGGTCAATTCATCTGCAATTCATCTGCGAGTTGCTGGGGTGAAGAAAAGAAAGACCTCGGAACTGGGAAACAATTTGGAGGAACTCAGGAAACAGTCTAGGAAAATGTAGGGGAAAAAAAGTGTAAAAACAGTGAAACCAGTCAAGATCCCTGCTCAAAGCATGCAGGCTGCACTAGCTTTGCTTGCCTACCTGCCTACCTGCCTGCCTGCCTGTCTGCCTGCCTTACTAGTAACTATGTAGCTTCAATGCTATTAGCTAGAGGTATCATATTGTACATATCGTACCTACCTACAATATCCAGAGTCATGCAGGCACTCGTTCCAGTCCCTCTAAACACCATCACGTGTCGTTTAGTGAGATACTTCTTCCAGTTACTAAGTAATTATGTTAGTCCTATGCAGTTCCCCGTATGAGTAATAACATTAATTCCAGGCACCGAGAAACCATTAAAAATATAGTCCTAGATTTATTAAGAGGGAACCAACTTAAACTTTCTAACATTGAACAGAGGGATGTCATGATTTTGATGGGTACCTAGCATTGAGTTGGTACTGTAACTTGTTCGAACATTCTACTATCATGATGTCTACCCACAATAGTGTCAAAAAGGAAATAAGAAAGGAACTTGAGCCCAGGGGATTAAAGGGGGGTGTATCTACAAACGAGTTAGTAACACCATGACGAAGGATTTTCATCTCCGTGCCAGGCGTGCCTCTCTAAACGTAAATGTACAATGTACTTATCGATGCCCAATCCTCGCTTCCCGGACTTATACGATATCAATTGATTGCTACAGCATCTTATTTACCCTTTCCTTTCCCACGCGTATAACTATATTCTTAATATTGATTATATTGATTATAGCGACTGTAACAGTTATATTGATTATGCGGAACCAACTGATAACTCTTATCATTTTGGACTCACCGAACTATTGCTGATAAAATTCTTACGCTATTCTTCTATTTTGCACCAGATGGGCAGGTAATTTCTACATTTTAGGAATGTACGACATAGTACAAGTTGAACTCGGCTTTTTCGGGTTGACCCCGGTTGACCCTTCATCGGATTTGCGAGAATGAAAAAAGAGCATGTGTGCGCGGCTGATGTGCCATGTCATTGGTGTCACGTTTATGGGAAAATGTGCTGCGTAAGCTTGGGAATTGTAAATTGAAGATTTTAAATCCTATCGCAATGGATCTAATCTTTAGCGAAACTGCTGACGGCATCCGTGTCACGAAGTACCTACAGCCTACAGCCTACAGCCTACAAACACCCACGACTCGAAGTTCAAATAGTTATTGGCAAGAGGATTCATGGCCCCCTACCATATCGTGGTTGTTAGACATCCCTCTTCTCTGGATTCCCCGAGAGGCAACCGATCGGTGCTGAAAGGTTGGAAACGAATGTGTTTGCTAAGGTTCTTTTACTATTATCCAACAACAATGACGACAGAGGAAGAAAAGCGTATCGCGACTGGAAATTTCCAGGTCGAATATTCAGCCCTACTAGGCAGACTCTCACCAACCTATTGGAAGCTAACAATTACGGGGATCTCCACGAGCTTGAAACGCCATCTGGTTCTAACCATTGGTGAGGCTGAGTTGCTGGGGTCAGGCTCGTGGCTGTGTCCAATTATAGATGTACCAATAACATAACTAGTAGCCAACAGCTAACAGAGAGACCAGCTTACATACATCCATTGGATAGTAAAATAAAACACTGCCCAGTGCCTGCCTACACTATTATCCACAAGATAGCTACCCGTCCGCCGGCGTGAGTCGCTAGAAGATTAGAAGATTCCGATCGGACGGAATCCGACTTCACTAAAGATCCTTTTTTGCTTTGAGCCCTGGGATCACAAAACATGGTCATATTCACTACCTAAGTGCATGAAAAGACTCTCAAAAACTTGCTCATATCTAATTCCATTGCAGTCGCTTTCCGATGTCGATCTACGTACGCAGGCTTAGATAATGCAATGCTTTCAATGTTGCTACCCATCCGCATGTGGCCCCCAACCTGCCACCTATTTGCACACAGCAGATACTGAACTATGGGTGTTCTTTATCGCTAGCTCCATGCAAGCAGCACAACATACAGACCTATCGCCGTAGGACGAAGATCATCTCTAGGCGGTCAACCCCGATCGCAACGTACTATGTATTAAGTCGTCAATATGCAGCCACCCTCTCCAGCTAATTTGCCACACGGCGGGGGGCAGTGTACGGGTCGAGCCGCTGGAGCATATCAGCCGCAACATGATGACATCTTGGTAATTGATCATGTCGGTGAGGCTGTACAGCATTCAATGTTGAAGAGAGTAGTGTATACCTAGGCATTAGCAGATTGATCTATTATCTAGAATGTTTCGAAACCGCATACAGATCATCAGTCGTATTGACGTAAAGGAGCAACATTTCAATGCGGGCCACCCTGGGGAATCCTCCAATCTGAACCTCGGACTCCGAATTATAAGACCCCATCGGTATTACCTATGTACGATAAACTTGGGATGTACCTAGGTACATCCTTGGTAGGACTTCCTGCAGACTGCAGTGGCTTATAGATCGCTGGATCTGGATGTGGGTGGGCGCGCACCGAGGGTGCCTACGTGACCCCGACGCAGAACGGGTATGTATGCTCGCGCACTCTGGGCTGTGAAAACGTTCTAGATCTAGCCTACATAACTAAATACTAGGTAGGTATCTAACAAAAGTTTTGGCGTTCGATTTAGCCCATACCTAGAAGAGCCCCGATAAGTTAACAGCCTACGAAAAGTCCTAGTTTACTACGAGGGTCCGTGTCAACATTGACGTCTACCTAGGTAAGTCCCGCTACGTATCCCGAGAAGTCGAAATAGCAATACCTCGGCTACCACTGCCTGGAGTGATTACATAGGTATCTAGTGTAGGTATACACGGAGGTATTAACGTGGGAGACGATCTAAATGCGACTTGTTATATCCGAGCTCGGCCAGCTTTCCGTGTTTTGTGTCATAATGTGACTGCTCACTTTGTGCCATGCGCATGTGAGCATAGGGTGATCAGTGCAGAGCGTCACGTGTTACTTCCCGGTGAGCAAACCGTCTAGTGTAAAGGAAATCTAGGAAGAAGTTGGTTCAAAAGAAACGATCGACATGTAATTGAAGCGTGCTATCATTTGCCGGCCTACCCTAGGTATGAAGGAGGCGAAATAAGCCTAACTAATGCCTATCAAGCTGGTCATAAAAGCTTTCTCAAGTGTTGCCCCCGGAGATCCTTAGCTAACTTTGGTATAGATTAGGCATTAGGCACCTAGGGACCTAGTTATAGAGGTCGGAAATGCTGCGAAAAGGGGCATCACATGGCCACCTGCCCGCCACCAAACACCCAGCAAAACGCCATAGTGAAAATAGTACCCATTACATTACATCACCCCAACCCTCAATGCTTCAAATCAGGAAAATCCGCGTACAAAGTGTCGCGAGGACTGAAAGTCAGCCAAGGCCCATCATGAGTCGAGACGAAGACCCCGTGGAGTCGGAACTCGCCCTTGTCACTCAACCCAACGTCACCCAGCTCGCCCGGCGCGGGCTGGAAATCGAAATACCACAAGGCCTTCGCGATGGCGAGATTCGTCTCCAGGTAAGCCATGGGCTTCCCGGCGCATCCGCGCTGTCCGTTGGAGAACGGCACAAAGGCATCGTTCATCGTCTTCCTCGAACCCGGTGCGCCCTCTTCGCCGTTGGGCTCTAGCCAACGCTCCGGCTTGTAGACAAAGGGGTCTGGGAAGTAGTCCTGCATTTGAGAGCGCGAGTTAGTTAACCACCACCAAGTTATAGTACTCGAGAACCGCGCCTCTGATCAAGCGTCGCCTGTGTTCCAGTTCTGGAGGCGCGGAACCGAGGTTGGGTAGGTGGTTAGGTACTCACCTCATTGTGGTGGAGGGCGTAAATGTTCACACCAACGTAAGTCCCTGTGGGAATTACGTGCCCGTCAACGACCAGCGCATCCTTCCCCTCGTGTTCCGGGGCGAGCTGCCGCCAGAGAGTCGAAGGTATGGGTGGAGACATGCGCATCGCCTCGTCGATGCATGCTCGGAGATAACGGCAGCCCGTCAGCTTGCTGCCGCAGATGTCGTCTGCGCTGCTGAACGTAGACCGTATCTCCTCTGCTAGCTTCTTGTAGCATTCCCGGTGCCGCGCCACGTAGAAAAAGGTCGCCGCTATAGCGGTAGATATCGTGTCCCCTCCTACCGAGATAAAAAAAAAAAATTGGAGATTAGCGAATGGAAATAACGGGCGAAAAAAACACCGCAGGAGTGTGTGACAGGAGACGAACCAGCAACAATGAAAAAGATGGCCTCCATCCAGAGATCGTTGACTCGGAGGCCTTCGCCTTCCTCGGTGGTGAGCGCGTCGGAGATCACGGAGTAAAGATCGTACTTTGCGTTTTGAGCTTTGGCCATGCGGCTTTTGATCATGAACTCGATGAGGCCGTACATCTTCTCCTGTGCCTTGTGCCAAAGCATGTCTAGGGGGACGAACAGGCGATACTTGGCGATTGCCGGGACTTGCATGTAGATGTTCAAGCGGCTGTTGGCATCGGGCATGTCATCTGAGAAGTACCGGTACTTCTCCTGGGTCTGCGAGCGCAGATCGAATCCAAACGATAGAAGCCCGATGATGTCCATGCTTAGATAGTTAATCCGGTCCTTCAGGTCCAGGGGCCTCTCCATATTCAAGGCTATCTGCTTGATGAAGATGTCAACCTGCTCGTTGATGGTGGGCTCGAAGATTCGCATGGAGCGATCGTTCACGACAGAACCTACGAGCCTCCGTCTCTGGCGATGTGCTGTTTTTTCTATAGCAGTCCAAATATTGTAGGAGCCAGGAGTGGCTTGGTTGGAGAGATATATCACTGGCTTCGTGACTTTATCGTTGGAGTATATATCTTCATTACTAAGTCAGTAGATGGGTATCCAAGTGGTAGGTAGACTTTGAGCTTATACCTTTGTAAGCTGTTGTAGTGTTGAAGAGTAGCTTATTTGGACCTTGTCTAAAGACCGGTCCTAGGATATGTCAACATTGTGTTTTCAGAAGAGCTCTTCTAGGATAGGTCGCTGCTTACCATACTTGATATGCTCTTTCAAGGTAACCAAGTGAAAAGATCGTTTCAGTGAGTAAAATACCGCATAGCCATTCGTGAATCTGGCGATAAGAGGCCCGGGGTATCGATTCAGGGGGTGAAAGAGTAGCTCATAACCCAACGTCAGGAATATCTTTGTACACAGTCAACTTCAACACTCTTTCTTAGTGGCCATTGGAGATGTTTTACAATGCTGATGATAATGTAGGGTGTGCACGTGAAAACGGCATCGCGGGCGTTGAAAGACTCCAATATCATGGTGTAAATAACTACTGCTCAACAGTTAGATATCACAGATCCGTACTAGGTATTGGACTGATCAAAAGATCTCTACTGCGGACAAAGTGAAGGAAGTTCAGCAAAAGGCTACGATTTATAGTCATTTTCTACTTCTGTATGAACCTCCGATTGCTCTATAGGGTATCATTGTAGAATCCTCCTTAACAGAGATCTATTACATGCATATCTGCATGTTGGTGATGTGAAGCCATCTTGTTTGCAGTTCAGCGCAACATTTCGTTCTAGTGAGTCTCCATTTACCCAATTAAAATCTCCGTTTATAGCTTGCCAAGGGATATGTTAATGCACTTTTGTGATGTTGCTACCTCAATTGGGCCTATTCCATCGTTAGATCGATCTGTGAACTGATCACAATGCGCCGCAAGTTGCGTGGCCACTTAGGTAATGAGGAGGATACGAACTTAACACCACGGATTAATTGTAGTATTCCTATCAGTCGCCCCCCTTAAACTGCTACATGTTAAAGGGGTATCATATACTGGCCTAGGTATAAATGCTTCCACTTCGTATTGTAGTATTTGCCACCGAAATTATGTAATCTCCAGAATCTCCAGAACGTCTACACAGAGTTATCTGAAAATGTAAGGAAGCACTGTTTTAGAAACAGTGTTCATGATAACCTTGGAACCGATCAATTATGAGATACTCCAGCCCCACTCTTATGCCGGGTAATACATCTGATAGATTGTGAATGAGCCTCGTAGGTTATTTTTATCTACCACGTTATTACCTACTCAGGGGCACATGGCTGCTTGTTTCTTTAACCAGTTCCTGCGGGTGTCTCCGTTGCTGCTGTTGTTGCATTGTTTAACGTCTGTATAGTGAGGGTATGGGGACGTGATAAGCTCTAGTATACAAGATATGGGACTAGCTCAATATGCTTATGACCGAAAGTCCTCTTCCTAAAATATCAAACTTCACCACTGGGGGCTCATCATCGCCTGATATGCGATCACTACCTGTCGGTCTGCCATATCTCGAACCTCTTTGGATCTATATGTGCCACTACTGAATATTCGGTGGTCAGTGTCGAGGCAACAAGCCCTTCTGTGTCTACGGCGTACTTCAATCAATCCCATTGTCGTAGTTTTTCTGCTGCTGCTTGGCCAAGCATCGTAGCCGTAGCACCACTCAGGATTTCGAAGACAGTGATATCGACTTTGAGCGCCTTGGCGAACCAATTTCTCAGTTCCACGGCAATGAGGGAGTCGACCCCATATGCGTGCAAGGCTTGGTTAAGATTAATATCTTCTCGAGGGACAGAAATAATTGCGCTGAGCTTGTTTGCTAGGGCATTTGCCAAAATGCCCGATGCCACGACTGACGACTGCGAGGCGTTAATCTGATCAGCCAAGCTCGGGCCAGTGTTCCTTACGGGATCAACATTGTTAGCACCGGCAGTTGACGCGGCCATCTGATGAAGGTTGGCGAACATTGGTTCATGCGTCCAAGCCGCTGGCTCCATACCCCGATTGATTATATCAGCCGGCACTTCGAGGCCTAGAACAGTTTGACGGTGCTTAGAATCGACCGGAAGAGATTTGTTGCAGAAATGTTCGAGCATCGAAATAACTTCACTCTCGGCCATGGTTGAGATGTTCTTGATTTTAGAAAAGCGGATCAGTGCTTCTTGATTCTGCGCAACGTATCCATCGTCGGTTAATATACCAAGGTTGAGAGATGTGGCCTTCTCTCCATGGATCAGTCGATATTCACATAGTCCATCCTGGAACGTATTGCCCACGGCATAATTTGCCTGCCCTTGCGAACCAATTATACCAGATACTGACGAGAACATGATGAAGAAATCCAAATCTCGTGGAAGTTGTTGATGTAGGTTCCATGAGCCAAGTATCTTCGGCTTCAATGATGCAGTCCAAGATTCATAGCTCATGTTCTGGAAGATGGAGTCCTAAGCAATGTAAGCGCAGGGTCCACGGTAGATAGAAATAGTTGTTACCTTTATATCCATTGCCGCTTGAATACAGCCCTTGATAGGTGGCATGCTCTGTTTGCAATAACTCAATGATGCATCTAAGGAGGCAGCATCGGCGATGTCGCACTTGGGGCTATAGACATCCACCCCCTTTCGCTTCAGTCCCTGTATAAAAGATATCGATTCCTTGTCCTTTGGTCCCGAGCGAGAAAGCAAGACAAGACTTCGAGCACCCTTTGAAACCATCCACTTCGAGATGCTTCGACCTTGTCCACCAAGGCCACCCGCAATTACGAATGTCTCATTTGAGCTGAACTGCCACTTCGATGTATGCTTAACTACAGCCTAATATAGTATGAGATGAATTCAATAGGAGTTTTAGTAATCGAAGAGTTGAATGATTACTTACAGAGACAGTCTCGTTTGGGTTAACCTCAACGACTACTTTCCCGAAGCTATTACCGCTTTGTAGGTGACGGAAGGCAGATTCCACTTGCGATATAGCAAATGACTTCACTGGCGATGGCGAGCGTAAGAGCTTGCTGTTGAAAAGATCAATAACAGATCTTAAAGAATCCCGTACGAACTCTGGTCTCTCTAGCATCATAGCCGCTATATCTACAGCACTGAAGGAAACATTGCGAGCAAATTGGTACATCGGGAGCCTGTTGTGAGAGAATATATCCTTTTTTCCGATTTCAATGAATCTTCCGAAAGGAGCGACACATTCCCATGAATAAATTAGGGCATCGCCAGCTAAGGAGTTGAGGACAACGTCAACCCCCCTATTCTGCGTGAGACGTTTGACACCAGCGGCGAACGAGAGGTCCCGGCTATTGAGGATGTGGTCCAGGGGAATATCATACAGTTCGTTTAGCAGCTGCTTTTTCTTCAAAGAGCCTACCGTCGTAAACACTCGAGCGCCGTACAACTTGGCTATCTGAATTGCGGCTTGGCCTGTTCCGCCAGCACCAGAGTGGATGAGGACTGACTCTCCAGGAGCAATCCTCGCAACCATAACAAGCGAATGATATGCAGTGGTGAAATTTGCTGCCAGTGCACTGGCATCGACGAACGTCATCCCCTGTGGGATCTTCGTCGCCAATATCTCTCGGCATCGAAGACGACCTCGGAATGTATGCGGAGCACATGCGAGAACGTGATCATCTGGTTGTAAATGGCATTCGGAGCCCGCCTTGAGAACTGTACCGGCACACTCACATCCAATTGAATCTTCGGAAACACGTCCCAAGGCCACCAGACAGTCTTTGAAGTTGATACCTATCGCCTTTACTTCAATTTCAATTTCATCACTAGCAAGAGGGCCATAGTCTGGGACTTCCTCGAAGTATAGCGTGTCCAATAGGCCAGGTTGTCGCACTCTTAGTTGAAGGTTCTGCTCCCCGAAGCAGCGGCGCCTTTCAAGCGCCTTGTGCGAGAGTTCATGGACCTTCTGGTTCAATTCATCGTTCTCGTAAACACGAGGAATATGAAGTAGTTCACCAATCTGAACCAACTCAGGCTCATAGGACCCAGTATCAACACCACGAAGAAAGTTGTGGAGAGATCGCTCAATATTCAGGGGCAGAACGGCGACTTGGGAGGTGTCGGCCCCGACCGTTGCAAAGATGCGCCCCTGGTTTTCCATACGTAGAGTGCGGGCTAGGCCGTGAACCAAGTTTATCGCAGGAACCTCATCTACTGTGGGCTGTATTTCCGATAGCCACATGACATATTTGCATCTGCTGACGATTTGGTGAAACAGTGCGTATTGTTGGGGGTCCATGTGTTGGAGTGATAGCCACTTCCCATCCTGAACGATGATAATTATTTCCGACTCGAAATCCTGAAGTGCAGGTATAACGTCGAAGCTGGCCACGAAAGTATCTGCGGTGCAGATGTCTCGTAGCGCCGCAGAAACCAACTTTACTAGTGGTGATCCTGATGGCGTATTGAAGCCACTAATGATCAGCACAGACTTTTTCGTATCGAGCTCGTATTTTCCAGGGGTCCCTAGAGCACTGGCAGTGGAGGATATGAAGACACTTGGGAATTGGTCCTCTACTGGTTCGAAGTTGTGGATGTTGAGATCAACACCAGTAAACCCAGCCCCTTTTAGCTGTTGAGACCAATGAGCTTCTACCGTATAATGTCCATGCTGCTTCAGTAGTTGCTCGTCTACTTTGGGCTTTAGTCCTGCGCCTTTTATAACTTGAGAGTTGAGCTTACCTTCCCACCATTCGGGAAAGAACCCGAATATTGAATGGCCAACCAATGAGTCTGGGTTGGAGAAGTCAATAATAATCAACTTCCCACCACTACACAATTCAGTTAGCGTTACAACATATACGTTGGAGTATCAGTCTGGTGTCTCACTCACTCTCGTAGAAGTTTTCTCAGCGTTCTTAATGAGTTACGCAATGGGCATGGAGAGTGAGGAACCTGTTTGGTTTGAGCTATCAGCATAATCCGGGCCGAGGCCAGTCAGAATCCTCTAGACGTACATTCACGGCGACGACCAAGTCATAAGAATATTCTTCATATCCCTGTGCAGCTGGCTCCTCCTCGAGATTGAAGCATTGAATTTGAGTTTTTGGTAATGTGCCAATCTCGGCGGCGATCGTTTCTGCTTCTGATTTGGATGAGCTTCCAATATCGAAATGTGAGAATCGGCAAAATGGTCCGTTAGATGTCTGTCGTGTTAGTACCCGTAGAATGGCTTTTGCGACTGAACCAATATGAGTTCCTACTCCGATCATCTTCATATTTGGGTCCTTGTGTGCGATGGCATCAATATACTGATACAACGGGTGGTTACTATCAGAAAACAACGTGGAATACTCCCGGATGATAGTCTCTCGGCTGAGCACTTGCTCGGCATCTTCCGCCCCCCTGAGTATGTTCACGAGGTGCCGGTCAAAGTTGACATATGCCTCGCCAAGACGGCTATGCATTTCGAGGTATATTCTCAGCTTTTGGAACAAGAGATAGTCGGTGAACCTCATCCAATCCTGAGGTATGCCGAGTGGTGGCCGCTTCATGGCTGAAGAAACCTTCCTTTGAATCCAATCATGATGTCTTATGAGATGTTGTTTGCTTTCAGGGATGGAATATTGACCAAATTGACTCAACACTCTAGTTATCGACGCCAGTACAAACAATTTTAGCCTATGGTAGAAACCAAGTGTCCTGAGATTGCTTTGTCTACTCTCTTGCATCCATCTTGACCACAATTCAGGATCAATGAGGTCAAGGTCGGGCCTGTAGATGAGATCATAGCATAGCCTTCTTGCTTGAAAGGGATGAGCTGGCGGATCATTTGTTTGTACGCTGTCTGTAACGAGAGTGGCCTCGATGCCTTCTGCCTCCAAGACCCATCCACTTTGTTGTCCATCTATGGCGTATATAATGGAGTTTATTTGACGACTGCTCATGTTACGTCGTTTGGTATAGGCGTGTATGATATCCCCTTGTTCAATACGCTTCGAGTTGGGAACTGAAATGGATAGTCTGGTAATATAAGTTGGTAACCATGTTGCAACTGTATCGTTTCCGCTCCCCTGGGGGTCTCTCGCAACAGCTAGCTGGAGAATACTGTCCAGAGTGGAGGGGTGTATTACGGATAAGTCTTCAGCAAGAGTGTCAAGCAAAGGACTTCGTACTAGGACGTCCGCTGTTGCTTGGTCGCAAGCGTCTCTTAGTGAGTGCTGGACTCCTTGGAAAAATGTGCCATACTGGTACCCATTCCTGCGGAAAGCCGCATAAAAGTCTTCCGAGTGTAGCTCGATCTCATGCGACACTTTGACAGAAGCGATGAGATCATTAATATAGTTAATTTGTTGGCCACGCTCTATATCGTTGATGGTCGAGTCGCTGCTAGCGAGTGCGACTTTGATAGCTCCTCGACATATTTCCACAAAACTAGTTTTACAGGAAAATAGAGAAAATGAGGCCCAGGATCCTGATTTATCAGAAGCATCTTCGGAAAGTTTGAGTCGAAACTGTAGTTCCACGGCATTATCGTTCTGAGGTATCGGGAGAGTCGAACGGAAATGAACATCCCTTAGTTCGTATCTCGCAATGGCATGACCCTTAGATACTTGGGTAATAGCTTCGATTGCCATTACGACCATACCTGCTGCAGGATACAGTATTTCTCCGTTTATCTGTCATTTGGTTCAGCATATGGCTTTGCAGAGCAACAATGGATTCTTGAACAATACCTGATGACCTTCAAACCATTCAGCCGACGCAGAGGCTTTGATAGAATTCCGCCAACACGGCTCCAATGGATTCCAATCCGCTACTGGGGTTCCCAAGAGTTCGTGTCTAGGATACGGCGGAAGTCTCATACTCTTGGAAATACGTGACTCGCTCCAGTATTGCTGCGAATGGTCAAAGGGGTACTCCGGGAGTGTGGCTATTTGCTGATGTAGGTCATGTATCATCCCGCCCGTGGAGTTGACAGATGCTAAGTCAACATCGAAGCCGATGCAATGGAGGTTTCCTGCCAACTCAAGCAGGGTGCTATTGGCTGATTTCCCCCTCACCAATGTAGAGAAGTATGAGATTTTTGGACTCTGGGCGGCAGCTGACCTGCCTATATCCCGGATTGCGCCCTGTAGAGTGCGATGTGGACCTATTTCAACTATATCGGATATTTTGAGAATGCCGCGATGGCTCAAGTCTAGCTTTTTGTTCAATTGCCTAGCAGAGTCATGATACAATCGTTGGATTGCATCGCTGAAGGTTACCGGCGAAACCATGTTCGTTACCCAGTACTCTGGTTTCCGAAGTTCGTCTACCGAGATAAGGTCTCCTGTCACTGAGGATACCATGTTAGCATAATACGGTAATGCTTTCCCTTCTTCAATGCAGCCGATAAGTCGCCTATATTCTGAAGCGATACTAGTCATGTATTGGCTATGATAGGCGACTGGCACATTCAATATCCGACAGAATATTCCGTCCCTTTCCAAGTTGGATTGAATATGCTGAATGCCCGACCTATCACCGGCAAGAGTCACGCTATTTGGGCTGTTGAAACATGCTATAGAGACTACACCCTGTCCCATACTTCTATGAATGTCGTCGAGATACGGGAGCAGGGTGGTTTCAGATGTCCCAACAGCCATCATGGCACCCGCATAACTGTGGTCTTCTGCCGGAGACTCTGCAAGCTCACTAGACAGAACGCCGCGGTGATAGGCAATTTTCCAAGCAGATTGACGAGAGATGGCTCCGACTGAGTATGCGGCTGCAATTTCTCCACTGGAATGACCAACACAAACAGTAGGGTGGAAGCCGAATGACCCCAACAGATCTACCAGTGCGACTTGTAGAATTGTGCAGAGGGGTTGCGCATATCGAGGTTCATTAATGTTTGCCGTACATCCGTCTCTCTGAAATAGGATATCTGATAGGTTCGCAGGTTAGAATTTGACCAACTACAAATGCATTGAGACTCTTACCGGTCGCTTTCCAATTCGAATGAACAGTTTGAAGAAACTTGTCCGCCTCTTGGAGGGACTCTCGAAAGATAGGATACGAGATCAACTCTTTACCCATACCGGCCCATTGCGCCCCCTGTCCTGTAAAGACAAATGCTGCTCTCCTTTTGGGAAGGGATAGAATGGGCGTTGGCGCAGTTTGCAACTGCCTAATAAGATGAGGGATAGAATCTGCGACCGCAAAAGCTCTCCAGGGTAGGAGGCTGCGTCTTTTGGCAAGAGTGTGCGCTAACGCTCTCAGGTCCTCCTGAGTACTTTGATCCACGATCATACCAAGACGCTTCTGATAAGATTCCAGCATACTCAATGTAGCCCGTTGGTCGGTCGCGGACCAGACAAAGAGCATCGGTCTCTCATCGAAGATGTTAGTAGTACTGCTAACTGGTCTGTAAGTCGGTCCGCAAGTTTCTAGCTCTGGTTTGCAAGGTACGGTCGTGAGATGATTTCCAACCAATCCGTGAGCTTCTAGGTAATGGAAAGCATCGTCTAGGACTACATGGGCGTTTGTTCCCCCAAATCCGAAGCTGTTTATACTGGCACGACGTAGCCCTGGGCGTGGCCACGACATTGGGGTCTTGGGAAACTATAACGAATGTATAAATACCAAGGCAATCAAGAGAATCGGGGAAATATAATGTACCTTGAGATTGAGAAAGTCTGCATCAACGCTCTCGTTCAGGTTATCAAGTCCAGCAATGGGAGGTATAACCCCCCTTTCCAACACCAGAATCGTCTTTATTACGCCGGCGATCCCCGCCGCCCCTTCGAGGTGACCGATATTAGCCTTAAGAGCGCCTCTAACGTGTTATCAGTATCAGCAGTGAGAATCGTAATACGTACAGACGCGTATGGGTCCTCTTACATTACTAATGGGTCATTTGGGTTTCTTCTAGGACGAAACGTATCACCAATTGCCATTGCTTCTAACGGATCGCCCGTCGCTGTTCCGGTGCCATGAGCTTCGAAATATCGGGTTTGGGACAGATCGAGGCCAGCTTTACAATACGTGTTCTCTATGAGCTGCTTTTGCATCTCCTTGCTTGGCTGTGCAAGGTTCGTACGGCCATTCTGATTGGTGCCTGTGGCCCTGATGACCGCACGCATCGTATCATTATCTTGGATAGCCAAATCGACATCTTTTATTATTATAACACCAAAGCCTTCTCCTCGGCCATAACCGTTTGCTTGGGCGTCAAAGCTATGGCAGATGCCGTCTGGCGAAAGGAAGCCAAGGCTTGAAAGGCTCATGAATAGGTCCGGTGCTAATAAGAGGTTACAGCCGGCCACGATAGCCTAGAATGCATCAATGATGGTTAGTGGCCCAATTACAAACGTTGACGTTAAAAGTGTTGGAATAACGAACTATTTTTGATTGGCCATTCCTGATGGACTGACATGCTAAGTCCAAGGCAACTAGGCTGCTTGAGCAGGCCGTGTCAACTGTCATGCTTGGGCCCGTTAAGCCAAAGAAGGTGCTGATCCGGTTGGATAGCATGCTACTAGCCATGCCGGTAGCTGCATATTTCGGTAAATACTCTGGGTCTTTTGCGGAATTCAAGGTGTAGTCAGCGGTGAAGCAGCCAGTAAACACGGCCGTGTCCGAGCCGCTAAGGCTCTCCACAGGGATTCCGGCTTAGGACGTCAGCAAGGCTATACGGCACAAAAGGGTATCATGGATACGGAGACAATAAACCCCAAAAGATGTCACCTTACCATTCTCAAGAGCGTGATAGGTAGTCTCAAGTAGGATCCTTTGTTGCGGATCGGTTCCTGTTGACTCCTCTGGAGTCATTCCGAAGAATCGAGCATCGAACGCACGAATATCCCTGTGCAGGAAAGAGGCCCTCTGAGGGCGAATCTGTACGATAGTTAGAATGCCAAGAATGGTTTGCAGGTTACAGCATGCAATGTGCAGCTTGAGACCACCACCATGGAATTTAAGGCTGTAGGGTAGACAGATGACGTACAGTCCTAATATGATCGTTACCATTCTCATGGTGCTTGATGTTACAGAACCTATCATGGGGAAACTCAGAAGCTACACATCTACCAGAGACCAGAATGTCCCAAAAGCTTTCTGTGGAGTCAGCTTGTGGGAAAAGCAAGGAGAAGCCAATAATGGCAATATCGCCATCTCTGCAACTGCTGACCGAACTCGACGGTATATTGTTAGGTCTTGGTGTATACCTAGTGTTATCGAAAGAATGCGACGCCATCTTGAGGTTATGTCTGAGTTAAGATCTATGCTGCCTGGTGCGCGGGAAGCATGATTGCATCAATAGAAGTTGGAATGTATCACATCAAAACTAAGGGAGGAGAGAGATATTGAGGTCACCGTCAAGCCACCTGGGCATGCTTATTAGTTTCACACCAGGCTTATACTTAATCATGGCCGTGGGGTTGCATCCGCGGTAAGTAATCTTCAACAGGGTTGCATCCGCGGCAAGGAATCTTTAGCAGCTGACTCAAACACCAATATACCTAATATATCTCTTGCATAGGTACTTACCTAGGTATGCAACCGCCCGTGTATCAACGAATGGTAGCTACATACATATGTATGTAGAGACAGATGAAGCCACATAACATGCCTAGTAAGCAACTCAGCCGAATACCTAGGTACCTATGTCGTAGGTGTACATAATGCATTCCAATATCAAGCAGGCTCTCGGCCATCGGTCTCTATTCGGATGGTACAGCATCTCATGTTCTGTAGGTTTGAAGCACGTTTGCAAATCATTCTAGCTTCTACATGTGCAGTTTTCTACGATACTTCTCTCCTATGTATGCCCATCTATACGAAGATACGCTATTATCATCAGGAATACTATCAGGATGCGCTTCTTATGCTTGCATGGCTCTGGGACCAACTCTGGGGTAAGCAAGTGACCTTATCAATTAACATATACCATGCTCACTGACCAAAAACTAGATATTTGAGACACAAACGGGTGAGTTCCTTGGATGTTTGAGTATAAGCCGCCCCCAGCTAATTTACTGACTCTGAAGCCGCCATCCGCTATGAATTAGGGGACCAGCACACATTCGAGTTTGTCGAAGGCACAATACCGGCCAGATTAGCCCCCGAGTTAGAGGGGACAGTACCCTTAAACGACAAATTCTTCTCGTACATCGATACTATGAGCATCGATAGTTGTGCCTCGACACTCGTCAATCTAGATAATTACCTCGCCGTGGAAGGCCCGTTTGATATGGTGTTGGCGTTTTCTCAAGGAGCTATGATTGCGGCGACCTATATTATATGGAAATCAAGACAGAGTCCGGACCTTCCATTACCCTTCAAGGGCGCTGTGTTTCTTTCCGCTTCAGGAGCATATGATCCTGATTTGCTGCGGAAAGGTTTCTTGCGCGCCTTGACACCAAGGGTGGATGGAAACCTGATCCGTATCCCCACAGCACATATATGGGGTCGGGGAGATATCTCTTCGAGAAAAGCGTCTGATCTTAGTGGTTTATGTGCATCAGACACAAGGCACATCTACATCCATCCAGGCGGTCATGAGATCCCAGGGGCTAGAATGAATGGCGCTGTCAGGTACATTGTCCAAATCATCCGTAGGGTTATCTCCTTAGCGAACGACACCGATTCCTGCTGGGCATAGGCTTAGATAGGTCGACAACCTTGAATGTATTTTTAATCTTTGTTGGGTTTCATGTGCTTGTTTCCTGTCACTGGCAAAAGAGGAGGAAGAAAGCTTACTAAGGTTAGGTAATCTATTTCTAACTACGCTGGCGGCTGCCGAAGTGTCAATTTAAGGCAGCTCGCTGATATGGAGCTAAGTCTAAGTGGGACTAGTGACCCATGCAACATTTCCCCTGTGCACCAACACTCACTCTCAGATCGCTGCCCACCTACATGGGGCACCTAGTACCAGCTAGGTTAGGTCAATACTATCATAGATCTCCCAAGATTCTGGATGGACTGATGTATACTAAAGCTAACCTAGGTAAGATTGGGATTCCCAACAACACCAGCAAGTTCAATCTACCCTGATTTGAATCCTTCGCCACATCAACGCTATGCTTAGAAACGAGGCAACAGCAAACCCCAGAACTATATGCATCTGAAGGTTAAAGCCATTCACAAACACACTCCTCACTACAGTTTGCACACTTTCTGGAAGCTGGTCGATCGACGCCGTTGACCGAAAGATCTGTGAGATTTGCGAGGGGGTCAATAGGCCGGAAAGTTCATCCCTGATCCATCCATTGCCCACCGCAGTCACAATGGATACCACAAAAGCACTTCCGAGGAATCGGAATTGCGTTCCTGCTGCTGATGCGACCGCTATGATTGGTTAGCAAGGCGTTGTTTCTTCAAATGGTCGGCGGTGCCAATGCTTACCTAGGTCTCTCTTTTCCGCAATGTAGGGGGTAAGTAGAGTAACTACCCCTATACTTATTCCCATACCCAAACCAGCCAACACCTCAACCCCGTAGAGTGGAGACCAATCTGGATTGCTCGGAGGGCCTTGGGAGATGAAGATAAGTCCAATCATCTGAAGTAATATCCCAACGATCCCTACGTACAAAGGGGGAACGCGTCGATTCTTGGAGAGGATGGCCGTCAAAGTCACTCCCAGTGGCCCACATAGTACAAACGGCAGTAGCCTGACGCCAGCCTGTAAAGGACTAGAGCCGACTGTTGTCTGGTAGCGTATAGGGAGTTGAATAATACAGGTTATGCTGACCGAACCCGTCATAAAGGAATTTCTTCGGAACTCGTGTCAGCAATAGATCATACGGGCCAGGATACCGGATAGGCATCTAAGTAGATGGTATAACTTACACCAGCAAACCGACGATCTCGCGGTTTTGGCAGAATCTCCAAGGAAACACTGGCTCTACCAAACTTCGCGGGCGAGAGGCGTACCACTGACTAGCGAAAAATGCTGCCCATACTACAACAGAAACACAAATAGGTACGATGGCAGTGGCAGACGTCCAGGATAGCAATACCGCGGCTTGCTCGAACCCACTAATAATCAGCGCCAATGCCGTAAGCATCAAAAACGCTCCAGTGAAATCTAGAGCCTTGAACCCAAGCCGTGCTCTTGGCCTTTCGAGCCCTTGATAAGGGTATTCGTTGGGGACTACTAAGAAGACCACGATAGCGGCGATGGCGCCAGAGGGAACACTTGAGTGTTGTTAGTCAATTGAAGTACGACAGAACAATATACCTAAGCCTACTTGAGTAGAAAGACCCATCTCCAGGTGGTTCCCTGGGATATTACACCCCCGAAGATAGGGCCCAGGGCGTTGCCAAGCGCCGCCAGACCAGCTGACATAGCCGTCATTTGCGGTAGCTTGTTAGGTGGCTTCAGTTCATACAGCATCACGACAGCAACAGCGTATACTCCTGCTGCGCCGAGACCCTGAAAAGCGCGACATACAATCCTATAAAATCATCAGTAACCGGAACCCAAACCATTTCCTTCATCATGATTACGAGTCGGGAGACAGTAAGGTATTATCAATAACAAGAAGGCGGGGCATATTCCATCAAAGGGAAGAGAATGCACTGACAGTTGGACCATGGTTTGGGAAGCCCCACAGCCTCCAGCAAACGCGCTGAACATGAGAAGAGAAACGATGTACGCCGGCTTGCGGCCTACAAGATCGCTCACTTTCGCCCAAATAACTAGGCCAGCTAGGGGTTTCGTTAAGCAATCGAACTTTACTGTTGAAGGAACGAGTATTCTTACAGGTATATGTAATCAAGTATGCGGTCACCACCCAGCTAGCTCGAACGAAGTCATTCAGGTCGTTGGTAATAGATACGAGGGCGGTGCCGATGATGGTGAGTTCGAGGTTTACAAGGAACAAAGCTAACCCTAAACTATGTCCTACTTGTTAGCTGTGCCTTGCAACTATCTAGGAGTGTATTCGGTAACCTTACGCTGCCATGATAACGTGCACTCTCCATCCGGTGAGGTAGTGGTACTCTTGGTCCGCCTTGTCAAGCTTTTGGATGGGATGGCCATTCTCGTCGGCGTGAGGTATTTCGCTCCAGTCTTCCATCGCAAATTTAGGGTTTGCCTCGATTGATAGATGGCTTGAACTCATATTGCTGGTGTTGAGAGAAATCTGCTAGATCAGGGCTTATACAGTATAGCATAAGTAGGTAAAAAGTGGAATGCCTGGGTAAGATTATTGTTCGAGTTTGTGGGAGTTGGTAGGATAAAAAAGTAAGAGGATGCCCCGCCAAAGACACTAAGAACAACTGAAAGAAAGCTGGCGCATCCCTAGGTATGTAGGCTTGTCAATTCTCATAAACATGTTGGTTGTTGGGTGCCCATATCGGGCAATTCAATACGAGCTAGGCAGTGTGCGGTTAACTGTATCATGGTCTGTGGCACTGGCAGTCTGGCATATGACTGAAATAGCACACGATACGCCATGTAAGGGATCGGGAAGGGATCGGAATGAGCACGGTAAAATAGCCGCCTATAGATTCCCAAGTTAGAATCTGAGTATTATACATACTACTCAACACAATACTCTATGATCCAATTGCGACCTGCTAAAAATGATTTGCAGCACAGCCTGCTTAAGCGTGATGCACTTGATGCTTATTTTTCTCTTTTGTAACCAACCGTCGTATTGGGGGTTTCATGAGTGAGAGATCGTGATTTGTAGATTATAACGTGTGATACAGCAACCAACATACATCTAATACCAGCCCGACCCCGGTCCCCGTTCTCTTTCCAAGGCAATATAACATCAACGAATAGCATAAGAGGTAGGTATCCTCGGAGGTGGTGTGGAGATCCACATTTAGTAATCTAACCCCTATTTTACATCCACACCGGCGTATATTGCATCTACGTTCACGGATTTGGTCAATTATTCAAGGTAGATGCACTTTCTACGAATATAGTCGAGGCTATTTTGATATCTATCTAGTAGGATACCTAAGCATATACAGATGTATACAATAACGAGGCTGAGATCATCAAATCTCAGCTATAGGTACATAGATTCAGCCTACCGATCGTGTCTCGTTACCCCCATCCTACAAGCGCCACCATAAGCCCTTTTCGTTTGTTGCCTCCGGAGCCTTCAATTGCCGGAATTCCATGGATATCCATTATTAGGTTGATCTCTTCTGTCGTAGCTTTCCGTGATTAAAATGTCTGTCGTGCAGATAATTCCGTACTGTTGATCGGTCGGTCGCATAGAACTCATTTCCTGGAGGACGATTGGATGTGCCTCGTTGATAGATTCGTATTCGTGAGGCTTCATCGAAGCCAGGGTCGTACGAGGCCATGGCCTTTGATCACGCCTCATGGAGCGTCTCCTGTTCTTCATAGATGATTCTACCCATGATTTAAGTCTGAGGAACCACCTTGGAGTTTGCCAGTCACGGAAAGCGCTGGGAGCAGCCGGGACACAGAAAATCAAGATACCACAAGTGGATTCAGCAATGGCCCAGAGTGCAACTCCTGAATAATGATAGCTCATATCTTCCGACAATATCCACCCAGAGATGGCCTGTAGTAGACCCCCCGCAGCAACACAGGCGCTATATACACATGTCTTCGTTAGCATAGCTTTCTTCACGAGACTCTGTTAGGCCGAACCTACAAGATACCTACAGCAAAGACGGCAGAAATACCGATTTTTTTGCTGGTTGACATGTGGAGCTTCCAGATAATTCTTTGCGGTAATATCAGAATAGCAATATTGAGTAAAAAGTTGATGACAATAGCCACAAGGTTGACTATCTTGATGTCGATGCAGGTTCCGGGAACCGTCTTATCCCATATCCTTCGATATGGAAAGCAAGTCAAATTCAATGCAACGAAAATCGAAACGTAGAAGCCGATATTAAATACGAGTAAGATCTTGCAGCTCATAGGAAAGAAGGTTTGTCTGTTCGTTGGAGCGAAAATTCGTATCCATTCGATGAGGATGGACGATTTGATGAGCATCATTGTTCCTACCCAGAAACACATACCCAGAAATATAATCTGGAACTGTTAGGATGACAGCCTGTAAAGGAGTACGGGGGGTTAAAGACATACTATGAGGTATGGGCTCATATCTCTTCCACGCATATTCCATTCGTGTACGAATAAACCTCCTGCGTCGCTAACACGTCGTAGGGAACCCTGTATTACCAGCAGATAGAGAATCTGTGGTCTCATGTTAACGACTTGTCATACAATAGGAATGTTCCTTACTGTAGAAGGATCTAGACCTACGTATGCCACGATTATCAAATCTGTTGGTAACTGATTAGCGTGACGATAAAAGCTATTGGCATATGTTACGTACAATCTCCAATATGTCTTTGCTTGAGCTTGATAAACCTGACATAGGTCCTAATGGCAAGTGATAATGTCGATGCAGTCAGACAGATGAGGAGCGAAAATAGAGCTACAGTGTTCTTATTCGGGGGGTGCTCGAAATCAGGAACAACACCGGGTGGTGGGTTAATGGCAGATCCATCAAGAGCTTGTTCGAGATCGCTGGGTGATAAGTTCGAAAAGTCTAACTCAGACATCTCCAGCTCAGTGAATGTATGGGAAGTTGAGCGGAATATGAGGGCTAGAGGGAAAAGATAGGATTATATCGGCTCGAGCCACGATTCCAGATATTTTGATCGCGAAGTGAGCCAAGGTTAACTTAACACTCTAGGTATAGTCAGTCCTCAAGTTTGTTACCTGAGCATACGGGAGGAGGCGAGACATTGCAATTGGCTACGATTTCATGGAAAGATCTACAGCTTATACGGTAGAGAGGGAGTGCATCAAAGATCAAATCAGAGAAGGGCATGAGCATGAATGTAGAGGTGGCATGACGTTGCAGTGCTGGATTTCTAGTAGTCCCAACTGCATAATGTGGCCGCAACTGAACACCTCACATTAGGACCTCGAATATATCGCATAACTTGATCTAGGCGCTTATCACAGGATCTCACGACATAATAAATATAAACATAAATCATGTCAGAGTTATCGGAAAACGTATAGTGTCCATATATCGAATTTAGTAACCCATGGCTCCCCAGATGTCCTTGAAGATTGGAATCAGAGTGAGAAGGCGTTAGCTTAGGCTAGGAAGGTACCTATCTATGATATGAAAGTGGCTGCAGTGATGAACAACAATTGGTTTACCTATAAGGAAATATTTTGCTAAAAAAAGAATAGACGGGTGTCAACCGCAAAGACTTACCACCAACAGTTGCTGTGCTGTTGGTATGTCAGAAATGAGCCGAGATCATGCCGTCGATGAAGAAATCAATAATTGCATCAGGTAAGCAGTGCTGTACATGTGCACACCCTATACTGGAAGGTACCTAGGTACGTACCTAGTTATAGGCACCCGGCACTCGTTTTACACTTAATTCATTGTACCATGAGGCTCTACACGCGTGGGCAGGTTCTTCGATGATACGCAGACACCAACCATTTGGGTTCATATGATTGGTGGCCTCCTAGGTACAAGTAAACGCCAAGATGAATATAATATGCACCAACACGTACCTATGGAGTTCGAGACTATACGTATTTTAGCTCCGGTTATGCCGTCTATACACCGGGAGGATCTCGAGAGTCCTCCACTTTCGTTGCCTCCACGTCTTCGGTAGACCGGTGGAAGGAATTCTCAACGTAGCTACCTTGCACAACATAGATGAATATACCATATTTACCTAACCTAGATGAGTAGTTATTGAGTAGCATTGAAGATTATCTACCTACATGAGTGAACTGCCCTCTTCTAGCGCGATTCTGTTTAGAGTGGGGTGCGTCATGTTGTATTCTAAGGATTGAAAATAATGAAACCGCGGACAAGGTGAAGGCTGCGTACATGAGGGCAATCGAGAAGATCTTGAATAAGGCTCTTTGGACTCGTTTCTTGGAAGGCCTAAGGCTGCCATGACTGTTCTATTGCTTTTTCTCACTCAGCATTTGCACCTCAGTCACCCATCTTGTACGGAGGTGGCTTGTAATTGACTAACCTATAGTTAGGTCGTATGAAACAATACGACAGGTGGTGAGAAAAAAGGGGGGCGGGTGGCAGATTTGTTAACAGCCGACAAGGATGAGACAAGGGGTGGATAGTATGGGCACTAGGACAGGTATAGTATAGTATTGCGGGTACCTAGCTTATAGTGCTCCACCCATATCAGTTTTGGTACCCTTCCTGATGGACACCATGAAGCCATTCCCAATATCACTGCCGCCTCTTAGTCTCTTGCGCCAAGTTGTATTCGCCACTCCTACCGCCGCTATAGATGGATAGATTATCCAACTGACTAAAGGTTTCTTTGCGGAGTCACTAGCACTACATGTACAGGCTGGCGCTGCTCCAGATGCTACTTTCCAGGGAGAAAAGCGGCTCAAGGGGTATCTCAGGGGAGGCATGCAGCAGCTTATCACACTTATCGAGATCAACGTTAGCGTCAACTAGAAAGCTAATTCCTGAAGCTCTGGAGGTCTTCTATTTGTACGTTGACAGTTGATGAAATTGAAAATTACATCATGTGTAGCTTACAATCTAGCCTCATAATAATAGTTCTTGATCTACGGTTTAATGTCTGATCTCTATCACCACCATGGGGATGACAAGCTCTAGTATACAAGATATGGGTGTTCGGTGTGGATATAGCCCAGGTTCCCCTTCCTTAGATGTCAACCCCTGCCCCGCTGGATCTGACCTACGATCACTAATGTATCTAGATATACGTCGTAGACTTATCGATCTACTAACTATGTCCCGAACCCTGTTGGCTCTAACGGTTCGTGTAAACTGACTGCGCTCCACTTTTACTAGGTTAAGGCTTAAGCTTTATCATCGCATTGTGGATACCTACCTAGTTTAATGCTGTACCTTTCCTTCCAACCACCAAATGCTACATACCTACATATGAGGTTATCGTAACTTCATCCATTATCAACACACAATAAAGCATTTTGAAGACTAGTCATCGACGACAGCGACATAAATGAACCTAATCTTCCTCCTAAGCTACCTAATGAGCCGCCGTCGACCCTAGAAAGTCATGTCTGGAACACTCTAAAGGAAGCTCAACGTAGCTTTTTGCTGGCTACCGAGTCCCATGGCTTTAGCGCGGTACGATGAGCCAGCTAGACAGAGACGACATGCGCAGGGGCTACCAGTGACTTCCCATGAAATAGCGACAATGAATGGGTTAGTGCCATAACCTACATCGCCAGCAGGAGCGGCGACGACAGCTTAGAGAAGGAGATTGGAAAAGCGGCAGTGAAGTGGAGATAGCTTCAATTGTAGTCTTCGGCGGTTGGAATGAAAGATACAACACTAAGCTACCTAGGTTAGGTAGGTATCCACAATGCTATACCATATCTGGGGTAGTAAAAGTGGGACACAGTCAGCTTACACGATCGCTCTATATGCCGGTTACAACTTACTGCCGATATATATCTAGTTAAGTAGTTGATGAGGTAGCGGTTTACTGGTCTTTCTGTTCCCTAAAGGCATTTTTTTATATTTTTTTTATATCTATCCAGCCGAGCAAAAGCTAGATATCATGGAAGACACAAGAATTTATGTGGATGGGTCGCTTCAAGTTACTTGGTAAGTACCCACAATGCTGAATATCTCTTACTCCTGAAAGCCATAAGATCCAAGTAACAAGGGGCTAACTTGAGTGCAAGATAGATTGGTGAATAGTTATTAAGGGATTACCTAAATACCTAGCTGGGTCTTTACAGAATTATTAATGGCACCAGTGCCTTGAGTTGGTATAATCGTTGGCCTTCCCACATGTAGGTACCAGAGAGCCTGCTCCTGAGAACGGTATAGTAGTCTGGGGTAACAAAGTGTCTCCCACGGCTGTGGCAGGTTTGGTATACCCGTTTGCTAACATACAATTAGAGCTGACAGAAAAGATAACAAGGAACAAAAAGCCTGGACGACGAGGCCCAATCACTGGAAATTCCCTCGTCAGCAAATTTTACCCGTCGATGGAAACATGGGGAAACCTCACGCCTCACTAGGAGCGGCGGTCTTTAGCGAAGATCAGACTGCCCCTCGTGGGGTCAAGGTAGACTGCACGGCTCCCCCTTTCCTCGCTGATAGAGTGCAATCCCTCATCCCAATCCCTCGACACCACCGATGACGGCGTCACCGGTCGCATCTCCCCGTGCTGGCCATAATGCATCTGCCCCCTATCCTTCGGTCTCGGTGTTTCCCGGCCCCTTCCCAGCTCTGCCGCCATCAGCTCTCGCAGAATCCCCAGCCCCAGTTCTCGGTCGGCATCCTTGGTGATATGGAGTCCCCAGGCCTTGAGGAACGTCGCCTCCCCCCGGTAGTTCTGATGCAGCCATATCATCTGCTCGGGCGTCAGTCTCTGCTTCTGCCCTTCCTTGGGCTTTGGGACTTCCTCGTGCGTCGCAGATGACTCGGCTCTGGCTCCATCGGTATTGTATAGGGGCTTCACAGGAGGGAGCTCCTTTGATGTCGCTTGTCGATGAACTGGCTGTCTCCGCTCGCCCCTCCCAGTTAGCAGTGATGGTTCTGCAGGCTGGTTTGGAGTCGACGGTGGGAGCTGCTTGCTGCTGTCGACGTTGACGGTTGAATCAGCTCGATGGACGCTGAGCTCTCTCATTGTAAAAGCAGAGATCACTCGTGTCAGATGCGATATTTGCTGCTTCCCCTTTTCGGTATGTCTTAGTTCGTTATCTACATCTGGCGGTGGTTTGGTCGGCAGTGGCTTTGATTGTACCGAAGACTGATGATCGGCTCGAGGTTGTATGTGACTGGCAACATGTGGAGAAGAGTTCATTGCGACGTTTCTATCTGCCCAAGAACGTGTGTCCTTTGGCGAAGACCGGGAAGATGCGAGTAGGGAGTAAGGTGGCGGGAACGGTGATCGGGACCGTGAGGTCCGGCTATGCGAAGACGGTGAGTTTGTTGGCGGCAATGGAAATACATATTCAGATAGTTCATCAGAAGCCGTGTCTGGAGATATTTCGATACGTTCACTTGGCCCTCTGTTTATCGGAAGCCCCAATAGTGCGGGATGGGATCCTAGGGGATCAGGGCAAGCAGTACCGACCTCCAATGGGATCTCGTTTGCATTCATGAAATGACTCGAGAAGTTGTGATGGGCGGGATTTGGTCGAAGTCTTGGCATGATGTAGCGTTACTAAGTCGGCGTATTGATATGAAATGTTATCCGCTTCATCAATGATGAGGATGATGTTATGGGTTCTATAAAGCTCAACGCAGAAACTATGGTTCCCTAGTACCAATTTGAAATAAAAGGAAAGAAATGGCTGATAAAAGTTGTTAACATTGGAAAGAAAATGTCATCTTCTCGAAAAGAGAATATTAAGAAAAAAAACGAAGGAAGAAAACAGAGAAGAATAACCAAGTAGTCGACCACATGAAACTTTTGAAAGGGGGGAAGAGATTTCAATAGAAGCCCTCAAATCTTCTGTAATCGTGACTTCACCCCTAAAATCGTGAAGATAAGTTAATCTAAATCGAACTGAGCTAAGGATAATGTGGAATACTCAGCGTGCGCAAGGGCTGTTGGAAGTAGATGAAACATATATTAATGAATGATTTTAGATGTAGAGCATTGCTTTTTCTCCCTTCGGCATGGATTACCTAGGTGTTTGTCGGAAGATCCAGCAATAGATCCCTCCGTACCTAATTTACCAGCTGCTCATTGCAATTCACTTTCAGCTGTCATTGACTCATTATCATCAGAGGTATTATATCCAGCTTACTTAATAGGTACTTATGAAGGTTATTTGCTGTTGCAGACTATGTAGCTACTACACTCTGCAGCTGACTCGAATTCTATGAAAACTTCTATAAAACTTCTATAAAACTTCTAGAAGATAGCTCTCAATCTTACAGCCTCCTCTTTATATTTTTACAGCCTATTGTGAGAATGTTCCAGTCAAACGAAAGAGCTTTGGTAGGAATACAATGCAATTGTTTTTGAATAACTCCCCTTTGATGTGCAGAAGATCAACAATCAAAGGTACTGTTTCAACACGTCAAAGGCGCCTATTGTTCACCTTCACCAACTCTTAGAATAATTTCATTGATTCAACATGTTGGAAATGCCTATAAAACTCGAGCCTCGTCGGCATGGCAGCATCAGTATCAGTATCCAAATCATTCACACCATCAAACATCTACCTACCTAGTACTTACTACCTAGTATCTAAGGGGCTCTACCTAAGAACAAGAACACTACTACCTACGCAAAACTACAGCTTAGACCTCATTATTCGCCATGCCTGCTCCAAAGAAAGACGGTACCGTAAAGCCCAAGAACGCTAACAACCTTGACAACATCAAGTATCCTCACAACTCAACCGCTAATGTGGATAAGTCTCAGGTTAAGCCTTTGAAGCCCCCAAAGGCCCCCGCCACTGAGAAGAGCCCCTACAAGGCAGGTGGTTCTGGAGACGTCTATATGGGCTACGGAAAATAAGAGGTAGGCAAGTGTACAACTATCTAACTATGCTGTGTATATATATATCCACTACATGCCTAGGTAAGATCCATTAGTATGATAAGTTTTTGTCTTTGTTAGAGCAGATACTTCTAGATCGGTAGGTCTACAGTTTGATGTTAGGTAGATACTATATATAGCTTTTGAAAAATAGCCCTGTAATCAAGCCTTCCTCTATAAACCCGATTAAGTCTTCGTGTATTAAAAAAATACTTTCTCTTCAAGAGCTGTAAAGTTATGAAGTTATAACTATTAGTACCTGCCCAAGTGCTCACCAATCCTCAACTTACCATTTATTTCATACAAGTATAAGATGTAGTACGTTGCCGCCAGCTATGACTGCTTCCTTACCTAACCTACGTACCTAGGTCGGTGTCCAATCATGCCTATCCACCAGACTAGATGGACACCCTCAAGTATCGAGCAAGAATCCATTATTTCGACTACCTACCCAACCGTACCTAAGCCAGAGAAAAAGGGGCACAGCTGCAAGATACGGTTATAGATTGAGTTAACATGTGGGCCTATAAACCCACCCGGCCATACAAAACTCTCAGCTCGAGCGGGTACTTCTACCAACACCTAATAACCTGATAATTTGACTGGGTCTCAAAAGAATAGATCAAATAACCTTAACTGACTGGACTGGGCCTGTTGGTGTTGGTTGCGTTGCGCTGATTGATTGGCAGCAGGTGTTTCTTTTAAGGGGGGAAACAATCGCGGAGCCCAACTACACTGTAGCCACCTGCACGGACAGCCCTTTCTCTCCACGTCATCGCCCATCACCTGCCTAACTATATGCTTCCGAATACGATATGAAATAGGTATACTGTTACTTACCTCAATATTCGTATTTGTATATAAGCTTGCTTACTACCTACTACACCATGCCGTCGGCCGAGGACTCGGCGGTCATTGCACGTGCCACAGCCGCTCGCGATGCGTTAGCTGTTTCGCTTCCAGGTAGAGTCACAATCCAAGGCGACGACGATTACATAGCCGAGCAGGGTCTTCCCGTGTGAGTAGTTAGACCAAGCCCCCTCCTCCCCCATAACAACCATGTACCTACCTACCTACCTACCTACCTACCTAACCTCGCGTTATACAACTACACTAACTCGGCCGTGCCGTCCAAAAAGGTCTCAGACATGCTGGCTCCCAGCCGCCTGCTTCGTCCACCCCACCAGCGCCGACGAGGTTGCCACCGCCTTGCGGACCATCAGGGCCGCAGGCTCCAGGTTTGCCGTCCGCTCCAGCGGCTGCCACTCCAACGCCGGCTTCAACAGCGTCGGCGAAACCGGAGTTGTCGTCGATCTGCGGGGGCTCAAGGAGCTGTCGGTGACGGACGACGGCATCGCCCACATCGGAGCCGGGTGCACGTTTCGGGAGATCTACGGATTCGTCGAAGCGCGCAATCTCTCGATTGTCGGAGGCCGGAATCTGGATCTGTCCATCTCGGGATTCATACTGGGCGGCAAGTCTTTCCTATCTACCTACTGACCTAACTTAGTACCTTGGATCATATGACCATGATGAGGCTGGGTCCGGATGTGGCTTTTTCTTTTTCTTATTCTTTTTTTTTTTTTTTTTTGAGGCTTTTCAGGGGCTAACGAGTCTTTTCGTAGGCGGAATGCCCGCGTTCCCCAATCTCCATGGATTGCCTGCGGATAACGTGAAGAACTATGAAGTATTTCGCCTTGCTACCTATTTATCAACTGCTAAGCCTGCTTTAATAACTACCAAAAAAAAATTCGTGACTAACCGGCGGTGCTTTCACATATACCTAGGTAGTGCTTGCAGACGGCAGAACCGTCCATGCCAATGACCAAGAGAACGCGGACCTGTATTTTGTACTCAAGGGCGGCGGTGCAAATTTTGGTAATTAAATTTTGAGACCCTAAGCATCCATATCATCCAACTCCATAGTCCCAGAATGCGGGATATTTGCTAGGTAGATAATCTAGAGCTCATATGCTATACCTAGGTGTCGTAACGCGATTCGATCTTCAGACGTACCCCCTGATCCCCACACAATACACCATCAACATCTACGACGTGTCCGACTATGCCGCGATCCTGCGCGCCGCGGTAGACGTGCAGGAGGCCATGGAGACGGACCCCAAGATCGGCCTTTTCGTCAACGTCCGCTCCACCTATGTTGCCGTCGGGCTTCTGTACGCCGATATCCCCTCCGAGCGACCTAAGGCGTTCGACTCGTTCTTCAACCTGAAGAGTTTGATCAAGGCCGCCGTGCCGACGACGAATGGCACGATATACTCGTTGGTGACCGCGATCTCGTATACTAGTCCTTCAGCCAGGTAGGTACCTAACCAACCGCCCTTTGCTATCTCGTGTCGTTATGCAGACGATGCTGAGTTTTTCCTAGACGCACACAATCATCAGTCACTACTCGCTTCTCGCCCGAATTATATATCAAGGCGCACGAGCACTATCTTCAAGCCGCGAAGAACTTCGTTGGTGAACTGTTCTACATCATCCAGCCCCTGTCGACCGGCGCGGTGAAGGAAGGAAGAAAAAGGGGAGGCAATGTTCTCGGGCTGGAGGAGATACCTCAGACATGTACGTCCTCGCTTCCCTTGAGCCCCCCTTTCATCTTTTACACCCCCATCTTCCCCTTAACACATGTTAACACCAGCCATCAACACACATAGGGTGGATTATCTCCGGCGTTTGGACCGACTGCTCGCAAGACTCCCTCGCCGTCGCAGCCGTCGACTCCTTCCGGCAGCACATCTCCTCGATCGCGGCGGAACAGAACGAGCTGCTCGACTACGTGTTCCTGAACGACGGCAGCCCGACGCAGACAGTACTAGACAGCTACGGCGCCGCGAACGTGCAGAAAATGAAGGAAGCGGCGGCGAAGTACGACCCCGAGGGCGTATTTCAGAAGCTGCAGAATGACGGGGCGCTGCTGAGGAAAATCTGATCTGACCATGTTCGCGAGATTTATTTGAAAGCCTGGGGACTGGGGCGGGGACTGGAGATTATATATGGTCTATGCTGTGATGGTGATGTTATTTTGGAGCTTCCATCGTATGGATTCGCGACGTTGTGGAGCTCCAATAACGCACGCAAGCGGTGAATGAGGCCTGGAAGTAGAGCGCATAATAGTCTCAACTCTGTACTTCAACGAATTCAGTAGCAACATTTACATGTCCCGGGCAATTACCTTATCAAGAGTGAAGACACCTAAAATAGAACGGTAGTGTAGGCTTTCTAATTACCTCAAGGTCGATGTCCATAAAATGTTTACGAATCGTCCCGGTGGGCCGGTAAAATTCGTCTCATATAGGAGAATGCAGCTAGCTGTTACATATACGGGATAAGTTGCGGTGGGGTAGCGGCCTTGATGGTAGGGGTAGGTTTAGGGGGTGTAGCATGCAGCCATAAACACATCCCGGTAACATAACGGAGGGAGGACCCCCGGGTTATGAAGTAGGAGACATATATATCCTTCTCTTGGCCATCTCGCTGAAGCCAGTATTGAAACTTCAGCTTGTTCTTGATACCTACAGCAAACGAACCGCAAAGATGTTCTGTAAAGTCGTTTTGTTAGCCCTCGCTCTCGTTCCCCTTTCCTTCGCCCAAGTCTCTGAAGACTTCGAAGGCGGGTGGGATGAAAGCGCATGGCCTGTATACGCACCGGACTGCAACCAAGGCGGCAAAGTCAGCCTCGATAGCACAACCGCCCACAGTGGCAAAAACTCCATAAGGGTGGATGGTGCAGGCGGTTTCTGCGGACATATTTTCTTTGGCACGAAAAGCGTCCCCGCCGGCGATATCTTCGTCAGAGCTTATGTGTAGGTTTCTTTTTTTTCTTGGCGGCAGCTTTTAGATTAAAAAGCATTGCTAATATCAACGCACTTCCAGTAAGGCATCCAAGGCCCTCACAGACTCACACGTCTCCTTCATCACCATGCCCGACTCCGCCCAGGGCGCTAACAAGCACCTCCGTATTGGCGGCCAGAGCAAGATCCTCATGTACAACCGCGAATCTGACGATGCTACACTTCCGGACCTTTCACCACAAGGTATTGCTGCTTCGAAGGCACTCCCCACCGGGGACTGGCAATGCTTCGAGTACCACGTAGGCACCGATGGCACCATTGAGACATGGTTGAACAGCGAGGCTATTGAAGGCTTAACCAGCAAGCCAGGCGTCAGCAACGGCAACGCGGCACAATGGCAGCGCAGCTCGGTCAAGCCCACGCCTTCTGCCATCTACTTCGGCTGGGAATCGTATGGCGGCGACACCAACACATTCTGGTACGACGATATTGCCGTGAGCTCGACCCGTGTTGGATGCACAGACGCGTGAGCCTCTTTAAATTGATAGTTTTAGAGATGCAAACGTTGTGAAGTTGGCCTTAGCCACACATTAGCCTAAATGCAGATAGAGACATCAATAACAAGGCTTGTTGTCCCGACGGCTTTTAGCCTAAATTGTAAATCTGCACAAATGTTCCTCACAATATATCGTACTCAATTCACACCTAATTCAAAAAAATTCAGCTTATCTTCTCATACCTCTAACATCTGTACAACGGTTAGGGAGAGCATCATGTTATCGATAGATTGGGTTTAGGCTGTGTGGGGAATAGTGTGTAGATATGCACAATGCTGGGGATGAAAGATCTCCAGCGGTTGTGTGTGGGGATGAAGGCGGGAACGACATCTGATCTACATATGATCTTCCGATGGAGATCGTCTGACATCTCCTAGTACCCACGACATCCAGTATACCTGAGAATCGGGGCTGTGGAGCATCTTGATGAGGTCTACTGTGAATGTACATAGGAGTTTCCTAGCAGACTGCATAGCAACAACTCACTGAATGTGCAAGCCGTGGGCAGGGCAACCAAGAGTTATGTGGTATGGATGTGATATCATGTGGGATGTGATATCGGGGTGGAAACCGATGAGCATAATGGTCGGATGTCAGTTTAAACTTATCTTATGAGGTGAGATCACAGGTGACTCTGCAAAGAATGGCAACGTAGCTGAGAACGGCAGGTCCCGATTACATATCCCCTCCAAAGACGTCCACTTCTTCAAGAATCCTCTTGGCTTTAACAGTAAAAGACCCTGAAGATCGATGATCTGGTTAGAACCCCACCTTTGGGATTGGGGTATAGCTAATATGTCAACAACTTGGAACTCGTTTCATCCAGGATATCAAATGTGACAATAGTCCATATGATGATTCGTAGTTGTACATAAGTATGCCGGTGACAGGAAGCCACAAAATGTATGTGAAGGCTAAAAGGGTGGCATCCTCCCGTGCGATAAGCATAGACGCCCTCCGAAAAAGAAAAAAAAGTCGTTATCCACCGATGTTCGTTAAAACGTAGATAGAATCGGCACCTTTCTTTATCGATAAATTCCATTCAATGATGAATAATTCATACAGCTCACTTATTCTGTGAATATAATGGCATAGTAGAAGCTGGTGTGCGGGTGGGATACCTATTAGGCTAGGTCTAAACAAGCTCCGGGATGTGTTCAGCCCATTAGACCGTTCTACATCCTTGGAGCGGAAAAGCGCTCCCGTTTTCCACCAAGGCCAATCGATCGAGACACGGGGACTAGGAGGTAACGTGCCTGACGATCTAACCTAGATAAATATTGTTGACATCACTGTTTTGGTTTTCTTCGCAATCTAAAAACCGTTCTGTGTGTATGGTTACCAAGGTAGTTATGTGTACATGTTAGATGAGAGGATCCTCCTTTATGCTTCGACAAATCATTATCAGATATATTAAAACATTGAAGTGAGTTCTCCAATGCCTTGGATACTGTCGGTGCCTGCATGATCTAAGTGATAAAGTTATTATTAGCGGATCTCAACAATCTTGGAAGGATTCATACATCTGTACACATATGTACTATGTAGGTTAGGCGTTTGTAACCGATGAAACCTACATATATATGTACAGTACATTCTTAGGTAAGTAGGCACGTACACCGGGCATCTAGGAATCATCTCGCCCATCATCGGCTTTCTTTCGGACAGAGAGGCAACACATGAAAAACCATCTCGGCATCCACATTGGATAGTTGCGGTCTGTCTAGGTAAGTGTAGAAGTTGCGGTAAAGTGCGGCTTATGCAGCTCGGTGAGAGATGCGTTTTCATCAAATGGGGCAAAGAAAAAAATAATAAAAAAAAGATGAAAATTTGAAAAACTAAGGTGAGTTAGTTCATACAGGTGGATTAGTTGTGGAGCAAGACTGTGACACGGCGGGTGGGGCATATTAAATATAGGTGTATGCCTGCCTAAAGAGGTTCGGCGAGCCCCGCCGGACTATTAGGAAAAAGCTTTTTCCTGTCATCAGGACACTGCGGGTTGGTTACACATAACTACCTAGTAGTTACCAGGTACATCCGCCGTTAGGGCAGGCTCCCCATTAAACATTTGAAGTCGTCACTTTGAAAAAAATCAAAAAATCTCAAACGGGATTTGAAGTCTTGATATCCTCCAAAGCTACCTAGTATGTACTTTCAAAATTTCTTACATTAACTAGCTTGTAACAAGTACTTTGATACTCCCTAAATTGGTCATCATATTTCAATGAAACTTGTGGAATCTTTAGATTATGTAAAACAAAGCTCTTTTTTCTCTTCGCCACGGTTTCCCCCTTTCCCGATTTTCCGCTTTCTTCTAGAACCTGACTCCGGGAGTTCCACCAGCCCTTCCGCCGCATTCCACCCGCCCCGATTTGGCAATCTGATGCGCCGTTGTGGATATTATAGGGTAACGTCTAGTAACGAGACTCCACTAATTACCGACTCGTGGCCCTCCTACGCGCTCTTCTAGTCACCATCGTATGTTACAATCCTTTCAAAATATTTCACGATGACTTCGCTCGGGTGGGCCCTAGAAAAAACTTACCAGATCGATCATCGTATCAAGTTAGGTTAGATACATGCAAGCCATGCATTTCGTTTCACCTCTCGAGCCAGCCAAGCATTGGTATGATCCGAGCTCATGAGTTAATCTACACTGTAACATTTTGGCGTCTGGTGTCGCGGGAGCTACCGTACATGCCAGCTTAACAGCCGACCTACCTAATGCATACATACAGCACTTCATGCCATCGACACATATATTCTGAGATGACCTATCACACACCCATTTATGGTACACCTGGTACAACACGATTGTTTGCTTCCATGGATATTATTGCATCAGTCGCCTAGGAAGCACATACGTTTTCTCATCTAGCCTTATGCGGCATGGATTTGGTTTTAGATCTCCATCTTACAGCGCACACAGGGCTGATTGTAGATCATCCATTTTCATCTAGACTTCAGGTTACTAAGGGGTACATTTAGCCTATCTCCCAATAGTATGCACGAAATATATATGAATCGCGTATTGTCATTGTGGAACATGCTCAAACCAAAGGTTGAGCTGAGCAGGATACTATAGTATAGATTCATCTAGTATATTCATATCTACGGAGGCTAAGTCCGTATATCTATTGATATGTGAGGTATACTGAACACCGAAAGTTCACATGCATATGTTGCATGCCTGCCTCCAGCACATGCAGGCGAAGCATACCTACCATGTGCCTACCTATAGTACATGTAAGTAGCAACACGTGTAGTACTACATATAGTACCATTTGCAGTTATGTATACAAATGTACAACATTGAACTTAAGGTAAGTAAAGTTAGTAAACTTACGACTGCTTAAGCCTTAAGTACATGTACCTGAAGTGATGCATGGGATCTTCCTGATCTAGGATGTTTCTAGCACTCAGGTTACGTAAATATTAGTGTGAAAGGCGTGAATAGACATTGAACCTTGGATACAAGTTACAGGTGCTTGCTTCACTGCTTCAGAGCCCGAGTGCGTGTTCAGTGTTCACACGACCCCTCAGCCCCCCTATAACCTGGAATATAGTGGAGAGCTTTAAGGGCCAACAACCGCTGAAGTTTGAAGCGGGCTCTAAAATACAAGGGCCCAGGTTCTTAGTGCAGCTCAATTCATGACACATAATTACTTGATGGAAAGGTCTGGCAAAAGCATGATGTGAAGCAACCTATTAATTGCGCCAACTACATAATAGCTTTGGCCGCCTAGTATTCCATATTTTCTAATAAATACTAGAAACTATCATAGAAACTTTTCCAAGTCCGTTACTAGTAAAAACGCAATAGCAAAAGACGACGCAAGCGTTAACGACAGTTAAGCAACCCAAATCAAACCTTCAACTCGCTGGTACAATACAATACAGTCAGTACTCTACTACTTATACGAAAGGCCTCGCCACTGCAACCAGCTATACACGACAGACAAGACAGGAAAAAGGAGATAAAAAGACGAAATTGTGAGAATAGCTATTAGGAATCGAATCTTTTTAATCTTCTTACTTTTTTTACCTTCATCATTCTCAAAATCTCTATTGTTATCCCTTACACACTTATACGACGAATCACGTTAGCCAATCATAAGCCCTCATCGAGGTGTGAATAACCAAAAAAGGCATTGAACAAAACCACAGCGCCACAACCACATCGCCGAACAACATCGAACAACGAATTACAGATTTGTATTACCAACTTTCAAAGAAATTGCAAAAGACAATACCCGAGTCCGGGGGAGCTAGTGGCAGTTTGAACATTGCACCAACGCGCTGCAATATACCAACAATTAACTAATTTTATGACGGCGGCCTATGACGAGAATCCTTTAAACTACGACAGATCAGGCGACTCTGAAAAAAAAATATTAAGGAAAAGATTTTGTTCAAATTGGGGTCACATTACGCCATTGCCCTGAAATTAGGTGTTATTCCCCAGATTTCAAGTGCCACACAAAGAACCGGTAGCCATCCGGATGCATTAGCTCCTTACCATCCAGCGCCATCGGCCTCGAAGTAACCAGCGAATCCGCTATTGCCCTGAATATAAGGCCTAGAGCTTAGAGCCTAGAGACCCAGCCCCGAGGAAGGAAGAAAGACTAGAGTCACAAGAACAAGAAAAAGATCCACACAGACAATACGAACCCGTGGTTTCATTGGCCAAAATGCCACATCGTGTAGTCGATTTCTTTCGGGCTTCGAACGATAGCATCCACAGCATCAAAGCATCCGTACAACGAAGAAGCAACCCCAACTCACGATCTAACTCACGATCTACATCCAGAGAACGACCTACTCGTCACCCATCACCTGCATCATCAGTGCTCGAAGCCGACTCAGATCATCTAGCACATAACTTTGTTGCACCTCCTGTCAAGATGGCTGAACCGTCCAAGGAGAAGAAGGATGCCCACAGTCATCATCGCCTGAGTTTTCCAGTCTTGCATCTTGGCAGCTCCAAATCTTCCAAGGAATCACCACAAAATCCCAATGCCTCCCTAAGCTGGAAAATTGAGTCACCCCCCGCTGTGTTGCACGGTGATACCGAGAACAGCACTGGCGCATTGGTTTCTGGTCAATTATTACTTGACATCAAGGAGGAGGGATTTGAGGTTGACACTTTCGAAGCCAAGTTGAATGTCCACATCCTACAGAAACGACCGTTTACTGGTCACTGTCAGAATTGTGCAAACCAAGTAACCGAGCTCAAATCCTGGACACTTTTGACTGAGCCAACGCAACTTTCCAAACGTAAGTCTTTTGGCTCACTTCCCCCAAAATCCATCACATGGCTCATACTAACTGAGATATAGGGACACACGAATTCCCCTTTTCCGTTTTATTGGATGGTCACCTTCCCGCGACAACTGATAATGCCATTATCGCAGTGAAATACGAATTCACCGCGATAGTACAGCCGCGCACTGGACCGATGGTTAAGCTTATCAAGAATATCGACGTAAAGCGCTCGATACCAGTCCCAGAATTGCCCCATCACAGCATACGCATCTTCCCGCCTACCAACATTGCCGCCAGTGTGCACTTCACCCAAATCATACACCCCATCAGTTCCAACACCTTCACCCTGCGCCTCGACGGTGTCGTCAAGCACAACCCAGACGCCAAGACCGTCGAGTACTGGAAGCTGAAGCGACTGTCGTGGAAGCTGGAGGAGAACATGGAGACCATAGCGCCTGCATGCGAAAAGCACTCTCCCAAGGAACCCAAAGAATCAGACACGGCCGTGGCGCCGAAGAAGGGCGCCAAGCGCGTCGACACCCGCACGATAGCGCACGCTGACATGCACAGCGGCTGGAAATCCGATTACTCCCCGTCAGGGTGCATCGAGACGGAAATCCAGTACCAGCTAGCGCCGGGCGCGCGCGCTGTCTGCGACATGAAGAGCAAAGACGGCACCGAGATCACGCACCAGCTGGTGGTGGAGATGGTGGTCGTCCAGGAGTACGCACCGACCACGCACCTGAAGCACGTCACACCGACCGGCGTAGCACGCATCCTGCGCATGCACTTCGGCGTCGTCGTCACCGAGAGGGCGGGCCTGGGCGTCAGCTGGGACAACGAGGCGCCTCCGATCTACCAAGATGTGCCCCCTTCGCCCCCTTCCTACTCGTGCGACATCCCGTACGAGAGCGTGGAGGACCTGGCCTTGAGCCGAAATAGCCAAGAGAACCCCAGCAGAGCGCAAAGCCCTGTCGCGAACGAAGAGCGACCCTTGACCATAGTAGGAACCAAAACGGTCGGGCGCTAGTTCACGTTCGGCCGGGTTCTTTACAGGATTAAAGGGTGGTGGTTGGAACGGTTACGGGGGAGGTAATCAGGAACAGCATTGGCTTTACAACAAAAGACCAAGCAAACACAAACAGAGCAATATACCCCACGAGCGATACTTTGATGACGCACTGCACTGCATTGCATGCAAGCAACTTCCTGCATTTAGCAGATGAAACAAAAAGGAGAGGGAAAAAGGCACACAATGGTTGGGTTGGTATGGCCTTCAGGGAAGGGATTTTCACAGTTGATTGTTTGATTGATTACATATGGCATTGTATGGAGTTTTCAGGACGGATAGACATACCCCCATCAGGAGAAAGCAAGCAAGCAAGCAAGCAAGCAGAATGCCGCTCAATGGCTGGCAGGCAGGCAGAACGGTACACGCATGAATAATATTTTACTTGAGTAATAACTCGAGAAATAACTCGAAGAGTATATACATGTAATAAGAGTAATTACAAGAACTATGAATAACTTCTAATACCTAACTTGAGTGTGACGTCCCTTCAGTTTAAGTAGCTAATATTTCCCTATTAATTAATTCAGACGGAAATCAAAGACTTTGATGGTTTTAACTACTCCATGTGTGTATATACATAGTCGACAGCTATGATAAGTACCTACCCCTGAATGCTGCGTCGATACCTTCAAGGTTCAAATGTTTCCCTACCTAGGTATTTACTAGGTGCCCAGACAGCTAAGGGTTAGTCATTGCCTACCTATGCAACCTTACTCCGATTGCGCCATCGGACCGCCCAAGGTCACAATTGCGCATCGTCTAACCTAACGCGCGGGGTTTTAACAGCTCGTGCGTAAGATCTGGTTTACATGCGTAGCCCGAGAGTACATTGAGATTCAAATGTTGTAACCTAGGTATCTACATACATAGTATATGTAAATACACAACTTCATAGAGGTGGCACCTACATATTGTACAGTAGTATCCGACAAAGAAACATTTCCATCATCCAAGTAACTTGACAGATTCAGGTTCCAGTTCAGCTTCATCAAAATACTACTACTACTACTACTACTACTACAAAAAAAAAAAAAAAAAAAAAAAAAATCAAAGCAATGGCCCCCAACAAAGACCTCTCCGGGCACAAGCTCCTCATGCTGGTCCCCTGGGAGCCGCCCGCGGGGTACATCGACTCGCTCCGCAAATCCTTCCCGGGGCTCCAAGTAGTGCACACGAACTGGGACACCTGGCGGGAGACCAGCCTGCCGACGTCCCTCGCCGAGGCCGACTGGAAGGACGTGACGATCCTCCTCACGGGCCCGAGGTTCCCGACCCGCGAGCAGGCGCCGAAGCTGCAGCTGGTGCAGCTGCAGAGCGCGGGCGCCAACTACATCCTGGAGAACCCGCTGTTCACGGAGACGGAGATCGCGTTTTGTACGGCGAATGGGATTCATGGGTGAGTCTTTTCTTTTTTTCTTTTTTCTTTTTTTTTTGAGTTTGGGGCGGTTGTTGAGTTTTGGGGGGCACCTGAGTGCTGGGAGAATGCATGTGAATTCAGCATAGGTAATGTTCGGGTTGGAAGCCGGCCTTGTGCTAACGCTCTCTCTCTCTCTCTCCGTTTGCGATACACCTAGGCCTCAAATCGCTGAATGGATCGTATGCACGTTCCTTGCCTTCCAGCATAGCAGTGAGTCTCTCTCCCCCCCCCCCCCTTTCTACTTGTCTCGTATCAAAACAATAATCGAATGAATCTTTTAATTCTCACCATTTTAAAATAGTCCCCCGATTCCTCGAGTACCAGAAGAGCCACGAGTGGAAGCATAGTTGGGATGACTCGGACACACAGGATGCCGTCCATCAACGGGTGTACGTACTTGACCTAGCAGATTTGCATGCAACCACCCCCCCCCCCCCCCCCCCCCTTTTTTTTTGTGCACATCCCTCAGTTAACTAACCTAACCCATGCTTGTAGCGGAATCCTCGGGTACGGCAGCATCGGCAGGCAAGTGGCGCGCGTCGTGAAAGCGATGGGGATGGAAGTGTACGCGTACACGAACCGGCCGCGACCGACGCCGGAGTCGCGGCGCGACCACTCGTACGTGGTGCCGGGGCTCGGGGACCCGGAGGGCGTGCTGCCCGCGAAGTGGTTCTCGGGCGCCTCGGCCTCGGACGTCGACGCCTTCCTCGGCGCGGGCCTGGACCTCCTCGTCGTCGCCGTGCCGCTGACGCCCCAAACCAAGGGGCTCATCTCGGCGCCGCAGCTCAAGATCCTGCAGGCGCGGAAGACGTTCGTCGCCAACATCGCGCGCGGCCCCATCCTCAACACGGCGGACCTCATCGTCGCCCTCGACGAGGGCTGGATCCGCGGCGCGGCGCTCGACGTCACCGACCCCGAGCCCCTGCCCAAGGACCACCCGCTGTGGGACGCGAAGAACGTCATCATCACGCCCCACGTGAGCGGGAACTCGACGAGCTACAATACGCGCCTGTTGTCGATTCTGGACACGAATCTGCAGAGGCTGAGCGAGGGGAAGGAGGAGTACATGAATAAGGTGAGCAGGAAACGAGGGTATTAGACTGTCTACTAGGTAGGTAGATTGTCTGCCTGGGTATGCTGAGGGAGATATAGAGGTTGGAGGTGGGGGGAGGAGGGCAATAGAATGAAAAAGCGGCTTGGAATACCTAGAAAGGGGAAAAAGCTTGCGCAAAGATCTGACTATGCATGTGTAGGTAGGTGCCTAATGCGCCATGGCTGATTTCAATCAAACAGACATCTCAACCAGTGAATGTGCCTAGGTTACATATGTAGAGAAGTGACTCAGATATGCAATGCCTATGTAAGCAGACGGTGGTCCGACTCGAAGCCCCTCAAGGGGTCCTAATAAGTAGACGCGGAATCCCGTCCTCGGTATCTCATCCATGGTATCTCCATTGCCGCTATGCGTGAGTCCCCAAAGCTCTGGAGGCCAAATGCAAATGCCACCTCTCATTATCAGAGAGGGGAGTGCTATAAAGGCATGCTACATACATACCTACGTACCAAAGAACGAAGCCTCGATGACGGACGCGTTTTGAGAATGGTTACACGGAGAGGCTGAACAGGCACCTCCTGTCGATCTAGAACCGTCATTCTCCGTATGGGGTCATGCAGAAACTCCTGTAGCTATTTCTATCTCATCTACAAGCCATGATACTTTTGAAACCTCATGCACAGTTTATCTCAAGCGCCATGAATACATCAGTTGTGTATAATTGGAAATGCCATTTGCGGCTGAATGCTGATGATATAGACTCCAGGAGACTACTCCAAACTCACCAGCCTAGTAAGCACTAGGTACCTGCTTACTTACCTGGCACCTGGCTATTCGTAGGCGGGTGTATTAGTCCCTTTCGAGATATTTATGTTATGCATAGGCGCAGTTTCTTGTGGTTCTCCATCGGAGTTCAAGATGCTCGCTCTAGAATCGCCGCCGCATCCCATGCTAGCCAATATTAGAGCAGTGGCCGCTTGCCTCATCATCGCCCTACTTCACGACCACTGGGCCGTTCGTTTCGAGGCAACGGTTCCCATAAGTTGACAGCAAAGTACAGTTATGTGTATTTTGAACCTCTTCCGTACAAGGGCATTGGCTGCTTGAAAAGCAAGATATCAATATTGATTCAAAACCTTGGTACCTATGGTAGTTAGTTACCTAGGCAGCAAACTGATAACAATCAGTCAAGATGGACACGTTGTTCTCTATTATGTATGGTACGAAGTAGCATGATAAAAGGGACAGCTCATTGACCCCGCCCCCAATGGGCTTTAAAGGCTGGAGAGGTGCTAGAGCGTTGCCTAGCAACCAGCGAATAACTTTGTGCCGCACGTGGCCAGGTACCTGGAACATGGCATTGTAACCCGGTACACCATCTTGATGTATTGTACGCCGTAGTGCACAGGGTTGTTTACTGGGAATACAACTCAATGTATTACTGGTGTAGATGTAATGCCCAATGTCTAGAAATAATACATAACTGTAATTAGTATGGTAGCTTTTAATGGGAGATCATAATGAGAAAATTGATGCCTTATTGTAAACAACCTTGGAAAGCAAGAATGCACACTCGGTGAAAGTGATGAAGGATTCTATCCATCCATCCATCCATCCATCCATTTTGATCAAGCATGTGATGAGGGATGAGGTGACGAGAGGGCTGCGGCGTGGAGCAGGAGAGCTATCCGATGCTACCTTGGGATGGTAATCCAGGGCGCAGGGTTAGCAGTGTGCCCAATCTCTTCGTAATTCGTCACTGGTCGGCCATAGATGGTGGGAGTGGAGTAATGTCGCAAGCGACAAATTGACAATTGAGCTCGGATTGCTCTTATCTGATTTGAAGAGATTGGGCAATTTCATTTTGACGCGTTGAGCAGAGCTATCATATTTTGAGAACACCTACTGATAGAGCCTCCTAGAGGTCATGGACTCATGGTGGTCGACCGTTGTTGTGCAACACGAACCAATCGCCTCGAAACGATGCATTGATGATGTCTGAGACCAAGGAGTTTGTACGAATGAACTCGGGGGTCTGGGCCTAGGAGCCGGAAGCGCTCTCTTTGTTAAAATGTTGAAATTGGCTGGATACCTCAGGTGCCTATGTTAGGTAAGGTTAGAAAAAGTGTTGATCTTTGATCTTGGTATTAAAGCGTGATGGGAACAAATTAACTATGGGACACAACACAATTGTGTCGACTCTGTCGAGTTGTGCTTTGCGGGGAACTGGCTTGAACCATAATTTCTTTCCAACGCTATACCAACTACAGATGTGGGCTATACTACTTTAGGAAATACTAGCGTCACATAGAGGCCCACGCTTCACCGGCGCAGTTTTCAATTGGTTAGACCGTTAGCACCTAGTACCATGCTGCAACCTTTTTCACAATTCTGTGACCTGTCAAACCAGGGGACCAACTCTGCATCAACATTGAACAATTTATTATTTCACAAGTAAACACTGCACACACACTGCACACTGCGCAGTGCACATTGCATATACACCACACTTTGCACTAGCTGCCAAGGTCAAAAAAAAATAATGTGCACAACTTGCTTGATGAATTAATTCATGACCGCCACTCTGACTCCATTTATCCATCTATTCTGCTTACAACACCTCAATCCCGTTTCATGACACTTTAACTTCAATCGCATACGTTTCTACCTTCGCACCTCGTCGTTTAGACGATTGGAATTGTGATCGGTGGAAAAACAGAACACATCTCGATTCTCAATACATATGTATGTACATATGTACATACGTACATAGAGCAGAAGCAACTGTTTGCTTTGCATGGAGAGTTGGCATCGTGTTGTTGGTCTCTTTTGATCTTGTTTTTTTCTGACGATTCTTTTCTGTTCCTTTTGCGCGGTAAGCTATTTCAATGATCCATCTGTCTTCTTCTTCAGGTCAAAATTACCTGTTCATGGTTTTTATTCCCTTCCATACGACCTGAATGCAATGCGATGCGACAACACAGATATCTAATTTGCAATCATGTTACTAGCATTTCTTTACGACGTCACGACCTCTATGGCCTCTTCCAAGATACCCTCGACTTTAATAAACATATAGCTTGTAATTCCGGGTCTGACGTTTGTTTGTCGAGCCCGAGCTCAAGCCCAAGCCCCAAGCCCCAAGCCCGACCCTGATACACCTACACTCAATTCTTGCCTGGCCGCACTTGCGAGACGTATACAACTCTTTAAAACATCTAGATCATTGCCATGGATCAACCTCCGCCGCCGCCGCCTCACGGCCATAATCCTAGATCGACAAACGGCAATCCCAACCCAAATACAAATCCTAATCCCAACCCCAATTTGCCTCCCGGCAAATATGATATATTCATTATTCCGCCACATTCGTCGGGGTCAGGTTTCCTGTACCTGCCATCGATGAAACCGAACCTGAACAGCTTTGCGGCAGGATTTGCTAGTGCTTTGGTGCTAGTTGTTCTTTGCCAAAGCTTGGGCCCTGTCGTTCGAGTGTGGTACAGTGGGTTTCAAGGATTGGGAAACATGGGAATGTCGTTGTTAATGATTGGGGTTGGTGTCGGAGCATGGTCCTTGGGAAGAACCCAGCAGGGAGCTGGCCCGTGGTCTGGGGGTGGTGGCCCTGGGAACACTTACGGTGGATATGGCCCTCCCCCGGGAACTGGAGGGTATCCCGGTGCCCCTCCCCCAGGTCCTGGCTTTTCCAGCGGCCCTCCCCCAAATGACGATATACCTCCGCCGCCACCTCCTCATGGCGCACCTCCTCCTCCTCGGCATGGGCCAATGCCTGGTACGCCAGGGGGAGAAGGATCGAAACAATCGTGGCAACAACGCCCGCAAGCTGCTGAGTTCAATGAACAGCCCCGACAACCTCCTTCAGAACATCGCCAGCAGACTCGTCCGGAAACTCCTCGAGAACGTCCACGCGAGCATCCACGAGAACGCCCACGAGAACGCCCGCAAGAACAATCGCGAGAACAGCCGCGAGAACAGCCGCGAGAAACTTCTCGAGAGCAACCCCGAGAGCCTCCACATGATGTCCACAAGGAAGTGTCGAAAGAAAGTCCTAGAAAGGTTCCTAAAAAGAAGGCTCCAAAGGAAGCTCCAAAGGAATCGCTGAAGCAAAGTCATAAAGAGCCAACCAAGGAACACCCAAAGGATCCCCCTAAGGAACCTCCTAAGGAACCTCCTAGGGAATCTCCCAAGGAATCTCCCAAGGAATCTCCCAAGGAACCGCGCAAGGAACCGCGCAAGGAGCCTCGTAAGGAGCCTCGTAAAGAATCTCGAAAAGAGCCCTTAAAAGAAACATCTCGGCAAACGATCAAGGAAACTATCAGAGAAACTCTTAAGGAGACCATGAAGGAGGCCTTCAAGGAGCCCTCCCCCACAATGCCACCCACAATGCCTCCCACGATGCCTCCCACTGAGCCACCGACCGAGTCTCCCACCAAGTCTCCCACCAAGTCTCCCACCAAGGCTTCTAAACTGCCTCTCAGAGAACCCTCCAAAGAACCTCCCAAAGAGCCTTCTGCAGAAACTCCCAAGACTCCCATGACCCCCAAAGAAACCCCCCAGGATTCTCCGAAAGAACCTCCCAAAGACCTACATAAAAGCGTATGGGAGAAGGCCAGAGAGGCAACTCGGCGGAAAGAGGAGGAACGTAAAGCACAAGAGGCTGCACAAAAAGCTAAGGAGGAACAACAACGTAGGAGAGAAGAGGTAGCCCGAAAATTGAAGGAACTGCGCGAGAAAGAGGCTCTTGAACGTGCCAAGCGTGAACAAGAAGCCAAAGATAGGCAGGAACGCGATATTCGTGAGAGAGAGCAACGGGAAGCCGAGCAACGTGAACGAGAGCGGAAAGAGAAGGAGGAGCGGGAAAAGGAACAAAGAGCAAATCGAATCCGGGAAGCTCGGGAGCGGGAGCTTCGTGAAAGCCTTGCGCGTGAGAGGGCGCTCAGAGAGCAGCTTGAGAAGGAGGTCAAAGAGAAGGAGGCAATACGGGCCAAAGAGGCGGCTGAAGCAGCTAAGCTGATGGAGGAGGCGGCAAGATCGAGAGAGGCTGACATTGCCAAGCGCCTTAAAGAAGCAGAGGATGCCCGAAAGAAGGAAGAAGAGGCTGCCAAACAGAGAGAGGCAGATGTTCTTCGGCAGAGGCTATTGGAAGCTGCCCGACAGAGAGAAGTTGAAGCTGCCCGACAAAGGGAAGAGGACGCAGCGAGACGAAGGGAGGCCGAAGAAACCAAGTCACGGGAGGCGGAGATAGCAAGGCTGAACGAAGCTAGCAGGAGCGGTGCCTATGCTTACTCGTCAGTGGGTGAGAAAACCAATCCTTGGCCGAACGGGAGACCTTTCGTTCAATCTCCATCTCCCCCTCCCTCTCGACCAAGCCCCAGCACCACGTCGAGTAGGCCCAGTGCTACTACTAGCAAGCCTAGTACTCCTTCGACCAGACGACCCCCAGCACCGAGTACCCAGGCCCCCAGCGCCACTGGCACTTACGATGAAGAAGGTTACTCATACCGCCCATACGACACACCAAAGAGCCAAACGCATAGCCGAAAACGGTCTGGCGGTACTACTTTCACAGAGTCATCATACGCGCCATCTCAATCCACTTCGCGGACTACACCACCCCCGTCCGAACGCCCCCCATACGAGTGCAAAGACGAGGGCAAAATCGTGATCAAGGCTGTGTACAATTTCCTCAATCAATTCTCCAAGACTCCAGCTTCTCAGCTCATATCTGGCGTGTCACCAGTTACGGATGGGCTCATTCTCCGCATGACATCTGCTGGTATCTTTATCGACGATGATATTCGGCATGAGCCACAACGTGACTGGGATTTCAAAGCCTGGACGCTTAGGACGATAGAAATATGGTGCCCATCTCATTGCGTTGCTGAGACTGCCCCCAAACCAGTTCCCAAGGCTCATCGCTTTCGCTCGGCAATCCGCGGCCAGCCTACGACGCTGACTGGTGATGAAGCCACGGCTTGTATTGCGGATCTTAGGAATTCGTGTAAAGATGTGTGCCGTCTTGCACCTCATGGAAGACGTGGACCCACGTCATCATATCTCGGCAATTCTGATCACCAGGGCTTACACTTGCTCCGTGCCACAATTAGGGACCAAGAAGGTCGAAGTCATTTGTTCGTGATCAGTGAAGAGGAGAGTTGGAAGATGGCGAAGGGCCTTAGAGATCTGTTCTCTGGTACACAGCATCGACAGCTCGGCATCCAGTGCATGTCGAAAGCTGAGGCCCAAACCATTCTGGAGACGCTTGGTTGGTGAGTTGACGATGAAGTCTTTTTGATTATGGAGAAAGATAGACGTGTTTGGGATATCTCTTGGGGTATTTGTATTGGACGACTGGAATGTTGCAACCCATGCCGCATTCCAACGATCATACTTGCCAAACTTCTCACTTCCTTGGCTAAAAGATACCTGACATTCATACTTTTCCCAGCATGGCGAGGCGAGGCGAGATAACGGGGCGGCGTACCGGGGCGGATGGTTGATATGCAATTCTTTCCTGTACGTAAGGTTAGCATGACGAAGATGAGGATGAAGATGAGAACGAGATGAAGGAGAAAAAAACCACCCCTGCATGTAGAGACGAGATTGTCACCGATCAGTCAGTTGAGCACGAATATACCACACCCACCACTACCCACTATACAGTAAAAAAATTCCCATTGATGTACAACCATTTATTTATCTCGCGTTTATGTTTTATCTTTGTATGTATGAATGTCTAGGTGATTTGTGAATTATGTAGCTGGAGATGAGAGCGTGAGCCCTTTGGATTGTGGCACACGATGGAAGGAATGCTGGCTATTCCCTCTCAAGTATAATATTGAGCTATCTAATGAGTGGATGCTACCTATATAGGTAGTAGACCAAAAAGAGATTCTGTCACTAGATAACTTTCATAACCCTTTAAAAAGAGCGACTTCGTTTAGGTAACCTAGTTAACTTTTGCACCATAAAGCGTGTGCCCTGCCCACGCACGCTTTTCACTTCCCCCTTTTCCACCACACTGCTGCTTCATACTGCTGCTGTCACTGAGCTCTCCGTAGGTGGTAGGTAGGTAGGTATTCAACCAATGACGATGTTAAGCTGCAGCTCCTTGCCCTCGGTGACGCAGTAGTTGGCGGAGATCTTGCGGTGGTCGGCGTTGAGGATGGTCTGGGAGGTGCGCTGGGCCTCGCGGGCCTTGCAGCGGACGGGGTTGACGTCGTTGTAGTACTCGGGGAGGGCGGAGACGCAGGTGACGTCGTTGGCGAGGCCGGTGACGACGTCGACCCAGGGCTTGTAGTTGTGCACGCCCATGGCGACGAAGAAGGCCTCCTTGCCCTGCTCGGTCCTGAAGCGCAGCATCCCGGAGGTGCCGCTGCCGCCCATGCTGAGGGTCAGGGAGGAGGAGCAGGGGGGCGAAGAGCAGTCCCAGGTCCCGCCCGACGCGTAGTGCCAGCACCCGCTCTCGACGAGGGTGAAGAAGGCGTTGGTGTTGGTCTGGTAGACGCGGACTTTGATGCTGTAGGACATGCTGTGGAGGGTTGAGGGGGGTTAGTAAGGTAGGTAGGTTACCTAGGTAGGTAATTTTCGGAAGCAAGGAAAGAAGGATGGGGTGGGGTGGGATGGGACGAACTTGGCTGATGTTTCAACTTGAGATCGTTGGATAGATAGATAAACTTGAATGTTTGGAGACTTGTTGTAGACTGGTGATGGTGTTGTGGTGAGGGAAGCCAGGAGATGTTGGTGTTCGATGGGACCTACTACCCCCTTTTATATCCGAGATGGTGCCTAGGTATGCTCGAGTCGCTGACCTTTCCCTGATACCTCGCTCTCCGATTTAGCAAAGCTTGCGTGTTCAGCTTTCGACTGCCAATGTGGAAGTGATTTGCTTTGCGGAACTGACATGACTTGTCTTCTGCAACTCCTCACGCCACGATAATGCACTCCGATGTAGTAGACTTCCATGTTTATGCAACTTTCCATCGTGAGAATGAAAGTAATTCGTTTACAGAACTGGCGTGGTCATATTCTGCAACTCCCTACGCCACGGTGATGTAAGTGACGATTGCTTTTTTTCGTTGAATTTTCGAGATCATCTCGGAACAACCCTCGATGAAGCGCTCAGGCCCTACCCCTCAAGCAAGCAAGCAAGCAAGCCATGATGCCTTTTCCGTAGCTGAAACAAGTCATGATTGCCCTAGATCATGCCCCCTTTCGAGTAGAATATTACGGCCTTGCATCAATGGTCGGACGCAATGCTTCTACGAGACGCGGCCATAGAGTAGGTCAGGCTAGGCTAGGCCACCGGTATGGCTTGGTGTGGGGACACTGAACGCTGATATGGTTTGGCTACCCTACCTCAGAGACGCCGGTACGCGTGGAGGATCGGTGGACTTGGGAAATACTCTTAGGGTTGAGATTCGGTAGGTAGAATGAAGAACCCCGTGTTTACACTTCTGGGCCGTAAGTAAGACGGCTTCTCGGCAATCAACAGAGGTACTTACCTACCTAGCACTCATACCTCGCTACACATCAGTTACTCATCTCCCGAGTATTATACAATATTGAGCTTACTTCCCATATTTAACCTGCCAGAGTATATACAGGGGTAGCTGACAAACGGCCAAGGCCATAGTACTTACCTGGGTTGCTATAGGTAGAAACGTTCATTACACAAAAGTTGTAATAACTATAGCAGATGATGTGATCAATAGTCTTCGCCGCAGCTTAGGTGCCAATAAAACTCAACCTAGGTATGAGACTTCAGCTCCTATGCTCAGACATGAACAATGATACGCTTTCTTGTTTTCTTTTTCTAACATCGTCCTGCACGTAGTTCTTTTGCGTGTATATCTACAACATCTAGGTACCAACATGCTTGATCGCCGACCCAGGGGCTGGTTGTGGGGAAACCGGCGGTGTATACGGATGCAACCGCCATCGTGAGGAGTGCATTGTGGCGTGTCTTAGACTCCCGGGATTGAGAATGGCAGCTGCATGTAGCTATAAGGTAGGTCAGGTGCCTTGTTGCTTTACCTTACGCCACCGTTTCTGGGACCGGAAGATTATTGACGTCGATGGGGAGACATATATTCTTTCTCCATTCATGGAATTCCTTGTTGAGCCTGGCATCTAGGTACTAAGTCAGACATTTCTTAATGAATTATGAATTAGATACTCACCTAGGTTAAGGTATTACTTATGTAACAGGGGGTTGTTAACTCTGTGTTCTCCTAAACACCATGATTGTGCCGAACTCGCTCAATCTTCTCTCATCGACTACTATATGTGAAATATATGTGAAGCAGGGCGCAGTGGAAATTTTCTCGTGGCGTTGTGAACCTGCAATATCGAGCTGCAAGTCACTTCTTCCCCGCAAAGCAAAGGGTTGGACAAATAATTGTAACCTCGGGGAAGGCTCATGGAACGACCCGCGTATTACATAGGTAATTACTCACCTACCTAGTACTTATACATAGCTACTTGTATTACAGGCAGCTGGGTGAGCAAGAGGCATATACTATGTAGTAGGTAGTCGATTCAAACAGGTTCCCTCCCGTGTTACAAGCCACCCACGAGCAAAGAAGGTATCGTGAAAGTTCTAGATCGGTTTGTGGCGAGCTCAGAAGTGGATTATTCAACGACGACCCAGTCTTGAAAGGGCCCAGTTACATAGGTAGGTAGGTAGCAATTGGGCTGATATAGTATGTGGCTTGGCTGAGTTGGCAAAGTCAGCCCACTGCAGGCATACCTATAATCTATGAGAGGAAGAAGCAACGTTTGAACTCTAGAGCTGAGTTCATGATAGGTACCTAAGGTAGGTACTAGGTCTGCCATATTCGAGTCATAGCATTTGTCTTATAGTAGTAATAGCAGTACCTAGGATTTAGAATACATAGATACTAGAAGGTAGCTGAAGAGCGAGAGTGATAGCATCACTTTTTAGATCAGTGGAATTACAGCTGAAATATGCCAACTTATAGGTTAGTAAGTTGGCCATCTCTTCATCACTGATCCACCAAGCTTTTTTTCATCTTATTCTTTGATCTTTTATTTACTCGATGATCATGTGAGAAGAGACCACCTGATCAAAATGGAGAGAAACCATTCAAAAAGCGAGTAATTACCTATACGTGCCAGATACGTGAAGTTTGATGTCACTGTCGCTTGGCATGCTCGAAAAATACTAGACCTCTGGACACCATGTTTTGCAATGACTTCACATTGTGCCCCTGAGAAGAAGAATTTGTCATGATGTATGCACAATATGATTTGACAATCTCGGCCCTTTTGATAACTTAATATAAAAGGGAGTGAAGGGGACCAGGAATCACACATCTGCAGCCCCTTTATCTCCCGCTATCCTATACAATTTTCTTATCTAGTTGATTCATAATCGCTTATTCGTGGCACAGATACTAATCAACATATTAAAACGCATCTACGATCACCATATGGGCGAGTCGCGCTGCCTCGTGGTCGCGCCTAACCTAAGGAGTTTTTTGGAACCGGCTGTTTGCGCCTAAGGATGACAACCAGAGAATGGCAGTCAGAGGACGGGATATAAATAAAATTCGAAAAATAAGATAAAGAATATAAAAAGGGACTTCTCGGCACATCCCTTGGATGCAACCACGCCAGGCATACATGACAGACGGCCGACCCCCTTTCTCGTTCGGGAAGAATGAGTATTTGGAACGATGCTGGGGATATATCAAATGACGTTACGATGCCTAGATAGACGAAGGCTCGATTCGGTTTGCTGGGCCACTACCGAGCTTCTTTAACCCCCGCTTAATATGTCAAAATAGGATTACGTCTAATATAGGTAATTTCAACATCGCATCAGATTTGTTGCCCAGTCTTACTCCCTAGTCCCTGGTCTCTAAAAGATTATATTAACCGGCAAAGGCCTCCATCCAGCGGCAGTTGCGTGAACCATGCCCTCCAACCAATAGCCGCCGAACCTTCATCATCCTGTTCCGCCTTGGCCTTTATCCGGAGAAACCATGATCTGAGTTTTTCTCGGAGGGAGAATAAAGACAGGACCATCACCTGCTGAGTTCTCCCGGCTTGCTCTCCTCCTTCCATTTCCTATGCCTATCTTTCTTACACTCGACTTCAACTAAGGTCTCAGGAGAGAAGCAAGCTAGAAAAAAGGAAAAAGGAAAAAAAAGAAACGAAAGGCAAAAAAAAAAAAAATGCTGCTGAAAGCCCTCTTCCCCGCCGTGGCGGTCCAGCTGGCCGCCGCGCAGGAGCTGATGCGCTTCGGGTGCTCGCAGCTGACGCTGGACCGGGTCGACCCCTTAGTGGAGCCGGGCAACATGCCGTCGGCGCACATGCACCAGATCATCGGCGGCAACTCCTTCAACGCCAGCATGAGCCCCGACAGCCACGACCCGCCGACGGCGTCGACCTGCACGAGCTGCACGTACTCGGAGGACTTCTCCAACTACTGGACCGCCAACCTGTACTTCCGCGCCCGCAACGGCTCCTACAAGCGCGTGCCCCAGTTCGCCAACCTGGGACTCAACGTCGAGGCCGGCATGACCGTCTACTACATCCGCGGGTACCAGCCCACGGCCAAGGTGACGGCCTTCCCGAAGGTGAGTTCTGTTGCCGCGATCCCTCTTTCCCCTGCTCTTCTCCTCCTAGCCTAATTTACCCCCCCCCCCCCCCCCCCCCCCCCTTTTTTTTTTTTCTTTTTTTTTCTTTTTTTCTTTCAAATCCGGAATAGTTACTTAAGCCCACGCAACCTCCAGGGTTTCCGCATGCTCGTCGGGGACCCGACGAACCGCGCGGCCAGCACGATGAGCCCCGGGCTGTGCTACCGGTGCGAGGCGAACATGCAGCAGAACCCGTTCGGCGGCGCGCCCTGCACGGGCCAGGACACCCAGGCCTTCCCCAAGGGCGCCTGCGGCGGCGGCTGGCGCGTGACCGTGCACTTCCCCACCTGCTGGGACGGCAAGAACCTCGACTCCCCCGACCACAAGACCCACGTCGCCTACCCGAGCGGCAGCTTCGAGGCCAACAGCCCCTGCCCGGCCACGCACCCGTGAGTTTTTTTTGTTTTTGTTTTTTTTTTTCTAAAAAAAAAATAAAAAAGAAAAAGTTCACCACCACTACCATTGAGCTAACTAACAACCCCCCCCAGCGTCCGCGTCCCCCAAATCATGTACGAGATAATGTTCGACACGCGCGCCTTCAACAACAAGGCCGAGTGGCCCGCCGACGGCTCCCAGCCCTTCGTCTGGAGCATGAACGACACGACCGGGTACGGGCTGCACGGAGACTACCTGTTCGGGTGGCAGGGCGACGCGCTGCAGCGCGCCATGGACGGCAAGTGCAGCGGGGACCGCTGCGCCCCCCTGAAGCGGCAGACCGACCAGGCCGCCGTCGACTGCGTGCGCTCGCAGAGCTACAAGGAGGATATTGGGGATGATTGTGAGTTCTTTTCGCTTTTTTTTTTTTTTTTTTTTTTTTTTGTTGTTGCTGTTGCTGTTCTCTTAACCCCCCCTTTTTGATATTTAGACACTAACCATCCTACCTACCTACTCTAGGGCTCCCTAGCCTCCCCGGTTGGTAAACGCATGGGGTTATAAGTTAGGTGAATTGGCAGGGGAGTGGGAAGGAAGGAAGGAAGGGAGATCTAGTTAGAACCGACTTAGTATCCCCTTGCCTCATACTGTTGAGTTTTCCACTGCCTACCTAGGCACTTAGGTGTTAATACGAGTGCCAATCGACATAGATAGGCAGGTATACTTGCCTACTACGGATCTACCATGTACTCACCACCTAGTAGGCAAGTCTTAGCTACTACATATTGCACAGCACGAATAACAACCTTATGTAACAAGCGTACCAAAATGAAGATGAAGTTTACGAATTATGATTACTTCTACTTATATACAAGAATACTCTACTCAAGCCCACAATCGAAGTATCCAATCGGCACTTCAATGCTTCCTATCAACCCCTGTACCTAGGTAGATAAAGCGCTAGGTCCTGTGGACTCAAGACAGCGGCGCGCTAAGCGGTAGGTTGCGGCTGCTAGGACCGACATGCACTGTCTTGGGCGAGTCGGTGATGACCCAGTTCTGGGATGCGACGTCCCAGTTGCTGACATCGCGGCGCGTGAGCACGGCCTGGAAGACCTGCGAGGCACCTGGCTCGATGCTGAAGCGATCGAAGCCACGGAGGACGACTGGGGGATCGTCTTCTCCGCCAAGGGAGACGTATAGTTGCGGGACCTCATCGCCTGCTAGCTCGCCTGTGTTGGTGATCTTGGCGGTGACCGTGTATAGGGTATCGTACAACTGAGCGTTGCCGCCGGGTGCCGCAGTCAGACCTGGTCCGGCTGGGTGAAGAGCCTGCGCCTCGGAGTCGATGGCTCCTGGCGGTAGGAACTCGGCAGCCGTCTGGCCATAGTGGGGGTCCATAGACGCCTCTTCGAGGGATGAGGTGGTGTTGACATAGGGATAAATGTATTGCCAGATGTAAGGGAAGGAGGCTGATGGGAAGAGGTAGTCTTCCAGCTCAGTCGAGTAGTTACCAAATGATGGAGCTTCAGCGGTTTGGCCAGTGGTGGGCTGGTACTCTGCGGCCTCGCACTTCTGAACCTGGATGTCTGAATACTCAAAAGTGGTATATGATAGACCGAATCCAAACTCAAAGATCGGCTTGATCTCGGCGCGATCCAGTGCTCTATAGTCGATGAAAACTCCCTCGGGGAAATCCTGCTGAGGTGCATCCCCGCCATTGTTAGGCTCATATAGGACATCAGCGCCATAGTCTTCTCGCTTTGCTGCCCAGGTGAAGGGTGTTCGGCCTGCAGGGTTGACCCTGCCGTAGAGTACATCCACGATCGATCGACCGCTCTCTTGGCCTGGCAGACCAGCCCAGACAATTGCGGTAACGTTGGGTGAATCGTACCAGTCAGTTACGAGGGTGGGGCCAACGGAGTGAATGATGACAATGGTGTTGTTGCATAACGAGGAGACGTTCTTGATGAGCTCATCTCCGTTACCCCAGAGAGTCAGATTCTTCCGGTCGCCCGCATTTCCATCCACTTCGATATATCCTTCTCCAGAGTCGGCGTTGACGAAGACCAGGGCAGTTGCGCCTTCTTGCTTGACCAGCGTCTCGATCGTGCTTGACGCTGTGTTGTTGAGAATGGCCTCAATACGAGTATGATCTTCAAGAGCTTGCACTTGTAATGCGTCTAGAGGCGTAATGAGGTACGGGAAATCGGCTGATCCTGAACCCCATCCCATTGCGAGTGTACCCAAGTTACAGCCACGATCGGAACATCCGTTCGGTCCCAAGGGACTAGGACCAGCATCTTCTCCAATTACAGCTAGGAATTTGGGCTTCTTCAAGGGGAGCGCGCCGTTATTCTTCAGAAGTACCGTTGATTTAGCGCCAATCTCGCGAATCAGAGCACCGTGGTCTTCTTGAGCGTCGACGTGCCAGTTGATTTGCTGGTGACCCTCGCCGGCGGCGTAATGAATTGGGCCGTATGTATCCCTGGTCCATGAATCGAAGTTGATTGGCGTTTGTTCCAATGTCAAACCAACCTTGAAGTACGCTGCCATGATTCTCATCGCCATGTCATCGACACGATATTGGGGTACCGTTCCGTTCAGCACCGCGAGAGTAAGATTAGCTCCCCAGAAGCTGAGTCCCGAGTTGAAGAGGGTGTCTCCAGGCATTGTCATATCCAGACCAGCCACAGCGCTGGCGGCACCTGTATGCTGGGCCTGCCAATCACTCATGACGAATCCTTGGAATCCTAACTCGCCTTTTAGGATATTATTTAGGATCTTGGAGCTATATTACGTTGTGTAAGTAATCGAGAAAAAAGGTAACTGGCTATGCATGTGGCCTGTCTATATGGTTTGTGGGGATATTCACTTACTTTTGGCAAGAATACGAATTGTTGACTTGGTTGTATGAGCACATGATTGAGCCTACGCCAGCCCTCACTGCGTCGGCAAATGGCCAAAGGTAGAGCTCGTGCATGGTCTTGTCATCGATGTTGGAGGAAATGCTCTCCGCAATAGTGATATTACGGCCTTCTTCTTCAGTAACTTGTCTGAAATGTTCTAGACCCAAAGTTAGTAAAATACGGCTAAGGATTCATCACGCCAGGTCCCTTACCCTGCTCGTTGCCAATGTAATGCTTGGCGCAAGCAATAACGCCAGCATCTTGAATGCCCTTGATAGTCTCGGCAATTGCGACGCCGGTGAGATAAGGGTCAGGAGAGAATCCTTCCCAGTTGCGGCCTCCAGCCGGTACCCGGCCAATGGGGCCTGCGACGGGCCCCAAGAGAACATCGACACCCTTGATCTTGTTTTCGACGCCCATGGCCTCACCTCGTCGGTACATAAGATCTCTGTCAAACGAAGCCGCCACAGTGTGACCAGAGCTGAAAGCAGAAACATAATCGGCGAAACGGATACCCAGCGGCGAATCCTGCATACAAAGACTACGGAAGCCGAGTCGGGGGATGGAGCCGACTTGGCCGACACATTGCTCTCCTTGCCAGCTAAAATTCGTTAGTTTTGACTGCTAAAGGACTCATCTGATGTCGTGACTTACCCAACACCGGTGGTCAAGTTCACCTTCTCGGCAAGTGTAAGTTGAGAGACAAAATCTTTAGCCTTCACATAAGCTTCCTCCCATCCTTGGGCTGTAGGGTTCATCCATGGCGAGGGGTAGTGCGGCTCCGAATAAGCTAAGTCTCGTTTCTCAATCTGTGCATGGTTAGGTATGACAAATTGCGTAACGGGTAGTATTTGTGATAGAGCGTTGTGAGGTTTCATGGCTACAAGCCTAGCCTAGTAAGTAGTAGATACTGATATTGGCTAATTTATGGCAAAATTGCAGTAATCGGAAGGAAATAGCTTCAGACGCCAAAAAGGAAACTCAAGAAAGCCAAAGCCATATAAGAGAAAAATGACGCGGGAAAAGGAAAGAAAAGTGCGGGAGGAGGGAAATTAGGTACTAACCACATCGGCGGCCACGGCTCCGGTCACCGCTAATAGGGTGGTGACCCACGGAGTGGAACGCATCACAACCATTGTGTGATCGGAACGTTCTGTTCAAGTTCGTTGGTTGGTAGGTATGCTAAATACACTTCCAACTTGAAGGTTGAGATAAAACAAACCATAGAAAATTAAGAAAAGAGACAAGAGCTCAGTTATATTAATAAATACGGCGGTAGCAAATAAAAATCCAATGTTGGTAGGTGCTTTGTTTCCTCCCCTCCCTCCCCTGTAAGCCTTTTCCAGTTTTTGGACCCAATTACAAGGTTGTAGCGAGTTTACTTACCTAGTAGTGACACTGACAGGGTTCTCCGCTTGGAGAATACTGCCCAGGTGGGTACCTGTCGTAATGCCCTGTAAAATTACATGTACCTACCTAGGACCTAGGTACCTGAATAAATTTATTTTAGAGATCCCTTTATTAGACTTGAATGCAACATAAAGTTGCTGTCACCAGACCCTTGAGCTTAATTAGGCCCTGAACGGAATGCGTCTTATTTTAAGAAGGGGTCCTTACAGCTTGTGGATCCCTTGCACAAAATATTCAAAAACACGCTAAAAAAAGCACTTAACCCAAAAGAGCACCTTTTTTTTTTGCACAAATCTCTAAGACCCCTGTCATTAGCTTGTACTACGCTGTAAGACCTATCTCTTATTTTATGCAATGTACTGTTTAAATTGGGTCCAAAGCTAAACTATAAGGGGTTTAGTGCCCCACAAAAGAGCTCTTATTTTCCTGTAAGCAAGACAGGTTGATTTCAACCTGTCTTGCTTACAGAAAAGCCTTTTACAGCGTCGCACAAGCTCTGACAGCCCTTTCAAAGCCCTACGCAGCTGGCAAACAAGCCCTTACAGCTGGCAGGCCAGCTACGCAACTAGCTATTTTCAAATATCAATACAGTTGCCATTCAATTATTACAAGTGCCTTTTAATAGTTACAGCTGCTCTTTTGTTTTTCTCCATTTTACTTAAATTATTACAGCTGTGACAGGTATCTCCAGCTGTTGTCAGGTGTCAAGCTGGCTAGCCATATTTAGTTTAGATTGATTGCAAGGGATAAGGAAGATACATTTGAATTCATAAGATTTTATGTGTGGGGTCAATGTATCTTTTTAAGAAGAGCCCTTAAAATAAGACGGATTCCGTTCACAGCCTTAATACTCTATACCTATTAACTATAAGCAGCATGGGGATCTTCAGGGGAAAATATATCAACTCCACTTAATTATTCAGTCCCTACTTACATATAATAGTAGGTATCTACGCATTGCTAAAGTATAAACAATCAGCCTTGAAGTTGAAGTCATAGACTACGTATCAATGTACCTAAATTAGTTTCTGCTTTATGACAACATCGAGCGGAGGCGAACACTCAAAGCGTAGAGGCTCGAAATAGTCGTTCATGATACGAACCTGGAACCTATGGGCAATCCACGGGGTAAGCCCGAGCCAAGGCACCGGGAGCGGGGGTGACTATCGGGACCGTGACGTTGCTCTAATTAGTATCGTTGTTTTCGGTCTAGAAAGCAGCGACCCTAGTAGGTTAGTTGGCAACGTAAAAAACATTCAACGTCGAATGTTGTTGGGGTTGGGTGCATAAGCTATAAGTGACAGCTGCCAACGGTAGGTAGGTATTCAATGTTGTTGTTATACAGGATTGTAACTAGGTAGGTAACCTAGGTAGATAGACTTTCAAAGTTCAAAACCAACAAGTTGAAGGCCGTTGCTACGTTGGTTGCCACGCAAACACCTATATTCTAACAACGTCCATCAGGACTCTACGTCACTAACCTACCTACCTACCTACCTACTAAATGTTCGGCATCTGTTATTATTTTTTTTAAAAAAACGATAGTTTTCTATCGGGCCGTCTTTAGTACATATCCACTGATTCGGACCCTCGGAAAGAGATGAATTTTGGGGTCGTCGAATCGAACATCAACCCTTACAGGAACTGGGTAAGCTTGTTTTGGGGAAATTCAAGGCTTGTTTGCGGGGAAGGTCGCCAGTACAACACTAAAACCTAGGGATTAGGTAAACCACGAAGCCTTGGTAGTGTGGGGATATGAGGGGTTTGGCTTGGAAGCGGCATACTACCTAGCACCTATGTAGTAGCTAGCGTAGGTAGCTTAGTACCTTGGGCAGTGCTCTTTAATACTGTTCAACATGAATGTTCTCTTCAATGTTTAGTATCATGTTTGCCGGCTTCGATATTGTTATGAAGTCATCTATGTATAAGTGAGATTCCTGAGAAGTAGTGACTTGGTTTTCACAGTACAGGCCATATCGTGTCTGTACGAATCATGCCTAATTGTTAAAAGGGAGAATCATCAACACATCCAATTCACCGAAGCGCCGCGCAATCATCATGACAAGTATCGGTGAATATAACCTATTTGAACGCAGCTGGAAACTTAGGTATGAACCTTACTTAGCGGCTTACTAAGGCATGGATAATGCCAATTCCGTTCTTATGTAAACTTTGGAATGCTTCCGACTTCAGTCCGGGCCGGCTCCAGATCCAAGATTTCTGGCATCAAGCTACCGGAGCATGGACCGCTTAGCCGCTCAAAACGGACAACTTCGGCTAGACCCGCTCCATACCATGATCCGAAAAGGGGAATGAACCGTGATAGATAACTCGTGGTTTGCTATAGCCAAGACACTTAGTACATGAGCGATATCTTCAATTTATCGTCTATCGTGGTTTCATACCTACATACCTACACATACGTACCTACTAACCTAGGTAGGTATCACATGACCACGCAAGCCACTACCTAGGTGATCTGCTCAAACATCTATGATATAGCAGCATGCTGGATGTTACACAGTATCATCTCTTGTAGCGCCCACATATCGACGATAAACTTCGAGTTAAGAGACTCACCCACCCACTTCAGCAGCTCCGTCAGTCAGTGCGGTATTCACTGATTCTTCTCCGTTTGAATGTCATCGTCTGAACGATGAATTCCTGGGCATCACCAGGATCACAACCGTTTTGAATCTCAGGCCGCCACCGAATCACTGGCGGGTCCTGGGCCTCAAAGTTCCGACTGCTATTCCCTTCCGAGGACCGAGGATTCCTATTGTAGTACGAAGAAGCACCTCGCCATCTAAAAGCCTCCTCTGTCCCATCCCACACTAGATGATAGCCATCGCCCAGCGGAAAGTTCCATAACTTGGCACACTCTATCACATAATCAAGCTGGTCCTTTTTAAACATAAAAGTTTCCAGCACGAGCTTGAGCGTCGTCAGGTCAGGCCAATATTCGCCGACGTGCAAGCCCCAACGTCCCTGCTTCTCAAACTCATCGAGTCCGAAGTCGGGCTCCTTTCCTGCTTTCCGTGCTTCATATCCCATGGTCATGGGGAGACGGTGCGCTGCTATATGCGTCGAGTTGATCATCGGCTCTAACCGCAATCTCTCCCTAGGGTTATTTTCGCATTCCGACAATTCGGTCTTCCATGACCACCAGTCGGTGCGGCCCATCTGGATAGTCAGGTGAGTGATTTTCCTACCGACCAGTAGATTCTCCTCAGGGAATGGGAGCTTGTCAGCGGTATCTTTGTTGTCAGACATCTCATTCGCACCATTGTCGACTTTTGCAGGCTGCTCGAGTGTCGCGAAGCCAAGTCCGTTGAAGCTACGGCATTCGAATCCCTTATGACGCCCCATTGCCCCAATAATGCGCGAAACTCGCTCAACCGAACCTAGCATCGTCAAAGTTTAGCAGCTGTGACCAGATTCGTATTTATGAAAACAAGACCACGTCTAGTAGAGATTGAACGTACCCCCTTCCAACATGATTTGTTGCACTGTCATCTTCACAGAAGATATGTTGGCAAACTGCCAAGTCTTCAACCTCTTGCACCGTAGTTGATCTCCCACCGAGCGTACCAGCTGGCTATCCGGCGGAATATCGAGTTCATCTCCGTCGAAAATTTCTATAGGATTAATCTGAAAGGGGAGCAGGAAAGTTTCGAGGTATACAGCGCGACATGTACCAAGCAGTGCGACGGCGATGCGTAAAGGAGCAGCATGCCCGGGTCGGGCGTAGCTTGCTTCAGAGTTATAAAGGTCGTCAACGTCTTCATACACGCGGAGTGCATATTTCCATATCATCTCTCGGATTTCTCTTGGGAGTCCAGACACGAGACGGGATTGAAGCTGGGGGTGCATGGGTTCGTCGCGCCTTAGTAACTCGACGGCGAGTGGTAATTTTGGGTCTCTTCTACGGCTCAGCTGGCTTCTCGTCGTGCCGGCCCCAGTTTCTTTAGTCATCCTGCCACGATTGTCCCTGAACCGATCTCTTACAAGCCGATATATATTTGGTGACATTGCCAATTGCGTATGGTATATGGATAAGATAGATTAAACAATTAGAAGATAACAATTCCACGAGGTAGCAAGGATAGGAATAGTTTCGATCAATGTGAAAACTCAACTCCGTAGGGTAAGGTAGAGGATTGGAACTTGAAAGGATTCGTGGCGTAGAAAGTAACATTACCTATGATTATATAAATACCAAGGTATTTGGTTAGGTAAATACCCTAAGTATCCATAGAGTTTGTTGTCACACTCCAGGCTTCCGGCTGCCTGCTTACCTGCTTGTCAGAGTCGGAGCACTGGCGTGCATAAATAATACATGATTATGCACAGTCTAGAAATTATGACCATAAACGGGAAGATCGAGAACTAGAGTCTATGTAGAAGACATGTTATGTATCACTGGACCGGTGTATTGTCATCACTAGTGAATGGGTCATTAAGGGCACGGCGTTCGTAGATAGATCATCAAGGAGGTGACAACTAGGAAGATAGTATGCCTCCAACACGGGATATTCTGGGAGCTTGGTGGTGTCAACAACTAGCACTTTCCCCAAGACTTTCACCAGAAGGTGGTCTTGAGTCTCTGCGCTGGCCTAACGGCTGTTGAATATGTCGGGGCCAAAAAGCTCGTCAGTGAGAGTGCGGCTTTGGTTTCGACCAATATTGCTTTAGTTCTTTTCCTAGGCCAATAACTATCTCCTTTTGAAGTACTCCTCGTTTAATACTTGGGTACTGCATGCGGATTGTTAATATTAAATTGCTTAGGACAACCACCCGTTCTTCGGACAGTATATCAAGCTTATACTCCCACGGAATTGTATATCAAATGGTCGAGGGAGCACCCGGAAGCACCCTTCATTCGATATCTCAGCTGGGCCAATACCGAAATACTAGTGGTTCACAGTTTTGCCGCTCACAAAGAAGTGCTCCAGACTCAGTGGTACTCTTTCGTAAAGCCGAAATGGTCTCTACACTTTATCAAAGAAATCAGCAGAAAGGGTGGAATCATCCTGATGGATGGTACAGAGCATCAGGTTCATCGTAAGATGCTCTCGGGGTCTTTCTCGTTGCAGAATGTGCGCAAGTTAGAGCCCGTCTTCCAAGCCAAGACCCGTGACCTTTCTCGATATTTTGACAAATGTATCCGTGAAGGTAACGACGGGAACACTGGTGTTGTGGACTGCACGCCGACTTTCTCGAAAGCCACGCTGGATATTATGGGCTCTATTATCCTCGGCATCGATCTGAACCACGTAAAGCCCGACGAGAATGGGAGCGATCATGACCTTCATGGCCATGTAAGTACGGTAAAGTACCTCGTTCGCAAGTATCGATTTATCGGCATAACCCAGTCGTTTACCGTCGAGAATCCCAGTTTGACTTTTCGACCTGTCGGGTTACTGATGAAGTTTGAGAAGATAACTACTGTAGTTCCTCGGGTCTGCTTACACGAGTACTAGGTAGTTTGTTCTGTTAACTTTGAAACCCTTCTGCAATGACAATCTGCATGCTTGGGGACCCACAATATTTACTTTAGCTCGAGTGGTCAAGAATCAAGATTGGGTATGAAATTTCCACCTAACCCAATCTTGTCTTTTAAGCTTGGGCTATCCCGCTTCTTGTCTCCACTAATTTAGAGGGGTCGTTGAATAATTGTAGGAACTTCAAATGAAAATACACATCCTTGGATATATGATATATCATGTTCACACTACATACATGTACTGTATGTAACTTACCCATGTACATAGATACTTGTCTACCTAGTACTATGTACTATGTACGTATTTATTAACGCGCCCAAGGTATGAACATTGAAGGCTCCCTGTTCTTGCCCCGACTTTTTTTTTTTTTTTTTAAAAAAAGCCATTCCAAGATCACTCTTCCCCATACATAAATTCCATCTTATGTGAGAATCTCATAATCCAACGATCCCACCTGATACTATACATAATAACCGATCCGTGTGTGTCTCTAATTCCTTTCCTCCAGTCTTTAGCTGCCCCCACATCTAACAAGCTCAAGGTTTGGAACGGCCCAATTGAATTCGTTGAAGTCTATTTACATAGTACATGACACTATCCTCCGCAGTGGAGATCGAGATTTGGTGAGACTGGCTTTTCGTTGCTTACATCCTTGTTTGCCTACCTACCTATGCCTATTACTTGGATGACAGTTGTCCATCATGTCTCTTTTAAAGGGTTCAATGTTGGGTCCAAGCATCTTGTGTCCTGTTACCTGTGTCTTACACACCAAACCGCCGTGTAAAATGCTGATGATGAAAACTGATTGGTCTGATTGCTAATGTAGCCTACTTACTTAGGTAGGTAGCTTAGCTACATATGGGCAGCTTTTGTGTTTAGCCTCCAAGTTGCATCAAGTGGCACTGTTCCATTCGTTTGGTACGCCGAGAGATTGGATTAGCCCTCGAGGGTCGAACTTTGTTTTGTGAAGCGCGTGGTAACATGACACCACGGACTGAACGTGCTCCCGGTTCTTCGTTTCCCGTTACTCCGTCTAAAAACCGACTGAACGCTGCCGAGTTCGACTTATGGTTTCTCGAATTCTCCAACACCTACAACCTCAACCTGAGGCGGTCTCCATCAGACCTGTCCCCACAGAAGAAACGAGCATTGCCATATTACTCGGATTTGCAATATTATGAGCTTCTAAAAGTCCAATACTTCAAAGGCAAGCACTTGGTAATTCACGAATTGTTTGACCATGGGGCAAAATCCATTCATAGCAAGTGGGTTGAGAAACCACGCACTGTCCTTGGTGTTACTCCTTATCCAACTCACCTACCTCGGGCTACTACCGAGCCTGAGCGATGTCGGTTATTAGAGCTTCTCAAAGCTATTCTAGAAGATGTTAGCTCTACCAATGTATCTTCGCGCTCCTCTGTCGCATCTTCTTTCTCTCATCAGGCATACGATGAACCTACATCTCCAACCCGAAGCTGGCATTTCAAGCGTCATTCTAATGAACGGAACGGAAATCCGTTTAAGAGGACTCGGAGTTTCCACTCAGAAGTTGACACCGAATGCGATCCTGATGACGACGACGAAAGACCGCCAAGTGTGCTTTCAGTTCTTGATAGGGGTCGTGTATTGTCAGCGAGTCCCGTGCCTAGTCGGGTACCGTCTGTCCAGCCACTGAACAAAATGAGGCCAGACTTAAATAGGTCTTTCTATGGACTGCCCAGCTACGCAAATGAAAGTAAATCGACGTTTCAATCAGAGGTTTTCTCAGATCATGGCCCATACGAGATACCCCCTATTACTCAAGGAACTCAGACCACCGTGATGGCTAGCAACCCTGAATACATGAAGCTTCCGGTACTACGAAGCATCGAGTCTGATTCGGAATCTTTTGCGCCATCTTCTAGTACGGAACGCGCTCTTCAAATCTCCTTTGACCGTCATGAACAGCTCAAAGGTGTAGGGGAAATTCTCAGGGACGAATCATCAATGTATTCGGATGTTAGCAGCATACTACATGTAGAACCCCACAAAATTCACCATCCAGCTCCCACCCTGCCTCCAAGATCATTACCCCCATTGTCTATACCGCCGGCTTCTCTTATGCCTCCTCCTCCTTTAGAAAGAGAGACAGACGACACGTCACTACCTGTAGTACGTACAGGCACAGAGTTCGAGCAGCGACTTTATTCTGTTTGGCGTAAGTTGACCCTCTCTTGAAAAGGTATCGACTAACCGTCATCAGCCATTCTCCCAGATCATTTTGACCAGGCCCCTTTCGTAGTTCGCTGGGAGATAATGCGAATTGCTCTCCACTGCGGAATACAAATGGACAACTTACATGCTGAGTATGATCCGTCGTGGACAGAGCAAAAGACGTTATGGGCTAGGCTTCAAGCGCTGCCTGCATTTCAGGGCAAAAACTTCCCTGAAAAGTCCCGACCTGAAGCCTGGACAGCCGCCCTCAACGACAAATTTTGTACTAAGGAGCAAGCAGTCGTTCTCACCGCATCACTTGCAACGAATACGTCCCGAAATGGGCCCCTATTCACCCTCAAGCTAAACCCTTTGAAATTAGACCTTCCACATCGACTAAGTCGTCGATTCGGGTCTGATCGGTTCATAGAACTTGTGATACCTTCAATAGGGTCCCAGGAGTTGAAATGTCTTGGTGAGCCTTCCATGGAGCGTATACAACAATGGTTAGTCAATGGTTCCCATAGGCTACTTGGCCGCTTATGGAAGTCATTCTTTGTGAAACCTTCGCTGCCCAAAAAGATCAGCAATGAGAACACACTTATGCCGCAGACGAAGACAATATATCAAGAGCGTGTATATCTATTTGCTGAAGATGGTAATGATTTCCGAGTTTCTGGGACAGGAAGCCATTGGCCACCGAAGGGTGAGCCGGTTGGGATGCACACAAAGTTGGGACGAGAAGGCCTTCTTGATTGGCTGTTACAAATTCCTAATAACCAGAAGCAGTCGATACTTAAGCTCTTCTCGCGTATCGCTCTAGGTATCGCCGACGAACATCCTCGTATTTCGACACCCTAGATGCTAACAGCCTCTAGGTCTCAGCCGTACGCACCCTACCGTCGTCCTTCAACCGGATCAGATCCGACACCGCCCTGAAGATATTCTCTCTCCCACCAATAAGGTAATGAATGATGGTATCGCTCGTATGTCATACGGCCTTGCACGAGCTATACGTGACGCCATGGGTTTGCAGGACGTTCCAGCAGGTTTTCAAGGCCGGTTTGGTTGTGCAAAGGGGTTTTGGATTCGAGATGCCACGGATACCAGTGACGATATTTGGATAGAGACAACCCCTTCTCAGCGAAAGTGGAATTGTGACTACGCTGAAGAAGACCACCGCACGTTCGAAGTTCGCAGGGAGTCTAAAGAGCTCAAGTATGCCAATTTGAATCTCCAGCTTTTGCCTATTCTTGAAGATAGGGCTATCAATGCTACCCTCATGAAGACCCAAGTTGGAGCTTTCTTAAGAGATAGTCTCAAGAAAGATCTGGACGCTCAAAAGGCTGCCATGCAAGATCCTACACAATTCAAGCTTTGGGTATACGAGAATTCTCCGTCAAGTCGTCGTGCAGAACGTGTCAAGAATGAACAGGTTCCATTTACGGCTGGTCTCCCGAGTGGTCGAGAAGACATCATGTCTTTCCTGTTGGATAGCGGGTTTTCTCCCACCAAGTTGAGATTTCTGCGTGATATCGCCCTGAAGTTACGGAGGGAAAAGTGTGAGGAACTCCACGAACGGCTGAATGTAAAGGTTGGATGCTCTACAAACGCCTATATGGTTGTCGACTTTCTTGGAATATTAGAAGAGGATGAGGTACACCTGGGATTTTCCTCGAAATTTACTGATGAGCAATCTGGATTTTCAGAGACCTTTCTCCACGGTATGGACGTCCTGGTGGCTCGTACACCCGCTCACTACCCAAGTGACATACAAAGAGTGAAGGCAGTTTTCAAACCTGAGCTGGGTCGTTTGAAGGATGTTATCATCTTCTCGACCAAAGGCAACATCCCCCTTGCAGAGAAACTTTCTGGTGGTGATTATGATGGCGATATCGCCTGGGTGTGCTGGGAACCCTCGATCGTCAACAATTTCCAAAATGCGGAGATGCCTGTGGTTCCGGATCTGTTTGCACAAGACGTGGTACGTAAGGAGAGTGAGACTTACCTAGATCTTGTAGGGGCAAGGGATATTACTTCGGAATTCCTTGCGAAGGCTTTCCGTTTCAACATGCAGCAGAACCTTCTGGGCATGTGCACAAACTACAAAGAGCGGTTATGCTATGCGCGCAATTCAGTAGGGGATGAGACAGCTATCCTCTTAAGCACCCTAATCAGCCATCTAGTAGACCGGGCCAAACAAGGCATTGTCTTCACCGATGAAGACTGGGCGCGACTCCGCAAACGCCTTAGTCGTCACGACCCACCTAACCCACGATACAAGAACAAAGAATGGGATGTGGAAGGGGCACCGCAGCAAATAATAGACTACGTCAAGTTCAGTGTAGGGAATCCTACAATTGAGATGGAGATGAAGTCATTCACGGAGGCTCTTGGCAAAGCGGAACAATATGACGAGGATCTCGTGAAGTTTTACAATCATTACGAGGATATCAAGCGCGCTCACGCAGTGCCCAAGGAATTCGTCAAAAAATCAACCTGGGAGACAATCCTCAACGAGCTTAGGAATAACATTGATGCTGTAGCCCAGGAATGGGCCAAGACTCAAGGCGATTGGAATGCCAAGGTTGCCAATATCTACGATAAATGGCAGGAGATTCGTCCGACAAATAAGGTGAACTCCAGGACAATTAAGGCTTGGCAGCAGGAGGATCAGGTCAGTACCGGGTTTTCAAACTGGGATCTCCTGAAAGCTTCGTTCTGCTTCAAGCTGTACTACAACAGGTACCCCGGCCTCATCTGGAATATCGCAGGCAAGCAGCTGGCGTACTTAAAGGCGCTTGCTGTGAGTAATAGAACGGGCGCATCACCGGTGATGGTAATCCCAACTATGTACGCTGGCTTGCGGCCCGATAATAAGTACGCGCGAGCGTTGGCTGCCAGGACTGAGGGGCGGTACTTGGCGGAGGGCGAGGATGATCATTAGAGTCTGGTCAATGGTGTAAGATCATGTCTGGATATTTTTCTGGTTGGCCGGCTCCGCCGCCGTAAGATTCAGAATATATCATAGGCTAGCAATATCTTGAGGTACTCTTTTGGTGGCCGTGGATGTTTGGATATGGCAATGACGATTCGGGATGAAAGGTCAGCTTCTTGGTGGGATTCGGCTCTCTAAAAATACATACTTCCCTGGGCACTTACATATGTAGGCAGATAGGTAGGGGTAATGTATCTGGTAGGCAGGTTAGGTGGTTGTGAATTTGGGGGGGTGGATGGTGGGGAGTGCGGATAATATTTACACAATCGAATCAATATACCGTATAAAGACCTAATCTACTAGGTATCGTCTTAGAAAAACAACTCAATTGGTTGATGGTACTCTCGAACGAAGAACGATGCTTGTGTGCTTCGTGATCGACGAACACGAAGCCAAGCCAAGCAGATGGGAAGTCTTCAATGAGACAGCCGTGCTGCCCATGGCGAGTCACAATCCAACCATTCGGCTCGGTCGCTTGCCGTATCGAAATGGGTGATAATGGAATGTTATGCAGTCCCGATTCCAATTCGAATTGCGATTGGGTAGATGGCGTGGGATGCAACCTAGATTACTTCGTATTCCGGGCGCCAGAGCTTTGTTTTTCTTTTTTTTTCCCTCCCTTCTTTCTTAAACTGCTTTTAAAAATAACACCTATCTATAACTAGTACCTATATCTCGTGTATCGTAAGCCCGGAGTTCATGACACCGTCCATCGCTTATAGTAACATGCAATGCACAATAGGTAGGCAAGGAGGCGCAGGTACGGGCCACACCTGACTGGCGATGGTGCTGTCATGGTAGCACGGTCGGAAGGCCCCTTTATTGTTCACGAAGAAAGCAGGTAGGTAAGGGATAGTACCTAAGATAAATCGGTAGTATAAATACTTAGCTAGATAGCTACCAACCTAGGTTTCTTCTTCATCATCTTAGAGGTGTAATTGAGTGTTTCCAAACGTCATAAGTTGATCATAATACCGCCGCTTTACATACACACACACACACACACGGTCTCAAGAAAAGGAAAGGGAAAAGGAGAAAAGGAGAAAAGAAAGCGAACTAATAATATCGTGAAAAAGACAAAGTCGCAGCCATACAATGCATCCCAAGTCAGCGGCGGTGCTGTTGATCGCAGCGCTCTTTTCTCAGACGGCCTTGTCGCAAGGGCTCTTCACTTGCCATTCGAGAGAGGAATGGGGGTATGCGCCGAAATGCTGTATGAACATCGACGGCCAAGTTGGGCTGAATTGTAAGTGCTTGGTTCAGCATCACCAACCTACCTACCTACCTATATATTGTGCCTATTATAGCCAGACTAACCCGGCTTCTTCTTTTCTTTTTTTTAATTTTAGGTGTCACGGCGCACCAGATGGGCGCCACAGATCCCATTTGGGAGTGCAACCTCTTCGTGTATAACATCACGGGGTGTTGCCAGACTATTGTAAGTGCTGCAAAAGCGACCCCGATCGTACATAGGTAGCCGTTTTGGCTGTGGCGCTTCGGGTGTTGACATGAGATGGTTGGCAGGGGTACAAGAACCCGTACACGAATAACACGATCGATCTTTGCGCGATGTCCACCGACCCGGTGTAATAGAAGATTGTTAATAGTTAGTTATGCTTACCTACCCAGGTAGAGGTAGGTATGGATTTGTTAAGGGGACACAACTCCGACATTGACGAGGAATTCAAAGTATAGCTTATGACGTTGACGACGTTTATGATCTGACAAGTCAAAAACATCATTCGAGAATAATTAGCTAGGTAATCAAAATAACATGGATGGGATAATTGTAAGAAACTGCAGTTTCTTTCGGCGATAAATTATTTCTAGAATAGGTCTACCAGTGACGCGCACACACTTATGCGACCGATCTCAAGCCACGGTGATAACCTCACCTTTTCACTTTAAGTCCTCTATCCCCTTTAATCCCTTTATCCCCGATTAGTTGTCGCGTGGAGGGAACGCCTCAGACAGACACACTTCTTCCGGGTGGGAGGATAAGAGATATAGGTGTTGGAGTTCAGCCAGAAAGCCATTGAGCAATGCAACCGCAAAGGTACCCCAAGTATATTATCCTATATAGGTTACACCTCGAGGAACTTATAAAAAAAAAAAGGAAAATGGCGTGCCTGTTTCATTTCCCCTCCTCGTCCAGATTCTCTTGGTTTTATACACTCATAGAAACCAGAGACTTATCAACTTACCAACCTAATCTTGATTACCTACTTAATAAACAAGCAACTTGAGCCATAGATAGATCATACTCTCACAATGGCTGGCCCTCTTCCCCCGTCCCTGAAAGAGTCGTTAGAGAATACCAAGGTCGAGTACCGGCAGCTCGGTAAAAGCGGTCTACGAATCTCGGTCCCTATATTTGGCTGTATGAGCTTCGGAAATTCCGAGGCGCAGTCATGGGCCTTGGACGAAGCAGAGGTTAGTATACCTACCTAACCTTACCTATATCTAATATCCCGAAGAAGAAGAACAAGAAAAAGAACGAAAGAAAGCAAGCAAGCAAGCAAGCAAGACGTCATTAACGCCATCTATACCAATCACTTAGGCTCTCCCTCTTCTCAAATCCGCCTACGACAAGGGCCTGAACACCTGGGACACCGCGAACGGCTACTCGCAAGGCGCCAGCGAGCGCATCGTCGGCAAAGCCCTCAAGCACTACGCCATCCCGCGGGAAAAGGTGGTCATCATGACAAAATGCTTCTTCGCCGTCGGCGAGACCCCCGACGTGACGCACTTCTACCACCGGGACGCCGTCGACAAGTCCAAGGACTACGTGAACCAGCACGGCCTGTCGCGGACCGCCATCTTCAACTCCGTCGCCGCGTCGCTCCGGCGGCTGGACACGGAGTACATCGACGTCCTGCAGATCCACCGCTTCGACTACGCGACGCCGGTCGAGGAGACGATGCGGGCGCTGCACGACGTGGTGCAGAGCGGCAAGGTGCGGTACCTCGGCGCGAGCAGCATGTGGGGCGTCAACTTCGCGCGGCTGCAGTTCGCGGCCGAGCGGGGCGGCTGGACCAAGTTCGTCTCGATGCAGAACCAGTACAACCTGCTGTACCGCGAGGAGGAGCGCGAGATGAACCGCTTCTGCCGCGACACCGGCGTCGGCCTGGTCCCGTGGGCCCCCCTGTGCCGGGGCCACCTGGCGCGCCGGCCCGAGGCCTTCGGCACCACGGAGCGCAGCCGCCTCGAGCAGAGCGCGGCTGCGCCGGGGTCCCACGGCACGGCGGAGCCGGACCTGGCCATCATCCGCCGCGTGCAGGAGGTCGCGGAGAAGAAGGGGTGGCCGATGAGCCACGTCGCGCTCGCGTGGATCAACAAGAGGGTCGCGAGCCCGATTGTGGGGTTCTCGAGCGTCGCGCGCCTGGATGAGGCGATTGCGGCGACGGGGAAGACGCTGACGGAGGAGGAGGAGAGGTATCTGGAGGAGCTGTATCTGCCGAAGGCGATTCATGGGCATTTGTAGGTGCCTGATGATGATGATGATGGGGGTGGTGGGCCTGGAACATGTATGTCATGTCTACCTGTGAAGAATAGGGGGGTCACATCATGACCAAGATTAGGTAAATACGTACCTAAAAGGGGCTAACCTACATGTAGGTGCTAGCACAAGTAGGTACTTATATCAACTTCACTCAGAGTTTAGGTATCAGGATTATTAGGTAGGTCTCAGGAATAAAGAAGCAAACAAACGGCCAACCAAAGAGGCATGTCTCATAAAAAAAATTGCGATGCTTAGGAAACTTTCTTCGTCATTCGACTTCTTAAAGAAATCGACTCTGCAATATACCGAGATATATAGATAGATAAGAATGAATCTGGAAGATGCCCACCTAGCCTAGGATAGTGTTTACCTAGTCACAATATACCAGCAATGTTAGTCAGGCAAACAACAATGTTTCTGCTACCTACCTGCCGTAGCTTGCACTGGACCTTCTCAAAGGCTGATTAGGTAGTATACAAACAAAGGTGTTTTACAACCCGCAAACTTTAGAACTTGAAATACTAAGGGGCTGTTCAGTGATATTCTTTATAAGCCTAGGGTCCTGGTAGTCATCTTGAGCAACATTGAATCAACAAAGCCCCTATTCTACGTAAGTGTACTTCATCTTTATGTGTGGCATGTTGCTCGGAGCTTAGAATAACGTTAAAGCAAGCGCACGTACACAGACCAAGACTGACTATTGTCTAGGAGCCTTGGAACATAGGGAATGTGTAGAGAACAAGTCTTGCACTTTCGATTTGACATCTTACTTATTCTACCAGACCACCCAAAGCACAATTGACCTTATTACGACAAGATCAATCAATCAATCACTCATATTCAACCCCTAAAACTTGACAACACGCATACACTTCACTACCCTACCCTACACCACACCATCAGAATCATGGCTTGCCAACGCAGCACAACGCCTTCAGGCCAGCCAGAGAAGCCCGTTGAATCGGCACCTACCGTAAGCAAGGAAGATCAGTCTGCTAAAGCTACTGAGGAGCCTGCCCGGACAACCGAAGAAGTTCCCAAGACGACTGAGGCTGCGGTGCAACAAGATTGCAACGGTCAAGGACTTAAGACCACTGAAGCTACCGCTAAATGCTGCAGCAGTTCTAAGACCGCGGAGGAACCTACCGAGACTACCGCTCACAGCGACTGTGATTGCCCGTCGACCAAGACTGGAGAGGAGCCTACCAAGGCCAGTGAGAGTGCCGCGAAAGGGCACTGCAATGGCCAGACTTCTACGGCCACTGAGTCCGTCGATTCCGATTCCGATCCCGATTTCGATTCCGATTCCGATTCCGAGGATGAGCGAGATAATGATGATGTAGAACCAGAGACCGACGACCGCAGCCACGAGATTCTCCGCCTTTACGGGTTCCGCGCGGACGCAACCAGCGCCGAGTTGGCCAGATTAGCATCGGAAGTCTCAAGGTATCCAGGACCTTACTACTTCACCTACGACGAACCGAAATTAACCTTTGAGCCGTTTTACTTCTTCTTCTACGGTTCGCTCCAGTACAAGCCCATGCTTATGGCACTGTGTAATCTCGCCGATGATGAGGAACCGGTCATGGTGGCTGCGTCCATTAAGGGCTGGCGAAGTAAGTGAAATTCCAGTTCTTTCCTTTCATATATATATATATATATATATATAGGTACTCTACTAACTCGAACTGTGTGCTATAGTCATGAAGTGGTGCCAGTACCCAGCTTTGGTCCCCGACGAGAAGGGCGAAGTCAAGGGCGTGTGCTGGAAATGCGAGCGAGCTGAGGACGTGGCGAGACTGAGAAACTACGAGACCATGGCGTACCGCATGGAGCATGTCAAGATCAGTACGGAGGATGGGGAAGTCATTGAGAACGGCCGTTGCTTCGTATGGGCAAAGAACCGCGGTGCACTACGTGAGGGTTCGTTTGATCTCGAGCAATGGCTGGAGCACAGTTATTAGATAGGTAAATGGCTTATTGTAGTATGATAAGCTCGATGAATTGAATTGAATTGAATTGATATGAATTCCAAGTGAGACTGTTGAATATAAATGATATAAATGTATAAATGAGAAAATGAAAAAATGAGAAAATGAGAAAGTAAATGACCTCGGATTTGATAATGACCTTGTAAGCGTTTGCACATGTGATTGATGTGATTGGCTGTATGTAGTAGATGAACCCCTGTTGCATGCATATTATCATAATACGGACATCATGGTCTCCATTAAAGTACATTGAGTACTAACTAGTTACTAGTAGTACACCTTGCTACACCGTCGGCCTACCTCATGTCCTAGGTACCTAGAAATTATAGCTACCGAGGTCTTCAACTTTCCATCATCCTCTCATACAATTATACTCCAACAACATCACCAACAAACTTCAAACCTCTAAACACATACTCCCCATACTCAGTAATAATAATCACCTTATAACATCCATGGTAAAAACCTAACCAGGTTGTGCAATTAGCACTTCAAAATAAATAAATAAATAAATAAAAGAAAAAAACAAAGAAAGAAAGCAAAAAAGGTTCAACCAAATCAGCCCCAAGATGCCTGCTGATAATCTACTAGCAACAGCCTTACGGGCTTTCCAAAGAGCATCAGACGATGGCGACACGGGCAAGATCTTCGCTACTACGACATCACTTCTAATAAATCTCAACAATCCTCTTAACTTATCTCTACTTACCTCCCACTTCCTTACCGCACGCGCCATATGGGAGTCCCCCGACGGGCTAAGCACTTGCCTGCGTGTCATGAGCATATACAACACCGCCGCCATCCACATACGGAAGAACGAAGTAGACAACGCGAATGCACCCACTGGTGTGCTACCGGTCGGGAGTGGTCTTCGCAGCGACGATTGGACACGCGCAATTGTAAAAGGGGCCGATAGTAAATCGAACCGATGGCTGCATGTATTGGTGTTGGCCGGCATTTTGATGGGCATGGAAGGCGACGACAGGAGATCCTTGTCCCGCGGTTTACGATCAACACTAGAACAAGCCGTTGTCACTGCTGCAAACTTGGCACTTGAGGACCAGATACAAACCGGAGTTCTGGGTCGTGGTGCTGTCGTTCTAGCATTGGTCTTTACCTTCCCAATCATTTCGAACTCGGCCAAGTCGCTGCTCAATGGCAACGTTCTCGTGCCTGCGGTCGTCGAGGCGATGCTGGGTGAAGAAGGGCTCCAGCAAGGCGACTATATCTCATCCATCACACGCGATATCACCACGACCGGTCCCAAACAGGATATAATATGGAACGTCAACTCGATTTCCGTTGCTCGTCTCCAAATGCTAGAGTCTCGTCCCCTTTCTCAAAATTTGGGCCCCCTGGCACTGCTCGCGTCCTTCGCCGTTCAGCATGCCACAGACTATAATTCCATCCTTCAGGCGCACGAACAACTACTCGGCTTCACGGCGGGGCTGTTAAATAGATGGTCTCTATGCCCACTATCTTCCGTCGACCTATTCGCTGAGACCAAGCTCCTTACAGAAGAGACGCGTAGGGGCCCTCTTCCCATGCTGTGGGAGCTATTGAAGAAGACCATGTATGCCGTGATCGCGACACTTCAGCCCATAGTCGGTCGCTCTCTACTAGATCCACATATCAGGAATGATAGAATAGCCCCAGTAGTGGCTACTAAGACGTTGCACATTCTGCGCAACCTCTCCTTCATATCGACGCGTCAAGGTGCTGGTGCTTTCCAGATGTATGCATTTACATATCTAACATCTCTCGATATCATCACTCGCTACCCCGATGCCTGCGTCACCTTCTTGCAAGAGACAAGCCCGCCACTGCCGCAGACTGGCAATGATGTTCCATCACCCTCCATACAGGCCTTAACCCTCTTCTACCTGAACACTGCCGAACACCTTACTCTCTCTCTCCCCACCCCTGCCTGCGAAACCCTCATCATCACTCCCGCAACGGCTTACCTCTCCCCTACATCGTGGCTGACCAGCCCGGCCAACAATCCCCCCTCATCCCTAACCCTCGAGCTCTTTGAGGCATCCCACTCCTGCGTGCTCTCCGCGCTTTCGTGTCCTCAGCACGGCTCGCTCGCTGCCATGATAGTCCCTTTCTACATCGACTGCCTACTCACCTCCTTCCCCTCACGCATCTCTCCACGCCAATTCCGCCTCGCCTTCAGCACCGTCATGCAGATCGTCAGCCCCCCCTTCCCCGTCTCCGCCACTCACCCCGAGCTCGCCGAGACGCTGCTCGAGATGCTTCGGTTCCGCTCCGCCGAGGGCGCCTCCACCGCCCCCTTACTCCCTCTCAACGGACAAACAGGCCCCAACAACAACAATGACGAAGCCATCTCGGAACAAGCCGCCCTCGTCCTCGCCCTTGTCGACGCCCTCCCCTCCGTGCCCCTCCCCGCCCTCGAAGAATGGCTCACCCGGGCCGCCGAGGCCATGAACGCCATCGCCGACCCGACCCTCCGCAAGATCGTCCGCAGCTGCTTCTGGGACGTCCTCGTCAACGGCCAAATGGACGTCGAGAGATCTGCCATCGGTGTCGCCTGGTGGGGCACCCACGGCGGGAGGGAGATGGTGGCCTTGGGGTACCCGCGCCCTGCTGCTGCTGTGGACGGCTTTGTTATGAGTGGTGCGTTGACGCAGCGTGTAGAGGAGGAGGGGCAGGCGAAGGAGATGAGTAGGCTGTGAATGTGTACCTAGGGACCCTAAGCCAGGAACGAACGTAGGTGCCTGGGTAGGTGGTAATGATTGCATTTCAAGCGTTGTTGGTTTTGGTTTGTCCCTGTACCTGCGTACCTGAGTAACCTAACCTACCTACCTACCTAGGTACTTGGATGTTTAACCTACTTATTTGTCTAGGTTAGGTAGGTGCCGCTCTACATTACATGTAAGCAGTAATATAACGAATGTCGTCTACAAATTAAAATAACGCGTGTCGTGTCGTGTCGTGTCGTGTCTACTTACATGAAGGTACCTACCTACCTACGTATATATGTAACCTACATATGTACATAAATGAGTACCTACACATACATACACACCTAAATGTGTTGATTTCATGTCCCCAAAAAAATTCTTCCTCCTTTTTTTCGGGTTTATTTATTTTTTTTCTTTTCTTTTCTATCTTCCTTTAGCTACCTACCTACCTACCTATCTATCTATCATCTTTTCACGTTTGGTTTTCAATGTTATTTACCACCTGGCAGGTACATACATGCCTAACCTAGTAAATATACCTACATATGTAGTATATAGTACATAAGTACTTAGTACCTACTATGCACAGTACGGTAGGTAAGTAGGTAGGTAGGTAGGTAGGTAGGTAAAAAAGATAAAAAGAGGTCCTCTCTTTTTTTATCAAGATTTGGTCTACGATATGCAATGCTATGCCCTGGATGTATTTTGATAGGTACCTAGGTAACTACTTTTCAGACTTGACCTCGAAAATTTGAAAGGGATGGCGCGGGCAAAAGGGCGAGGAAGAGGGAACTACATAACTAAACTAGGGCGTCATCGTCATCGAGAAGTCACATCCAATCATGCACTAAAACTACACACAAAAGGGGGGAGCGAGCCCGAGAGAAGAATCTTATGTACGCTATGATATGATATGTTACTACATCCATGTGTACCTGAGCTCATGCCTAGTTCCATACCTACTTAGCATGCTGTTCCGTAGGCGCGTGTAAACGCGATCAAATTGCCTGCCAGTACCCTAGAAGCTCAACTCGTATCCAGTATCCCGTATCCCGAGCCCAAAATGAAGAAGCGCCATCTCGAAGACGCCGTACCGTAATGCAAGCCAATTAACACCTCGCCTAATTTATGTTCCGTTGCTTCATAAAGATGCCATAGTTGAAAAATATACAAATCACATCCATGATCTCTCCGATATTATCACTGGCTCTTTGACTCCGTGGCAATTAATGTGCGTGTGCCGTGAAAGCATTGCTCACCCCCAGCAGTGTCATGCCCAAGAATGCGAATAGAATGCTCAAGTTCTGGTTGTGATTCAGACTCAAACTCTCGACAAATAACTGTAGGGCCACGCTAGCCATGATGCCTGCTGTGATAGCGAATAGGCACCCGTAAGCTGCTGCGTCTGGGGTGATATGGGTGTGCTGAGCAAGTTTGAACCACAACACCGCGATGCCAGCCCCAAGAGGTTGACTTAGGCCGCCCAAAATTGAAGACCATAGCATGGCACGAAATCTGCTATTTAGTGCCATATACAACGGCAATGCTAGAGCGAACCCTTCCGAGATGTTATGAACAAATAACGCCAGGAAGACATTGAATCCAAGAGAAGGGTTCGCATGATTCGTGGCGTAGGTGATGAAGCCTTCAGGAAATTTATGTAATGCAATGGCAACAGAAGTCTGAAGGCCGATAGATAAAAAGGCATTTTCGGCCACGTGGTGATGATGTTGAGCCTCTACATCCTCCGACATCTCAGACTGGCATGCCTCTTCGTGGTCATAGTGGGAACCGTGTGAGTGAGTGCGACTCAAACGATGCGTGGGGCTTACCGGCGACGAATTGTTGTGGTCGCCGTCCTCATTCACCGTATCAATGTACGTCTCGGGCTGTCCTGTGGCTGTAGTACGGACTAGAGTAGTGGGCGCTCGGGATAGAGGACCGGATCGACTGCTAAGATGCTTGAAGCATTCTTGGCCGCATGGGTCCGAGTACCCATAGCATGGGCCGGATTCATCGCAGTTAGGTTTGGTATCTTTTACAAAAGACATGACCCGTTTTTGTAGCATCGAGGGTCGTCGTTCTGAAGTCGCGGCCCGGCTGCGAGGACCACGCAACATAGCAGGAGAAATTGAGCCGGTGGGACCAGTCTCTGCTCTTTTCAGCGGCCGAGTGCGACAAGACTCATTCGGAGTATCCGTATGAAGCAAGGGCGTAGTTTCACCAGCATGCCCATTATCAACTACATGGCGTTTCGGCACGTTGAAATGAGCATGAAGAGAGGGACGGCGTCTAGTTATGCTTCGAGCATAAGACGACGGCCTTCGGCTAGGAACATTTGTATGGGGATGGCTATCTAGGGCATTTTCGTCATGACTATGGTCGCAGTCGACAACATGTGACGGTATTAACCGATGAAAGAGTCTTGAAAGTACTTGAATACCCACGAACCCACCAACGAAGCAGCCCATCAAGGTGAAGCCCGCCGTCTGGTCTGAGAAGCCTCCTTTTTTCAGGTAGTCTTTCGATTCGGGCAACATGCTAAATAATGACATAAATATCTAAAGTAAACGTTAACTATTAGAGGCTTGCTCCATTGAACTGGACTCTCCTTTTTCTTTTTCTTTTTTTTTTAAAAAAAAGGGGGGGGGGATGGATTGGTGGACTCTCGTGTTAGACTTACCATAACGCCAAAGCTCAAGCTCAGGGAGCAGGCGAGAAAGGTATTGCTATCTTGTATTCGAAAGTCCTTTTTACCGGGAAAGAGCCGGACGAATACATCGACGCATATTATAGATGATCCTATCACACATGCTATTGTAAAGAAAAGGGAGTCAGTAAGCCAGTATATTTCGAGGGGGATTGTACAGCCCATAAGAATTGAGGTCACCCACCAATACCGCTCACCAAGCACATGATCCAACCCCTCGTGTCATTATCGATTGTAGTGACCTCCATGGTGGGCTCGATTGTTTCAAATCGTGCAGCACGTCGTCGCCTTGTGCCTACAGTAGCCCTTCCCTCCCTCGAATTATCAAGAACACGGCTTAGGGGCGCATGGAGATGATGGTGGTACGATGCGTTTTGCGGTACGTCTTCCGAGGGTTTTGGAGGCGTTATATTATATACGACGTATTGTATTTAACGTGGTTAATAACAAGAGAAACACGTGGGACAGGCAGTGCTATAAGTAGATGCTTTCGGCAGTTGTGTATGTTGGATAAATGAAATCCTAGGAACAAAGAATAGACAACAATGAGGTTATATAGTATGTAGGTAGGGGATAATGGATAATAAAGTAGGTAACCTAGTAGGTTTTGGGACACTGAGGTAAATAAAATAAAAAAGGGAAGAATTAGGTAAGAACTAAAGACTAAAGATTGTTAAATTTTTTGTGAATGAAAATCCATGAAATCCCAATGTTATCCGTTCAGGTGGTGGCTTCTCAAACTTGCCCAGGTGCCTTTTTCCCAAGTGGGCAGCTAGGTAGGTACATACACAGTAGTGGGTAGGGGACCAGAAAGAGTGAAAAGGTAGTTAGCTTGTTTGATCATCTTGAATTGTCTGATTGGTTAACTTTCCTATGATGCTATGCCAAGCTTTGCCAAACTATGCACCGACGGATACCTTGATGGCCAATCTGGCTGGAGCACTTAGTAATGAAGGGACTTTCAGTACCCACATTAACAGATTATCGCTGCCATCAAGGTTGTAAAGTCCTAGGTTGTTTGTAGTGGGGTAGCACTGAGTGCATATCACTAATACCACTAATACCAACCCAAGTTTAGTGAGGCTGAAAACCGAGAGTCCAGTTCATCGAACTGCTGAATACACATGTACTGTTATGTAGTCTTATGTAGGTACTGTAACTAAGTGCACATTCTTTGCCATACATAGCGATCAATTTACATACATAGTGTATTATACATGTAGTTAGTTGCCAAGACAGTTTTAACTAATGCACCCGTTGGTAATCCTATTAGATCCCGCTGTAACATACGGAGAGAACTCCAAACGATACTACCTAACTACCTATCTACATAGTATACATACAATTGATGACTGTAATCAATTATTGTCAATAACTACCTAGTACCATGCACGTATTGTATGTAATACCTCGGGACCTATTTTAAGGTTCAAACGTTGTGTCAGTGTTTCAGCGGTTTAAAGCGGGTAATTGGGTTAAGTCCCCATAACTCACCGACCCCTTCCCAAAGTCAGAGTAGTTACCTTGTTGGAAGCTGCCAACTTTTGCTTTTCCACGCCGAATGATGAAAAAAAATTTAAAAATCTAAAAATTTAGAAATTTATCCCCAATGTCCTTACATCAACTAGTTAACCAGCAAAGGCCGTCAGTAAATTGATAGTATATGTAGGTACTGTACAATTAAGGCTCTGAACAACAGGACAACAGGACAACAGGCACAGTTCAGACATCCCCCGCCTGCATGTGCACCGAAGCCCACGCACGAGAACCTTGAAGGACATTTCACGCGCTTTGTGTTCCAAGCGGTGTAGCTCACATCATATCCATGTATCTTCTTGCAAAGCTCCCACGTATTGTATGGAATATTAGGAGATTCTCAGCTCGATCAGCTCTCCAATAGTAGTCATAGAGTTATCCATATGGTTATTCTTGATACAACTTCAATGTCAACAGGGGCAAGTGCAGAATCAATGATCAATACAACTAAACATATAGGTACTACATGGGAGGTAGGTAATGACAATTCAATTCTCTCTCAAGTCAGGTTAATCTATGCTTCCAACGAACAAAATATGCCTAGTCTAGGTCGGTAGGCACACAACATGCTTTTGGTATAAGCCCCCCTTTTCCCCCTTCAATGCTCCTTCAATGCCCCCTTTCCCTTTCTTTTTCTTTCTTCCCCTTACCCCTTAGGCAGACCAACACGCCCCGCCATCCAAAACGCCTAAACAAACTCGCCCCCCTCCCCCCTTGACTCCCCTTTTCAAAATGAAAGGAAAAGCAGGATAGAGTCATAGATGAACGATGGAATTTTGGTCACAAAACCTGTGCAGATTCTTCAATCCTCATTTTAAGTCTTTATTCAGAATAGGGATAGAAAATGGGATAATAGTAGGTACTGGTAGTGATGGTCATGGTCATGGTAGCGTATACATATTGAGAGTGGTTAATCAAGGCCTCCTAGACAAGTACCTAACGTATCTATGCAAAGCAGGCGCCGCCGCGTTCCCTGCTCCCCTCAATATCAAATGGATGCTTTTTGCGATCTTTTTATGATCATATCGAACTCGGACGGGTCGCTGATGCTGCGCTGCCGTTCGGTCCTCTGCTCGTCTCCGGAGCTGCTGGCAGATTCGTCGCTGCTTTCTTCTCCATATACGATTTGCCGCAGGACACTTTTGTCGAATAATTCGATTACGAGATGCCGATCTGGTAAGCGGTAATGGTGACACTCCAATAAAGCCAGGACCTTGCGGAATAGAGCAGGTTGTCGGAATCCCGGTGCTTTCTTATGTCGCAGCTGGAACAGTTCAGCCTTGGCCTTCTTATAAAGGACCATGTTGCCTAACTCCGTCATGAGCTCCAAGATTCGTTGGTTCGTCTCGTCGTCCTCCTGTGCCTCCACCAGCGGTGGTTCCAATATCGTTTTCTGGGTATCCAAAAGTTGGACGGTTGCTGGTGTCTCGTGCTTCCACGGTTGGCATGAGAAGAATTTAAAGAGGTTTGATGGAACGCAGAGACCTAGTGATATTCCAAGTGGTGTGGTATTTGATTCCCAGCCGTACTCGGATAATATCTCTAGGCCGTGGGTAGATCTTGAAATCAGACCCAAGACGAAGAAAGCAGTGCCTCGAAGACTCATGACATCATGAGACTCGGCGATCTTGACAATATGTTCTACAACATCGGTCGACTCTAAGAATGGTCCTCCAAGTTCCATTGATCCAACGTTCCCGACTGCCCACAAGCATCCCTTAACTTTTGTAATAAGTTCAGGGTCATCTGACTGCATTCCATATTCCCTGATAGTCGCAGCGAACTCGTCAAAATGACCCTTGTCCTCTAGCAGTTTGCAGCCTTCTTTTGTGCGCGACAATTCACGGTAGAAATGAGGAGGCACATGATTGTCCTGATCTGTGTCTAGGTCATCGTCATATATGCTTAGGCGATGTGGTTGATCTTCCTGGGTATCGACAAAGGAACGTGCCAGACTAGCCTCGATAAGACTAACATAGGTATCGTTACGGCCGAGGAACCAGTCATCCATCTCATTGCTTATATAGTCAAGACCATCTAAATAGTGATAGCCGATAGAAGTAGATAAGAATCGGAGTAATAGCGGAGCCCCTATCTCGCCCAGGTGGTCCAACGCAGGACGACACTCCACAATATATTCTAGCAAAGCTTTGCTATTGCAAGCCTTTTCAAGTATCTTGACGGCCGTTGCACATACCTCTACCTCAGGGTCATAGAGCTGCGTCACAAGCAATTGAATAGCCCACTTGGAGTCCGAGATGAGTTGTCCCGTTGGTGTAACTCGCTGTCTCGTGGCATATTTTCGAAGCACATTGGTGGCGTGTATCCGCATATCCTTTGTGCCAGCCGTTAGAGCCTTTGACAAAAGTACACGTGGATGTCCACGAAGACTATAATCGAGATTGGCGAGGAGCAACTTTATGAGATCCGGCCTTTGCTTAAAATCGACAATATGATACATCATGTTGAAAATTCGCCATCTCTCGAGCATCTGTAGCCCTCTGGGCTCACTACTTAGAACACCAAGCATGGGAAAGTAGCCGCCGCATAAAGTATCAGTGAGACGGTCTTTGGAGAACATTGGGTACTGTGCGGTCAAACCACTGGTCTGGTGGGAAGAGTAAGCATATCTCAGTTAGAAGCATTTGAGTGGGAATAATACTAACCGGGTCACACTGGGCTAAGCACTCAGCAATCTGTCTCAGTAGCTTGTTGTCCGCGAGATATTTTGTTCCTTCCACTGTCTGCAGCAGCGTGTGAATCAGAGCACAGCCAACCCTTACGTATTTCTGAGTGTTCCGCGTGCTTTTAATTTCGGAGAATTTGAACTTGAAAGGACGATAAAAGCCCACCAGTCTCTTCGCAAACTTGGACGCCTTTATAGCCTCTTCTAGACGTTTTCCATGCACCAATGGACCTTCGATTATCTTGAGCACGACGTCCCAATTCCATTTGGATGGGTTTGAGTGCCCGAGTACTCCGGAGTCTATTAATAACTGACGGAATGTGGCATCATCGGTGTTGATCAAAGCATTGGCCTTGGGTGTCTCTTCTGCATTGCCCATATTTTCAAGCATGCTACTTGATGGAAGATAGCCTGCAGCATAACCTGATGGAGACGACCGGTAAAGCGTTCGGCTTACGCTGGATATTTGATAGATAATGCCAGTCGCGTTAAAATGTGCCTCGTTACCAAATTCGGAGGCAGCTGCGAAGAGCTCTGGAAGCAATTGAAGCTCTCTATGTAAAGAAGGGGGAAGGATTCTGCTCGCCAATTTTAAGGCTTCGCCAATGAGTAGAGTTGTTTTTCGCTTCAGCATGGGGTCGTCAGTATCCTGAGCGACTTGGAGAAGGCTGGGCATCATTCCTGCTTTTATAAATATAGCTAGAAGCAGTGCTGTATAGTGCTCGACAAAGTTCTGCTCTGCCCCATCATCCTCGTAGATAGCTTCTTCCTTGTTTTGCGTTGAAGACTTTAATGTCGTTACTCTACCATACGTAGTCAAGCGTCGCCCGGCGAGATACGATGTAGCCCACGCAGGAGGTTTTATACGAAGAAGAGAGTATAGCAAATCCACCACAGTATCCCGTACTGTTGGGTTGGGTAGCATTAAACTCGATATCAAAGAGCCAACTGCCCTAAAATTATACATAGATAATGTCATAAGTCCAGACCAGCTTTTCAAAGCCGAGGCGATTGCTTTAGAATTTTGTTTCACGACACCCTCGTATGAGAATAAGGCATCAGTGAAAGCGGTGAACAAAACTTCGAGTTCGTATCCGGCTCGTAAATACTTCCGCGTGTGTGGCGCGTCTAACAGGTAGAGAAAGGCCGATGATAGCGATTCCGGGGATTTATAACTGCCTTCAGCAAGGGCCGCAGACATTGGAGCCAGGCCGCCAGATGCCACGAGGAGTGCCGGATCTCGCAAAAGAACCTCAGCGAGTGTCTCGATACAGATGGACCGCAGCCGATCTTCCACTTGCTCAGCAATTGCTGCAATCGTCCTAACCACCGCCCTGGATACCTCACGAACACCATCTTTTACATCGAGGAACGCACGAACGAATTTAAGGGCTTGCTCGCGTTCCACATCAGCCTTGCGGTCCTTGGCAAGAGACACCACGACCATGAAATCCGTGTTTAAGCTGCGTATTTTCTTGAGCGATGCTATATCGGAGATGGAATATCGTAGCATTCGATAGCCTGCTGCAACAACTTCCCTGCTGTTGCTAAGCAGCATGACCTGCATTCTGTCCCCGAAAACAGACCAAACCAGGTCATATTTCAGTGTTGGATGTCTTTTAAACAGATCCACGAGATTATTGGCTCGCTCGACATAGTACTCAGGCGGCATGCCCTCGCTTTCGAGGGCTTGTAGTGTTTCCGCGAGCGCGAAGGTTGGTGACTCTGCAGGTTCGTCGAAGTCGGAGCCAGCGCCGCTCCTAGATGCGCTGGGGGGTGAACGAATATTGGTGTTATGCAGTAAGCCCTCGTTTCGGGGTCTCGTGGGGGTACTGGGAACTCCTTTGGAACGTTGCGCATCGGAAATCTTTTGCTTCAGCTCCTTAATCCTTGTATTCGAGGCTGTGAGCTCAGCTTCGACCCTTTGACGTTGCTCCTTGGTCTGTTTCGCCTTCTTCGCATTTAGCGCTTCAAGCATGTTCTCGCTACCCTCTTTAATCTTCATCTCACGACTCAAGGAATCCTTCAGCGTGTTGAGGGTATTCTCGACAACGGAATCTTCCTCCTCGTCCAACTTATCGCGGGTGTAAAGATCGGTTCTCGAACCTGCTCTCGACTGGGTGGCCTGGCTGCGTAGGTCGGAACTGAAGCTACCGGGAGCTTGAGAGGGGTTCAAGGAGGCACCCCTTGGGGCAAAGGAGGCACCCGAGGAAGACATGGTTCGGGCACCATTTGCGATGGTAGAGGGGGGTTGAAGGCCAACATCTCGATCAAGGCTCGTTCGTGGGGGAGCGACTGGAGAGTTGGTTGATTGTGTGGGTTGAGTAGCTAACGACTTCTGAGTCGGTGTCGCGGAGCTGCTTAGCATGGTGGCAGACCCGGCCAAACGCCCACCGTCTGGGTCAACGCCGCAGCGCCGTGCATGGAGAGAAGCGAATGGTCAACCAAGTTGGGCAAACGATGGCGTATTTAATGTACTATATCAGGCGTTACGTATCAGGCCGTAACAAGTATAAGCGGCTTGTGTCTTGGAAGACTCGCCCGTCTTAGGATAAAGGATTCTGTTGACGATAAGTCAATAGAGCAAAAGGCATAGAGTAGCGTAGCAAGATCAGTAGGGCACAGCTAACAGGTGTCTTGTTCCTAACTCATAGACCTAGGGAATGTGATCAGGTGGTAATGTAGATAGATACCTACATCTATCTTGCAGCAATAAAATAGTTACAGTCGGTAGTCAGAATAGTACCAATTATCATTGATGTAGGTAGGTAGCTTCAATGTTTAAGATAGCCCTAGAGGCAGATAGGTAGATATGCAGATAGGCGGCCTTAGTGCCAAGCAATACAGGGACATGGTATACCGAAGAGGGCGGAGGGGGAATTTGGAGGCTGGAAGTGTTCAAATGTTGTATCCAATCAAATTAACTTGCTGTACTACCACCTTGTGCTGCTATTGGCTCATACTCTCCATGTAAGCTCTTAGTTCCCCACCTAAGGTAAGATATCACCAGCGGCCAGCCTGCCAGGGCTTACCTAGGTACCTACCACCTACCTGGCCAGGCTGGCCTACCCTCCTAATCCTACTTCAACTGTAATAACCTCATTTAAAAATCAAACACAAAGCGCCTATTCTACATAGTAGGTGCAACAAAGAGGAATACATATAAAATTCTCAAACATTCAAGTGAATGCTAGCAGCTCCGTTCCCGCATAAATTTTTTTGTTTCTTGGGAACATCGTCACTTTTCAGCTTACATAATAGACGACTATTTCTTCCAATGTCCTCATTATCCCCTCCGCATTATAGGAGCTATATATCGACCTAGGTTAGTATATTATATAGCAAAATCTAAGCTCCTAGTTTAACACTTGTTTTTCTATAATGTAGACTTGGAATCGATCGATAATCCCGGCTGATACACTGGCCGTGAACACTTATTGCTGTGGTTAATCCCATCGCAGCCTTGTGTCATGTGCTGAGGAATGTTGCTTTTCCGATGTTACCTCAGATAGGTACTGGTAGAATCTGCAGACCAAAGAAGCCAATCGCAAGTCTCGCATAAGAAGGTACCTAAAGCATTGAAGTTCCCCCAGCAATTGTTGGTCACACAAGGCTCCATGAGGTCAAGTTATAACTATGGGCAAGCATCTTAGTTTGCCTTTCTCAAATGTTTCTGGCGGCTGCAATAGATGAGTATTATATACAACCTAGAAACACGACGCTTCAAGGGGGAGTTGTTCGTCAAGAATGAAATTGGGGACTAATACCGATTATACCAAGTAGTTGGTAGGTTAATATGATAGTTGGTCAGACCGACAAGCTGAACGCTCTTCTCGTGTCATATGTAGTCACTATCTGCTGAATAACAGCTTACCTACTCATAAAGCACACCCTTCGTCCAACCAAGATCGCTCTTCAATAGGGTCTAAGTGGACAACCGAAGTCATATGAGTCCTTTGAATCAGATGATTAATCACGGCTGTTTCTTGATGCATACCTGGCGCGGGATTAACGGTCCTTATGGACGGGCAATACATACATGTAACCGATGCATAGATACTCTCGGAAGCATGACATCAGCTTGAAACATTTTCCAGGTATCAAGTAAATACCTATGTACGTGAATATATTGTATGTATAGAGAGAACTTGGGATGAGATCTACTAGGTACATATGTAGATCTTATCGTCCTGTATCTACCCGTTCCTAAGTACAATTTAGGTATAACCCCACATTATGTAGTAGAAGGTCTGGATGTGTTGTGAAGGTAGGGGACAACTATAACTACTGCATAGTGTATATGTATGGTTGACGTATTAGTCTTTCAAAATGCTGATCATCTCTTATACGCTCTATCGCCAGTCAAAGATAGGAAGACAGCTGACTACCGATTACGGCAGGAGACGGGTTTAAAGGTAGGGGATTCGGCGAGCTCCGTAGGGCACGATATGGTGTAAAAAGCCACTAAAGTTATCATTGGGCGGAGCTTGCGGTAGGTTTGGAGCTAATGAACCACCCGAAGCTTTTTCACTGGGTCCCATTTTACTGGGAACTTCAATAATTGCACAACCTCCGCTTAACCTCCCCTCAACCTCCCCTCTACATCCCCTCTACATCCCCTCCTTTTTTTATATTATACAGTACAATGTAGTTAATACATTCGTATGTACCTTCTCAGACCGGTAACCAGCGAGTATGAACTCTCTGCTTATACGTACCACTTCAGGCGCTTTCCGACCTGCAAGGCGGGTCTAAGGTACAATATGATTAGTCCTACCTACACATGTGCATGTACGTAGGTATGTAGGGCCCGGATTTGCGTCGACCACTATGCCCCTGCGTCTCCATTTCACACTACTGAGCCAAGGATTGCATCTCAGAAGCTCGGTATTCGATGCTAGTTTTCTTCGATGACTACCCTAGGTACATACCTCAACGATCCATACATACCCGTGCATGTACAAAGGGGTCCGACGTAAAATAGCTCCACGCGAAGTGGCCGAGTGTATATATAAACCGGTAGAGACTGTCTCTCTTTCTTCTGGCCTCTGTCTCATATACTACCATCTTGACTCGATTCAGTGATCCTCGGTTTCATTTACTCTCCTCCTTACTCATCTCCCCTTGACTCGTTGGGTTTAATTGTGACTACGATCTTACACCAACACGAACAGACTCACTCTCCAACTTCTGCACCACGTTGTACTGTTCCAACCCTTAAAAAGCCACGAAACCCGGCTTCTCAAAGGTCTCAAGCGTTGGCTCTCCCACAAACTCATATCGTGGCCCGGAGAGAAAAAGGACAAGGAAGATAAACTCGACCAATTTACGAGCCTTGTTCAGCATTTAGCATCATGCCTGTCGTGTCAGCAGCTCGCTACGGAAAGGACAATGTCCGCGTCTACAAGGTCAACCGGGACGAAGCCACGGGAATACATACGGTGACGGAGATGACCGTATGCTGTCTACTCGAGGGAAACATCGAGACGTCCTATACAGTAGCAGACAACAGCGTTGTCGTAGCTACGGACTCTATCAAGAACACCATCTATATCAAAGCTAAGGAACACCCCGTGAATCCTCCGGAGCTATACGCCAGCTACCTAGGACAGCACTTCCTAGACACCTACGCACACATCCACGTCGCCAATGTAAAACTTGTCGTCAAACGTTGGACCCGTATGGTTATCGATGGAAAGGAACACCCTCACAGCTTCTACCGCGACGGAGAGGAGACACGGAACGTGGAAGCCCGCATCACTCGTGAGGGCATCACCATCACGAGCAGCATTGCCGGGCTTTTGGTGCTGAAAAGCACCGGATCGGCGTTCCACGGCTTCGTCCGGGACGAGTTCACGACGCTTGGGGAAACCTGGGACCGTATTCTCTCGACCGACGTCGACGCCAGCTGGAAATGGAACATTTTCCCGAACGTGGCGGCGGTCGAGCAGAAGGTGGCTCAGTTCGACAAGGCTTGGGAGGATGCCCGTCGTATCACGATGAAGACGTTTGCCGAAGAGAGCAGCCCCTCGGTGCAACACACCATGTACAAGATGTCCGAACAGATTCTTGAGGCCGCACCCGAGGTTGCCACCGTTACCTACGAGTTACCTAACAAGCATTACTTCGAGATCGGTAAGTCCTTATCTCATACCCATTCTGCGGGTGGTTTTTTCCCTTCCCCCTCCTTTGGTATGTCGGTGACTAATCATATTTGATCTTAGATTTGTCGTGGCACAAGGGTCTCAAGAACACCGGCAAGGATGCCGAGGTGTACGCCCCCCAGTCCGGGCCCAACGGTCTCATCAGATGCGAGGTCTCGCGCTCCTAGATGTCCGGCAGCGGGGGGTTTCCCCCTCTCCTTTAACTACACTAATTTGTATCATTTTTGCCGGCGTACGTATGGTTGGTCATTGCTTTTACGGGTCGCAAACTCTTGGGGAGATAATGAGATTGAATCGAGTCAAGAAGCGCATGATATCATACCACTGTGGGCTATATTTTGTAGAATTTAGATACCACACCGAATGAGGATCAGAACTTCATACTTCGTACCCCATTTTCCATATCTGTGCTATAGATTTATGTACGCATCAACGTAACCAGAGAGGTACCTAGGTACATACGTGGTACCAATCTAGCTTCGCCATTCTTCGTGTGATCATAGTGAGTATTTCAGCCAGTCACAGGCTGAGCGTAACTGCACCGCTTCCTTTAATCCATGGGCAACGTTATGCTGGTAGTCGTAAGGTGATTTCGTTATATTGATGCGTACATATACACAATGTGGCACATAGTCCAGCAGACAAATATGCTAGACTACCTAGGTACCTAGGTAGATTGGGATCACTGCCCTTTGAGTGGTGTCAACCCAACCACCAGCTCTTATCCCCCCCCCCCCCCCACCCTCAACTTCAAAGACATTCCGCTCACACGAAGTGGCCCGCTATAACCTCTGCGTATCCGCCTCGCGAATAGCCTTAACCGCATCCTCCCAGCCCTCCTTCCCGACCTCCACGCCCCCGAACCGGAGTAAATTCTGCTTGTACGGGTGAGCGTGGCTCTCGAAAGCCTTGAGGCGGGCGAGGCGCTTGTCGCGGAGGCGGTTCTTGGGCAGCATGCCGCTGACGGCCTTTCGTAGGACCTCGGCGCCGCCGAACTTGGCCATAAGCACGTCCATGGTGACGGAGCGGAGGGAGCCCGGCTTGGTGTTGTGGCGGTAGTACGTCTTCTGCCACTTCTTGTGGCCGGTGAGGTGCAGGGCGGCGCAGTCCGTGACGACGACGTAGTCGCCGCAGTCGGTCGACGGGTCCCAGATGGGCTTGTGCTTGCCCATGAGGATGACGGCGATGCGCGAGGCGAGGCGGCCGAGGGCCGGGGGGGTCACGTTCGGTTGCGTCGAGAGGGTGGGGTGCGGCGCTGAGGCCGAGATGTGGTGCCAGGCGCGCGAGTACGCTAGTTTCGTCTGTGTGGCGAGGTGGAAAATGTTGGCTATCGAGCTCTGCTGCTTCTGCTACGACGGGAGAGAAAAAGAAATGGGAGAGAAAAGCTTACCAGCGCCAAGTTCTGCGACATGGTGACGGCTCTCGAGGGAGCTTTGAGCCCCTCGTCGCCAGCAGTGTGTAATTAAACGTTTCGCTCAAAAGCCTCAGCTATAAGTACCATGAAGGGTTCGAGTAGATCGCTCTCGGGAAGGCAATGGCACGTGTATCGTCGATAATCGGTGGGTCAAACCTCTACTTGGGTGGTTCAAGGTTAATGAAGCTTGAGAAAGCTCAAGAATTGATACGGCAGAATTCAATATTCTTGGAATCACGTGGTAGGTACTACTAGTAGTACATAGGTACCAGGTGGGGGTCCATATTTTTAACTCTCATCTTATCGATAAATAATCCATAGTTAACTAACTAGTGCCAAATGCGATTTCAAAGCAGCTTGAAACTGTAGTTAGGCATTTCTTGCTTATCACATACTACAAGGATTGCCTATCGCTCTATCGTGTAAGTGAATGGCTTCCAGCCAATTCCAACATGATCCATCAATGCCATGAAATCCCCCTCAGTCTCTATGCCCCTCTAAGGCTAGCTTACAGTAGCTGTGCATGATACCTTACTTGCATATGTACGATGCTGAGATATTTTCACGGTATCTTATTTCCTTCTTTTGCAACTACTTGTAGTATTATCTATCTTGGTTTTGCTACAGATTCATATTTCCGCCGTGACAAACAAGATACACTATTTTACCTGAATAGGAGACATCACTCCGTTACCACCGACAAGATGGCCATCCAAAACCAAGTCAAGACTCCATTTCAGGTCTGTATACCTATCTACCTACCCAGCTTCTTATTCTACATATATGATAGTAAGGGGGGAGGTTGTCTTAAAATACCTAGGTAGTCTTATAGAAGAGGACACCCACAATGCCACCACATAATACCAAACAAAGATATGATGGGCTGATAGGACCACAAATAATCTATCTAGACTCTGTTCGCTGTGCCAATGACCTGTGATCATTGTGTCAAGTCAGTATCCGATGCCTTGTATAGCCTCGAAGGTGTCACCAAGGTCGAAGCCAACCTAAAGGATCAACTCGTGACAGTTGAGGGAACTGGTAAGATGCAATCATCTTCTCATCTGCGAAGCCTCAAACCCAAACCCATAATGGGGAGTTCTTTTTGGTGTTGGCTTTTGAAGATTACTTGCGACTGACAGGATCTATCCGCAATTAGCTGCGCCATCCCGAATAGTGAGTACCATCGAAGCAACAGGTCGAGATGCTATTCTACGTGGCTCCGGTGCATCTAACGGTAAGTAGCAAGGTTATTTTCGTTTCCTCGCTCCCGTTTCATGCGGCTCATCCGTTGCTATTTTGGTGCTGCGTTTTGAAAAAAAACACCTTCCTAATATATCGTTGCGGATTGGCGCGCCTTGCATCCTCCGTAGCCAACTTACGTGCATTCTCCCTTGACACTGATTCAATAATACCGCTCCTTCAACTAGCTGATGCATATGCTTTCAGGCGCAGCTGTGTGCATCCTCGAGACATACCATCGCAACGAGAAAGGTGGTGAAGCGTTGGTGCCTGCTTCCGCTTCCGAGGCGGCAACTGAAGGATCAGGAGTAAGCGATAGGGAGGTCAGGGGCTTGGCTCGCATGGTGCAAGTCTCTCCTACAACCACCCTGGTGGACTTGACTGTCCGAGGGGTTGCGCCTGGAACATACTCAGCCAGCATCCGAGAGTACGGCGACCTCAAACTCGGCGCTACATCTACGGGCCCGGTATGGGCAGGCGGGGATGGCGCTACTCAACCTCGTGGCATCTTGGGCACCATTCAAATAGGCACCAACGGGCGGGGCGCAGTATTTCTAGACCACCCATTTCAAGTCTGGGAAGTAATCGGACACGCTATGGTCATTTCCAAGCAGCAGGAGGGAGAAAGCGATACGCAGGCGGAGCTGGCGAATGACGAGAACACCGTAGTCGGCGTCATCGCGAGGAGTGCCGGCATGTGGGACAATGACAAGACGGTGTGCTCGTGCACCGGGAAGACGCTTTGGGAGGAAAGAAAAGACGAAGTAAAGAAAGGCATGATCTGATGTTTGTTTCCGATGACTCGATATGTCATTACTAGTTCCCCAGATCGAAACTTACCCAGGTACATACATACTCCTAAACCGAGCAAGGATCGCCTACAATAGCAGTCCATCGGCGCCCAATGCGCGTGTTTGGAATGGCAGGCGGGTAGGCAGGCAGGCATCACGAAAGCTGGTCAGCCTTGTATCATCGACTAGGTTTCCCGAATATACCGTTCCTTTGTAACAAACATTGCACTGAACCAATCCCTCTTGTGGCCGATTATGTGAGGAAGCCCTGGGGAAACAACTCTTACGTAGGAAGGTACTTGTCCCGACGACAGGCATGTCGACCCGTCACCCGTCACGTCTGTGTCCCGTAGGAGCAGTTCGGCACTCAGAGTTGCCAGCATACATACATTGGATGAAGTTACCTTGATCGGATGACAGATCTACTCTTAAACATGCCACTCGATTCATTGGAAGAGACATAATTCTTATCAACATCCATACATTTGTACATATGTACAGTAATATATTCAATGTACGTGTCTTGGTAGGTATGTATAATGTAGTGCCTACGTGAAGAGTCTTCGGAGCGAAGCTTGCCGATCGTGTCCGTTGTGAACATGGAAGCAACCTCCAGTGTACATGACTACATACATAGTTAACTACATAACCCACGGTATCGTGCGATGCCTCTTGAGTAATGGCACCACGGATCGACCCATAGTGGCACCACGCCAATCCCATATGTATAATTCCTACCTAGTTAGGTAGAGTAGCAATGTTCATAAATGGTAAAGTGATTGCCAAGAGTTGCCTCGTTGGGATTGTGTAGGGAGGTATCTTTACCACGTACCTATCTAAAAAGGTATGTGATTACCCCTTTGACTTCCTATTTCTTATCGTAGCTGTGAGAGAAAACGAAACGTGGGAGGATGAGTTGGGATGATGGGGGCTACGGTTTACGTGCCTTCTTTTAGATGTCCTTCCTTATTTGAGGTTTGTCGGGCTGATTCGATATTTATGTGTACCTACAGTATGTAGTAGATACTCATAGGTCTTGTAAAACATTGACGCCTTAGATGAAGGTAGATATCCAGGAGTGATCACGTTCTCCCGTCGAGAACGAAGAGGTTCATGGGTAGGTACCCTAGGCACCTTGGTAGGGTCTTCCTAAAAAGTGAAGTCTCATTAAACACCAGGTAACTTCATCTCACGATGCTCAAAACCTATACCATCCATCCATCCATCCAGTTGGAATGGTATTAGTTACCGGTACATAAAACATAGAACATAGCAAATGCATATCACATAAAACGTATATGAAGGAAACCTATCCACCAGTTGAACATTATGTAGGTACATACCTACCGGTCCTACCCACTTAATGCCTTCCAAGGATCACGTAGTCGCAATCTGTCAATGCAAAAAATTGTAGCAAAAAGCGCCGAGAAGTCCCACTTAGTGGTGACCGGATACACGTGGAATGAGACAGGTCAAACAAAGATAAACCCTAACCACGGTACCTGCCGGCGCACGTACCTGGAGGCAGGGATATCAAGATAATTAAGAGTTTTTCATCTGCCTCAAGCCGACGACGGTTTCTCCTGGTAAAACCCTAGATATGCAAGCTACTGTACTTTAGCACGTCGATTTCAGATGTTAGCACCAGGTGGAAGGATCGATAAACCCTAGCTCCAAGCGATGAGTCTGTCTGTCTACATGTATGTAGATGGTGCATATGTGCATACATGTAGCTGTCTGTACCTACATGATGTAGCATCAATTCCTGTAGGTACATACCTACTTAGGTTCAAGGGATCGAACAGGGACCTCACTCGAGGCTCGATGCTCAAAAATTCAACGACATACAATATTTTGATCAGTCGGATTTTGTTGAGGCTCTAACTACATACGTAGCCTATATATCTAATGAAGGTTAGTTAGTAAGATCATAGCGTAGAAGTTGTAGATGTCCACGGATCCAAGGGGGGGTTCATCAACTCTTTGCTCCTAGCTAGTGTAGAAAAGATTCGAGGATCATCAAACGCGAGGCCCTGTCGTTTTCCTGCCGAGTTGGGATTAAGACTTTTCCCGTCATGCAAAATGCAGACGGATAACGGCATTGATCGTAACGGACAGGACTACCTGGTCAAATGGCGGCGTTGGATCGGGGCAAGATTCGATGCTTGGATGGGCGGGATGGGCGCCTCAAACGCACTGAAGAAGAAGCGAGTTTCGTAACCTGGGAGCCAACCCGCGATGCTGGATCCAGATCTTGAAAATGCCTTATGGTTGAACTAAGTTGCCAGGTACATGCATGTATGTAGAGATGGCGTTCTAGAACCACGACGGAATACTACGTGTGTAAAGACGAGAAAGGTTATAGAAATGAGACCGTTGATAAGACGAAGATGGGCCCTGTTACCTATCATGCCCAGATTCCAAGATGCATCTACATATGTAACATATGTACATGTATGTACTATATGTGTGTAATGGCGTGCGTAATAGATCGTACATGATGCCTACATCTACACCCATATGTAGTATGTAAGAGACAGAATCGAAAATTGCATACCTCCAGGGCTAGTACATGGCAAGTATTCGTATTGTACAACTGCACTATCATTAGGTACTAGTTATGAGCGAGTCATGCTACGCGAGTACGAGCGAGGGATTATAACTACGAGAATAAAAGGGCTTGTCGGCGCTTAGATGAGATACTGGGAAGCCAATTAGGGTAAAAGAGAGGAAAGACAATAGATACAGATTGCCTATTCCAGATCTGAGATGGGATGACAGGTGAGAGGGAGAGAGGCGGTACTACATAGTACGACGACATAGTTGGTAGAGAGTAGCTCGTAGAGAGAGAGAGCACATGATTCTGATAGAAGTCCAGATCCAATTAGTTACTGTGATAGTGGGTACTAGGTACCTTAGCTAGTGTACTACGGCGTAGGTAGAGTGCTAGGGGTACTAGGGGTGCTAGGGGTGCTAGGGCCCTAGGGTGGTCGTAGCACACATTAAAGTACAGCCTGTACAGTGTACAGGCACTTAAGTGGCTCAATTGGGAATTTAGGCGCCCTTAGAAACGCATGGTGTCCGAGACTACGGGGCCGCCCCGAGCTTACTGGACCAATCAATCCTTCTTCCATTACACTTTGGAACATTTGATGCATGAAAAAACGGGAGGAACGGCCAGGGCCAGGTCCATTCCTCGTCCATCCAATCCTTGGGAGTTGCCAAGTACCTTGGGTACATGTAGGTAGATAGGTATGTACCTACTAGGTAGTTATTCAATCATTTTCAATGTTGCACGTACATTAAACTCAGTGGTGAATGGTGATACTTTACATGTACATACTACTATGATACTAGGTACTCATCACATGAATCGCAATTCGCAATTGTACTGTCCTGATGCTACCGGACATTCAATGTTGAAGATAAACACCAACATTGAAGTACACTACATAATGGATAAACCCATAAACATCAATCCATTGAACGCCATGCAGGAATTAGTCAACTACATACCTAACTAAGTGGACACAGGATTTAGGTTGTGCTGCACTTCCTGTGCCTCTTATCCGACATCTCTCATGAGTCTCATCCTCCTGTTCCATGACTGATCCATGGATTACTCTATAGGAGATTGCGAAATTCATACAACATTGAATAGTTAGTTAGGTAGGTCTACAGAATGTTGACCAACATCAAGGACTGACTATACGCGCTTGTTCCTCGTGGTTGTAGATGCCTTCGCACCAACGCCTTCAGGATGAGACAATACGATACGTTGATCTCTAGACTGTTGTTCGTTTAATCATGAGAAGTCGAACGACAGGTTAACGGGATGGTCGATGTTTTTCAATGCCCTTTACAATACCATTCCTATCTTGTTTCTATTGAAGTGTTCCAGGGGCTCCAGAGAGCTAGGGTAAAGGAAGGATTGGCTGGTGCTCAGAGCCCAGAAGTCCAAGCCCTGGAGCTCTTGGCTGGGCCAAAAACCCCTTTAACCCCTGTTTCCTCCCCACGTCCTCGACCCCGGTAAGCATCATCGTCGTTTTGACCGTTCGCAAAGAGGTACTCCGTATCCACAAGATCAATGTCCCCCCAAAATACCCAAATACACTACATACATAGTTACCGTTAGCCAGTTAAGATCCTGACCTAGAATTTGCCTATCCTTTTTTTCTCTTCCCCCCATCTAATTATTTTCTTGGCATAAGGTCTCGTTCTTGCCCAGCAACTGTCTTTTCCGCCTTCACCGGCTTTTACCCACTCCCGGTTCTTCTGTACGCGCTGGCTTCGTTGTCGTTCATCCACTCATTACTCCTCTCCAACTGCAGGTCTACTATTCTCATCACTGATCTAATCCCACTCCTTTCCTTTCAATCACGTCAATCCGTCTTGATTCCCAAAAGTCATCTGTCATTTCCGAGATAACCTATTCGAGGCCCACCCTCTTACTCTTGGTTCGAGGCCGTTTGCGCAACAGTACCTGACCTGACCTACATATACACACCTACATACAGACCTACATATCCCACCTAACGCCCCCGATCTTTTTTTAACCTGCCACAAAGAGCTGCAAGATTTCGTTCCTGCACCAACATCGCCCAGGAACTGGTCTGACACCATACCCCCAACAGTTATTGACCGTAGCTAGGCATATCCAGTGACATCAACTAAAAAAAGAAGAAGCATCGAGTACCAGCTATCATAACTCTTTACTCGTTCGAGGCTAAAATACCCGCCCTAGCCAAGATTTTTACTAGCAAAATCGATACGAGAGGGGGTTAGCTGATAGGATAAGGCGAACTAGTAGAGACAAGGTGTTGTCAAAATCTAAAACTTGTGGTCTTGAATCGAAACGCAAAGTTGGCAATCATCGCGAAGTTGATTAGGAATTGATTGATCGAATACCGAACTCTGACTCGAAATATTTGAGCTCGACATCATAAATTGCCGATAGGAGCGACCCTCGCCTTTGCTTTCTGGACAAAGCAACAGGTACCGAGTCGAAGCTCACCTCGGCAAATACACAATGTCTTTGAAACAGGTAGGTCTAATGCTGAGTAGCAGAGATGCGACTATGAGCACGAAATACTAACTCTATACCAAAGGAAATAGAAACGTGGGTGGCGGCACTCGCCCGATACGACAATAATGAATTCGAAGATGCCCTGAAAGAATTCGATGGTATCTCGGATACGTCAAAAATTCTGTTCAACATGGGTGTCATACATGCGACGCTTGGAGAACATGAAAAAGCTGTAAGGAGATGACTTACCAGTAGTTCGCATGTCGGATGCTAACATTTGCGCGATTAGGTCGAATGTTACCAGAGGGCGATTCGACTAGACTCATATCTTGCCGTGGCCTATTTCCAACAGGGTGTTTCGAACTTCTTGCTGGGTGACTTCGAGGAGGCATTAGCAAACTTCAACGACACCCTCTTATATCTCCGAGGCAACACTATGATCGACTACGCGCAGCTGGGCCTGCTATTCAAGCTGTATTCTTGCGAGGTGCTATTCAACAGAGGTCTCTGCTACATCTACCTACAGCAAAAGGAGGCGGGTTTGGCGGACTTGAATTATGCGGTAAAAGAGAAGGTTGTCGAAGATCACAACGTTATCGACGAAGCTATCAAAGAAGAGGCTGAGGTACGAATTCAAAAGCCCACATCGATTTTATAGTATTTTTTTTGGCAAGAAAGAATTAATACTAACGCGGAACAGGGCTACACTGTGTTTTCTATCCCTGTCGGTGTTGTATACCGACCCAACGAGGCCAAAGTGCGGAATTTGAAGACCAAAGACTACCTAGGCAAAGCTCGTCTAGTTGCGGCTTCCGACAGAGCCAATGCTTTCACGGGCTTCGCCGGGTCGGAGATGAAGAATGCTGGAAGGGCTGTGGAGAAGGATGATCGTCCGACCGACAACATCTCATTTGCGGCAACAAATCTAGTTAAGCCCGGACTACAGAGCAGGAGACAACAGTCGGAACCTCCAACCAGCCGCAATGCGTTCCCCCCCACACCACCCCCAGAGAATGACAAGCCGCCAGCACTGAGTCGAGGTGCTTCAGTTCGCAACGGACCCAAACCAACGCCTGCTAGGTTGAATATTCCCGAGTCCAGCAAAGGCAGCCGTTATGATAAGACAAGTTCTCCAGCAAGTGAACGCAAGGCACCCTCGCGAGCCATGTCCGAAGCGAGATCGCCACCTCAACGAAGTTATTCAAGAGCTAGGGCTGCTCGACGTTCAAGGAATGAGGACGAAGGTTATCCTGAGGACGTCTACGACATGTATAGCGGCAGCAACAATGGTAGTGGAAATGGTGGCAGTAATGGCGGTGGCAATGGTGGTGGTGGTGGCAGATCTCAGGGTCGACGGAATCAGCAGAGATATATCGAGGAGGAGGAGGAAGGAGGAAGTGACTACGATTCTTTTGACGAAGGCGAGTTTGAGATGGTCTCGAATCGACGACCAGGAACGTCTGTGGCCGGCGGGTCATCGCGAGGTGGATCGAGACGACCCGATATCCGCAAAGTACGAATTAAGGTGCATGCCGAAGACGTTCGATACGTCATGGTAAACACGACAGTAGAATTCTCAGAACTGGTGGACCGAATTCGGGACAAGTTTGGCATTCGTCGGCGGTTCAAGCTCAAGGTGCGAGATGAGGACTCGCCTGGGTCTACGGATATGATCACGATGGGAGACCAGGATGATCTCGACATGATTATGATGAGTGCGAAACAATTAGCGCGGAAACAAAGACAGGATATTGGTAAAATGGAGGTGAGTAACTTGAAAATTCCACTACAGCATTATAACAAAAGTGATGAACTAACAAGCAATGGCAGATCTGGGTCGAAGAAATCTAGACTTTTTCTTTTTCTTTTTCTTCGTGTGCGGCATAACGATTACAACGATACCCACCCAGCATTGCGATCTGACTTCATACGATGTTAATGAAGAAATAATCTTGGCTTCACCCATTTATTTACTATTAATATGTTCATTTGCATCCATATCTTTACCATATGTACTTGCATACCTACCTACTTCGTTTCCGTTATCAATAGCGTTTTCGGCCATCACTCATCGAGAGAAATCATGGGGCTTTTGTTAGGCTTCGTTATAATACTTGGGCTCCTATACCTTAGGTTGGTTATACATATGAAACGATGGGCGCCACAGTTTCACATTCGTAACTCCTTACCAGCACCACCACCACCACCAACAGCCATCGAGATCGAACCGGACCGACCCGGAGATATCAAAATCAAGTTACGCGCCAGCTCGAGCTCGAATCGGCCCAATCCCACGTTCTCTCTACATAAACCAAATCACTACTTCCTTCATTTAATGCACCATCATGAAACCAAACCCCTCCCCCTCCCTCCTTTTTCATCATCTTATCATCATCATACACTACAAACGAGATATACAGAGAAGAGAGAGTTTAGGTCTCTCTCTCTCTATCTCTATATATATATATATATACATACATCATCCCAGCAGCTTAGAATTGGAAATAAACCGGCGAATGGATTTCACGGTCAAATCTCAAGGTTATTAGGAGATGGAGATGGGAAGTAAAATAGTTGAAATTCTTTTATTTTTATACCTACCTACAGTATTGCTACTTACATACATTTTTTTCAATCTTGGATTTTTGATTTTGATATGACTTTTTGAAGGTTTTGAAATTCTGCCTATCGTTCTTGATCTTGATATATTCGAGTCGTTGGCGTACGATACTTACTTACTTGCCCACCTAGGTTAGCCTGGTAGGTAGGTACTCAAATCATGAAGGGGGGAAAAGGGGGTTGGAGGTATAGGGAGAGCAAGGCGCCAATGGAGCTTTGAGATTTTGGCTGAATAGGTACCTAGAATTGAAGAAAGGGGAGAGGATAGGGATGGTGAATGGCAAAGGAGACAGGGGGGAAAAGGGGGAGGGGGGGGGGGGGGGATTATCTGAGTTCCAATACATAGTACCTAACCTAGGTAGATAGAAACAAAAACTCACTGATTCATGACAGTTCAGCTTCAAGTGCATTGTTGGCAAGATGTGGGCAGACAGGTAGGCTAGGTCTACTACAGCTTCCTCGATGATGGAGGCCTACCTATTCAAGGTATGTACCTACCTAGGTAGGTAGGTAGGTATTCGTGTAACCCAATTGCTAATCGAATAGATGTTGAAGACATGCACCAATAGTTGTATTCTACTATCTCCAAATCTCAGGGAGAGTACTAACCTAACCTTAGATTAATATGTCTGTATAGGTAGGTATGCTGTGTCATATGTACCGAGTACCTAGGTACATACATGTATCCATCCATCCATCCATCCATCCACCCCCTTTACACAGATTCTGACCACATATGTAGGTATCTAAGTACAGGAAGATCAGATTTCTTTTTTTTTTTTTAATTTTTCCCCTTTTTCCTTCCTTTTCTCTTATACTCGGTAAAGACAGTAAATTTCATTTTTGATCAGCTCATGGCAGTGGCATTCGGTGTTGGTGTTGGTGTTGCCTTAGCTTGTCGGTCGTCGTCGTCGTCGTCGTTGTCCTTGGTCGATGTCTTGGAGTGCGATGTGGAGTGGCTAGTGGAGTGGCTTGTAGAATGGGACGTGGAGGTGGATTTCTTTGTTGTGCTTGTTTTCGTCGTGCTCGTCTTTGTCGGGGTGCTCGTTTTTGATGTGCTCGTCTTCGTTGTACTTGTTGTCTTCGATGTTGTCTTCGTTGGTGGTGTAGTGACAGGAGGCGAGGATGAAGGTGGAGGAGGGTTGCCAGCCTGGCACCCTGAGCCGAAATCTGGCTGGCAGCCCTCGCCGCAGTAGTCCGTCGTTGCGCCACAGTATCCATGTCTACCGAACCCGAAAGAGTTAATGGGAGGAGTCCCCCTAAATTTACAGAGTAGGTATGGAGACCAGCATTATAAAAACGAGGGCTAGACTGACGCAGAGCAACAGTTTCCATATTCCGAGCCTTCGCAGGTCACGCCGTTGCCGCACTCTCCCTCGGTCGATACAGGGAGCGTGCCAGTCGGTGCAGGGGCCGTTGTGGTGCTGGATGGCAGCGGATCATCGGGAATGCCGCTACCCGGAGCGGTGGGGAGTGGAAGATCGGTTGGCACGCCCGAGTCTGGCTCTGAGCATTTGCCAAACTCAGGCTGGCAGTTTGAACCGCAGTAGTCGATCGAGCCACCGCACCAGCCATTAGTAGAGCAGCCTAGGTGGTAACTTTGATTAGACTAATGGTCATGCAGACGGCTAGAACATACATACAGTTTCCGAATTGAGATCCCGCGCAAGTTACCTCTCCTCCACACTGGCCGTCGGAGCTGACTTGCAATGTTTTGGTCGGCTGAGGTGCCTTGGTAGAGGTGGGAGTAGGGTCTAAACAGGCCCAGGTCCCGGTAGGAGCACGAGTTGTGAAGTCGTACTTGGGGACTTCGCCCGTGCCGGCACGGTACCAGTTCTCGGCGGGATCGCCCAAGCATTGCCCTACCGTAACGGATCTGTAACCGTTGCTGAATAGCGAGTCTAGGATATACTCTGTAAGGTTATAAACGGTCTGATAGTGTATGTCATGCTCGATCTCAAGGTAACTATCCTCGCATGGACTGGATCCAACGACCGCATCGTCCCATATATCCTTGCTTGTCTGGATCTCATTCGCGTCGTCGTGCAGATATCCCTCAGTGTCAAGGTCAAAGTAGACAACATGATATCCAAGATTAGCTAGCTGTGTCTGACACGCAGCTGGGCATATAGAATAAGGGGGTCTGGGCGCAGGTCGTTTAGTACACAAGTCCTCAGATCGATGAGGGCTATACGAACCGCATGTACGTCGGAAAGTAGCCGAGAATATCATTCAGGGCAATCTCATTCCATACTATTTGATTCTTAAACTGCGCTGTTGTAAGTTGACTGTAATTCTCATGTGACCACGTGTGGCTTGCGATTTGATGACCTTCGGCAGCCATTCGCTATGAAAAAGTTAGCTTTCTGTCTTATGAGCTCTGGCTACTAGGTATATAAAATCTCGGTACTTGAATAACGGTTCCCCAGGGGAGTTCTGGGTCATTGATCTTTCCCTTGCCCAAGTTGTTACCGGTGATGAAAAAGGTGGCCTTTGCCTCGTATTTCTTCAAGGTTCTTTCATGTCAGCCTGATTCTAGAGCGCCGAGTACCCAAGTAGCTATATGGGACCTACGGCAAATGTGTCAAGAAGGTCGTTGGTATACTCCCACGGACCATCATCGAAGGTTATGGCGATATCACCTTTGTTGACGCAGTCGTAGATGCCAACGCCGCCGTAACGTACGCTGCCCAGTTTTGGACGCGCGATGCTGGATGTATCCTCACCCTCAGGTTCCTGGTTACCATCGCATGCAGGACCGTAGTTGATCTGGCAGTCCGGTGCAGTACAGTAGTCTGTCCCTTGTCCACACCATCTTACCATGGAATCAGCACTGGAAAGGAGTGACAGCTCGAGATTTACTTACCCTTCAGCCGAGCAACAGTAGCCCTCTGCACATTTGGTACGACCTTGACCACACTTCCCACTTGTGTTCTGGCGTTTATCAAGTTTATCGCTTTCCTCGGCTTCCTTTTCGACGTGATTATCCACCCGACCTATCCCCCATGAAGCTTCTGACTGACTCTCCCATCTCTTTTTTCCCCTGAATTCGGACAAGAATCTTCGAGCCCCAGCAAGCTTCGGCAAGCTATGGTGAGGATCGTTTGGGACCGCATGCGCAGCTGTCTGGCTCGCCCAAGCGGCCAATATCAGAGCGTCCCACCAGCGCATTGTGTCGATGATATAACCTAACCCTTTAGATAAAGCGAATGTTAAGGTACGAGACGACACCTCTGGCCGTGAAGATTTGCTTGTTTTAAAGGAGAGGGGGACCAGGTATATTAGCCAAGGTCAATGGTTCTTCACCCAATGCATCACATGGCAAGGGGCTAATTCCCAATATATAAAGCCACGCGTAACCCCAGGGTCATTGAAAGCTGACAAGCTAGAAAAAGGCCTGAAAAAAATAATAATAATACATGGTTCCTGGATCGGAGTTCGACCAACCCTATGAAGAGCATTCAATATATATAACCGGATACTACCTTGGCGGCAGATTATATGCACCATAGAGCCAGTCATGGGGAAGGTACCGCAAACTTCTGCATCCTGAATTGCAACTATATGTCATCGTGGCGGCTCCAGAAAAGGCTGGACTGGCCATATGTAGGTAATTGTTGATGGGTGAAGGAGAATACGAGGTCGGGTTAGTTTGAACGGCCTACCTAACATTCGACGTTGACACCTCGGGTTCATGATTCCCGGACACTTCCATTCTGTAGATGGTAACAGTTGCAACTGGATATGATTGTGGGGATGAAGACGCGTCCTTGAATTAAAAAAAAGCCAACGTAGGAATGATTGGAATGGTTGGAAGGACTGAAAGGAAACTCTTTCGGGCCGCCAAGTCTTCCCGCCTCATAATCCAGCCCTTCATCCACTACGCCGTCCATGTACATGGTAGAAGGGGGGGTAAGAATGGTGAGATGGCTATATTGGATTAAATTGCAAATATGCTAAAGGCAACCTACCATCTACCATCTACCATCTACATGCCATCGAGGTACCCTGCATTGCATGTGAGCGTGGCCTTCATACAAGAATGGTAGTATGGGCATCGCTAGCCACAGCTTTCCTGAATATAGAAGGAATAAAAATAAATTAACTCCAATGGATCGTTACGTTTTCGTGGCCTCTATCGGCTCCCTCGACGGGCTTCAGGAGCTGATGTGCTCTATTCATAACCGGAATGGCGTAACTCAGATCTTTGGATCCATTTCACAATGATGACGAATCTCGGCGTGCTTGCTCCGTATCGATCGGAAATGCAATTCATTCTGTGTTAAGCATTCTGCAACGTATCTATCCCGACTAGTATGTCATCGAAGATGGAAAGATGAAGGGGGATAGAAAAGGAAGAAGGATGAAAAATCAATCCTTTTAGTTTAAGTGAGACGAGGTTTATTCTTTGCCTTCCCCAAGCTCCCTGACCCCTTGGCCACTCCGAACCCGTTTCTTCCCGGCTTGTAGGTACCTCTTCTCCCGAGCTCTGTCACGTACCCAATGAAGCCATTCTATTGATGTCCCTCGCACCGCTCCACCTCAAGCTTCATGTCCATGATGAGACTAAGCTCTGGGCAGTAGTCCAGTATCTCCCTCCTCTTCGCAGCATCTCCCCAGGCCGGGCCAGAGAGTTGGTGGCGGTCGTAGCCAATCTGGAGCCTAGCGATGTTGCCTGTGTTCTCGGCAGCGGCCTGTGTCTGGATTTCGGGGGCGACCCTCGCGCCGGGCATGATGGGGAGGCCCGATCCAAACCACTCGCCCTCGGGAATGCTGTCGTTGGTTCGCGTGAAGTTCCGGAGAAATTGCCTTACGGTCGACACCCGTCGGAGCGTGAGTCCGCCCGTGCCAGCCCAGTCCCATTCCATCCAGTCGTCCACACTCTTCTCCGAGTTCGCGCATAGGATGGTGTCGTATCCGTACTTAAGAACCCACTGCACGTCTGGGAGAAACTCGTCATAGAAGCGGATGTCGGTGAGCACACGAGCGATCTTCTCCTGGCCACTGGCCTCCCAAGGTTCCGGGAGCACGGTAAGAACCAGCTTTCCAGTATCTTGTTGGTATTTCACGGCGCGGCTTTGGTTGACGTGCATGACGGATTCGTTGGTGCCGATGAAGAGGAAACACCAGTCGAGAGGGGCCACCGAGATCATGTGAATTATGAGCGGAGCAAGATGCGGGATCGGGCGAGGCTCGATCATGAGTGCGACTTTGGATGAGCTACAGCCTCTCGGGAGCCTGTCGCGTAGCTGATCTGAACCGCACTGGGCCTCATAATCCCAGACACTCTGTCCCGTTGCACAGACCCTAGAATTTGCCTTAAAGATAGGGGCAAAAGGGGCCAAGAACTTGAAGATGAACCACCTATAAGAATTTCGATACCTATCAGTTAAAAAATTATAACAGGCTTCTACATGGCGAGACTTACACGAGAGAGACAACCAGCACCGTTCTCAATCGGCGGATAGGTGCTCGGAAGATCATGGACGCTGGGAGGCTCCAAGACAGGTGTCGTCGAGATACCATAATTTAGAATAGGGGAAGGATACCTACCTAGGTAGTAACAAATTGGAAATAGAGGCAGAGGACGATGACTAGCTTGAAGGCTAGGTACATCTTCATTTCCTTGGAAGAAATATTGCCTACAAAGGTCTATTCTAGTGACGGGAACGAAGTATGGTGAGTCGGGGTTGATTACCGACTCCTCAAAGCCAACTGACTGTCCCGAAGTCCGATTCTTTCCATTCGAAGTAATGCCTACGTGTAGACCGAGCACTGGGGAAAGCTGGATGACCTGGGGTGTACGGCGGACCCCCAATATAAAGGCATGGCCACATCGTGGACCATACGACGACTAGGGGTTGATAGTTCTCTATTGCCATCGCCACGGTCTAGGTAGTAATATAGCAAGGCTGTGGAGATTATAAAAGCTTCCATTCGAAACAAAACAATACTGACAGTTTAATTTTCGTGGAAAGTCAGTGACTGGGTGGATAGGGGCAATATTCTTGAATCACTAAAGCAGTGATCGCCCATAGGTAGGTACCTACGTAGCAAATACATCACTAAAGGCTAGGTATGGTATATATATTTTTGCTCTATGACAATTATGCTACACCTGAGCACTATCTATTCACCATCACAACTTACCACGAGTAGCTATCTTCTGACACCGCTCGAGACCACCGCCAAAATGCAGCTGCCTGCTCAACTATGGGGACGATACAAGGAAACAGAAACAGCGACAGTCAAGTGGGAATCGACGAGACAAGCAGCCCGGATCGGCGGTGCATTTATCCTCATATCGTGAGATTACCCCTATCTCCCTCTCTTTACCTACACAACAATGAGAAAAAAACGTACCTGCTTATCTAGGTAGACATCTACTGATTCCATCTATCTCCAGCCTCGCGCTCCTCATATCCCTACCTCACCTCCCCCCCCTCTCCCTCTCCCTCTCCCTCTTCTCCCCCCAAACCCAAGTACACCCACCACACCACCAAACCCCCTCAGCACCCCCCTCCCCCCACACCGCCAGCCCCAAACTCGCCCTCCTAATCGAAACCCGGCCGCTCCCGCACCTCGCGCCCCTCCTGCTGCACTTTATCGGCGTGACCCCCCCCACCTGGCGCTTCCACGTCCTCGGCTCCGACGCCTCCCTCTCCTCCTTGAAAAAATCAGCGAGCGTCCGCGCACACGTCGCGAGCGGGAAGCTGTCGCTCGGACATGTGCCGGCGGGCGTGGACGTGGGGACGCAGGAGGGGGTGAGTCGGCTGTTGACGGAGCGGCGGGCGTATGAAGTTGGTGGTGGTGGGAGGGGGGGGGGGAGGGGAGGCCTGCTCCCCGGCCCCACGCCGGCCGAGCACCTCCTCGTCTTCCAGCCCGACAGCATGCTCTGCGCGCGCAGCGCGCGCAGCGTGGACGACTACCTCGGGCACGACTGGGTCGGGGCGCCGTGGCGAGCGCACGATAGCCAGAGCGGGGAGCGCTTCTTCGGCGGCAACGGCGGCCTGAGCCTCCGCCGCGTGCGCGCCGTCCTCGAGGTCCTGCGCAGCGAGGCGCGGGCGCCCGGCAGCGAAGCCGAGGACGTGTGGTTTGCCGAGCGGCTGGCGCGGCGGCCGGGCGCGCGCACCGCGAGCGGGACGGTCGCGCTGTCGTTTAGTGGGGAGGAGCATGCTGGGGAGCCTGACGGGTCCAACCACGCTACTTCGCGTCGTGGGTTTTACGAGCCGAGTAAGTCCTACCTACCCCCTTGCAAATACTTAATTAAACCACTTTAACTAACACAACCTCCCCCCCCCCTTAAAAGTGGGCTACCACACCGGCGGCTCCGGCACAACGCTGCACCCAGCGATCTGGGGCACGCCCTCGCTGCGGAAGCACATCTGGGAGTACTGTCCCGAGATCAAGCTAATCCTCGCCATGGACGCCGCCGAGTACGTTCCGGGGGAGTGTCGTTCGACGTGGCGGAAGAGAGGGCACGAAGGCCACGAACAAGAGGAAGCGGGTAAAGAAGGAGAAGTGGAAGTGGAAGAAAAAGACCATAGTGGAGTCGGGCACGGGCACGGTACGGAGATCATCGATGGCGTGGAGTATCCGCTGCTGCCGGCGAATCTGGCGCCTTGGTGATTTGCATACCTAGGTGGGTGAACATCCACCAAGGGCACTACAAAACCCGGATCTATCGAATAAAGCCCATTAGTGGAACGAATGTAACCATACCTATGTATCCCATATTCCACACTAGGCCAACCACCTATTGATACAGAAAAGCGAGAGATGCTGAACTAAAGAGTAAGTATACATAATTAGAATATATGCATTGCTAGTCGGTTAGTTATGAGCTGTCATTTTATACAGAGTAAGTAGTACATCATACAGTATACGTTCCCCGTAACATGACCATCGCAGGTCTTCCTTCATAAATCCCTCCCCCTTTTTCTTCCTGCATATACGCAGAAAAAAAAAAGTATATTTCTTTTTTTTTCTACTATAGAGCCTCGCCAACTATATTCCCAATGGCGCCGCCAATTTCGCCGAATAGGACTCCTCGGAAGATGGTCTCGCCCATATCCTCAACCCAATGGCCCGTCTTCTTTAGACGCTCTTTCCAGAGTTCTTGTTCCTCAGCTTCTAGAGATTCCCACGACTTAGCCGGGCCATGAACTTCCTCATCGTGAACGCCAACGTGAAGGGCAGGTAATCCTTGTGGACCAGCCTCACCAGTTTCGTCATGTCGGATCACAAGTGGCTGGCTGTGGTGAACGTTGGCATCCGACAGGAGATCCTTGATCGTCTTCTTTTCGCTGACAACAGGAACTCTTCGCAATGGTTGCGTCCACATAGCAGGAAGATAGTTCTTGACACCAAGAATAGGGTTACTGCTTAGGTCAGTCGCCTCAAGGAAGACCTGCCCTACTATGGCGAGAATGAGCATAACTACTGTGAATAGTGTTATGGCCGTCATGGGCGATTCACCCTTGGATTTTAATGCTACTACATAGCGCGATTGTTTTGGAGGTCCTTCCTTTGTCTCAAGACTTGATTTGCCAATGTGCTCTTTCAGAGGTATGCTGTGTACAACTGTCGTGAAACCAACGCCTACGGTAGCTAATTTGACGGATAATTCCGGTGCAGGTTCCAATGGGGATGCTGGTGGGCTAAAAGAGGAGAATGTAAGCCCGGTGATGTTCGAGGGGTGAACATCTTTGAGTACTTGGAAAGGTGCTAGATTTGACAAAAGATCTACGCTGGCAGCAGTTTGATGATCCAACGTGAAGAGCGATATAGACGAATCGTTACCAGCAACAGCGACGACAAATTGCGCCTCGCCTTGCTTATCTGATGGGGATAGAACTGGCGACAAATTTTTCACTGCTAGGCCGGTGGCCTTAGAGACGCCCTTAGGCAATCTAGCCCGAATCGCTAATCGCGCACTTTCCGTTTCTTCTTTTGGTAGGCGAAAGCCATGCAGGGCAACGCCGGCCGAGTTGGGCTTATTGACAACAGTGATCAAGAAGCCTGGCGTGAGGTAGCGCAAAGATTTGAAAGACGACTTGGCCGTATCTCCTTCATCCGGGGTAATGGTAAATACGCATTTGGGCTCGGAAATTTCAGACTTGGAAACCTCCACCGTGAAGATTTCGTGGTCGTCGCAATACGCCAATTGGTATGTGTCGGGACCAGTCTGAACGACGTCTAGGTCCATGGCTTCCTTTGGAATATCCAGCCTGCCCCTTGATTTCCACCTCCCACTCCCAGTACATGGTACATCGAAAAGCGCAATCTCAGGCTCTTTAGATAGACCCGTCGCGATAGCGCCTAGTTGTGGAAGATTTTCGAAGGGGTGGGATAGGCGAAGAAGTCTTTGGTAGGCGTTTATGTCCTTATGCACGAACAGCGCATGGCGCGCAATCTCGGAGACCCTTACACCGCTAGTTTTTGCCGCCTTACCAGGTTGGTTGATGCCGATAATACGAAAATGCTCATTCTTTCCCTTCTTTATATCTTCCGGACTGGAATTGACGCCGGCGAACGCAGTGAGATTCTTGTCCTTCCGAGAACCGATGGCAAGGGTGGTAACATTATCTTCGTTGGGGCTCAGTTCGAGTTCGGCGATTTCGGTAAGCTCAACTTGATCGGAGGCGTCGAGGAGAGTCTATGGATTGCCGGGGTTATTATTAGCTCTAGCTCTGACACTGGCTCTTGGCATCAGAGAACGAGGACGAGGACACTGTGTGTAGTATAACACTTACGATCTTGTTCCCGACGCCATTTCGTCCAGGACCACCACCTCCAGCAACTACGAGCTGGTTCGAGTCTGTCGGGTCGAAGGCGCAAGCATAGAGAGGGTAGGATAGGGTGATCTTCGCGCTGGCGATGGTACGCTTCACCATTGTCGCAATGGGGGGAGTAGGGATTATTTGATTGTCTTGTTAAAAGTAAGAAAAGGAAAAAAAAAGGAAACTGATATCAGCTACATGAATTTGGCGACATATTCAAACCGACATTTTGAATAATTAGTTTCTAGGTAAGTAAATAGGTAATAAACTTGGTTTGGTTTACTTTTTTATTTTATTGTTGGTTGTTGTACTATTTAGGTGTGATGACGAACGTGTTTTCTCCGTGAGCAGTGAGCAGTGGGCAGTGAGCAGTGGGCAGTGAGCAGTGGGCAAAATGATCTAACCTAAAGGTTTTGGAAGCAACCTTGGAAGGCACGGCATTGACGGACAAGGCCACAATTGCATCTTTGCCCTGGGTATGTTGTGTTTTAGTGGTATTGGCCGCTGTAGATTGTACCTGGAAATGCCTGGAAAGCTTAGCTGCATCCCTGCTCCAGAATTACGAACTCGAGATTCCCACCATCCAATAATTAATCCCTGTTACCTCATCCTCCTCCTCCATTCAACTCATGCCAACTACCGTACCTAACCTACATGTAGTACACACCTATCTAGGTACGTACCTGAATAATATGACATTTCATTCGTTCAAGACCTAACTATTTGTAAAACATCGTAATATATGATTCGATATTCTTTTCTATTTATATCTTTTCTGTTCAGCCTCACACCAGACATATAACCTTAGATATACTCTAGAGAGAGATATCATTGTCAGGTAATACTATTCTACCTACTTAAAAGCAAAGTACTAGGAATGGATATAAGTATGCTAGGCAAAGAATTCCATATAGCATACGCGAGACTATACCGTCGTCTCTACACACCTACACATGTAGGCATGGCAGACTGCTAGGTTAGGGTAGGTAGCTCAGATAGGTTGAGCCTAAACCTCGCACAGCGCAAAATCATAAGTCAGCGTCCAGTGCGCCTTGGGATCCCCCTCGCGCGGCTTAAACTGCACTATCAGTTCGTCCTTGACCGCGAACACGCTGTCATCCTCCAAGTGCACGTCCTTGTCGTCGAAGACCTGCGTCGTCACAGCGCCATAGCCTTCCGCCGTCACCACGAAGTGGATATGCGCCGGCCGGTACGCCTGTCGGTCTAGCAGCTGTAGCATCTGCCCCGCGGGGCCGTCCAGGGGCACTGGGTATGCCGTCGGTCGCAACGCGTACAACGCATACCGTCCATCATCGTCCGTGAGGAAGCGTCCCCGTAAATTCATTTCCGGTGCCGTCGGGTCCTGCTGCTCGTATAGTCCGTTCGGGCCTGCGAGCCACAGGTCTACCATGGCGTTTGCCACCGGCTTTCCCGTTGAAACCGAGACAACGCGTCCCGAAATGTGCGCGCGCAATGGCTCCGCTTGCTTATACCACTCCGAGTCTGGCGCTGCGAGCAAGATGTTGCTCTCGTTGGGCAGCAACGGCGCCCCTTCTCGATAGAAGGGGCCAAGTATGGCTGATGGTGTGGCAATTGATCCGCCTTTAGCGTTGAGGAGAAGTTTAGATGTGATCTCGTCAACAAGAGACTCTAGGCCAAGAATGTCACACACGAGACCTGTCTCGTTGCGTTTGTCATCCGACATACGACCGGCCTCATTTATCTAGGCAAATCGGGGTAAGTATGTCAATTACGTCTCAACTTTTTTTATATTGGGCAAAGGAGTCAAGATCATGATGGGAGTGTAAGTTAGACTCACTAGGTCGACTGCTGCCATCCACTCTGCACATGTCAAGTCTACCTCCCGAGCGAAATCATGTAGGTGTCGTAGCAAGCTCGGCATGATCTGCTTTAGTCGAGGATGAGCATTGGGTCCCGTGGCTGCGATGACCTTGTCCGTGAAATCGGGGTCGTACTTGGGCTTCACAGAGGAGGCCCCATTCGTCTCCTCTTCCTTCCTGGTGACCGCCATCTTGGAGCACAACCTATATGAGCTCGCTTTATCTCGTTGAATTTCCTCGGGGAAGAACTCTTTGACGGGGTCGTCTTCGGTCTCGTGGTAGTGGCGCGTGGAAATACCAGAAGATTCGAGATGGTGTAGTCTTATGACGTTAGGTATGCGGTGGAAAGTATTGAACTACTACTGGATGTATGACCTGTAAGTCTCAAGATTTTCTATAACTGCAGAACTGCCGCCCAGATGAGAAGTAAGGTGTGTGTATAAGTTGCATCCATGCCCATGTATTAACGTACCTAGTAGTGAGTAAGGAACATTAAAGAGGTTGAGTCAGATCAAGGCGACACAAGTTATGCCGCGTGCCTACCGTCTTAGTTCGTGGAAATTAGGAAGTCAGGACTCACCCCATGACCAGGTAATCTTTTTGAGTTCCCAGCCATTTACCTTTGTTATGCCTACCTTGTTTAAAGCTTTGTTCATTTTGTTTTCTTTCGGAAGGTGGACACCTCCACGCAACTCCCCGCTGGCAGTCGCGATCACTTGCGCAGAGGCTTAACAAAGGAATTGGCTTGTCAAAGGCAAACGCACGTAACGAATACTATGCAGGTACATACATATGTAGACTACGGGTAGACGCAGTACCAGTGCCCTTAGGTACCAGTGACCTTAGGTACGTAAGGTGCCTACTACATGTACCTAGATATTTATAAAAGGACTGAACAGCATGAACCCGGCCCCAACTCGAAGAAGCCTCAGACAAAGGAACCGAAAATCCAATTATATACCTTTATGCACATGTCCAGCTTCCGCTTCGTGTGACCGTTCCGAGTTCTCGGGGTGATCGATCCACTTACCCCTTGCAGGCGGGATAGCTGCCGCTCTGGCTTCCTACATACATGTGCATTTAGAAGCCCTACCCTAGTTTGTCTGAACGCTTATTATTCCCCCCTCGGGGAGGAGGAGGAGGAGGAGGAGGAGGAAAGAACAAAAATTCGTTGTCGTCTGTGGGGTTTGATCGGTATCGATGCCATCAACATGATCGATGCCTCTATTCAATCTCCTGGATCGAATACCCTAACCTAGGTAGGTACGGATAGGTGCTTATATATATATACCTATATATGGTACCTATATACTTACATATCTACACACTTAACACGTCCATTCTGTTGTAAATCTACATATCTTAGATACTTACCTACTATGTACCTACCTAGCCCATCTTTGCACAACAGAACACACCGACCATGGAATTCCAAAAACCTTGAATGATTACCTACTAATGCTATACTTTTGAATTTTCTTGAAAGTGCAAAACAAATGACCATCTCTCCAGCTGGACTCCCCGTACCCCCCTTTCCCATGCATGCCGTATATAACTAAGTAGGAACAAATATCAAACGCGCTTGTCTGCTATGCCTCCTCTCCTCCTGCTCTAATGCACACAAGCATTGTATTTTAATCTTGCTTCGAATGCCCCCCCTCCTCAACAGCCCCTTCTGCATCCCCATCCTCAATCACCTCCTCGTCGCCATACCTATCACTATAAGTCTCGGCATCTCCATCCCCATCATCGGCCTCCGTGCTTTCTTCGTCCGTTGTCCCAGTGCCACTACTCGAGCGCAACAGATTCCTCAGTCCATCTTCATCGATGATACTTTCGATGCTGCCTCTTCTTTGCCCTGTAGATAGCGTCGCCCGACGGCCCTCCTCGATGAGTCGTTCGGTCCGGAGCCTGTTCTCGATGAACTTGAGCCGGGGAAATGCGCTTTGCTGGCCTTCGTGGAGCATGCGCGCAAGACGGTCCGAGTCCGGGTCCGATAGGATGTTTATAAAGTCACTTGGCGACGCCTGGGGCCAAATGGTGATAGTCCCGCTGAACTGCTGTAGCCATAGCTGAGACCAATCCTGGCCAAGCGGCCTGGGTAATAGCTCTAGGTGCTTGAGCACCTTTAGCCACTTTGTTAAATCGAGTTTAATGTACTGCTCCGTTGCGGAGCCGAGATATCCGCCTCGCCAGCCGCGACCCTTCCGGTGTGTTACCGGGGAGCCTACCGATCCCCTGGACGAGAAGAAGAATAAGGAGATGTGAGGGTTAACCTGGCTCACTATGGTAAAATTGACGTTGAAGTGCAGATTGAGTGCCTTGATAGGTATATCAGTTCGCAAGCTGCCGTCTTTCCACTTATGGCCAAACGAGTACGGAACGAGGGATCCGTCTCGAGTCTTCATCATCAAAACGACCGGATTCTGGATCCCAGGAACCGCAGCGGATGCCAAAACGGCGGACCAGATCACACAGTCAGGGGATGTGAGATAGTTGCAAAGAATCGTCGGCGAATGGGGATCGGCCGGAACGCAGGAAACGTTCAGAATGCGTCCGGTCCGTTGGTAAGCCTCCCTAAATGTCATGGAGCCCCTACTCCACCAACTACTTTGTCGAGCCCAATCAACGGAGTCGAATCTCGCACCGGTCTTCCACCATCTGGGGAACCAGGTGGTGATTGGCTCGGAACAGGCCGTGAGTTTACATGACAAGGCAGGTATTAGCAGCTGCCTCAATTCGTCGTTGGTCCGCGTAGCCACGAGGGATGCCACCAAAGCACCGCCGCTCGTGCCTGTGATGACATCTGGTACGAGATCCGCTTCGAGCAGCGCCTTCACGACCCCGAAATGGTAGTACGCGAAAGCTGCACCTCCGGATAGGCAGAGGGCGGTGCGCCCATAATTGGCATGCATTCGTTTAAATAATCCGCGCTTCTCGTCAAGGGATAGCTGTTTGGTATTTGTCAAGAAGCGAGTGCTTCTCTCCACTATGAGTAATTATGTTAGCTTCCATGCACGATTTTGTAAACCTTTGTCTGTGACAAACCTTCATCTACGAAGTTCTGGACTAGATTCTTAGTTCCATAATACGTCTGACTATAGAGTCGTGGATTCTCGACCCCCACGAAGTTGTTTTTCACGCAAGCTTCTGTTAGAGCTTTCAGTTCTTCGACCACCTTGTTGTCTGCATCTTCGCCGGATATGTTTCCACGTTCGTACCCAGGCGCATTCGAGTACTTTGATTCTGCCTCCTCAGCAGCCTTCCTATGCTTGCGAAGCTGTTCCCAAACGCGGCGAACCGTCTTGGAGTCATAGTATGCGTACTCGTTCTCTTCTTTCCATTGTTGGTTTCCTAGGAAGGAATCCATCTCCTTCGCCGCCCTGACCCAGTCACGATAGCTGCTTGTAGCTCGCATATTTCGACGTAGCCTCTCTCTAGCCCCTCTCCAGGCGATGAAGTGCTCATACAAGAAGATGTATAACCTTGTAAGTAGATATGATGCCCCTAATCCGATGATCCACATTCCAACAAAGAAGAGAAAGGGCCATTTTAGTAGACCATATAGATGCCCCTCACGTGTCTCATCTACTGTGCGCCGGCCCAACGCCGTCTTCTTCCTTCTCTTTCTCCGGACATGCTTAGATATCTTCTGATTCACTGGCGCCCAATCGTTCTGCGCCGTGATGAACATACCCCCCTGAGGACCGCTTTGCGTAGCACCTTCGGGGTAGCTTGGAACGTCTGCCGACGCCACGGAGGCGGATCGAGTCAGCTCAAGGCTTCCCGTGCTCATAGCACCGGGGCTTCGTAAAGAGGAGGAATCGTCGGCGACATTGGGTATTGGATCGGGAGCGTTTAGGGCGGAGGCGAAAGCGGCAAGGTGTTCGGGGGGGAGGAAATCTCGATCGACGTCGGGTAACCTTGTATAATCGAAAGCTTCTGGTGGAAATCCATAGTTGTGACGATGTCTGCCATTCAGGAAAGACACCCGAGGTTTGGGAGTTTCAGCTGCCATACTCACTATCTTGACGTTGAGTACTGATGACCATTATGCAGTCCAATAGCAACGGTAACAAGAAATGAAGATGGTCTAGCTGAGGCTAGAAATCACGAACTGATCTGCATACAGCTATACATATATATACAAATATGGTGTAGCATTCAATGTTTGTATTATTTGTCGGGAAAATTCGACCTTTTCCGTGCCAATACGAAGACACGAGAAGATTAATGTAGAATGAAGTGTGTACAAAAGTATTAGAGATGATTTGAGTGGAAAGACGGGAATCGGCAATGACGTCGAGTCAGCTGGCGCCACAATTCCAACCCTGTAAATTATATTGGCTCGAGCGCTCAATCACCCATGCATGTCTCTATCTCCTTTATGTATCTACATAGTACGCTAATGTAACCACGCGGCAAGTCAGGTGCGTACTTTGTTGAGCTATGTACCTACCTAGGAAGGCACGGAGATAGCCGGGCGCAACAATTCTCATCATGTACCCTAGGTACTGTACATTACTACATCTGTGCATACCTACATATGTAGTATTCATACAATATGTAGTTATTGCTGTGCACGTTACATAGCCCTGGAGATATTCTAGAATAATCTTCAATGTTTACAATAGGGGTACAATAGGGGATTCATAATTATACTAATCTACATATCTACGCCTACACTAACTAGCGAAGTTCTATCGAATTGGATAGAAATTCCCTGGTGCTTCCGGCCCTGACAATGCTGACGTTGGCTCACTATTATACCCAGTTACTTACACACACATATGTAGTCAAAGACAAGATAGGTATATGTAGTTTAAATATGTAGTTATGTATGAGTGTATTTATAAGAGATGGGGAGAGGAGTTCCCTAGGTAGGTATTCATGATATATTAAACATCCATCACAATGTCGTTGCTATGATGCTTCAAATGTAATAATGCTCAATTCATTAATGCGATCTGGCGTATGCCTCTAGCCATTGACTCCAAAGAAATAACTCGGAAAACATCGACATTCGGTATGGTAATAGCAGGCTGTCAGAACTCCGTGTTTCCCAGACGGCCATTGCATTCTTCATCTACGTATTCATCCCTATTCGGTGTATGGAAACACCTGTATCCGATAGTTTGTCAATTGCGTGTCTAGACATACTGAGAAAGCCATCTTATGCCCTCGCCGTATCCTACATCGACATGTTAGTTCCCACTGAAGCTAGACCGTAAATGACCGTAAATCATGATAATATGCTTAACGAACCTTGTCTCATCACCACGGAGCACATGAAGACCTCGATGGGCCTAATTCCCTCCAGCGGAACCTTGCCTTTGCCGGTGGTTTGATACAGACCCAACTCGTGACGGAGCTGGTCTTCTGACACAGCATCGGGATGGTCGATCTTGTTTCCGAGGATAACAAAAGGGACCTTTGCAAGCTCTTCCATGGACAAAAGGGCGTCGAGTTCGGCCTTGGATTCAGATAAACGGTCGTGGTCCTTGGCATCAACAAGGAAAACGATTCCGTTCACTTCCGGGAAGTAGTCCTTCCATAGGCGACGGGCTGTCCGGGATTAAGCGGTTAGTTCCGACCCTCGCACGAAATAACGGAATTGAGGAGCATACCCTGCTGGTGACCACCGAGGTCGAAAGTGGTGAAACGCACGTTACCGATAGCGAGCTCTTCGGATGCTAAATAGTAGATAGTATTAGTGAATAGGCACATGCGACCGATGATGACAAGCTAAGCGCATGCAACGTACTGGGATGTAGAGTGGGCTGGAGAATGGCGACTCGATCATTCTGTAATTCGATTTAATCAGCTTTCCATTCTTTAAAATATAGAATGGACCTCGACAGGCCAGAAAAATGTTTCGAGGTTCGCATATATTCGTAGTCGTTGACACGAGAGGCGGGGAGCCATGGATTTACGGACGAACCTTTAGCATGTGTAAGAGAGTTGTCTTTCCAGCGTTATCGAGACCTAGGAAGAGTAGCTTGGCATGCTTGTTCATTAAACCAAGCGACGAGAGGACGTCGTAGACTGGGAAGAGTCATGTCAGCAACTGTCAGGACGCAGCCATCACAAGGGTTGAGAGCGAGACGCGGAGGATACATAAACTTACACCACTGAACAATCCACATCTTGACAATTCCTATAAGCGAATACGAGCAGGCAAAGTAAAGTAATCAAGTTTCGCAAGTTGGTATAGGAAAGGTTAGTTTGATTGGTTGGTTAGGAAGGTGGTATATTGATAGAGGTGATTGCAGGTGTTCGCGGAGAGAACAAGACGGTGGATGATGAAAGACGATATATAGTCCAAAGGCCGTTCCTAGGAAAATTGCTAATAAGGTTAAGGACAACTTGGAACTGGGTAAGTACTAGGTACCACCTACTAGCGTTGACCACATCCGATCGTTGATGTCCATATCACTGGTGCGGATTGGGTTAAGCCATTTACTACTAGCCACAATGTGGCTTAAATGCTTACACCGGGCACTACTAGATGTAGTAGTATGCACCTGGCACCTTACAACCGTCTCATGACCCTAATACTAACATTTACCTACACAGTACATACAGTACAGTACACCCTCATACAAAATAACGTGAGGTCTCACGTCTTCAATGTTACTCTTTATCAAGGTATGAAAATGACGACACCGCGAGTAGGTATACCTTTACCCAATACCAACAAATATAAAATCTGCAACAGACAATTGATGCTCTGCTCAAGATACTCAACTTAGTCTTGTTGCGGTTACCGGCGTATTCCGTGAGTCCCTACCGAATGTTCCGCGGTGGTGGGGGGAAACCCCCTAGCAAGAATCTGAAGATATCCAAAGTTATGTTATATACCTAAAATACCCTAACTCTAGGTAGGTAGTACGAGCCGCTTCAGCAAAACTTACATCTCAGGCTGGGCGACTTATCTTTGACAACTTAAAAATCCGGGGAGCAGATATTACTATCACTCACTCTTAAATAATCGTAAATAGCTGAGGCACTTGGGGGATAATGATTTGTTTCGAAGCCAAAAAAACATAGATATAATTCATCGTGAGAGAATGACAAGAGTCGTTGCTACTAAGTACGGTCCAAATAAAACATATATATATATATCATACATCATAAAAGATATGTTCAATTTCAAGTATATCACCGGATCGCCGCCCTAATGCTGATGTGCCGTCCCAAGTGGTATCCTGATTGATTCAATGCTCTCCGCCCAATGCCAGTGAAATGGGAAGCATGTGTGCCCCCCCTGTGCTCGTGTCGAATACGCCGATATTCATTGAAAGCGAGGAAAGAAAAAGGTATAAAGTTATATACAATGGGCAAGCCTAGGTAAATCTAATCCTAAGCCCCCTTTCTGAGAAAAATAGGTGCAGTGAAAGACAGCAATAATAACAATCCGCGGCCAGCCCTTGTTGTGTTGAACAAGCCGCATAGCTAAGGCCTCCATCTACTAGATGGACAGGACAAATTGGTCCGGGCCTAGCTTTCCAGCCATAAGAAGACCGATCTCCCGCATTCGTTCCGCGCCCTGGCCAGGCTGAGGCTTCTTCTCAGTAACCTGGCCCTTTCGCGCTCTATTGCAATGCTTTTGGAGATACTTCTCCTTAAACTTCTCCTTCCGTCGTTGCCGTTTTTGCTCAAGACCCTTGACAATATCAATAGCACCACGTACATGACCCTTCGCGTTCGCATTCGAAAGCTTTCCAGTTCGGCGGTGAGCCTTCAGGTGATGAGGGAACATTGCCGGAGCCCGAGGGAGGGATTTGGTGTGCGTCAAACCGGGTCGGAACGCGAGACTCTTGAATTCATGTTTTCCGCGGTTTGCATCAAATACTAGTGACGAGGGAGGAGATCGCACCACAGGTCGTGGGGCAGGCGACGCAGGCCGACGCGGTGATTGTCTGTCAAACAAACGCCTAGGCGACCGACCCCGAAGCTTGGGGGGAGAATGATGGCGTTTAGGCGGTGGAGAATGGTATCGTTTAGGCGAAATTATATCAGTCCTCTTCTTGCGACGTTCGCCACCGTTTTCATGATCATGAAACAAATCATCAGATAGATGCACATCACTTTCATGAGCTGCGTAATTTGGTTCGATATCTTCGTCCTCCGGTTCGGAGGTCGGGAAACTCGGATCAATGTCTTGGGGAATCGGGTGGAGCTTCTCCCGTCGTCTAGCAGCGATACACGAGATGTAGGCATCTTCTAGAGGACGATCCTCATCTAGCGTGCCACAGACAAAATCAGTGCTGTCGGGCAACTCAGGTGTGCCAGGGCGCATTTTGATTCGACGAGGTCTCTCCCGTATCCGCCTGCTAGGGGTTTGGTGTGCATCCGAAGAAGAAGAAGAATCAGACCGATTACCCGTAATCGATGGTCGGCGGTACATAGGCGTGTCACCGGAGAGTCGAAGGACTGGGCCTCGACTGGGAGTCCACAGCTCCAAGTTTCCGCCGTCATCATCATCATCATCAGAATCGGCAAAGCCAATTTCATTATCCGTGTTGTATCCATCTGAAGCGTCGTCACCGGATCCATAGCCTGATTGGTCATCAATATCGTCGTCTCCGTCCACCTCATCCTCTTCCAAGATACAACCTGGATGGTCCACCACATCCTGGTCTTCATCATTGTCAACGTCCTCATCCTCGTCCTCATCCTCATCCTCATCCTCATCCTCATCATCTCCATTAAGGTCATCATCATCTTCCTCCTCTTCTTCTAGTTCCTCCTCCTCAGCTTCCTTTGCTAGTCGCCGAATTTCATTTTCTTTACGAAGCGTGTCATTGATGGTTAGCCGACGACCGGATGCTGGAAGGTTTAGGCGGATCCAGTCTTCCTCTTGTGGCTCGTCGCTTGCGAACTCGTGGAAACGGGAAGATTCGCTGTTCAGGTCGCCTGGGTTGGCAGTCAAATATTTGGCTGGGCGAACCGCCATGGGGCTGCGAGATGAAAGTCGCGTGGCCAAGGCCTTCTGAGTCCGGCCACGGCCAATTGAAGAAGATCTAATTTTGCGCACGGTATTAGGAGAGCCATCATTTTCCTTTAATGATTGGATAGCTGAGGGGATCGCCGTCTCTTGCACATCAGATTTTGGCGGTGTTCGGGTAGTGGGCTTGGCGGGACACGCGAATTTAATACATGTCTTTCTCTGTGGTTTTTCCTCAATGGCTGGCTTGGATTCGATGGGCTGGAGCGAAGAGGCTGGTTTCTTCACCTCAGCTTTCGGGCCACATGCGAACGAAATGCAACGTTTCTTGGGTAAAGCCTCCACTGTAGGAGCTTTCGACTCTCCGTTATTTCCCATTGGTCCACGTGATTTGACGGAAGGTGTAATTTGCTGGGTTTCGTGAAGTCGATTGAGTCTTTGCTTTGCGTCAAAGAAGAGATCCGAATTCAACCGAGAGAGGGATATAACGGGTGGTGGGGGACTGGGTGTGTTTGTGCGCGCGGGGCTTGTAAGTCCGGTATCACTTGTAAGGTCAGCCGTAGATGCAAGGCTAGCATTGCTGTTCATCGATCGTCTTCTAGACGACGCGTCCAGGTCAAGACCAACAACAGTTGCCTCCTCGGAATCATGCAGGGCCTTGGTTAGTAGAGATTTCGAGTTATCTCCTACTTTTTTTATTGCGCTTCTCTTGAATTGGTTTTCTCTATGCTGTGCACGACCACGACTATCGTCGGGGGGTTCGTCAACTTCAGCTGCAGCCTCATCTTCTAGCGCATGCACGTGCGCCCCTTGCGCAGACAGTGCCAACATGTTCGTGCTGGTCGAGTCGATCTGATGATTCGTCATTTTGGCGATGGTGGTGACGCAGTGACCACACCTTAATAGGAGTTGTTTATAGATGTGTTCGCGACGTAGGATGTACTAAATGACCTAGATGTAAGAGTTCGATTTGTCTCCAGAGACGTCCTATTATCTCAACTTTGGAGCAAATCAAGTTCTTTGGTAGTGGAAAGATGGCAGGGTCAGATGCGAGAGGGTATGAATATGGAATTTATCGAAGTTTCGTAGGCTACACAAAAGTGCAGACCAAGTCCCCAGACTGGAGATTTGGGGGTAATGTCCCTAGGGACCGTTTGGCTATAATTGTCGGCCCATGGCGTCGTGAACCGTATTCAAGAATGTTGTCAAGAGAATTTAAATATCAAATATCGGTTGAAGGGTCTCACTCCCGGGTGAAGCCAAGAGATATAAATCGGCACTCGGCGGTGGCGATGTCTTGGAAATTCTTGGATCGTGGCAGTTGTTGCGCCAAGTTGAGTGATATAATATTCTGACTGTGTGCGTACGTAGGTACCTACTATGTAGGCGTGCGTGTGTATAGGCAAGTATAGGCAGGTAAATATGTAGGTAGGTAGGACAAGGCGCCGGAGGAATTAGACAGTAAAGTATACGGTAGGTTCGTCAGCAGTTATGAAGGTGTATGTACTGTAAGTGCTGAGCTGAGTACAAGAGGCGCAGGGGTCTTGGAAGTCTTGGGGTGTGTATCCGTTAACCCTTAGTTAATTACTAGGTAATAAATCGAAGAAGAAGAAAAGAGGTACGTCGAGGCAGTGTCTTGGTCGAAGAAGGAATTAAAGGTTCAAAGTTATTTCGCAAACGTCCAAGGACCAGAAAGTCCTGGCCCAGAGACCCAAGGGGACTCAACAACGAATGCTTGGAAAAATAACTAGTGTAGACAAACTCCAGACACAAGGTGGGAGGAAGAAGTGATAGAAATGGGAAATGAAGAGAGGGGGACGGGCTCTCTAAGAGAAGCCAAGAAAGAGGGTCGAATGAATGAGCCAAAGGGTGTACTGGATAGGGTAACAGGATCTGGTCTGCCTTCTTGACGGCTTGGGAAGTGGTAAGCGTCTTTAGGAAGGGTTTGTTTGCATGTGGATACTTTCTAGGGTCAGGCAGAACAGACATTTAAAGCTATGATGGATGATGGATGTACTAAAAATGTACATATGCACTAACAGTGACTGACTAACTAATACCAAGTAAGAAAATCAGCATAACGGGATTTGGATCATCGCAACAGTCACCAGTGAGTGTAGTGCTGAAGCGCTGTAGCGGTGGGAAAGCTTGAAAAGGAAACGACTAGGAGGACAAGGTGGGAATTTACAAGCGGGAAACAAGTGGGAAACAAGCGGTATGGCCAACTTTACTGGTGCATTTGTACATAATGGGAATAAAGGGTTCAATGTTGTAAAAGTTCAATGAACATAAGTCTGGTCAGTGGTCACTTACTACATAGTAGTTAGTGGTAAGCAGTTAAAGTTGGACCTAAGTTGCATGTGGTAGGTACTCGAATAATTTGAAAGGCCCAGGACTCTAGCCTAGTTACATACAGGACTCATCCGAAAGACATCTAGACCCAGGTAAGTACATATTATGTATTTATCCTAGCAGTAATTATGCGCATAGTACTGGGTAGGTACGTGAGTATGTACACATAGGTACATATATGTGCATGGATATGTGCATATAATTGGGGGTACATACCTGGTATGTAAATTGTGTACTATCATACTAACTACTAGGTACCTAGTACTATGTAGTGTATGCATACAGTGCTGTACTCCGTATCGTAATGCAAGTCATAGACACTGTGAGATGGAGTGATTCATCTGTACATAACTACGTACATACCTGGCATACCAAACTGTACTAGGTAATGTTGCCAGCCCTGCTGCCCTAGAGCCGCGGATAATGAAGGCTTGGAATCTTGGCCTTTCAACGTGGGTAAAGTTGGTCCCCTAGTCCCAGCATCTCCCCTTTTCCACTTTTAACCTATGTAGTATCTAACTACATACTACTAGTGTACATACATAGTAGTAAATTGTAATAACATATAAAAAAATCATTGAAGCATCAGCACTGATTCAGCAGCCACTCATCACCGAGAAACCCCCGGATTAAAGACAATTTGTACACTATCTGGACACTATTTGTTCTGCCACGGTGCCACCACAATATCCAATTGATACCAAGAGTTGATTCATTCATGTTGTTTCTTTCATCTTCTCCTTTTCTTTTTTTCGATATTTTTCTAGATCATTTCTAGCTTCTCGGTGCGACATTCCAACTTCGCAAGACAATGGGAATAGAAAGCCGATTTCGCTTCTCCCATCTTCTACATAGTAATTGTTTGAATCTGCATCGCATCACAACGTGCATGTGGTACAGCAGCAATACATACATCCTGAGTGTTGCTTCGTACAACATTGAACTTGAACAGCATTGAATACAAAAGACGAGCGGTTACATACATAATGCACTACATAATGTAGACAGTAGTACTACAGGGGGCCGAGGCCGCTCTACAGAGATGTCCGGGCGCATCTGGACCTGCAAGTAATTTCTGCTAGTTGGAGGGTACTAATATGCCGTAGAATGTAGATGTCTAATTTTGTTTAAGCTGTATTAAATACTATTAATATGTATGTACGTACATGTGTACATGAACGCTGGGCTGAACATCCGCACAGATTCCGCTGAATGTCCAAGTACGGATCCCGCATCATCGTGATGTGCTTTTAATCGCCTAATCGACTACTCCCCTAATATGTGCATACGATGCCCCTAGGGCCCCCTATTAATCCACATAATCTAGCGATGCAAATTTCTTCTCTGCAGGTTCAAGGGAAAAAAAAAGTTTTCTCTTCCCGATTACTAGCATATTGTTGAGAGATAGTTACCATCATCTCCTTCGCATAGACCTCCCTTATACGATGGCTGTCCACTGTATACCTCAGGTCCTCAGCGCTATTACTTAAAGTCTTGTGTGCCTACCTAAGGCTAGGCCGTTAACCGCTCCTAGTAGTATCCCGTGCCATGTGGTGACTCTGGTGAGGGATATAACTGAGTGCCTACATTATTAGTACATATGTGGTTGGCAGGTCGCAACATTGAAGCTTCTATTGTTTTTCCACGATTACAGAATTATTACGGCACATTTTAATCTTGGAAGTGCCAAGATCCCAAGCCGGTTAAGAAAAAAAGTTGATTTATACATACAACTTGTATGATACAAGAGCAGAGTGAGAAGCCAAGAAAGGAATAAACATGCAGTAGAGGTGAGGCAGATCAAAGAAAGTTCGGATGCAACCGTAAATGTGTAAATGTTGCATATCGTCTCACCCACCATCACCTCGCCTAATCCGAATGTTGTGTAATGGTACCCTTTACCAATCCTGCTTGTCTGACCACCGCTCATCTGCACCTCTGCACCTCTGCACCTCTGCACCTGTAAGGTTTCAATCTTCAATCTTTGAGCTCTACCTGATAAAACTCTTTATGTGTACCATGCCATTGCTACTCGGACAAAGCGGTGAACTCTCACATCCTTCTTTTTTTTCCCTTACCGTTCCGCCGTTCCACCAGACGAACATTGAACCTTAGCAATCCGAAACGTCCGGTCGGATTACCTAGTAGGTAGTCTATGTAAGTATGCTATGTAGTATTAGCAGTATGCCTGGTTCCCAGTTAATGTTTCATCAACAAAGCCAGCGAAGCCAGCAGATCCCCGACAACGGCAAGGTTAGCCTACATATCGCCTACATATCGCCTACATATCGCCTACCTATCAATGATCATACATACATAAACCTCAAGAACATTAAAGGGTAAAACCCCCCAAATTCAACTTTGGCCAAGTCTTGCATGTGCTCAAAATTCAAATGGCCAAGCGAAACATCCATTGAATGGTAGACACAACACAGTCCAGCACAGTATAGTCCATGGAGAATGTACATAGAGTATCTGATCCGTTGTACCGGCGCTGCTCATACCCAGCCTCGGTGATTCGTCCAACGTCGAACCAACAGGTCAGAATCCTGCGTGCAGCATGACATTTGGTACCGTTACGCAACATCCTTGCAGGCTGCAGCACGCAACCTATTTCAGACCACACGCGGGTGTTCGGGATAATAAAGGCATAGCCCTTAGTGGACATGTGGGTTTTTTCGCTTGCCTCATATGCAACTCTATCATTCACACCATCATGTCCACTGACATCAGAAAATATAGTAGACGCCACTAAGATCTCACACTATTGTGTTTTTGTTTGTCTCGATAAACAGATGCGCGCAGCTCTTGTAGAACACGTGTTGGCTATGGCACTGCCAGGCCATGTGACGCCTTCCGTTAGCTGACATGACGAAGTGTGGCGATCCATTTTCCATCTACCATCTTCCATCTTCCATCTTCTGTTGAATCTGTTCCCCCCCCCCAATTGCGTCGAGGTGCGCTAATGGACTAGAATCATCGCGAACGAATTAAAGGTAGAGAGGCCCCCCAATAAATAGGAGGTAAGGAGGTAGATGATCATCTTTAAACAGATCCTACCCATCGTACGAAACACGCTCTTGGCCGGCTAAGAAGAGGGGCACTTGAGGGGTAACGATACTAACGAACCTGACCGTGCCTTACGTGCCCCGTTTCCTTTGCTCCAATTCCAGTTGATATGCTGAGATTTGGCCGATTATCCCCCGCCCGTTTTTGTTCATCGTTGCTCCTCTCGCTTTGGTCAGTTGGTGACCAGACAACCACGGCAAGGGATGGCTGGTCAAGCTCACTCGTAAGAGTCGTAACCTACCTAACCTACCGGGTCTGCATACCTCGTACGCTCGTTCAATGTTACTATCTACGTAGTATGTAGTTTCTCTAGGAGTCCTAGTAGACTGGTATGGCCACCATAGTGTGCATTCGAGGACCCCCCGCAACTACAGCTGGACAATAAGCTTTGTACAAAATATGCTAGTTAGGACCGTTAGGTTAGTTAGGTATGTTGCAAGTGGGCGGCATCAGCGCGTGGTTTAAAATACTAGCCCTAGCTCGGGCAATCCTCCGCTAGCGATTTGCATTTTAATTCCTAGATACATAGTAAATACAACATCGTACCTATCTAAAGGAGCACATGGGAACAACAAGGGAACAGTATGAAAGGGTCCAAATCCCTGTCGCTGCCCCTCGTTTGGTGATACATATCCCGATATCCAGATATCTAACGATGTACGACATAAACCTGTAGAATGGTTCAGGGTCCTCGATTGACCCTGCCGTATGACCGTCATTACTGATTTTAGCGATGCCTTGCCTCGATAAATCTATAAATGTATTGTGAAAAGAGGGCATACTTGAAAGTAGGACTTACATACATACACACACACACACACACACACACACACACATGGCACACATGCAGTGCATACATACATGCCGAGGTAGATAGATAGGTACCCAAGAAAAGCGATGACGCAACATTGCGAGCGATCTACACTGACGTCTCGGTTGGCGCCGTCTTGGTAAATTTATACATCAAGCATTGAGCATTGAGCATTGACGCAAGATCACCGTTACAATGTGACCCTATGAATCAAGTTCACGCAGACCCCTAAGGCCTAAGGGCCATCAGATGTCCCGGATCATAGCCAGCGGGAAGAAGGATGGGCAAATGGATATGTTTTGTGGTGGATTGAAATTTGGTTGAGTCGTCGGTCGGGACTTGGCAGGGCAAAGTTCACCCTAACAGAAGGACCACGTTTTAAGGCGCAGACTTGACAGCTTGGGTCATTATGGCGACAGAATGACATGAAACGGTCATGTTAGAGATAGTTACAGTACCTAAATGCTACATACATACCTATTAGTACTTATGTCGTTAACTACCTAGTACCCTAGGTATATCGTAAATTCAATGTTCTTTTAATAGACCCCAGTTTGAGATCCTTAGGACCTTGGCTGATTACCTGCTTGCTTACCTGCTTACTGCTGGGCTAAGTATGCACCTAATCAGTTAAACTTATATGTAGCTGCTCGTAAAGAAAAAGGGTTGATGAATCCTTCATGGCAGTGATGGGTGTGTGGAGTATTGAGATATTTCATTTCATCCGATGACTAATGTGGATGTTCTCGTCATGTGATGGTGATAGTTAACTACATAGTTAAACTCTAAAGTTACTGACCAGCTTATGTAATAACCAGAAACAGAATTTCAAATTTCAAATTTCAAAATCAAAAAATGCTCAAATGCTCCAAAGTCACGTGAAAATACTACCTACTCCCAATGAGGTTAGAATCACCCATTCTACCGATTGCCCGAACAACTTCAATGTTCCAAACTTCCTAAATTGCTTGTTAGCGAACATTTATCGTGAGCTTGAACTGTCGCATATCCTCAATTGACAGCACCAATCATCATGAACACCCTCCGTGTCGCTCGCGCAGCCCTTAGGGCTCGTCCCGCAGCCATCCGGCTTCCCATTCAGCCCCTTCAGCGCAGGTCATACGCTGATGCCGCCGCTGAAAAGGTTTGTCTCTGACACAAGTATTCGAATTATGTCTTGATGTCTTGATCGCTAACATTTTGCTTCAGATCAAGCTAAGCTTGGCCCTCCCTCACCAGGTATAATTAAATCACCATCTCGATATGAGTCCTCGGACAAATAGGAGCCTCCTCTTTTCGTTATGCTGCGCAATGCCTTGATTAGCACATGCTATGCTACAATGCAACGCACACATTATTCAAGTGTCAAGCTAGCTAATTCCCGCAATAGTCTATATACACGTCCCAAGATGTCGTCCAAGTCAACATTCCCGCCGAGTCAGGAGAGATGGGTGTCCTTGCCAACCACGTACCATCGATCGAGCAATTGAAGCCGGGTTTAATTGAAATCGTTGAGGATACCGGCAGCAGCAAGCAATTTTTCCGTACGTAAAGAGCAATGAGGATATAGCTTTAGGAAGCAATGCTAAGAAATGGTCAAATATAGTCTCAGGTGGCTTCGCCGTTGTACAGCCCAACTCGGTTCTGAGCATCAACGCGGTCGAAGGTTACCCTCTTGAGGATTTCAGCGCAGATGCCGTCAAGGCCCAAATCGCCGAAGCAACAAAGGTCGCAAACGGCAGTGGAAGTGAGCAGGACATCGCAGAAGCAAAGATTGAGTTAGAGGTATTATTATCACCCGTCCGTGCTATCACCACGAAGAAATTAGTAATTATTGACACGATATATAGGTTTTGGAGAGCTTGCAAGCCGTCCTCAAATAGATTATTCTTTAAAAGAGGGGAGGGCTCTAATGCCACCTTGTACATCACAGACTTGTTCCTTCCTATAAAGCCGGCTGATCAGCACGAATTGAACATGATTTAGACCTACACGTTGACTTTATGCTTTCCGATTCCGTCGCTTCTAGATTAGTATGTGCTTGCCTCATCCCTAGCAGTGGCCTATCTCTGGTTCCTACTTCTCTATAGCCTAGGTACTACGGATATATGAGTACTTCTTTAAAGAAATTTAAACTTGACCACTTCATATCGATGGTTTGTTCATGACATGTTTCTATCCAGTCACTACGGAGTATAAGCATGTTAGATATTATTAGTATTTATCTCGTCGCGGTCTAATCATGTCATCCTGTTCTTGGCCCGATCCACCGCGAGACCCGAACACATCTGCCCATCGGGATTCGGTATATTTAGCTCAGAAAGTCATCCCGAAAGGAACGGTATTGTCGCAAATACATCGGCTTCATCGCCTGACCCATTCTCATCACGGCTTGCCAGAAGACCCCGAGCTTGCAACCCGAGAAAGGAATCATGCAGTAATCGGTTAGGGACGACATCCAGGTTCATATTTCGACGCCGCAAAGGCGTGGCCCGCTCCTCTTGGACATACATTTCTTGGGTTGAAGGTTGGGCGGAACGCTCATAATCAAGATCATGCTCTCACTACTAGCTCTTCTAATTTAACTGATAATGCTTTAAGGTCTGCAACATGGGACCAGCAGCTGGGGCAGAATCGTTCTAGGGATTCCATTCTCCATCGGTCGACACGTAGTCCAGCAGGTGCATATGCTCTTCCGTATGTCGCATCAACCCCTAAAAACTTCGATCCAAAACCAGCATACGTACACCGTCCATCGGCGACTATGCCCTCAAAGATACGAAGTCCCATTTCAGTAGCATCGACTACATCGAATATATCGACGGGCTCGCAAATCTCCTCTCTGGCGACTGAAGCTAAACAGCAGAGGTTTGCTCGCAAATTATTCGAGCAGCATGGCGTCAGGAGACCACCTGGTTGGTTTTCCGACGATGAAGACCTGTCCCTCGCAGGCGATAGGACTGCCAGCCCCCGATTCTGCAGGGTCTGCCATCTCTGCTCTGCGCGAATCTGGTCGCATACTCATTGCTCGTCTTGCAAGCATATTCTGTGCCAGGAATGTCTGCTCTGCGAAGTACCTAAGAGCTCTAAAAGGGGGCAGCCGGCCTTCCCGCATCACCCAGGTCATGCTGTCAGGCTGAACGATGCGAAAGCCTCCTCGGAATTCGTACATGTAGTTCACCACACGTCACAAACTCCAAGCTCTACAGGTCACAAACCATATGGTAAACTAGCAGATACAGTTCAAGGACAAAGCTCCCGGCATAGCGACCCTCGACCCAGGTCACAGCTAAGGAATGTAGGTGTCGAAGGCCGGCCAGTAAAGCAAAGTCCATTCGCCACTGCAGACAAGGGACCGTCGAGTTCCATCTCTGAATCTGACGTTTTTGAGAAATCCGAGTTTCAGACATCTCAGCCTACAAGAAATTCCCCAGGGCCAGTAGGTAAATCCAATGATGAAGTAACCAGCACCAAGGTCGAATGCGATGACCCCATGTGCAAAGCAACACATGCTGGGCATTATCCATATCGACATAGCATCACCTGTTCTCTTGGCCGAAGCGAAGAAGTCGAGAGAGCCCTAGATTCGCTCAAGGAATCTATAATATCGGAAGATGCCTCCGACGCTCAGCGTCTGACACCAGAGCTCTCTGAGGAAGGGTCGTCATCGCCCTTTGACGCTACGCCGCATGACCATCACTCTAAAGAACTTCGCAGCTCTCATCATAGCACACATCACCTTGGCAGTGCCTTTGGCCACGAGTTTCGTGAGCGATACTACAGATTTGCGGAAAGTCCACGTGGCAAGGCTGGGTCTGATAATATATCATCCATTGAGCATCCGGCCCCGGTAATACCGATAGCTCCAGTGAATTCTCTTCAACATGTCCATAAAACGGTATCTCCTAGCTATCCTAAACGCAAGGAATATCTCCAGCCAACGGAAGAGAGAAAGCATACTCCAACGAGACCATCTCCTAGGTTAGGCCAAGGCCAAGGATCATATTCAGTTGAGACCAAGAATATTTCCGGCGAGAGATTCAGCCAGTCCACCCCTCGGGGTGGTATAAACAGGAAACGATCCATACCTATAATTCGTGTGCTGAGTCCACCATCATGGCTAAAAACACCGCGAAAAGAAGCAGGCGATGCCAAATGTGGACTACGCCATGTGAAAGCCAATGATCATGGGCATTGGCCAAATTCACGAGTAGATAGCTCAGGGGGGAATAATGTCGAAAATCCAAGGAATCCAATGCGGGAGTCCAATTCCGTAAGAAACACGTTTGATGAGCTAACTAGCTCGAGCCATAATCTTATGCGAATATCTGCTCCCTCCCCGCCGACCGCGCTACATGTCACACAGCATCAAAGACCGGAGCCTTGGTTAGATCATTCATCCGATCATGCACACTCTAGGGCAAGTCATAGTGCTATGTCCACACACACAAGGAACACACCCGCTGCCTCATCTCATGGGGGGCCACAAGCAAAGCATCGAAACCCATCTTCTCGCCATGGGCGGCCTCCATCCCATCTCCGAGCTGAAGGTACTAGGTCCGCACATATTGACCTGCTGAGTCCTTCGTCTGCTCGTTCAGCCGTCCATTCACACCGATCCCTACAGCAGTACGAATCGGCTTATAAGCTCGCACGCGAGCGATCCTGGGATGAGGCAGACCATCATCTTGATACCCAGTCTTCGCATGTTCGAGCTACTACTTCACATGCAAGCCACGAGAACCAGCATTCTCTAGCAGCAAGCACCACGAGCACTCCCAGCCACTCGCCACTGCAGCCCCTCCAATCACTACCACAGCATATCATAGCCCACCCTGAAGAACAAGAACAAGAAGAGGGGACCACCGCGTCTGAACATGGTAGTACTTGGGATGTGCCGGGATCCGAGAGCAGGGAGTCCACCGCTCCGTTCTCCGCCGACGAGCTTTCGGAGGAAGAATACGAAGATGACTGCTACGAGAACGAGAACGAGAACGAGAACGAGAACGAGATATACCGCCCGAACCCCATCGCGCCGCCCAACCACGACTGTAGCTGGAAAGAGCGTTACCTCGCGCTGACGGCGGAGATCCGTCTGCTGAAAGCGGAGCTTTCGACGAGGGCGTCGCTGAGGGGGACGGATGTTGGGTTTTATGGTGAGCAGGGGCTGGAGCAGGGAGAGGAGGAGGAGGAGGAGGAGGAGGAGGAGGAGGGGTTGGAGGGTGATGGTAATGGTGACGATGATGATGATGATGATCTGGGAATCCAGGGTATCACGATTATCATGCACTTGAGGGGCAGAGAGGACTTGGTTATCAATACGGACTTGACGTAGGAGAGTGATGGGGGACGATACCTACGATACGCTTGTATGGGATGGGGAACGGGGGAGCTAGTAGCTAACTACTAGGAAAACGGGGGGTGGGTTGTGATGGGTTCTGTTCCTGTCGGAACTCTGGTAGACGGACAGACGGACAGACGGACGGGTAGACATAGTGGTACACAGGAGACCGCTTAATAGTCGCTAGGCGTTATTATTATTAGAGTTTTTTTTTTCTTTTTTTTAAAAAAAAAAAAAAAAACAGAAGACTTGAACAAGTTGCATATTTCTAGATACCTATGTGCCGAGCTGCCGAGCAAGGTGGGTTAGGGAGGCTTCCTCTTGTCTCCGGGGCTTTGTTTCTACTTACCTACTAAAGAACAAGCCTACATAGGTTAGGTAGGTATGTACGTGTACATAAGTGCACGGTAGCTACCTAGCTATTTAGAACGAACCTACCCTTTCGCTCTACCGATCATCTTTCATAACACATACAGTACCTACATGAACGAATACCTACCCAGGTGCATAGGTAACTACATATCAACCCCCCTCACATAAGACGGGTACCTAGCGAAGACGAGATTTATCAGTCGACACCGCCACTATGTACCTACGCAGTACCTATCCTTGCCGCGCACACACAGCAAATTACGTAAGGGTGCTTCTCTAAACTCCAGCTATATGTATGTATGTACCTAACCTAGGTAAGTGCGTTATGTAAGTACATGTATGTAGGTATATGGATACCTATGTATGGATATGGATATTCCCGCAAAGACAAAGAGGCTGACGGCCCGACGCATTAGTATATATGTTGTCGGATGCGGGTTCGGCTCTATGTAGCGTAGCTTTGCTTACCTAGCTTGAGAAAAGGGGCTTGAGCGGGAAGGAAAGGGGGGTTGGCTGGACCCGAGGTTTCACGAAACGAATGAGAGCACAGAAAAAGGAAGGAAAAAGGGAATAAAAAAAGGGAGAGGTTAGGGTTGGGGAGACGCCACCTGAGGAATGATAGGTAGGCAGGTAAGCAGGCAGGTAAGGGAGTTGGTTATATGCAGGTGGGATGTAGGTCTAGGTTATGTAGGTGTCTTAGCTGTTGTACGTAGGTAAGTATATTAGTGTACCTATGTAGGTATGTATATATAGAGTCTACCTTATTCTCGAATAGCGACTTGAATGATGAGAGTTAAAAGCTTTCGGGGCTACCTATGAGCAGTAAGGATATAGGATATCGATGACCCTCGGCGTTGTGTAAGACATATAACGGTGCTGATGCCAATTATCTCCGAGACAAACATTAAAGCCTCAGCCTTTTGTTTTTTCGAAAAAACAAAAGGCTAAAAAAAAGCTGTCTAGGATAACGACGGGAGGTTCAAGGTTGAAGAGGAACTAATGTAGCTTTGGCACCTGTATACATCAAGATGGAGTATGTACAAGCATGAAAGCACGAGTAGGTAAAACCCGGGTGAGCAGTTGACAGATCTGCAAGATTCCGTAGCCTCGCGGCACATACACGCCTAGGAAACCCACATTAACCATGAATGGATGGATATGATATAACGGGCCTGATTATCGGGAACTAGTATTTACTGGAGACGAGGACCCCTAGAAGTTAGCTGTACATGTATGTGCTCTGGCCGTGGACTTTATGAAGAGCAGCAAAGTAAACACCCCTGTGTCATCTTTATTACCTACTATTATTGACATGATTGCCGAGTCTGTTTGCTTGAAAATGTCCGAATATGGTCGGTTAAGTAGGTCAGTGCAACCATGTACGCTTCAACAGTCGACATTGACATTCAAGGAGATTGTCCTGTAGTTATGTGGAAACAATGCCGAGGTATCTACCTGTTATACACGTACATGTAGACGCTGGTGCTCTTTAGCATTATGGCGGTGAGTTTCGTTGCGCTGGTGGTAGGCAATATGTGAAGGCATGTTACCGGTTAGGGTAGCACCAAAGCTGAAGAACGTTTCAGTTGTCTGAGTGAACCAGAGTGCCCAGCGGATCAGCCAGCCCCGAAGCAGGCCCTAACTCGGATCGACGCCTTTAGATGTGGACTCTCGCTCACGGATTGTGTTTTGATTTGAAATAAGCGCGCCCGGTGGGTAGACAGACGTGGTACTCACTCAGGACTAGCAGTAGTATCGTCGAGAAGTCCCAATTAAAGCAAACACTTTCGCGGGAGATCGTCTTTGATAATGCCAAGACCACGCCCACGAGCAATAAGCCTTGCCAAGTTGCCAAGGTCATGTCCAACAGAGGCGGGCAGACTGGGAACTTGGAAGCAAGTAATGCTTGGGATGCTTGGCGATGAACTAATGAAGATCGCGGGGTATCTTGTCGGACTTGACAAGTGAGATCTGCTTTGTTATATGTACTTGCGATCGGAAGTGCATGTCTTGTGAACGCTTGTCGAGATATTTTAGTATTGATCCGGGAATAGCTTGCCTTAGGTTCTCGGCCCCCTTTTTATGTGGGTGGGTTCAGCTGTCTATACATCCAGGGGGCTTATACAAATAACTTGACATGTTATATGACTAGGAGTATGCTAAATCTATCCACGAGGAGAATCAGTTTCCGGCTTCAAATATATGTAAAGGCGAGGTTAATCAATAACGTACATGTGTACATGTGCAATACCACCCTTCGAAATATCTCGGCTGAACAGGTCACAAAGTCACGCCCCTTCATTGCCGTTCCGGGTAGGTAGGGGGAAGGTAATCAAACTACACATGTAAGTAGTTTAATCAACCAATGTGGCTTTTTCGTTTTCTATTCTTTTTCTTCCATCCAGATGACCCGGATTGTGGCCCAAGGGGTTCTGCCTATGCAGAGGGGCACTTTGGATACATACTTGGTGGTGGTATCTGCGGAACCCTCGCCCGCGGCACTTCCTTACAGACGTCATGTGCTATGAATCTGGTGGAACTGTTCCGGTATTTACCGAACTGTTGCGCTTTAGAGTTGTTGCGATTACTACAAAATATACTGATGTTATACGATAATTACTACTGTATTGAGTGATGTGTTGGGTAAGTAGATATGTAAGATGTTGTCGCCCCAGATTGTCGGTCGTTTCTTTTCTGCCCGGTACTGTATATTGCTGATCACTAGTGCTATCTTTTATCTATTTGTGTGTGGAAACTGGAAAGTGTGAAAGCCAGGAGGAGACTTGAAGAAGTAGGTGGATGAATGATGCATAGTTGGAGTTGGCAGGTAGCAATGCACTACATACATATCTCATACGTATGTATGTATACATTGTATAATGTTACGTATGTATCCATTGTATTATAATGTAGAATGATAAGGAAAGCACGGCAAAACCTTGAAGATCTTGAAGAATCGAATGGTTGAGAATTGAGGGTTGAGGGGGTACATGCATGTTACACACTGCGTATGGCGGTACGAGATACTACTAGGTATGTACATACCTACATAGGACCTAGGTTAACCTAGTAGGTTCCAAAACACCATTAGTTTTTACACTGATTGAGTTTGTTAGGGCTAAGGAATCAAATGCGCTTCCCCCACCCAACAGGGATTATTTGGGCGATGGGGAATCTATTATACTTGTACCTGTGTAAAGCGAGTACTAGGTAACAGGTACTAGTTAGTTAGTTAGTAGGCACTAGGTAGCAACGTCTGAGTCCTGACCCCCCTGGTCGAACTACTTAGTAGTCTAACCTACCCACGCAGGGTAATCCATCCTTTCTAAACCCCCGTCCTATGGCTTAATTCTCAAGTATCCCTTTCCCGCCCAACGAACCGTGACGCTTTCCCATCTCCCATCTCCCATCACCCGTTCCCTTTTCTACCCAAGACCTCTGGGCGCCCAGACCTCAATTCGAATCCCGAATACCTTTACAATCGTATACCAATAATTTCATCCTATCCCCGCTAGAACAATTCGATCGACTTCAATAATCCAGCGAGATTTTGGATAATGTCGATCAGATAGTTCTTGATTGATTATACTTCGTACTATACTATACTTAGCAGCTGGAACTCTAATTGGAAAGCCGTTATCTTTAACGTTTTCGTCGTGCGAAAAAACACAGCCACACTGGTCCAGAAAGCGACTATATACCGCACATCATAATAACACTTATACTTACTACTCCCGTACCCCGATCCGAACCGATCCATCGATCGCCGAATTCGAATACGTAACATCCTCTGTCGCGTTTCCGTAGCCTTTAGCAGGCTATTCTCATTCCATGGCGAGTGTATCGCGATAGCATCACAAGTTGCCTGAACGCCGTTTCATCCAGCGTCTCTCCGTCCTAAGATGGAACCGCTGCGTGTTCGGCAGCCTATGTTGGCTGCTTCTGCGACGTTATCTGTAGGCTCCTCTTGCACACCATATACCCTTCCATCAAATGGCGTCCTACAATTCCTGGGAGCCGACCCGACGACTCTGGTGGCTGATGCCGTTTACTCCCCACTCTGTACGGCCGCCGCTCTCACCCCTCAACCCGCCATTATCGCGAATGGCGGTTTCGACATAGACCAAACATCGAATCCCTCGAACCCTCAATTCTCCGACCTTCGCGATCCCTTTTATGCTTCGATTTTCCCGCAATGCTATGCGTTGGCTGCCACTACAGTTTTAGCTTATTTGTTGCTTATTATGCTGGTCATTGCGCCTCGATCCTTTCTTGACGGTGGAGTTGTTGTTCTGGGCCGACGCGGTTTCACGAATGGCCCTTCGAATGGAATTAGTATTGGGGGCCGCCCATGGTTACAAAAAGTTGCAGCACTAACCGTCGCTATCTCGCTTACGATTGCTACAGCTGATACTTTCCGCGTCGCCGAAGAACAGTACGCTTGGGGGACTCAGAATGCTCAGCGACTCCAGGAGGACGTCCTCGGTGGAACTCAACTAAAGGTCATTCAACTTATATCAGATACCTTCCTTTGGCTAGCCCAGGCGCAGACGCTCATCCGTTTGTTTCCCCGACAGCGCGAGAAAGTTATCATAAAATGGACGGCCTTCTCACTTATTACGCTGGATGTTATTTTTGGTGCTCTCAACAGTTTCCATTATACTGGACAAGGCAATACCAGACCGCGAAGTTTCACGGATGCTGTTCCAGCACTCAGCTACCTGTTCCAGTTATCACTTGGTTTACTATACGCTGCATGGGTGCTTTATTATGCGCTCATGAAGAAGCGATATGCCTTTTACCACCCACTGATGAAAAATATATGCTTAATGGCAATGCTCTCGATCATATCGATTCTTGTTCCCGTTGTCTTCTTCGTTCTCGACATCGCCGAACCGGAATTTACTGGCTGGGGTGATTATGTGCGATGGGTCGGTGCAGCTGCAGCAAGTGTGGTTGTATGGGAATGGGTCGAGCGTATCGAGGCGCTAGAACGTGAAGAGAAGAAGGATGGAGTCCTTGGAAGAGAAGTTTTTGATGGCGACGAGATGATGGAGGCATTTCCTTCGGATCTCACGTGGCCTCTGAGACGGAAGAATAAGAGAAAGGATGACGACGACGACGAAGGTGAGAGTAGTAACAGCTCGTCTATGGGTGGCCGAAGTAATATGTGGCCTGCCATGTCATCTGTTGCTAGTCGGTATCGATCAAAATCAGGAGGCAGTCCGGACGGACGACAACAAGCTTCGTCAACGGCCAGGTCGGCGACAAGGTTTTTACAACCCCCCATGTGGCCCTCTCGGCCGCCCCCAGCAATTACCCCTGTAAGCAGAACGGATACCGCAAGCGCCGACAGCACAGTATATGCGGTTCGATACCAGCCCCTTACAGAAACGACCACGAGGACTACAGAAGAAAGACACGGGCGGCCATTATCCAGGGGTGATAGTGCTACGTCATCAGTGTCAAGTCCGATAGTGGAAAACAATATGCAGCCCATGAGCATACCTCCATCGCAGCAGCCTTCATCGACGACATATGCAGTGGAAAAGAAAGACGAGGCAAGCCGCTGGCACTACTTCAATCCATTTCACCGCACTGCGCGAGAACCACCAGCGGAAGTCCTTCCGCATACAATGCCAAAACAGCCCAAGCCTCGGCGCGACTTCGATAGTACTGGCAGATGGGACGTAAAAGCACGGATGGAAATATTTGCTGCAACCCAGGCGGAAAGAGTTCTCGAGAAGATTCGCCCAACACCAGACACAGATAGCTTACCAGTCACCGTGATTCCTGCCCCTCCACGTCGCGGCGCAGCGCTAGCTCAGTTGCTAGAAGAAGAGGAACTTCAAGTTGAGTCACACGAACCACGCGTCTCGACTTCACAACACCAGGCTCGTAATATTGGAGATGAAAGTGCTGCAACTGGACCAATGATGCTGTCGCAGCGAGTTGCCAGAAGCAACAGCACAGCATCAAACGCACTCAGATCTTCTCTCAGTCCAACAGAAAGGAACAATCCGTCAACTTCCAGGCCGCCTATTTCGCGTGACAGCAACTCTTTTCTAGTGTCTGCTCAGAGAAGAGGAGATCAACGTGAGAGACTGGCAGGTGAGAGGCGGCCGGTAGACGATATCATACGGGATGAGCAACATCATGACTCATCACCTGTATAGTCATTTCCTGGCCTGATGTCTTCAACAACAATCTTCTTGTGATTTTTAACGGCAGCGCGGCGCTTTGGGATGCATTTTGCAGCAAAAGGGGATTCTCGACAGCATTGTATGGTGCATGGGGTATCAAAAGGGGATGGTGTTAACAAATGGGCTTATTAAGTCTCTGAATAAGGGTGATTTAGGAAAGTAGTCACCATGTTTTTGCTATCAACGGGGGCTACCTGTTTTACATGACGAATACCTACATGTATATATATATATATATATCTTGATACTTGATACTTGATACGAGGTAAGAGCCACGTCTTGAATGTATAATACAAAGCACGACCATGTGGTTCCGGACTTTGAACACAAAACTTCGCCTCTTATCTTTCGAATAGTGTTTGCTTACCGTGAATGAGCGTAAGCACATATCTTAGGCCTCGAGTGCTATGACATAAGCTTAGGTCCAAACGCATAGTCCCGGGCCACATGGAATGGGCTATATGTACTTGGAAACGAAGCACCAGACCTAAAGTACCTAGCCTAGGTGGATTGGGTTTGGTGATTTTTCTTTCAGGTGGTGGCGTTTAAACAACTCTCACGATGTCCTCATGATGTCCCCACCATGAGCAAAATTCTATAGCTACCAACTTAGTACCAAGGTATCTACTACTAGTACCTAGTAGACCCCTATTCAGAATTTCATACTACGTATGTATACTACTAACTACTAGTAGTACAGTGACACTTCGGCAAGTGCGGAAAGGGAATGCCAAGACTGAATAAACATTGTATGTGACCAATCAAGGAACGTTGAACTTTGGAGAGATGGACCCCTAAGTGGTAATTTAAGGTTGATGGTTTACTTTAGGTGTGTATGGGGGTCCAACGAGAAAAAATGTGAGAGAAAACGTGATTGCTTAATGCTTACGTTACTTGACTATCTGACTATCTGATTATCTGATCAATAATACCTCGCTATAGTGACAAAATGCATGTAACGGGGAAATGGTGGCTGTTTAAGTGCCACTTAACTAGTTAAATATTGACGTTTAATAGCAAGTTAAATCACATGTATTAATGCTAATGCCCATGTCCATGCTTTGATGCTAAGGTAATGCTAAATGCTAAATTCTAAATGCCAATGCTAATCTCCCATCTTGTTCAATCTTGCTGAGCACAAACTTTACATTCTATTTTCCATTTTCTACCTTTTTTGATACTTTCTACGCATCATCCTTCCTTCTGCGTACACAATTCTTCCCCCCCTCTTGTGCTTGTCCACCAAATACCTGGATTGCTTTCACTCCTTAAGCATTCTAGTGTTACCTGCGTGGGCAGGTTCGTTACTCTACCAGGCCGCATACCAAAAAAGTACAAGGTCAACAGCAGCAATTAGCAGTACCTCAACGTGTCTGACCTCGGCTGTCCCCTATCTCTGCCAATCGTGGTTCCGTGCGACAGCCCCGAGTCCGCAACAATGGCGTCATCTGAGCCATTCCCTATTCTCAATACTTCGGCCGACCAGTTACATTCAGCGGCCGACCACGGAAATGCCCGTCGACGTAGAAAGTCGAGCGGACTAGGCGCTGACCTTATGGTGGGAGACACTGGCGCACCTAGCTTGCACGATAGTCTCGCAAACCTGCAGGGCACATCACCCACCGCCGACTCAGCTTCCCAAGGCCAAAACACAGGATCGGATAGCAAGGAAGTGTCTAAGAAGGGATATAAGCGACGTAAAGCTCGCTCCTTTTTGCGCCGCTGCAAGCACTATGCCATCAAGCACACGTGGGTTTTACCTTTGGTTGTCTTAGCTATATTCCTATCATTGTTCGCTATAAATCCGACAGAATCGAATCCCATCTACCATTTCATCTTCCTGTCCTACAAGCTTCCCCTCGAAGCAGGTGCTGACCCTAGCACACCCGCCCAATATGGCAAGGGTCCATGGGATATCGCTTTGGTGTGCTTCTATGCTATTGTTCTCTCCTTTACTCGTGAGTTCATCATGCAAGAGCTCCTTCGACCCCTTGCTAGGTTTGCTGGTTTGAAGTCCCGTGGGAAGCAAGCCCGTTTTATGGAACAGATGTACACCGCCGTCTATTTTGGCGTTTTGGGACCCTCAGGCATGTACGTCATGAGCCACACTCCGGTTTGGTATTTCAACACCCGCGGCATGTACGAAGACTTCCCCCACAAGACGCACGAGGCCGACTTCAAGTTCTACTACCTATTTCAGGCCGCCTACTGGGCCCAGCAGGCTATCGTACTATTGCTTGGCATGGAGAAGCCCCGCAAGGATTACAAGGAGCTCGTTGGCCACCATATCGTCAGTTTGGCGCTTATAGCACTCAGCTACCGCTTTCACTTTACCTATATGGGCCTTGCTGTCTACATCACTCACGATATTAGTGACTTCTTCCTCGCTGTAAGTTATTCACCTGGGATCCAAATTCTAGGGTTGCTATATTTTTGGTACTAACCAGCTTTCTATCAGACCTCGAAAACTCTTAATTATATCGATCATCCCCTAGTAGGACCCTACTTCTTCATTTTCATGTGTAGCTGGACCTATCTACGCCACTACCTCAACCTTCGGATCCTATATTCGCTATTCACCGAGTTTCAGACAGTAGGACCCTATGAGCTGAACTGGGAAACTGGGCAATACAAATGCGATCTAGCCTTCTGGATCACCCTGACTCTCCTCTCGTCTCTCCAAGCTCTCAACCTCTTCTGGCTATTTTTCATCGTTAGGATTGCCTATCGCTTCGTTGTTTACAGTAAAGCCGACGATGACCGGTCTGAAGCCGAGGACTCCGATATGGAGGAAGAGCAGGAGAAGCAAGAAAAGAGTACCGAGGCAACGCCGTTGCTTAATGGTAGTAATGGCGGCACAAATGGCAACGCAAATGGTGCGCTTAAGGCTCGAGCAAATGGAGCAGCATCATCGCTATTGGATAAATCTGCCCAATAGAATATGCCCGACTTCTCGCCCCCTATGAGGCAACTTTCGCTTGCGAATTTTTGGAGTCATTCAAGGCATTGGTATGTACGATACGGCCGACGCGGGGGTAAAGAACATATGTGAACGTGGACATTACTACCAACGATGCCCCCCGGGAACGACTATACTACCCTCCACATATATGGATATTAGTATGATTCTTTAATTGTCTCGGCCATTCATGATACATATAGGCGTTCAGGGAAATGAAATTTACATCAGCATTCCCAAGTCATTCGCTCATGGGTTATGAAATTACTGCATATGAAGGTGGCTTGATCGGGTTGGGTAATAACTCCGGAACAGAAGCATGAGAGATGACCCCCCCCCTTATCTCAGCTTCCATCTTTATGAAACCCATCAACCGATATCTGAGCACATATGAGCTCACTGGGAGTTAAAAGGATGTTCTTTCCAAAATGAGTCAACGCGTCGACGATGGAGGTGTGTCTATAAAGAAGTTTTCTTTCAGGGTTAATGAAATGAGCATCGCAGTAGCATGATTAGAAGACAAGAGAAGAGAATGAGAGGGAATGGGAATGGGAGATGGAAAGTATTTATGGTCTGTTGAGTTCCCATGCAACGTACCTAGCTTAGATACGATAGCTAGAACTCTCCCCCAACAACAGTAATTCTTAATGCAAGATGGGATCGGACTTGTTTTCTTCAACAAAATGGTCCGGACACCTTTCAAATATCTATCATTGGTCTCGTCTCCTCGCAATGGGGTTAAAGTGAATATGTATGCATGTTGGAATACCACCAAGTGAGAATAGGAGCAATGGGTTAGTGATACAATGCTTAGTAATGCGGGATCACGTGATGTGATCACGCACATAGTCAAGTAGATTCATTCAGATAGCCGTTTACAATAGTCTTTCTTTTATCAAGTTAATCCCTCTGGCTATCTTTCTTTTTTAATCGTCAACAATGTCGTGCCGTTCTATGCATTGTCGTCGTTATAACTATGTTATGACAAAATAGATACTTAAGGTTGATAATATTAATAATAATTATAGTTGTTATGGGTGTTTTGAGACTGATAATAACGATCACACTTTGCTGTAAATGAATCGGCAAAGTGTGATCGTTACTATTAGTCTCAAAACACTTATAACAAGTATAATTATGATCAATATTATCAACCTTAGGCACCTATTCTGTTATGGCATAGGCATAACGACGATAAGGCATAGAACGGCACGACATTGTTGACGATTAAAAAAAGAAAGATAACCAGAGGGATTGACTTGATGAAAGAAAAGGACAAAAGCCCATGGAATAACGTGGAGGAAGAGCCCAGCTTTATACACCTCGACTCTCCGGTATCTTTCTAACATATCACAAAACGGCACCATAGCAACCGACAGGTAACTAACTCACAAAGATACCGCGCATAAATAGTTAAGGCTTAACTACAAGAATAGCAAGCCCTTTTACTTTTGTTACCCCTCCTTTACCCCTTGTATTGTACGCCAACGCCTCAACAAGGCAACCATGCATACCAAACGCGTAACTACTGTATGTACATGATGATGGCCTAATCTACACCTCGGCGACGCATCACTTAGGTCGCTATCCCGCATTGTCACTAAAAGAAAATTTGCCAGTGTTAGAATAGTTACCACTAAGTGAGAATGGGAGCAATGGGTTAATAATACAATGCCTAGTAATTCGTGATCACGCATATAAGTAGATTCGTTCAAATAAGTTACCGTTTACAATAGTCTTCTCTTACAAGTCAAGATACTAATACAGTTTTACACCAAGTGTTTGGTATCTCACTCTGCGCTGCTACAGCGCAGCAGCGTGTATGCTACTCCCTACCCATTATATTACAATACGTGATATAACTATTCGGTAGACCTTGTCCACCGACAATGCATAGCTGTTATTTTATTTTATTTTTCATTTTCCTTCATATCTATATTTGTAGTCTTGGGTAATATTATGTATAATCACATGCCTGCGTCTAAATATATGTATGTATGTATGTATGTACGTGAAAGAAAGGGGTAACTAATCAGCCGCATCACGTGTTTGTAAACGTCCGTTGTACGACTTTTGCCTCGGCGGCTGTCGGTACACTATGTATAGTTAATAGTTAGCTGTAACCATATAGTTAACTTCACGTGCCGTTTTTCGTTCTTGCTTAACTACATACTGTATATAACTACATGCATGGATGTAAGACTATTTGATAAAGCTAGGTAGCTAGCTAGCTAGCTACACTAGGTAAAAGTAAGTAAGTAAGTAATAAGTATATACCTACTCGGCAACTATGTACATGACTGCTTAAGTTACATAGGTAGGTATCTTGATAATTATAGTTATATAGTCATGAGGATACATATTGTACTTCGAAGTTCGTCGACTACTTCTTGCACTTGGCTTGTTGAACTAGCTAGGTACCCAACCTAGACATGATGATGATGATGTAGGGACTTACCAAGGTATTATAACGTTGCGTACTTCTAGTATTTGCGTGCTTGCTTGCTTGCTTGCTTACAAACCAGCCTACAGTAACTAGTGTGTATTCATTTGTTTCGGTGGTTGGCTATTACTACCTAGTACCTATGTACACATGCAAATACTTACCTACCTACATACCTAATCATGTGGCTAGCATTGTTGGTTGGTTGGTTGATATGTTTGTTAACTTGTCAGGTAGTTAGGTTAGTTTACTTTAGGTATGTAAGGTTAGTAGGTTTGTCAAACCGTGACATGCACAAGTGGGTGATCATATTTGACAGGTAACTACATTTAACTACCTATAGTTAACTATACATTACCAATACGATGCTAACTATCTGAATCATAATAATGAATGAGATATATCTTGTCCTACACTATCTAGGTAGGTACGTAAGTTAAGTATCTAATCTATACGAAAGTTGCATGTACACATAATACATATACCTACCTACCTACCAGACCCTAGGTACATATGTAAATAGGGCAGCGCGATTCCCAAAGCCAAGACGGGCTCCCGGGGGGAAGAGAAACCCCCCCCCCCCCATGTCCTTGCCTGCCCTTGCCACGCTTTTGCCATGTTTTTACCACGCTTGCCACGCTTTACCGACTATCCGGTTCTCTCTTTTTCTTTTTTCTTCTTTCTTTTTATACTGCTTGTTGCTTGTCGAATCCATACCCAGTAGTTTTAGTAACATGTATGTACGTATATGCATAAGTAGCGGTGCATGGGTTGGGGGAAGAGAGAGAGAGAGAGAGGGAGGGGCCTGTCAGTTAATACGGCGTAGAAGGAAGGGAAAGGAAAAAGAAATTATTGGACCCTAGGAGGAGAGGGCCGAGGATTTAAATGGATACATAGCCTAAGCTACCTGGTTAGGTATATATATAATTATAGGTATAGGTATGCACACTTACATCGGAATAAAAGACCAGTCGTTTCACATACCAAGTAGGCTGGTTTGGTTTGGTTGGGTTGGGTTAGGTTAGGTTAGGCTGTGTTAGCAAAAAGGTTGGGTTGGGTTGGGTTTGGTTTGGTACAATGGTTTGGGTCGGGGAGGTCACGAGACCGGGGATGGGAGTATAGGAAAGGAGTATTATTAATATTACTATCATTGCTATAATAATAAAACACAACCCAGCCAATAGCTGATTAAAGAATTAATAAAAAGAAAAAGAACAGAAAATGAAAAGAAGAAACTAACCGGAGAAAAGTCCGTTGGAGATCATAGCAGAGAAAACTATTGATCCCAGATCAAACACTCCTCCTCGACCGGTCCGGTTGAACGACGTCCTCGCCTCGAATTACCCAACTGAGGTTGAGTTGTAACTACCTAGTTGTCTACTTTTCTCACCGTATATTCATCCCTCCCTCCCTCACCCCCCCCCCCTTATTACCCACCAAACCCACAAAGCCCACAAAGCCGCATCCCGCATCCCGCATTCCCAAACCGCATCATCCCTTCCTATCTTCCCACCCGACCCCGGATCCTTTTCTATCATCATGCATAGGTGTACGCAGCTAGGTAAATACCGTTCCGGAGGTACCTAGTAGTAATAATAATGTGTAGTAAGAGGTACATTTCATATACATACCTCCATACAGCCACGCCCACGCCAGCACGGAAAGACAAACGAGCAACGTTGCAAGAAGCTGCAGGTACAGACCCAAGCTAGCTACCTACCTAGGTTAGGTAGATAGGCAACTAATCTATACGTATCAGGTCAGGATGCAACACCGGCCGGACCCCTTACAACTATTACAATACTAGGTCGGGTAATAGGTTAGGTTACTACCCAAGATACCAGGTTAGACGCCTACCTCGGTAGGTACACGGACACATTAGCCTTCAAGGCAGATCGGGAGGGCTAGCCGGCAACTGACTTGGAGTAGACTGAGCCGCACGGCTGGGAAATGAGTCCAGGATTCCAAATTCCGGAACTTCCGCAACGTCATTCCCTATTTCCCCACCAAAATTTCCCGTGGGCCCCAAGTTTCACATCATCAGCCTCATTCCTCATTCACGAAAACGCCCAGACTTTTAGCCGAACGGGAGGGATGATATTAACGTCCGGTATGAACAGTCGGTTCCATTGCAGGTATTTTGTGTGGTTGGGATTCAGCCACAGTCTAACTGTCATTTGCAATTACATGCCTCCTTGCCGCAAATCTCATCGTCTCTCGTCTCTCATGCCGCACGCACGCCCGCTAATGCTACCTGTCATCATCTCATTATGGTGGTATTCTAACCCACTGTTTTGAAAGAAAGAAAAAGAGCAAAAGAGCCGGCGTTTGAACCGGTTAAAAAAAAAGAAAATAGAAAAGGAGATGCCATTAGCAAATCGACTGACGGACTTGAACCGGGCTGAAGAGAGGGAAGAAAAGGGAAAAGAAAAGAAAAAGTAGCGTAAACAAAAGAAGCCGTCCTCCCTCCCTTTCCTTCACCCCGCCCCTGTCTGGCAGTGGTTGGTTTCCGTCCCGTCCTTTTCTATTCCATCCCGCCTTGCCGGAATTTTTTTTCAGGTTAAAGGCCGTGACTCATCATTTAGTGCAAGCAACGATGGTGAATTACTAAGACATAATAACATGAGTCTTTTGGTATCGTTGCGAAGAATCGTGAGAACCGGAAATGCAAAGCCGCCGAATAACCTCTGATGTAGAGGTGTCTTTTTGTGTATATTACCACCAACGCCATCTGTAATGCAATGCCCGGGAGACCGGGACGTGAGAGAAGTTTCAATTAGCAATAAAAACTATATATCGCCGAAAGTCGGAATATGGACATGAATCGAGCCCAAGTCAACGAGACATTAGGATTAGTGGGTCGATCGAGGATAGCCTTCAACCGATGTTATGGGCTCAAATTGGGAGCCAGGTCTACTAGGGGTAACTGATTCGTCAGATGAGCTGCTAGAATCGTCGTGACCATTAGAACGCTCCGTACGGTTGTGGTGATCACCGGAGGGAGGAGGAATATTCGCTTTGCGCATGAGCTTTTCCGCCTTGCGAGTCGCATTACGCGCGTCCTCCGCTGCCTTCTCGGCCTTGGCTTGACGATTCCACATGGACGCGTACCGGCCATTAAGCTCCAGGAGCGTCTCGTGTGTGCCCTTCTCCACAATAGTTCCTTGATGTAAGACCAATATTTGGTTCGCATGAGTAATGGTCGACAAGCGATGACTAAGATTCAGTGAGTTTAAACATCCAGTAGTAAAAGTCATAATATTTTATAGATATGCAAGCTGAAACTTACGCAATAATGAGCATTGTACGTCCACGACCAATGCTAGCTAGCCGAGATTGGATTTGTTGTTCTGTATGGCTATCAAGCGCCGATGTAGCCTCGTCGAGCATGATGATTTTTGGGTTCTTAAGCAGGGTTCGCGCAATAGCAACCCTCTGCTTCTCACCACCGCTCAGGCGGAGACCACGCTCGCCAACCTTGGTGTTATATCCATCAGGGAAAGACATGATCCTGTCATGAATGCTGGCAGCCTGACATGCGGCGATGATATCTTCGTCAGTTGCGCTTTGATTGGCATACCTCAGGTTGTACATAAGGGTATCATTAAATAAGACGGTGTCCTGAGGTACCACCCCAATAAAGCGTCGAATGGAATCGATTGTCACATCCTTGATATCGCGGCCGTCAATCCTGATGTTGCCTTCTTGGCAATTAAAATAGCGGTACATCAGCCGGAAGAGTGTCGATTTACCACCACCGGACTCGCCGACTAGCGCGGTCGTCATGCCCGGTTCACACATGAAGCTAAGATTCCTCAGCGCAGGCTTTCTCTTGTCGTAGGCGAATTTGACCTTAGAAAATTCAACACGACCTTCACACGAGGTAACGTTAGCGGCGCCCGGGCGATCAACAACGGTGGGTCGCTGTTTGAAAAGCTCAAGAAGGCGTTCTCCGGAAATCATAGCCTGCTGAACAGTACGGTAGAATGTACCAAAAAAGTTGAGCGGTCCTTGAAGCTGGCCCAGATAAGTCATTAGGGTGACAAAGTCTCCCACCTTTCGGGTGCCCATCGTGACTTGGTACGCCCCAAGCATCATGGCGACCAGCATGCCTATCATGAATACCATCGACTGGCATATATTCATGGTGCTTATGCTCCACGTGACTCTGGCCTCGGCGACCTGGAAATTCTGTATGGCCTCTTTGTACCGGTTGAACTCGAAGGCTTCCGCATTGAAATACTTGACTGTCTCGTACGAAATAATGGAATCGTTCTTGACAGCCTCTTCCTCCCTGTCTGCGTTGGACATGGCCCGCCGTTGATCGGCAGTCTTGGACGCCATACGAATGGTGAGGAATAGGTAGTAAAATGTAATGGAGCAGACAATAACGGCGTAGACGGCATCGAACCTAACGTAGAAGTAGCTAATAGCTACAAACAAGTCGATAAGCATCGGGAAAACCTGGAATGTGACCTGTTCGAGGAAGGCATTGACGGAAGAGCCCTTATTAAGCGCAGACAGTACCTCTCCGGTTCTCTTTCCCAGGTGGAAGTCAAGACTTAGAGAGTGCACATGTTCAAATGCTGAGGTGGTCAGAGCCCGGTAAGTATGTTGTGACACGGGAATCCACAATAGAGACCGGAGAGATCCTAAAAGCCCTGAAGGCCCTTGCAGTAGCTTATACATAATGAGAAGTCCAAGGGAGACCCAAGGCATCGCGAGCGCCTCTCCCTTTTCGAGGTCATCTCCAGAAAGCTGGTTGGTAACAATACCGATCTGGTAAGGAACCATGATATTGACCCATCGTTGAAGTGCCAACAGAACAAAACAGACCACGACAATAATCTGCAGTCTTGGTTGCTTATTAGGCCACATGTACGGAAAGAAGACAGAGTAGCCACGGAGATACTCGAACCAAGTGGTATGCGGTAGCTTCTCCGGTCGGTAAAACCCTGCATCATCGTCCACCATTTGGTGACTTCCATCGGCAGCGCCATTGGTGTTAGCAGTGGCGATGCCATTCACACCTGGGTGAGGGGTGTGGCCATTTGTGTGACCATTTGTGTGACCATTTGTGTGTCCATTTGTGTGGCCATTCGTATGATAGCCATTTGCTTCACCATTTATGAGGGGGCTACTCTCGTCAATATCGTAGTCATAATCGTGCATATGTTCGTATTTCTCTGGTTTAGTCCGTTTCCTTAATAACTTAATTGCAGAGTAGACCACAATTAAGCCGATCAGTGTACCGATTCTCCCCAGGTCAAGGCCAAGGTCAACTACATCCCACTTGTTTAGCCCGTTCACAATCACATACTTATCGTGAATGAGATTAGTCATGACTTTGTGGGGGCGGGACAGAACAATGGCATCGGAAGCGAAGATAATAATGTCTCCGCACAGCGCAAAGCACCAGGTAAGGATGTGAACCAGGCTCGGGCTACTTTTCCAGTCAAACAGAGTCAAGGTCAGGTAGACATAAAGAAAAGCCGATCCGAGAATAAAAACCTATGCATATTTTAGTTAAGTATGTACAAATAGACGTGAATACGAGATGTAATCAGTGTAAAGGGCTTATGTTGCTTACGGTTTTGGGCTCGCCACACCACCAGCCATGGTCACCGTTTGCATCTCTATGGATTAGAGCACGAGCAGCAATTGCGCCACCGGCAGCGAAAAATGTCAAGGTAGCTATAATCATAGAATATTGGAAAAATCTTCTGGCCATGGGAGTAAATCCTTCAGGTTCCGGAGCTTCATCGTCTTCATCTTCTCTTCTTTTCTTGGTCACAGGCAATGGCTTGCCTCCGGGACCTTTGATGGTGGGCGCAACAATATCATCTTTGCGCACGGCGGTGTAGACGGAGTGGGTGGCACCGATGACGATGAACGCTAAGAGTAGAAGATCCGGGTAGAGGTACTGAGTAAGATCACGAACCCTCTCCGCAGGGGATAGAGGAGGGCTAATGATGACTTCCGCCATCTTGGTCTGTGAAACTCGGGAAGTCAGCATACGGAGTTCGCGGGTAATAATACATGAGAAATTGATTGAGCTGAGGTGTGCAAATCGAATCGGACGAAGGCATTGCACTGCATGCTGCAAGGCGGGCTTGACGTACATATTACTGACGACAGTACTTGTACTGGGTCATTGCCGCAGCTGCACGAGATCACGACCCCCCAATTGCTTCAAGCAGCAGAGCTTGAAACTACCTGCTTGAAGATGCTTGCTGGTCTACGGGTGACGAAGGTAGTAAAAGAATCAATGAGAATTGAAGGTTCAAGTCTCCTATGCTCGGCCAGAGTTAGTGAAATCCCGAGTCCACGTTCCAGTGGGGCAGGTCACCAGACGGTCTTAGTGGCAAAAGCCACACAGAGCGTTGGTAACAAGACTGACTCGAGACTAGCGTACCTAATAGGAAAATAGAGGGCTCTGTTTTGAGTTGTTTCCTCGAGAGCGAGCAAGTGATGAGGCACTGCTTCGGTCTAGCCAGGATCTGCACCAGGGGTGGGTGGAATCGGTGCAGTGCTGGCAGCGGGGACCTTTTTTTCCTTTACTATGTTAAAAAAAAAAAAAAGAAAAGAAAGAAAAAAGTCAGGTTTATTTAGGGTCTTGGAAGTAACGAGCTTCGTATGGGAGGCAAGGTACAACGAACCTTGAAGTGGGTAACCTCAACTTAATATATGGTTCCAGGGGGCGAAAGGTGGATAGGGAAGGGACCAGCTACAAACGAACGTAGATAAAATAGAATGTTTACCGACAAGAGGAGAATTATGTCGTATAATAAAAAAAAAGAGTAAGAAGAGGAAGAGGAAGGAATCAGAAAAAGAATAGAAGGTTTCACTTTTTTGATTTAAAAAAAGATATGGTTTTTTTTTTAAATAAAAAAAAGTTGTAAGTTATTGTAGAAAGGTCGGAGGATCTCGAATATGGTATGTAGGTACGTAGCGTTGTTGTCGCACAAAAAGTCGACAAAGTATGTAAAGGGTAAGGCAGTGAACAAGGAATCTATCTGCTATGGGTGGACAAGGTAGCAACAAGGACCGAAAATGTGGGATGTGCCTGTCTTAACACTTCCAAATTCAGATCAGGTAACCCGAGCCCAGGGTGAGAGAAGTATTAAATCCTTGTCAACTTGGTCGGTAGTGACTGTAATAGTAAAGTGTAGGACCAGTACGAACCGACTAACGGTGCTGGATACTGGATTCTGGGTGCTGGAGAATGCTTGGAGGAGCTTTGGGGGGGAAGCTTGGATGCTAGGTAAGTATGTATGTACTTAGATCAATGCTGGGTATAGATGTAAGTACTAAGGTTGAATGTATGTTGGAACAAGACAAAGACTCTATGCGTGAGTATCATATGTATGATGTATGATGTATGTATGTATGTAGGTATGTAGATATGTATGTAGATATGTATGTATGTATGTGTGTGTGTATATGTATGTATGTATGTGTGTGTAAGTATAATAGTATGTGTATGTATATGTGTGTGTGTTGGCCCACCACAAGAATATGGGAAGGGTAAGTGAGGTATGTAGAGGAGGGGAAGAGGTGAAAAACAAGAAAAAAGAGAAAAAAAACTAACTGCAACAATTGCAAAAACAGCAACAGCAACACCAGCAGAAACAACGTCAGAATTAGTCGTGATATTGACGAACGATACAAATGCAATTGGGAAGATTAAAAGATGGTGTGAGTGTGAAGAATGATGTGGGAGGATAGAATGTCAGTCAGGCTTCTAGACCCAAGCTTTGCGAGACGCACGTTAATGGGGAATTGGGAATTAAGAATTGAATAAAAAAAAAGTACGAGGGAACAATGCTCAATGCCCAGTGCCCAGTGATGAGCTGTCCGCTGTCCGGCAGTCGCGGTGGGCGTGACCGTTACCTACTAACCTTAGGTATATGTAACTTAGGACCTAGCTTCGTGCCTAGTGAACACGGAATGATTTTTTTAGTTGTTACTATTATATTGTGACTTAACGGACCGAGTAGGTAAAATGGTATGTATGTAAATAGGTATCTTGCAAGTTCAACGTTCTTGCCAAGTTCCGACTGTGTTGATCAATGTAGCAAGGTACCAGGTACGGATTCGATACCGCAACGTTCAAACGTTCTAACGTGCTAGGCTAGCATTTATGCTTTGCTGGGATTGCTAGGGCTGCTAGGGCTCTCTAGCGGATAATAAAAAGGTATCCTTTAGGGGAGTTCACCTTGTAACAGTTAGAGAAACTTGAGACTGCTAGAGACAATGAGCCTAGCCAGCTATAACTACCTAGTAGTTAGCTAGGTATGTACATGGGTACCATAGTATTATACATAGTACTATACTAGTAGTATGTACTGGCACATGGGTATTGCTGACAAAAGAAGCACAATGTGAAGAAACGATGATATAACTAAATAAAAAAATTTAATAAAAAATAAGCAAAAAAAATATGGATCAAACAGACAAATAGGACAAATAGGTGAATTATCAGGTGAATTACATAGTAGGTGAATTTAGCAGATCCAGTTGTCAAGGTTGTTAAGGCCCAAAAAAAAAAAGCTCTTAGCTTCCAAGGTTATTATGCCAATGTCAAATAGGGAGATGTGGTTTGTCAGAAAGACTTACACAAGGTAGCCAAACGGCTTGTAGCCTTCTCACCGCCTTGCATCTAACTCTATTCCTTGGGTGAGGGTCAAGGTTGTGATTGCAGCAAGCCCTGCATGCATAAAAAAAGCCTTGGGTCTTTATTCCAAAGGGACCAGGGGGGGAGGGTGTGGTCAAGAGTCTAGACAATTATGGTCTAGCCCAATAATAATAAATCTTAAAGCTCTTGTTGCTCGTCGGTGGCTTTACCAAGGGGAGGGGAAAGGCGAGGGGGGGGGAAGAGAAAGGTGTGGTGGGGTTGGTTGTTGCCTCTTTGTTTGATCCGTGGTCCGTGTTCCGCCGTGGTCAGTAAGTCGTAAGTATGTATACTCGGGAATGCTCCGCAGCCGTTGGTTGGTCCGTGACTCTTGGATATATGTAGCTAGGTAAATAGATACCTAGGTACTAGCTATCATTGGGATAGACTCGATGGAGAGTACAGTATGTACATGGAATATGTAGTTATGTATTGAGGACGGAAAAAAGAGGCAAAAGGGTATATTATACCTCGTAGTAATACAAGAAGACAAGAAGATCATTGATACTCAAGACTTTCACATCATGTAGGTAGAAACCTCATATAGATCATACTCAGCTTTAACAAGAAAAGTATTGGAATACTGTTCCAAATAGATCAATCCCTCGCATGCAATGGAAGATGGAAATAGCCTTTATGATAACTGCAACCCTAGGTATGTAAGCCGACGGATCAGAGAGCATAGTAAAATAGAAAAGATAGGACGATCCCTAATATATAGATGAGCAACATATCACTACCTTGACTAGGCAGGCAGGTAGGTAGGTAGGTAGGTTATAGGAGAGCTTGAGAGATCCTATGTAAGTGTATCCATCCGAATCTGTGCTCCCATGACTATGTTGAACTTCTCTCTCCCACCCGTGTAACTAACTCACAACTCCTATAAAAGTAGCCGCGGGTCCCATTACCATTAGGCCGGATGCCGTTGTGCATGGTGTTTCCACAGCCGAGGGGGGAGTCTAAGTCGCGCGCCTATTATGTGCCGATCTCTCATATAGGTACGTGCATTTAACGCAATGCAAATACATCCTATAAGACAAGGCCTATGAGACAGGTATAGGTAGTATCTCCCTCAACGCTTGTATATGGGCTTCCATGGCCTACATATGGGGTATGGGCCACATGTATATGTACTCTGCTCCCCTATTCCGGAGGGGGAGGGGCATCGTAAAGTTGTAACTGCCTAAGCAGACAGACAAGAGCAGATCAGCTACATCATCTGATATCCCATAGCCAGTAACTGGGGGGAGTCTGAATAAGTACATATGGCAGACTGCTTGGTATCTTGGTACCGCCTCCGACTTAGTTGGCTGGATATTGATCATCCCGCTCCTGAATATGGATTGTGGGAAGGGCGGGGAAGATAGATTCTGTCTAAACATCTCATAGGAGAGCCGTGCTGTAAGTAGTTGGAGCAGTTCTTCTCTCATAAGGGGACTGCCTCTTTTGGCACCCAAATCGGGACGGGGAAACGAAGGGGGGGGGGTTAGGAAATAAAAAATTCAAGGGAAGGAAACAAACCGGGACCATAGATATCTGTATCTGTACCGACCGCTTGTCGCGCAAGTTCGGACTGATTTTTATTTTATTTTTATTCATCCTACTCCAGATCCTCCCCCCATCTCATCCCCCTCATCGCTTTGAGAAGCCTACTGGGAAGGATAGAACATCCATAGATAGTAGTAAAGATATCGACTTCACCCGGACGGGGAACACTTATCCCACCAGGAAAGGGTTTTTCTGCAACTTAGGTTCCCTGCATCTACATATTTATCTCGCTTGTCTGTCCCGAAGTATGGCCAAACATGGGTCAACTATATATCTTGGCGCTGCACTGGTCGTGGCTCTGACTGGTTCGTCTCCTGACCGACCCTTTCGATAAGGCACGATAAGATCCGAACCTGGCGACCGGTCTGGGAGTGGATACCCATCTCATGCAGTCAGATTTTTGAGAATCGACAATAATGCCTGCCGACCAAATTCCCATGTTATTCTTACCATCAGATTTCCATTTGCGGAGCTCGGCCCCGAGTCCGTGTAATACTAGTGTCGTAGGTAGGTAGGTTACAGGTGTGGTATCCGTCCGCCGATACTGTTAACACAGTTGGGACATCCTGCCCTAGTGTAGACCTTCATGGGTTGTAAATTCCTACCATAGTAGATTTGCAATCATATTTGCGATTCCGCACTTTCTCATCTCGGCCAAGTATCCCAGCTAAGCAACGTGTCATACAGACTACAGCAAGCCACCGGCAAATCGCAGCCCGGCACTGACCAAATCTGAGATGACAGGAATCGCAATGGCACCCCCACCTTCTCTGGAAGTCCCCTAAGTCCCCCCC